CTCAGGTCTGTGCACTATTGTTTCTGCAAGAATGAGACCAACTTCTTGAAGGTTATTAACTGTGCTGCTAGGAAAGGTTGAAAACTTAAGAGGAGGCAAACTTTGGTTGATGTTGTATCAAATCTTTGGGTTTCCATGGAGATTACTGAATGAGAAGCTGACAGAATCTAGGATGATGGGGGAAAGACTTTCAGGTATTTTTTTTTAAATTATGAACAAAAATAGTAGTAAATACGAGATCACTCATGAGGCTGGCAAAACAGAGGGGGAAGATTTTTAATGTCATGTCACACAGACAATTGAAGGTCCTCTTTGCTAGATAAGGACTGAAATCCATACCCATTCCCTTTTATGGAGAGCCATCCAGAGCATCACCATCACCATGACGATGGATCATTTCTATGGTTTTATTTATGGCTGAAAACTGCAGCTGGAGGAAGGTGTTGTCAGACAAAGTGAGGTACAACATGCAGAAATACATCACAATACATTTCGGAGCAGAAAGAAAGCAGGATCGTATTTTCATCTTATGAACTTTTCTTTCTCATTTACTGCTTTGTCCACAGGGGGCGCCAAAATCAGCACAAGCAACAATTCATCATGGGGGCTTCAAGTGACTAATCCAAACCTTTTATCGTAAATATCAATACTCCTACTACTACAAAGATGACAAGTAGGAACAGAAATAAAACAGACCAAGAAGTCCCTGATGACGGATACTTACTTTCCAGATGATCATCAAATACAAAGGTCTAAAATAACCTGTTTTAATTTATTACTCCAGCTTTTATGTCTAGAATAAGTGAAGGGAGCAGGTGGTTATAGCAGTGTGGGATCTCGACAGGGTAGGTCTCAAACCTGAAGGGGTCTCATCTCAGCGCTGTTTGTTTACCTCCTCTGGTTTTCTTTATTTTGCTGGTGGCTGATCCGCCGTCTCCTTCAGATTCTCCTTCAAGCTAATTGAAATGATAATAGTGACCAGTATTTTTCCCCAAAGTTTCAACAAGCAGAAGTGAATTTTGCAAACTGATCAGAATTCACATGTGGGATCAAGTTGTACCTAGAAAAACTCTCTCTTTAGAAATAAAACAATATGAGGTCAGATTCAGAATCATTACTTAATGTGGCACATGCTTCCAAAAACGATGATAAAATCTTATAACAACAAAGAGTTTTTAAATATTGAGTTGAGATCACAAAGGCCTCACAAGCCACTATAAACAAAATCAAAATTATGGACACTGGCTTCATGTAAAGAGGAACTCAGACAGGTCATACGTAAATATTGTGATTGAATCGCTGACCATGTTGGTCTCTGCGCATGGACATACCTCAACCAGTGAACCATAATGGGTTGGCAAGCACATAGTACTGGTTCTACCTGCATAGCTGAGAGCGAGAGAACAGCAGGTACAGATGGCCAGTGGGAGTGCAGAGCACCATGCTGTTACACACATGCAGGGATGCAGACAAACCATAGAGGCCAGTTTCATTTGCACTAAAACAAATATTACAGGTCTATGACAACAGCAGCAAAATACACATAGAAAAATGAAGCTAGATACTATAAATTAATGTGTTTAATGTGATTAATTAATGGCAGTTTTGTGTAGATTTGGGACAGGGTCTACAGGTTTGTTTATGTACACACCTGAAAACCAAATGGTGAATAATTCCTGCTGTAAAGCAGGAACAGTGAGTGGCAAATGATAACAAAAAAGAAAGAAATTCAAGGACAGAGTGAAGAAAATTATAACCCACTGTCTGTGTGTGCAGGGAATGAAAGTTAAAATTAAATTATGTTAATTCCAGTCCTCTTATTATACACATTCCCCTTCCTGCACTCCCAAGCAACAAGAATCTGTACAGAGTAATAAAAAGGGATTTTTTTTTAAACGATACGTGCAGTCCACAGCAATTTATTATTTTAGAGCGAATGAGTTGCAAAAAGCTTTATCACACTGGAAAATATAAAAATGAGTGAATAACAAATATAACAGACTTCTTATCAGTGTTTTCTCCGACCTGCATTATCCACTGCCAGCCAGTGATGGGCAAGTTATTGAAAATGATTTAAGAGCGTTACCACTTTATAAAGGTATATATCTGTAAACAGTGGTAACTCTTTAACAGTGGCAAATCATAGATAATATCCCAAGAGACACTATTATTCGCCTCCCTTGACAACCCAGTGTTATTTGACGAATGAGTTCTGTGAAATCAGCAATTTTACACCCACTCCACTGCACTAAATGAAGTTTGGATTGTTTTAATGAACACCCATATTATATCTTTCTTTTATATTGTTATAAAAAAGGATTTTCTATAAACTTTTATCACTTTGCTCTATTTTCACCCTCCTGTTTTATGTTGTTGAACAAACCAATCAGCTGTCCTGCAGAGAGCAAAGAACCATTTGACACATTATTGGTATCTCTTCTGCTGGTATTATTGGTTTTCTCATCCGCTTTAAAAATGTCAGTTTCATGAAGGTCTGTTTGCAAAATATTTGCACCTCTTTTGTCTCTCTTTTGGCATTCAAACATTGTCTTCTGCTTCATGGAAACGTCTTCTTTCCTTTCTTCAATGAGCACAAAGGAACACCTCAAGAAAAGAGATATCTGTGAGTCGGTTTGTCTTTCAAATCTGATTGAGCTGCAAGGCTACGAATCGACGCAGCTAAATGACAACTCATTTTGCCTGCAGACTGAAGCCAGTGCATGGTTATTTATGGTATAATGAAAAAGGCATCAACATTTCCACTGGAACTAAAATCTTAATGAATACAACTTCTGAAATTATGTTTGACAAATTGGCTTACATCAAGATTTATTAAGATCACAGAGGCTTTTTTTTTTTTGTCTCTGTCAGATTCGTGAAGGCAGCTCCACACATGGCTGACTGGCCTTGGACAGTGTACATTATTGGCACAAAGATGCTCCTTTAGAGAGTCAGGCTGAATCTGTCAGTTCCTGTTTGTCAGTATTGAATAAGGCTTACACAATTGTTGGACAGCTTTGCCTTTCACACACAGACCCATATAACCCTCTGTTTCTCCTGGAAAGAACAGCGCAGTGAAGTTTTAAACCTAAATAAAATTGACTCTGTGTTTTAAGATTGCTTGCAAAAAAACAATTCATAAAAAAGTTTAAACAGTGGAAGCAAATCTATACACAAGGAACTGCAAATGACAAAGTAAAGCATAGAGTGATGATTGATCACAAAATAAATAAATAAAATAAGGTATAACTTGATGAGATAAAACACCAACAAAGGAGAAAAGTTATAAGGTTTATTATTATGGGATGCCTTGCAGCAGGATTTGATAAGGTCTTTCTGTGATTGCCCCTTACAGTTTAAAGTTGCTTTAAATATAGACTGCAATTTAGTCGAATTAGTTATATGCACGGATAGCAATGGAAATGAATATCTCCTCCATTTATTGAAAGTCCTTTAAGAGTTTTTATGTCTCTCAGGTCATGACTTATTTCTGTTTTGTTCACCTTCACCGCACTGGGATCATCAGGATATTTAGCAGTCACAGCAAAGCCCCGATTTCTAGGGAGAAAAAAAAAAAACTTTAAGAAAATTCTTCAAGTCAGCAGCTGATATCAGATGCACAGTTTGTGAAAGCCTGCCAGACACTCCTTGTGGGGCCACAGTCCTGCCGTCTGCATGCCAAAGGGTTCTCAGGCAAGATAATTGACCCCGCCTGCGCCCGCTGGCTGGGGTCAGTGATGTGTAAATGGGATAAGTCAAAACAGATCAGTTCTATACATAGCAGCCTCCTCTATTAGTGTGTGAATGTGGTATGATTGTGAAATGCAATGTAAAAAATTTTTTATATATATATTTTTTTTGCTAAATTGACAATTATACAATGGAAATGAAGATCCACGCAATCTTGTCATCTTCATCATCAAGTGTCTCTGTCATCTTAGTTCTGTAAATAAAACAGATTAAAAACTTCAGAAATGCATGACAATGGCTTTATAGCAGAATGGTTCAGTTTCACACCATGTTCTGCTACTGAGAAAAGAGAGAAACTGCTGTCTTGCAGAATGCATGGGATAGCAAATCAAAATCAAATCAAATCAAATTTTATTTATATAGCGCCAGTTCACAACAGTAGTCATCCCAAGATGCTTTCCAAAGAAAAAGAGCAGGTCTAGACCACGCTGATTGTTTGATGAATTATCAAGACCCAACCTAAAATGGGATTTGGCCCATCTCATCTAACATGAGTGACAGTGGCAAAGAAAAACAGGCAGAAACCTAGGGTAGGACCAGACTCATGCTAGACAGCCACCAAGCCGCTGCTGGTTTGGGGAGCAATACAGAGAGAGAGGGGGATATCTGACTGATACAATACTATACAATGCAATACAAAGTGATTTATTGACCCCAGAGGCCTGCACAAATCACAGTGCAAGGCAATAACATAGAATACATTTAAAGGCTGTATTATCAAATTAAAGCATAAAGACCTATATTTTCAAATGAACACAGTGTGGCAGATTTACAAAAATCTTATTTTTATAGATGTTAAAATTATTATTATAATGGACCAGTATTAAAGAAAGCCTGTGAAAATGTTTAGTTCAGGCTTAGTAATTTTGCCTCGGTTGTTGCGCTAAACAATGATCTTTTCTCTGTCTGTCAAGCGAATGAGAAAGGTTTTTGTTTTAGGTGTCTGTGATGTTTCATGCTAACTTTCCCAGTAACTCTCTCTTTGTGAAGCCCTGCTAATTTTTCGACACCAAATACTAAGTTTTTTCCAAAGTGTCACAACATGTCATACACCATCGCACATAATAAATCCTCTGTAAAACGTGTGGCAGCTTTTCATTTGCTAGCAGCTCTCCCGTTTGGTTGCCCGGTTACCCTCACAAAACAGCCTCTCATGAAATGTAGTTCTAAAACGGTCGCAGCCTCACTTCTAACAACGCAGAGGATTACTCAAAAAGACTACAACTCCCATGATGCATTCCTGAGCGTCCGCTTCTATCACATGACTCGACGTCCTCCCGTGAGTGAATAACAACATCACTGAATCGGCAGTTGTATTTCGACTAGCTTAAACTCACACGGGTGCTTTTATACCGTCGGTTGTGTTACGTTGTTGTTTTTGTCATGAAACTCCAGTGTGTAGTCGTAGCCCTGTGCTTGGGCGCGAGCGTAATGGCTGGAAAATACTCTCGTGAAGTGAACGAGCAGATGCCGACTGACAGTGATGGGAAGACGGTGGAGTTCAGGATAGCTAAGCTAAACCAAGTGTGGGAGAAGGCTAAAAGGGTAAGTACAACAACGAATTAGTATGTTTACAGTTTAATAAAGTAGAGATGAAACAGCTGTTGGTAGCTGCACGAGCACGACCTCACTAACAGACATAACAACAATGCAGACCAACAGTTATGCGCACCTTAAAGGGATATTCCGGCGTAAAATTAATTTAGGGTCAAACACACCGTAACACCGAGTTAGACACCTCCTCCAGAGATGAATGTTGCAGACCCCTTGCTTCTGTAGTTACACCAACTCATTTACTTTCTTCCAGCAGCCGTTTGTGTGTAGCGAGACCTCGGGCCAGTCCATTATGGACTACAGCGGGGTGACGCAGCTCAAGGAAGAACATTTCTTCATGGAAATGCAATCAGACCGAGACGCTAAGGCAGAAGAACTACCGCGTCTGCAGTGCAAAATGATTAATATGATGATTATTACTTTAAGAAATCATCATAATGGACTGGCCTGGGGTCTCGCTACAAACAAGCAATTGCTGGAAGAGAGTAAGTGAGTTGTGTTTAGTATCTTTGCTAAAGAAATCAGGCAAAGCTAAAAAGATGTTTGGTGGCTAGTACTATGGCTTGGACCCTATATGTCCTGTTGATGAAGGTAGGTGCTGTTCTGAGCATTATTTGTGGCTATAGAGTGGCGTTTTGGTTGAGGAGACGTAGACCACTGTGTATTGCTATCATGGGGTTATTACTAAAGTTGGTATAACTAGAGTGTAGGAGCCAAAATATATTTGTTGAAAGTTTTATTTCTATAGGTACGTCACTTCCGGGGATCGTCACTGAGGGGTGTGTTTTTGGGATGTTTGGTGGGTTATTTAAATCTCACAGGTGTAGTCAGACAAGGAGTTTGGTAAGCTCTGATAATGTTCTGTTGACGGTTTTTCATCGTCTGTCATCGTCTGTCATCGTTTTCACCGTTTTACTCATCCTGTTTTAACCTCATTTCAGCATATCACTTTTTTCATTTGTAGGCAAAGGTCTGGACTTGGATCAGCGTGTTTTCTTTCCTTATTTGAACAATAAATTACTTTCTTAACACTCAAACTGGACTGATAATTGAACGTGTCACAGATACATGCAAACCTAAACCCTAGCAGCCTTTTTGTTGAAGGCAAGCAGTCGCTACATAGAGAAGCAAGCGGTCTGCAACATTCATCTCTCCAGGGGGTGTCTAACTCGGTGTCACGGTGTGTTTAACCCTAAATAAATTATAGATAGATAGATAGATATGCCGTAAATCGTAAATCCAGTGCTCTGGGAGACAGTGGCGCCCCTATGGATGTCCAGCACCCATTAGCCTATATTGTATATGCCACAGACTGGCTTTAATGGTTTGGATAGTCCCCAGTTCAGTGTCATAGCACTGAGGGAGATCGATGATACAATCCCTCTAACCTTTTTCACTTCCCTGTGTTATTCATCACTTTGAGGCGTTGGCTGCAGCTCAGTTGAGCAATCATCGCTCTAAGTGCTGGTTTCAGTTTTGCTGTACTCCTAGTGTTCTTCATTTACCCTTTACCCTTTACCCTGTGCTCAAACCGCCTCTCTCCCTGTTTCAAACAATTGATTTCTGTTTTGTTTGTTTCATTAGATGCAGTTGTCTCCAGTGCGGCAAGCAGAGCTGCACAGCGACTTGAAGATTCAGGAAAAAGATGAACTGCAGTGGAAGAAGCTGAAGGTTGAGGGGCTTGATGAAAGTGGAGAGAAAGAGGCCCAGCTCAGACGCAATTTTAATGGTGAGACATCTCTGCCTTCAGAAATGGTTAAAACACGCTCTCACTCTCACTTTGTGCTGAAATCTCTGTAGAGGCACTGTGCCCTGAATATCTGATCAGACGGTTAATCAATAGTTTTTTGTGTGAAACCAAATTGAAGCGAGAGTTATCCCAGGACACTTAAAGACCAGGTCTATAAAGCATTCCTCAAAGTATTGAGAGACAGTCACCCCAGATCCACAACAAGCGAGCTCTGGAAAATAAAGGCAGGGGAAAACCTCGTAGCAGGCAAAAGTCGGCATCATAAACAAAGTCACTGGTGATCAGCCAACTGGACAGGCCCTGAAAGTGGAATATAAGGGGGAGAGAAATATGGAGACTGAGTGTCATATGGAGGATTTCTACTCTGATCTGACCTTATATAACCCTGAAGTTTCACACAAGAAGTGTGTTCGGACTGCAAATGTGAGCCGTACCCGTCATGTCCATCTCATGAGATGACGATAAGGTCAATAGAGGGCTCGTCATTTTTTATTTTGGTAGCATGAAAACACTTCAAGAATGCGGTGGAAGCATTTTTTGGCTTGTCAAGAAAGTAAAAAATTTGAGACTATAAAACAAAATAGTTTTATGTCATACTGTCAAATAGGGCCGGGCGATAAACCAAAAATTTACTGATAGCAAAATTTGCGACAATAACCAACGTCATTTTGCCCATGTCAATATATTCAGTGTCAAAAATGAATAAATAAATAAAAGTTGGTTTTGGATGTGTGTAGGTAAACTATGGTCTCATGTCCCTTTAAGACATTGTCCTACATCAGAGACGTGACTCCACCCCATCCAGTCGGTATCAAAGAGGGAAAGACAGGTGAGGAGATGGAGGACGGTTCAAAAGTTGTAACGGCTGAAGTAGACGAAGTTAATGTGGGAGCAGCTTGTGGAGTAGTTATCGTCCATTTATCGATATCAAGGTGAACTGTTCAATATATCATGATATTGATTTGAGGCCATATCGCCCAGCCCTAGCTATATAACCCTGAAGTGTCACATAAGAAGTGTGTTTGGACGGCAGATGAGAGCCGTACCCGTCACGTCCATCTCATGAGATGACAATCAGGTCAACAGCATGAAAACACTTTGAGAATGTGGTTGAAGCATTTTATTTGGTTGTCGAGAAAGTAAAAAATATGAGACTACAAACCAAAATAATTTGAAGTTATACCGTCAAACTGATTTTTATTATTCTCACAGGAAGGATTTTTGACAAGGATATTTCATGTGCCTTCGTAACACAACCCCACAGCTTACTGTACAACAGTATACAAAGCAGAGCAAGCATTTATGATTGGTGGTTTACCTGCCTGATCTCTCTTGTCACTCCACCTGCTACAACTAGGGTATCTTTGCTTTAGGATGCTGTTTGCTATTACAGTAATAATGAAGGACACATACAGCTAGACAGTAGAATCTCATTACCAGTTTAAGTTGCAAGCAGTGATTAACAAGCCCTTGAACTTTCGTGTCCATTTGGGAGTGAAGCATGATTCTTAGATTGTGGAGCAGTCAGAGAGTTTGTTGCTGTTGTGGCATTAAAAATTAACGAAAAGCAACAAAAATGGCTCTGCAGCTGCATGTTTTCATCGAAACATGAATTGTGAGCACACTTGGCTTGTCATGCAATCCAGAGCTCTTAAAATGATTTTTAACCATGCAAAAACATGAAGTGATTTAAAGGTTTACCATTCCCAGAGGCCCTGATACTGCTTTGATAGGAGAGGATTTAAGGAAAAGCAGGAAAACCAGGGGAGCGGCACTTGATGTCACTGATCTGATGCTGCAGTTTTAGAGGTAATTGAAACTTAGAGTACCAGAGTTAAATAAAAGAGAGAAAACAAATGCAAATTTTATTGTGTACAAGACCAAGAGAGCTTCAGAGTCTGCCAAGCTGTTTCAAGAGATTCCAAACTGGCCTCACTAAAGCTTCAATGTAGCATCAGTGGTTAAAAAGTGACACCAACGTGCTATTAAAAGACGGCCATGGTGCTGAATCAGCTGCTGAAGTAACAGTTTACGAGACACAATAATAAACCTCTTCAGAGCAAAGTCCAACCCTGAAAAGTTGTGTAGCTCTCCGATTGGGCCAAACTGCTAATATGTCGATGCTCACAGTATGTTGAGAAAAAGTTACAGATCACCTTAATCTGTGGAGGCCTCATCACTAGAAGTTTGTCTTTTGTTTTTGTCCTTGTCTGTCGAGGACTGCTGCCAAGTTTAGGTTTAGTCAGTTGAATGTTTAGGTGTTTGGAAAAGCCCTTAGATCATCTTTTTTACAATTCTTACTCTTATTAATCCTTATCTTATTTGTATGTGGATGCTTATGATTGGATGTTTCTGATAAAGGCCACATGCTCAAAAGCGCCAGTCTTAAAATAAAGTAGTTTTTTTTACGACTGGATTTCCAACCCTTTCAGACTCCTCTTCCTTCTCCTTGCTCCATGGAAGTAGATGAAGTTGTGCCAGAATCCTCCACTCTACTTCTCAAATATGTCTATTGGTCACTTGAGGTCAATTTCATGTCAAATAATTTCCTCTATGTAGGGCTGGGCGATATGGCCTCAAATCAATATCACGATGTATTGAGCAGTTCACCTCAATAACTATTCTACAAGCTGCTCACCCCCTCCCACATTAAAGTTGTCTACTTCTTTGCTGCCACAACTTTTGAATCCTCCTCCATCTCCTCACCTGTCTTTCCCTCTTTATTACAAACTGGAGTCAAGTCTCTGATGTAGGACAGCGTCTTAAAGGGACATGAGACCATAGCCTACCTACAAAAATCCAAAACCAACTTTTATTTATCTATTTTTTTTGACACCAAATATACCGATGTGGGCAAAATTATGTCTGTTATTGTCGTAATTTTTGGTATCGTTAAATTTTCGGTTTATCGTCCAGCCCTACCTCTGTGTCAGTTCCAGTAGTAACCCTTTACTGTCTTATGTGTCGTAAATAGCGGCACAAGTTTAAAAGTGCATGTATTTCTTTATACAGTGATCCTGGCCAAGTATGGAATGGACGGGAAAAGAGACACTAGACCACTGGAGAGCAACCAGCTGAAGGACCATGACGCAAAGGAGGGGGACACTTTTGATGACCCCCGACTGGACAAACTCTGGAACAAGGTGTTAATATCTGCAAACGTTTTAGAAATAGTGTAAAAACAAGGTAACCTAGCTGCCCCCGCAGTCCATGAGAGCAGAAGCAGCAACCGGGAATAACCATTGCCAAAGAGTTTGTCATTTTTTTAATGTAAAATTATTCTGTCGCTCTCTTTTTCTTCTGGTGACTGTTTCTCCTCAAGGCCGAGAGCTCTGGGAAGTTCTCCAGTGAGGAGCTGCTGAGCCTGAAGAGGGAGTTCCAACATCATAAGGACAAGATCCACGAGTACAACATCCTTATGGACACTGTGAACAGGGTTGAAGGTGAGTGGCTTTGATCACATGTAAAGATTTTGTTACCACTGCCTTTGCATAGTTTTAACATTACTCTCTGAGCCCAGGTTTGTGGGCTTTTAATTCATTCAACAGAACATCTTTAACAAATTAATATCATGAAAGGTCATTAAAATTCAAATTAAAAAATGATTTAAAGCTTTTTTATTTTTTTAATTTGAAATGCAATATATTTTAGACTAATTGCACCGTAACAATTAAAGTTCTGAGCTTTTTTTCTTTTAATTTTGCTATTTTTGGCCTCCAGTTACAAAAAAAAAATATCCCCAAAATATATGATTTGATTTTAAGTTTTAACTAAATGACCATCCCAACATTACACATTTAGGACTCGGTGATTTGGCAAAAAAAATAATCACAATATATTTTGTATTTTTTTAAACTGCCAGTTTTTAAGTATCTGTTCCAAAAACCTTAAGAAACTAGAGATTTGTTCATCATTTTATTAACATACAAAGTAAATAACAAAGCAAATTAAATAAGATAAACTTAGAAAAATATAAAAAATCTTTTTAACTCAACAGTACAACAAATGTAGAGAAATACTTAATAATACAGTGAACTACTTTACTGTCCTGAGTGTTTTTGCAGGTATGTAAGACCCAAAATAAACAAATCGCTCCTTTAGGGATAATGATTTAAAATATAAACATTAGATGATGTAAACGTAGATGATACGATTGATTGCTTTGGTCTGGTGGCTGCACCGATAGTTGTAGCTAAACTGCTGATGCTACTGGTGCCGTCACTTTGGAGATACCTGAACCACCGCCACACAACCGACGTTGAATAACTTTCTTCTCAACAATGGCATCTTTGGAGGATGACTCAAAGTCGAGGCTGACATCTATTTTGCTGCCCTCAGCTCTACGTTTAGCTCCACATTCGGTCATTCTGTTTACTTCTCTGGCAAATTAAAGAAGTGATCAGGAAAAGCTTGACTCTGATTGGCTGTTGTCACTCACATTTTCACCATGTTTTATCGAGTAAATATGCTAACAGCTGATCACCGTGATCGAACTGAAATTTATCACGATCATATAATTGCCCAGTTCTAATACTCTTCGTCTGGATGAGTACACAACCACAATCACAGAGGTGACTTCTGACTTGACAGTTGTCTGGGATGCAATCGTCAACACCTACAAAGAGGACGAGCCATAAAAGGTCACTGTTAAAAAGACTTACTGTTTGCAGATTGATGTTTCCAATCATGTGGAGGGAAACGGCGCGCAAGAAACAGAGATGACTGCAGTCTTGAGGGGATTATAAATTCAAGTACTTGTGAGAGTTTCACGAGGAGCGGTCGAGTGCTGGTGTTTGTGTAATCATCATTTCACTGTACATGCATGAATTGTTGTTTTGCATATGTCGGGCGACTGTATAGCTTTGAAATCCTTGGCATAATGGGAAGAGGTTGTTTTTTTTATTCTTATTCATTTCTCAAGTGGAGCAGAGCTGTCCTGTCACTCATTGTGGTGCAAATTGCTCTGTACTTCAGGTTGCAATCAGCTTGTGGGAGAACAATGGTGATGGTGGTTGATCGTTAATATTCCTCCTTTCGCTGGAACAGGAGAAGAAGAAAAAAAAAAGACCTTTCTTAAAAGATTTAACGGTCTGTGGTGCCCTCAGATGGTCAGGGAGGGCGCTCCACTCACGCAGGAAATTAAATTAAACCCTCATTATGTGGAGTTAAGTCCTAAGGGGGTGGTGGTAGAAGATGAACGTGGAGCTGAGGTATTATGTGGTGGTCTGCAGGGTGAGTAGTTCCCAAAGGTGAGAGAGAGTGTTGCCATGGTTACACTGGTGCCTAAAGAGAGAGATTTTGTATTCAATCCTGAGTGGGACAGGAAGCCACTGAAGTGATTGCAGGATGGCTGTGATGGATTGTATTTGCACATTTGTGTGACTGTTTATCTCCGGGTCAAGATGATCACGTTTGCACTGAAGCTTAGTGATGGGAAGAACAGTTCTTTTGACTGTACTGAATCTTTAGAGTCTGTTCATTAAAATGATTCATTCAAAAGATTCGTTCACTGAATCAGTTAGCGTTTTCGGAGCAGTACAAGAGTGAGTGACACAGCGGCGCTGATCTGGAGTTTGTTCATGGGACGAGCCCCTCCCCTGCAGCTGACACATGTCGTTCACTGGGTGACACATGTTGTTCATTCGCCAAGTTGTGGAAAAAGAATCACTCCCCTACCCTGAAAAACTCACCTCTTTCTGTGCCGCCAACGTTTGCATCGCGCCACAAGTGAAACGACACAGCAGCAAGCAGCACGCCTGCTAAACAAGCACAAGTCGTCAAAACGGTGCTCAGCATGTCGTGAGCAATGCTACGCCCCTCCCTCCTCTGCCTCAAGTTGTTCGGAAGTCATTCGTTTGGTTCACAGTCTGACTGATACATGTCGTTCATTCGCTGAGACTCCGCCCTCTGGCTCGCTGGCTGGCTGTGTCGTTCACCAAAGAGTCAAAGGCGGCAGTTCCACTCCTGACCAGCACGCCACCACTCTCGTTGCTGAGCTCAACTGGACTGAGAAAGGAACGAATCGGGTCTTGGAGTGATTCCTTTCATGTTCTTCACTCAGTTCTGTTCTTTTTTTTTACAAATCGTTCATGAACAACCCAAAACTACTGAAGCTATTAAACCTGACAGACAAGGACAGTGCACATCAGTGTTTGCTACCAAAATAAAAGAACCAATTAAACCAGGAAAATAAATGCGTGACCTTCGTTTCTTATTTGCACATCGAAATGCCACAGGAGGTGAAAACTACGGCTGTGTTACAACAGGATTGAAATAAATTACACGTCTGGCTAAACTGCATTGTTGATGCAGAGATTTATTACCAGGCTTTTTCTCCCTCCATTTTTACTGAGTGCCAGAGTGGTTAAATTATTGAAATGGATGGAAATCAGCAGCAGAAAGTGAAATATAAATGTAATATATGAGCAGAATTTATATTTGTATGAGCAGAATGAAATAACCTGTGCTTGGTTGTCTATTGTTTTCCTTCATCTCTTCCTTCCTTCCGTGACTTATAAAGTTATTTTCCCTGTCTCTCCCTCTCCTCCTTATTTCTCTCAATTTGTTTCCTCAACAGAAGTACACAAGAATGTGATCTCCCCTCTGGAGGGTGATGTCAAGGAGCATGTGCTGCACCAGAGGCACACGGACTTGAAGCAGAAAATGAGAGACCTGAACCAGGGCTTCGAGCGCCTCCGTAAACTCAGCCATGAGGGCTTCACTGAAGACAGCGGTGAGAGAGAAATCACACACAAACACACACAAGGCTTTTCATTGTTCATTAATCTCACAAGTTCTGGGTTTATTGTGAAAATACCTCACTTACTTTACTTTACTGTATCTGGCTGGATGAGCTCTGATATACGAATGTTTTGATTGCTTTGCAGTTTTAGCAGATTTATTTTAGTTTTTCTACTGAAAAAAGTAGTTTTATTATTGATGGAGTAGCAATACCTGAACAAATTGGCTGTTGTATAATGACAAAGGTGCACAGACAATATCTCAACATCTATTGTAGTGATGAAGGACTTCCAGCTGTCTTCTCAGTTCATTCTGATTGTGAAAAAAATAAGGCTCCATTTTCATGGACTTAAGTTTCAATAACACAAATATTTGAATGTGGTTGTTTGGACAAGAGGTCCCCAAGCACGGGGCCTTGAACCAGTTCCAGATTTGAGGCAGCAAAAACCCTGTCAGAACTAAGAGGGTGTTTGTATTAATGTGGAAACGGTCTAAAGATGATGGATCGAATAATAAGACAGACTGAATGTATAATTTGATGGGAAACTTCTGCTCATGCTCATGTTTTTATGTGGTTCCCTCTTTGCGGTGTACAGTTCAGCGAGGCTGTGTCAGCAGCTTATCATACCTGTCTCTTTCTATTACGGTTCTTCTTGTAGAGTTTCAGGAGCCCCGTGTGATCGAACTCTGGGAGTCCGCCAAGAGAGCCAACCTGAGTGAAGACGAGCTGGACTCTCTTAAGGTAATCATAATACTTGTGACCAGTCTTTGGACCTGACTGGCTGAGAAAACTATGACAGAGGATTAGGGTCAATGGGGGGAAAATAAAGGTCCAATATATATTTTTTATTATTATGAGAAAAAAGTCTGAATTCTACGACGGAGTATTAAGACCACATTAAGAAAAAAAATTAAGACTTTTTAATGAGAATAAAGTCGTTATAAAGTAATTATTTACAGGAACAAAGTTGTAATAAAATCGTTATTTATGAGATTAAAGTCAGAATAAAGTCCTTATGTTCTAACCTGTTGTTTAAGATAACATTTGTTGAAATGAGAGCCATGGAGCATTTCGTGAAAATGTACTTCTATATCGGTTTCTCAAAGAAGGTGATACGTAATCTTTTGACACATCAGCACCACATTATCATAAGTATCATGATGATTTTATTTATATTATGACTCTCATAAGTAATGACTTTATTACAACTTTATTCTTCTAAGTAATTACTTAATTACGACTTTGTTCTTGCAAGTAATTACTTTATTACGATTTTATTCTCGTTAGGAATGACTTCATTCTCGTAAATTAATGACTCTAATCTCAGAGTCTTTATTTTTTTTCTCTGTGTGGCCCTGACACTCCGTCGTAGAATTCTTATTTTAGAATAATAGTTTAAAAAATATGTATTCCAACTTTTTTCATTTTCCAGTGATCCTCATCCTCTTCCGTAGAAAACCGTTCATACATAACAATTTTCTTTTTTAATTAAAGTATCGTTGATTTAACTTAGACAGCTGTCCGTTTGCTACACGTCTTTCCTGCTCACCTAGGAGGAGCTGCGACACTTTGAGACCAAAGTGGAGAAACACAGCCATTACAAGGAGCAGCTGGAGCTCTCCCACCAGAAGCTGCGGCATGTGGAGTCTTTGGGAGACAAAGAGCACATCAAAAGGAACCAGGAAAAGTACAATGCACTCGCTGAGAAGACCAGGGAGATGGGTTATAAGGTAGGGACTCGCTTTGGCTCTCAAACCACACTGCAGTTATTACAAAGACTGATAGTTATCGCATGGTAAATAAACACCAGCTGCCAGTCATTCCTGATTTTCTGCTGGTAAAATGAGGTGGTGATGATTCAGCCTCTCTACACTGTCCTGACATTCATTGTGAAATATGTATGATAGCATTCAAGATCAGAGTTTGTGTTGCAGATGAATAGTCAAGTATTTGTTGTGTTTGATTTCAGATGAAGAAACATATGCAGGACCTCTCCAACAAGATCTCTCGTGATGGACTGCAGCACAATGAGCTCTGAGAGTTTTTGGATTATTTTATCTGTGGAGGTCGAATGAACTGAAATAAGCCCCTCTTCCAGCACGCACTGAGTGTGCGCCGTCCTTCCATTCCTCTTCATCTAGAAAAATTGTCTTTGATATACTGAAAATTAGTTTTTACTCGTTGATTTGGTAGAAAATTTCTGAGTGAATAAATGATGGATTGTTCACACTGAATACTCGACGTTATGGATTATGTGGATCAATAAACTGTCAGTCAGGGTAGAATAAAAGATGCGGCGTTAGGAAAAAATAATTCACTATCATTGATAAAATTGTCACATCAGTTTATTTTACACTCAGCGTACTATCATACTGTTTTTCTCCAGCGTCTCCTCTTTTACCACACAGGGAATCACCAACAGAAAATTACAGATTAGACAAACACCGAACAATTTATTCTGATGATAGCAAAACGAAGATGAGAAACTTAAACACCTTAATTAATCCATTTCCTCTCATAGAGTAGAGGCTGAGACATCGATTATTTTAATGGATAATGTTGTCGCCTCTCTGATAACTCAGTCCTATCCTGCTTGGACCACATGGGTCTGGATTAATGTAATCTGCTCCGAGCTTCATAATTTAATCAACTGCTTTTGCGCTCTGATGAAGAATGGTAGTGAAGCAAGCTGGGACCTTTTAGCGGCCGACAGTGACAAATTGGTGCCAAAAATGGAGCTTGATCCCATTCAGTGAGTTTATTCTCCTCAACTCAAAGTCATGAAGTCAAAAGCAGGCCTGCGCTAATTTCTGAGCATAAACTGTGATTTAAATCATAACCAAGACGGCTGTTACGGAGCTGACGACCAGAGGATTGGATAATTGGAGGGGTTTTTGTACTCTTACATGACTTAGCATAGCAACCCCAACTGGAAAACGGTTTTAGTGCCATTTTATTGGATGCTGCAGGATCACTCTGATGGTCCTCATCCTCTGCTCTCAGGAGGTACTCTTTGCCCTCGACACGCTCTTCCTAAACTCTTTGAGCCGTTTCCATGGCAGTAATGTTGAGGTGGGTGTATCTGACTCTGATGGAGCCCACCTCTTGTTAGCAGCTTGTGGCCAAAAGGAGAGGATGCTTATTTCTTCACCGTTTCATGTTTCAGCAGCCATGTTTACATGGGCAGAATTTCTTGATCTGATAAAAAATTTGAGGGATCAGAAAATCTGAATCCACTGTTTATATGTGCGCAAAATCAAATAATCCGATTAGAAGCATTTGGACATGCGCAGAGTTGTCCGATTTCACTAAATCAACTGCAGAAGAAGAGTTGTATTTACGTCTGTGCTATCAACAAGCCAACAAACGCTGTAGTGGCTCACTTCATCCAAGTCAGGATGTTTCCCCTTTCAAATGTTGTCACTAGATGGCGCCCTTGCATACTTATTTTACTGTTCTGTCAAAGGTTGCACTGTGCGTACAAATGTGACATCATTACGCTGTTTGTACGCCATGTTACGTTATTGGAGGAGCAGACACGGCTACTGCGGTTGTGTTTTATGCCAGAGTGTTGATAATGAAACCTCCTGTACTGACCTCAATCAATAAGCTAAAGGCTGAAGAATGAAGGTTGAGGCAGATTAGAGAGTCACAATCGGAATAAGTGTTTACATGGACACGTTTCGGAATAATGATCAGCATAAACCACCACTCCGGATTGGAATACAATTTCTTTCGGGTTGAACCGAATTGGATCAGAATCTTCCAATCAACATGTTCACATGACGCATTTTTATTCCATCGGGACTTTATTGCGATTGTTTGTGCCCATGTAAGCACAGCTATTAACTTCACATTGTCATTTATAAGCCCACTTACCAATCAGTTACTGAAAACGGTTAAATGGATCAATGTTATGAGATGTAAAATGAATAAAGTCACAGTTTTTCTTTACTTTGTTGTTGATTTATGGGACTTGAATGCTTCAGTGAGTAGTTTGCTAAATATTGTACTCTCTTGAATTAGGTCCTAAAGCAGGTCTTTAATCAAATACTTTTATCGCAGATAGAAAAAAAATGGGATAAGAAGAAGCAACAGAAGAAGTTCTCAAGCAAACCAAACATGACTGTTTTATTCATCTATCTTCTGTTTCTCTCGTACATTCATAAGAATCAAAACACAAACTGGTAAATAGTAAATTAAATAAACTGGCGGTACAAACATTGTGTAATTTGAAATGCATTTGAATATCAAACGGTTAGGGGTTATTACTCGGCCTACAGAGCTGCAAAGATTTACCTCTGACAGCACTGTAACCACTGAAGACTTGTGCTGAACTGTGCTCCTGCAGATTCAGCTCAGTGAAAAGGAGCTCTACGTTAGATTTAGCTGTCAGCGGGCTAATGGGCAAGTTCACATAATTCACAGTGCGGTTGCTATGGAGCCCGGTGTCCAGGGACACAGACGAATGAGCCTCTCGAGCAGACTGAAACATACCTAAAAGAAAAATCCAAAAGGTTGGCCATTAGACTAGTTTTGTTTCATTTGACCCTAACTGAGCATGAAGCAGTCGTAACATAAAGTGAGTCCAAATAAGAACAACATAGAAATGCTGATAATCTCACCAGAAGATGATGTTGTTTGACTGTGCATGCTCTGTACCCCGGGAAGAGAAGGAGGGGCAGAGGGTGGACTGAGGGGTGCCGACCTCCTCAGACCTACCAAGTAATTACCAGCATCTCCAGCATCTTCATTTCCCTCTATAAATAAGAAATAATGATTTAGGAACCGATATTAATTAGTGTTTTCTAGCAATGGTAAAGATATGTATAGTGGCAAATTGGTCCCATCAGATCAATATAATCAAAAATGACCTTTTCATTTCCACAACACGTGCATCATTTTGCTATCATACATCAAGTCAGTTAATCACTTCAGCATATCTAATATTTTAATGATTGATCAAGTGTTTGAGTTGTGCTTCTTTCACAAACCTTTAGCATCTGCAGCTGTTGGCAAGCCTTGCGGTATGTTGGCCGTCTAGAAACAAACACAAAAGCATTTTTACAAAGATGCACAAGAATTGGTCACAAGATTCATTGAAAAACATATGCAGTGACTGCTGAGGTTTAGCAGGGACGATACACAAGAAGTGTCATGAAGATATTTGCATTTAGAAAGTCTTGGATTTGGGCTGAGAAACAGTGTTTGCATCGCAGTAATCTTCATGCTATAATCCCAGATTTGCTGCGTAGAGGAGACATAGCTCGGTTGTGGATGAGCAAGTGTTGAATCCTGTAACTCTCTGAAGCAAGCATGCGACACAACAACTGTGATTGCATTGTAGTACACCCTGTTATGGAGCTGAGACCCTGACCTGCTTTCAACTATCACTGCCACTACAATAGGAGCTGAAAGAAACCAACAGGAGGGGCAGTTTAAATTAAATATTTCCAGTGGGCGCAAAGACTCAAATTAATCAAAATCTTTTTAACGGGATAATCGTTTGTCGAGTTTGGTTTGATTCTTACATGTTCAATTAAATATATTAGCACTATTTCTGTTTAGTAAAAGACACAGTAAAGAGCAGAGAATTTCCACACTTGTCTGCAAAGATGATTAAATTACAACTGGCATCGAAAACCAAAAAACACAAACAAAACTCTGCGCCATAGCAAAAGCGGAAATGATATACGCTCTGCAGACATGAAGATGACTGAAGCTTGTGTTAATTCATTCATGCAGTTAGATTACAGTAGATCCCAGTAGAGCCAGGGGATAACAAAGCTCACAGGATAACCCCTCTTTGTGAAAATGAGTGGAAAAAGCAAACTCTCGTGGATTTGGGGAGCGTGTAATCGCTTACCTGAGTCACGCATCTGTTCTTTACTGATCGCCACTGCTCTGGTGTGATGTAGTTGTCTGCACCGTGACAGCACTGGCTCTGGAGACAAGAGAGCTTGATGAAGACAACAGTTTATAGATTTAACCTAGATACTCAACATCAATGCATCATATCAGATCAGATTAGGAGAGAGGAGATGCTGTAAACTGATCTAGACAGAAGCTTTTATGAGATAGAGAGGATTGTAAAAGTAAGGCGGAGGGTGTAATTTTCTAACAATTATCCACACTCACTTCAGAGTTTCAGAAATGATATCAGCCACATGGTGTTTTAGTGTGCATGAAACTTATCACCATGGCGACTCCCATAAATGAAGTTCAGGACTCTTTCCTTCAGTGTTGCAGCAGGTGTTATCACTGCTCATTAACTCACTACCCTTCCTTTGAGTTCGTTTCCCCTACAGCACCGAAATGATGGAGAATGAGCACACACTCCCACGGGCTGTCAGAAATCACAACACTCTCATCCCTCTCCCACTGTTAGTGTTATTCCCTCATTACAAGAGGAACCTCTATTCATCATCCGGCAGATAATTAATGCGCAAAATCCACGTCTCTTTCTTTTGGTTTCACAGGTTTAAGACTAAAATTTAACCCCCTCAGAGAGAAACCATTCAGCTGATTTTAATCAACCTCTTATTTGTTTCTTCTTTGTGTTTTTGTGTGACTATCATTCCTCGCTGGTCGGGACTGTCTCCTCTCACTGAGAAGGACTCTCTGTCATTCATGCTCAGTGACTCCGGTGATGTTGATGAGTGTTAAGTGTTTACCTCCAGATCTCCTGGCTTTGTTTGGATGAAAATGTCCCCATTAAAAAAAGAAACCTGAAGCTTTCGAGTTACCGTTCCCTCTGCTTCTGCTTATTCTGTGTGGGCTTCTTAATGAGCAATACTTACTTAAACTACTGGAGCAAAGCCAGTGGCGAATACTGCAAATTGCACAATACGAAAGGGCAACATAAAACACAACACAACTGCACCAACATCACCACACAGTATTTCCAACATCCTTGTGATTTGAGCTTGATACGTATAATCTCTGCTGAAGAAAGTACTTTAAGTGAAATTATAGAATTTAAAATCAACTTTAAAAAAAGCAAAGATTTAAATTAAGTGTAATTAGTTACTCCCCACCCACACTCATTTATCATAGTTAAAGGGATATTCCGGCTTAAAATTAATTTAGGGTCAAACAAACCGTAACACCGAGTTAGACACCCCCTCTAGAGATTAATGTTGCCGACCGCTTGCTTCTCTAGTTATACCAACTTTAGTAACAACCACACAACAGCAATACACAGCGGTCTGAAGAGCCATAAACAAACCTCAACCAAAATACCACTCTATAGCCACAAATAATGCTCTGAACAGCACCTAACTTCATCTACAGTACATATAGAGTCCCAGCCAGAGTACTAGCCACCAAACACCTTAACTTTGCCTGATTTCTTCAGCAAAGAGACTGAACACAACTCACCTACTCTCTTCCAGCAGCCGCTGGTTTGTGGTGAGACCTCAGGCCAGTCCATAACAGACTACAGCCGGGGGACGCAGCTCAAGGAAGAACATTTATGATCATTTCTTCATGGAAATACAATCAGACCGAGTCGTTAAGGTAAAAGAACTACCGCGTCTGCAGTGCAAAATTATTATTATGGTGATTATTACTTTGAGGTAATGATAAAGAAATGATCATAAATGTTCTTCCTTGAGCTGCGAAACTCCGCTGTAGTCCATCATGGACTGGCCTGAGGTCTCACTACAAACAAACGGCTGCTGGATGAGAGTAGGTGAGTTGTGTTTAGTCTCTTTGCTCTTTGAGCATTATTTGTAGCTATAGAGTGGCGTTTTGGTTGAGGTTTGTTTATGGCTCCTCAGACCGCTGTGTATTGCTATCGTGCGGTCATCATTAAAGTTGGTATAACTAGAGAAACAAGCAGTCAGAAACATTCATCTCTTGACTCTGGGTGTTACGGTGTGTTTGACCCTAAATTAATTTTACGCCGGATTATCCCTTTAATCCTGCTTCTATTTGCCAAATTTAATTTTTCGGCTGACAGATGTATTGATGCACTTTAAACTGAAAATGTGAGAAACTGTAAGTACCTTTGTTTCTTCACAAACAAAGCCTTCATTATCCAACTCAGGTCGAGGTGCTGACTTCTCACCGTCTACAGAGGGCGCCCTCTCACTGCCCCAGGAGTGTAAGTGCTGCATTATGGTTTGATGCCAAGCCCTGGGTCTCGTAGGACTGTTGCTTGTCCTTTGTCTCAGTCTACCCCCTCCTCCATCCCTACTGTTCCTGCTGTCTCTGCCCAGCTCAGGTGGGACCTCTTGAAAGGTGGTGGAGGCGGTATGGAGTACATTCCTGGGAGTGTCATAATGCAGTCCGATAAGGCTGGGGGTTTGATACTCCTCCCCATTCCTCCTGGATGCACACACGCTAGACCTGGATGCACATGGACAGTGCTCTTGTGTTGACTCAGAAGGAGGAGGAGGAGTTGTTGGAGGAAGAGGTAGTGGTGGAGGAGGGGGAAGAAGAGGAGGAGGTGGTGAAGCAGGTAGGCTCATCACAGAGCCATACTCCTCCTCCCCCTCTGGACATGCTATATCCAAACTCCCTGTATATGAGGAGGAGCTCCCTGAATAACAAGACTGACTGCCCGTGGCGATCCCAATCCCACTGTCCAATGAGCTTTGCCGTCCGCTGTCATGGAGACCCCGAGGATGGAGCTGAGCACTGGAACTTGCAGCGCCGTAGAGTCGGTCGTCCGAGAGAGTCAAAGCCTTCATAGTAGGGGGGCTCGATGGTGTCTGGTTGGAGGGGTGCGGTCTAGGCTCCGCCCAGTACAGAAATCTGCTTCCATAGCTCGTATCTGATTGACTGGAGGAGGAGCTGGAGATACTACTTTGGTCATCGCCAGCAACAGATGTGCTGCAGCTGTAAGTGGAAGCTGAGGAGGTGAGAAAGTAATTACACCTAACAGAACATGTGTAACTTATATGTATATGACAAAAAAAGTCCATGTAGTTAAAGACCCACTCCGATGAAAATCATGTTTTTCTTGTTGTCTACATGTTCATATAATGTTTTTCTGATGCTAGAGGACGTATCATGAGATTTCTGAGTATTTCTTCATTCAAATCGCTGTGAATCTCTGGCAAACCCAAACGGCAGGTTCAGATACATTGAGATTTCATATGTCACAAATCCAAGCTCCGCCCCCACACTCTGCATATAGAGGAGAAATACAGAGGACAATCCCGGAACAAGTGTGTACGTTAGCGGATAGCAATGCTAGTTAGTTTGCTTCTTTTACTACGCCGGCAATCTTAGGCTAGAAGCTAACGTGAAGAGGAGTGTGCAGAGCAGCGCTGTCTCCGCCCACGACACAGAGGCGAATTGCTAATGATCTACTAGACCTCTGAAAATGAAAAGTCCTTAAAAATGACACAGATAACACGATTTTTGGTAAAAACTTAATAATCACAATTATCACAACAATAATCACACCACTGAGGACACTTTAAGTCATAAAAAAAAAACATCGGAGTGGGACTTTAATGAAAGGCCAACCAGCTAAAGCAAACAAAGTGCAAAAACACCATAAGATTTCCTCACATTACTACCTACAAAGTGCTCATGAGTCATCCAGGACTTCTGGTCTTGGGTAAGGTTTAACAGAATCACATACCTGTGCTGCTTGCCAGGCTGCAGTTAGACAACATGCTGAGTCTCTTCTCCAGCTCAGATGTCTCCTGACTGATCCGTTTCTCAGCTGACTCTGGGTCAGATTTGGAGCCTGCTGTTGGAAATGTTCAGACAGACATGCATAAACACACAAAAAGACATAAAACATGAGATGTCCACAATTTATATGTAAAAGAGTTAAATATACATTATTATTATTCTTTATAATTACCAAAATTATACCTGTGTGTTTTTATTTTTGACTGTGGAACCTTTTTTGATAAATTTAATTTATTTTGAAGTGCAGCCTCCCTCTTTTTTATTGGTTTCTTTTCCTTTATATTTGAGTTGGCCTCCTTACTTCTCCCCTTTTCTATTATGATCCCTGGCGGAGAGGTAGGTGCCCATTGGCTAATTATTGATTTCTCCATAATTTATTTATTTTATATGTACTTTTATTTTTCGTGGTGTGTTTATTAAACAGTTTTTAGTTTCTTTTCACTCATGTAACATCCCGAGTGTTAGTGTTTAAATATTGGTTGTAAAACATCTAGATTAAAATGTGTGTCAGTAGCATTTTGTAAATGGTTAATACTTGGTTTTTAAACCATCTATAAACATTACTGAGATGGTTATTATAAAGTTGCAACTGATGTTTGTAATACTTTGTAAATGATTAATAAGTGGTATATAAATTACCAATAAACATTACTTAGATGGTTATTGTAAAGTTAGTGTTAGAGTTAGGGTCAGATTTTTAAAAATTAAAAATTTACAATTTATTAATGGTCTATATGCTAGTTATAAATGATGATTAAACATTAATAAACTATCTGCTATCATTTATAAATGGTCTATTTACCATTTATAACTTATGGTTATTGTAAGTGTTACCAGTTTCCCTTCTCATTCTGGTTTACAGAATAAACGCACATAAAATCTCGCTGGTGTCTTCCTATGTAACCACAATGCAGAGTCACACTGGTTACTTCTACACAAAAGTTTCCTGTTACCAGCAGTTTGGTTTATATCTAAAAATGTCCTTCTGTAAAAAAATATCAGTTACATGTAAGCAGAAGTTGGCAGAGTGCTACTGTATGCATTGGCTTCCTTTAAGGAGTTGTGTTTGGCTCGAACCCAAGATGTAAATTTAATATCTCCTCAAGGAGGTTATAGGCGCCTGGGGTATCTGTTGGAACACCAATTAAGCGTAAAACCCCGCCAATTAAACACTTTATGCCTTCTATATATACTTAGAGTATATGCGTTTGCTAAATGCACAAGGCAGTGGGTCAGGGTGTTTGTATGTAAGGTGTCATCGTCAACAAACTTATCCCTGAATCTCTGCCTTCAGACTGCAGCAGCTAACGCGGATGCCAAGTTTCTTCACTATGCTATGTGAGGTGTCAGCTAACATATGCTAACGTTGTTATGCGGCGCTAATTATAGCAGCCTCACTGCACTGAATGTCACAGGCCTCGACAGACTGATGCAGCTTAGCTGACACGTATGCCAGTGTCGCAGGGCGGCTGAAGCTTAATTCTGGACATTTTTAATCAAGTCGATTAAACCTAGCTTAACTCTTTCTAGGAAACAAGCTAAGCACTGAATTTGTGTTTATCTGAAATAATCTGTTTATCTGCAGAGCTTTCCCAAAACCCACAAAGCCCCACAAGAAAAATTCAACTTTCACTAGAATGTCTGTCTCTATATTTGTGGTCCCAGAAATGCCTGTAAAGTTAGCAGTGGGTTACAGATCACACACAATGGCATGACCCTTTCGACACGCACATGGACCCTTGTTCTTCAGGCATGTGGACTTTCTGCTTGCATGTCACGTGTGCCAAACATATGCTCTCAACAGGCAGTAAACCTTTGTCACAGAGGTCACAGGGTCTCATACCGATCTGATGTTTCAATGCAGCGGACAAATGAGACAAATATTCCTTCACAGATTCATATTTGCAGATGTATTTTTATATAAACCCTTTTCCCTGTGCATGCATGTGTCTGTGTGTGTAGTGGTGTTTGTGTATATGTATGTCTTCACCTGGCAGGACAGATCCAACTCCACAAGGGGCCCTGGTGGGGGTAATACCCCTGACAATGCAGTCAAACAGGAAACTGATATGTTCTCCCTCTGAACAGGACAAGAAAAAAACACCAGCCCCTGGAAGATGGAAGAAGACACAGACAGATGATACGATCAGCGAAAGAGAGATGTATTTATATGATCAATAACCCCCCCAAAAAACAAGATAAATATTTATTAAAAACTGACTTTTTAGCAAAGAAAAACATTTTTTTAATAAGGTTAAGGAGGCTGTAGGGGCAGGGTTATTCTTTAAGGCTTGACAAACCCTCCTCTCTGAAGGTTACCAAAAAAAGCCTTCAAAATAAGTCCCTGCTCACTTTTCAAAAATCATGAAACATCCAATGTTACACAGAAAAGATATTAAAAAGACAGCTATGAAGAAAGCCAAGAAAGACTGAGTTCTTCAATTGGTAGAAAAATGATGATAAACATCTTTGTTTTTATGGAAGTGAGTACAGATATATGTCCGATCTCTGAAATGTCAGTCTTGAGTAACGTAGATCAGTAAAGTAAAGGTTTAAGCAACACAATTTCAATTTTCTGTAAATGACGGTGTGCATGTGTGAGGCTTTTCAGAAAGATGCAAAATAAAAACATGAAATACATGTTTAAAACTCTCTACAAGAAATAAATATTCTGAGTTGTGGGATTTTAACTGCCTGACAGTCCAGTGCTTCCTTTGTCGTGTTTCATTTGTGTTTTGCCTTTTCCCCTTTTTATACGTTAGGGTTAGAGCAGGGGTGTCAAAGTCAAATGGACGGAGGGCCAAATAAAAAATTTAGCTACAAGCCGAGGGCCGGACTGATCGAATGTTCATTGAAAATTTTTTAAATGACGCATATAGTCGAGTGAACCTAATTGAACCTACTGAAAACCTAACAAATATATTCCAATATGATCAGATAAATAAAGCAATATTTTCTTATGGCTCTGTCAGTAATCTTTAATTTTCAACAGACACAAAAGACAAATTTCCTTTATATAAAAATCCCCATAACATGAACATTAAATGAAAGAAACCGGTATTATTCAAGGCACCATCAGTAGCCTATATTTTCTATTTTAGCAAAAGTGGGCTAAATTTACTTCAAAGAAAAAAATAATAATAGCAATTTTCTATCATCCACTCAACTGAAATATTTTTAAAATATAATTGGATTGAAATACAATAAAATAAAGTGCAAAAATCTATTAATCAAAAACAGCACTTTCTTCAAGGAGAAGTAACATGCAGTGAAAACAAATATTAAACTTTAACTTTTAAACTTGAACCGAGTAAAAACTCTAAATATGTGATTGCACAGTAATGTTCACTTGTTTGAGGTTGAGGGTGATACTTGGTGGTGTCCATATTCTTGTTTTTGTCCGCGTGTTTCGTTTCATAATGTCGTCTCAGATTATACTCTTTCAGTACAGCCACACTTTCTCCATTCAGAAGACACACAGGTTTTCCAGCTACCTCCGTGAACATATACTCCGACTCCCACCTTGTTTGAAACCCCCGGTTCTCAGTGTCCACCTTCCGTTTTGCCATTTTTGATGGGTATCTAAAAGTTAATTTTACTGTTATGCTGACGACTGCTGTGCTAATAAATATTGAAACGAAGCAGCCTACTGCTCGGTGCGTCACCGTTGCATTGTGGGAAATGTAGTATTGGTGCGTGTAAAAGATCTGCGGGCTGCCGGCTTGCTGCGGTCTGCGGGCCGGTTCGAATAATAAATCAAGATCATCCCAGGGGCCGTAAAAAACCTTCTCGCGGGCCTTGACTCTGACATATGTGGGTTAGAGGGAGTACATTAGCGTGTTTTTGTTTTTGTGAAAATCAAGGATCTACGTTGGACCTGGGTGTCCTTGGTCTTCCCAAACCTCATTTAACCTTAAAATAGCAACTGCTTTTACAGTATTGGAGCTTGAAGAAGAAGAAGAATATGGATATGAGTACGAAGAAGAAGAAGAAGAAGAAGAAGAAGAAGAAGAAGAAGAAGAAGAAGAAGAAGAACTTAGTTGATCCTTAAGGTGAAATTCAATAAATTGTCCATAACCTCCTAAAAGTTTCTGATCTACATAAGAGGACTACTCTGGTACTGATAAAGATATGAGATGTGGGTGTGTTAAATGCCTACCAAAGGGGACAGAGCGACTGCTGACTCAACATGTCAGCTTCTTCACATTGCTTTTTTTCCTAGACCACAATGCTGACAGCCATCCACACTCTGCGAGGGGATAATCTATTAATGTGTCTGCACAATGAGATCTGAAGCCCTGTGAGTACAAGGTCAAGATCTGCATTATACATCTATTGTCACGGGATTGTAATGAGTACTTGTTTTTTTAGATCTTAGTGCAGCTTTAGATCCTGTTACAGAGGCTTGAACAACAGGAACTGCTTTAGCTTGGTTTATATTATATTTGAAAGATTGATATCAGTTTGTGCATGTTGTTGAAAATTCATACCAAGGTCTGTTACGGGGTTCCACAGGGTTCAATGCTAAGACCAATACTTTTCCTCTTATATAGGATTCCTCTTGGTAATATCGTCAGGAAACATTCTATAAATTTACCCTCTATGCAGATGACACTTAGTTCTTTGTATCACTAGCTGTGTTTACATGGGCACAAATAATCAGAATAAATGTCAGATCGGAATAAAAATGCGTCATGTAAATATGTTAATCAGAAGATTCTGATCCAATTCGGCTCAATCGGAAAGAAATTGTATTGCAATCGAGAGGGGTGGTTCATACCGATTGTTATTCTAAAACACATCCATGTTAACATTTATTCCGATCTTATTCCTCATAGCTTTTGGTTTATTCATTGAGGTCAGTCCAGGAGGTTTCATTATTAACACTCTGGCATAAAACATAACCGCAAGTGCCGTGTCTGCTCCTCTGGTTACATAACAAGGCATACATACAGCGTAATGATGTCACATCTATACAACTTTTGATGGAACCGTCAAATAAGTACGCCAAGGGTGCCATCTAGTGACAACATTTAACAGGGGGGAATATCCTGAATTAGATGAGCTGAGCCACGACAACGTTTGTTGATTTGTTGACAGAACAGGCGTCAATACAACTCTTCTCGGAATCAGACAACTGCGCACGTCCAAATGCCTCTAATCTGAATAAAACTTGGTGCATGTATACGCATGTCAGGAACAGATTATTTAATTTTGTGCACATAAAACAGCGGATTCAGATTATCCGATCCCTCAAACTTTTAATCGTCTCCAGAAACTTCGCCCATGTAAACCTGGCTACTGAAGCAAGGAGAAACCAGTAGATTAACTTCACTCTTTGAGACAGAAAGACCTAGATGAAAATTTTGCATGTAAATTCTGACAAAACTGCGTCTTTAAAGACTCCTCAGCTGATCCAAAATGCTGCAGCCCCAGTCCTGACCAGAACCAGAAGAAGAGAGCCCATTTCTCCTGTATTAGCGTCTCTCTACCGACTCCAACATTTCTCATTTCTTTGCAGCGACGCCAAATGGGCTTCAGTACTGTCACAATGGTGGATGGACAGAATAAGTAAAGTAGAAAACTGTCATTAGAAGTCTCCTGGGCCCAGTCGCATTGGCTGAATGACCACTACAAGGGAAGGCTGGTATTTTTGGATGGCGCTCATCAACACTGAAACCAGAGCCTACGGGCCTCATGGTTATTCCTGTAGGAGCTATGAGACTGCTTGAGCACACACACATACATGTAGCATGATTAGGTAAACAGGAGCACAGTAATGTAGGTTCAAACATAGAAAGCAATTTTCTTAAGTAGATGTACATGAAAAACATACATAAAAACATCGAGTTAGAAAGAGTCTCTCATGTTTCATGTTACGCAAAACTTAGCATGTCTCTGGGTCTCTGTTGATTCATTTCTACCCATCAGATTTTTAGGGAATAATGGTGATCTTTGATTATGAGGGGTGGACACAAGTGATCCCTCTCCACCTTAGCCTCACTGTAGCTCTGCAGGAAAAAAACCCTCACCCTTATGGTTTCTGTTTGACACGTTACACCACAAATAAGACAAACAGCTCTCAGCAAATTAAACAGTTAGCGATACGAAGCCAGGCAGAATCATTGGCTCTGCCCACGAATTACTCACAGTAGCCACAACGAGTTCCCCCTTCGAACACAAACCCGTTTGGAACGGCACCATATCGACGTAACGCTGACAGCTTCCAGTGACCAATGACAACGGGAGGGACGCCCCGAGCGAGGACTAGCAGGTTGTTGCATAGGTGGAAGGAAGCAGGACCACTTTCAAGTTTGGTGCCCGGCTCGACATTGACACTTAACCTGTGGACTGGAGGAGAAGGAGAAGGGAAATTGTGTGGGTGTTGTATCTTGCCATACAGATTTACAGACGATCCAAGGAGAGAGAACAAAGTAGAAATTTATCATAATATCTCACAGATGAAAAGTGACTTTATACAAATAAACATGAATGTATGAAAATTCATCTCAAAGGATAATACTCTGACTGAATGCCTCGACTGTGTGTGTGTGTGCAGTGTGGCCTTGCAGGAAGCTCCGCAGACAAAGGCGTCGTCGAGGGTTACAATATGTATTGTGTCGGTTTATTGAGCTGAAGTAAGTGTTTTCAATGGCAGTGTGGGACAGTGTAAGACAAAAGACTGAAACCAAGAGGCCTTGAAAATTTGACAAAGGTTTCCACATTTCTTACGAGCATCTCAGCGAGAAAATATTACACTGCCATGATAAAAAAAAGAGGGCAATAGAGATTCACAAGGACGGTAAATTTATCCACTACATCCTCCAGGACAATTCAAGGCAAATACATTTTTAAACTTCCTGAGGTCTAAAAGAGTACATTTATAAAACCATGTATTCTGTTTCATATGGAGGCTGAAATAATAGTATTTTAAGCCACGTGTGAGCAACACAAGGCACTTTTTTAGAATTTGAAAATGATGTAAAGTGATTAAAGAAATATCAGGAAGAAAGTACAAAAGTTTTTTTGTAATGAGAGAAACGTTTCAAGAGCAGAACCCAAAAGGACCTGAAAAGATCATGGAAAGTAAAACCTTAAAACATCATTTGATGTGACTCTCTGCCATGAATTAACAACAAACTTGTGACATTATTTAATCAATGCTGACAGGAGACTACACACAGGGACTCAGCTCTCACCCAGATAAAAATCAGACAAGCATTTATTGATGTGCTGCCCATATCATTTCTTTCCAGGTCGCCTCTAAAGGGTAACTGCCTGCTCCTCATTCTTGTTGTAAAGGAATCAAATATCTGCAAAGGTAACTTGTAACCTTAATTTGGATAGCCTGAGAAATCTTTGCCAAAGATGTTTCTCCTCATCACCTGCAGAACCCAGATTCGGATAATCCACATTTTAGTGTCTTTAGAGCGATGGCTGGTGATCAGAGAGGAATTAAACTTTTAAAACTGATCACAGTTATTTTTTAGGGGTTAGATTTGTCAACCGAGGCTCCATTTCTTTAATGAACTCGGAAAGAGAAAAACATTGTCCCTAACGTGTTTGGATGCTTGTTTACAAGTTAGAGGATAAAAACATGTTTCCTTGAGTAATCCTCTCATAGTGATTTACCAATGAGAGGTAGAGGGCTGCTAATCAACACGATGACCTAGGGTTTACAAACACTAAGACAGTCTTTCTGGGAGTCCACGAGCTCCATCATTCTTCTGCTGTAGAAATGTTCCTGCTTTCTATCTACTCAGTCTCCAACTACAAGCATTAGTCCCACCTCTGTCCTCTGGCCCGACAGTCTAACATGAGTCTGGTCCTGCTCGAGGTTTCTGCCTGTTAATTTAAGTGTTTTTGCTGTGAAGTGCTTCACTCATGGGGTTGAAGATGGGACGGTAGCGGGTCTAATTTTATAGATTGGGCTCAATCTTATAACACTTGTTGTAAATTGGCACTATATAAATAAAGATTGATTTATTCTGTACTTCCAATTGATACAGGAAAATATTGATTTCTTTGCACAGCATTTTGAAGCATATAGCACCAACTATTTGTAAAATAATGAAGTAAAAATATTTGTAACCCCAAAAGCAATTTAAGAAAATGTGATAATGAATAGGAATTAAAAATGAGAAGTTATATCTAAAAACAGTAGTTATGAGTAGATGATATTTTTTACACATATCACCATCGAAAAATAAAACTTGAGGGGGTGTTACGACCACACAAGGTCAACTCACTGACCTTCTCCAAGGCTGTAGCACACTCGGGAGTCCCAGGCTGACAGCGCATCTCGGCTGTTAAAGCCCAAAACGAGTGTGTGTGTCAGACACAAGATGGAGAGTATGTAGGATACGCCGTCATACCCAGTCCCGGGTTCCACGCCACAGATCCCCTGAGAGGTCAAAGAAATATATATATAATCACAAACCAGCAAGATTGCTGCAAGATTCATAAGAATCGACTGGAATGATGAGCGTGTAGCTAAGGTACGAATTATTCGCGTCCATCCTATCACAACACCATGAACTAAAAAAGGGGGTGAAGCAGAAACTAGGTTACTAAGGTTTTGATGCGGGTCCAGGCTGGACAGCTGCAGTGAGGCTGCTGTGTTGGCAGAAAAAACAGCACGGCCGTCCAAAATTTTTCTCAGCCGCAGTTGTAGGGCTTACATAGTTGGCTTACTGTTGAATAAGGACAGACAGCAAGCCAGAGTCTGACAGGACCAGGAAAAATAAATGTAAAATAAAACACATTTTGGACTCTAAAAGTTCGTTTCAATTAGTATTTTTATTTATAGACTACATTCTATTAAATGCCAAAGCCTGTCTTGAAGTTTGCAGAGTGGACTCAACACTTAGTGGAAGAGACTTTAAGCTGAAGTTAAGAGAAAACTTTGAGAATTTCTTCAAAAAATCCTAAAATTTCTCATTTCAATATTATCAAAAATAGAAAATAGAAAGATAATCCTGCTCCAACTCTTAAAAACTCCCCCCAAACTCCTCTTACTCTAATCCATTGCTGGGTGTTTGTGCTTTCTACACTGTGTTGCAGTTTGTGTTGAGTTGGAGTTGAGTTGTGAAACATGAAATGAACATGTAATAATAAACCTGCCAGGACTCAGGTTTTCCTCTTACCTCCAGTGTCACATTGAGCCTCTCCTTGTGGCTCTTCTCCTTTCCTTTTTTCTTCTCCTTGTACACCAACAGATAAAGACAGTCTGATGAGGAAGACAAAGACATGAGAGGGTTTAAGACTTTGATTATTCTCATTAGTTTTATGATATAAACATCTAGTTTTATGTTACAACTTAGAGTCTGTTTGGTGTTATTGGTCGTTAGTAGAAACACTTTGAAAATATAAAAATCTCATTTATTTTAAGCAGTTTTTGACCATAATGAAAAATTAAAAATCACTTTTAATTATAGGTAATGTTGAGTGGCCCAGTCTGTTAGGATATATCGCGTTGAAAGTGTTGAAGAAACTAAACTGGGACCAATTTACAAGTTATGATGTTTTAACCACAAATGACAGGATTAACCAGGACTGAAAAATATCTTTAAATGAATTGATCGTACAGTTCAGTTGCGAAAAGTTCAAGAGGTTTGCAACATACCTGCGACCGGAGAGGGTTTCCGAAGAACGACCCACCGAGTCTTCCACTGTGGAGAAGTTTATAAAAAAAGTCAATAAAAGAAGTGAAGAGGAATTACAGTGACTGTTATAAGACGATTTTAGCTTCCAATCCGAATGAATTTTGGAGACGTTAACCTTTTTTCCATCTCTAAACTTGACTTGTCCCTCCGCGACGACTGAATCCGTCATTCTGTCATGGTTCCGAGCAGCTGCGTCTGCAGGGGTGTCGCCAGGAATTCCTGGTCCCATGTAAAGCCTGCAAGTTGGGCCCCACGACCATAATCCTCGAGATGGGATTTTATGGCTCTTTGTAGGGAGCCGGATCTTGAAGAGCCGTTCCATTCAAAGAGTCATTCAAAAGACTGGTTCGTTGTTATATTTATTTAATTTTTAGAAGTCAACCAATGCTACAAAGCCCACCAATATATCATTTTTTGGTGGTAATTATTCAGAAATATTGATTATAATTTGAATTGGCCAGTGATTTCATTTTAAACATAAGGTGGTGTCATATCCCCTTGCTTTGGCAGTCAGTAGGCCTACATTTACAAGACACTCAAGAAAACCAAATTGCTGCCTTACACCGATTAAGACCGGACAACTGAAGTGCATTTGAACACCTGAAGGTCCTTTCACACCAGGAGCGTTTTTTCCGTGCGATTATTTCAGACGTCAATAAATTTTTCCGAACCTGTATCCTGTCAATACAAGCGTTCACATCCGCGACGTTTTCCCGTCCTGCAATATTGCAGCATTTATTTTTTTGTATCACGGTTGATTCTTCCAAAGTTTCGCATACTGTGTGTCCACTTCTGACCAATCAGATTTTGTGTTGTTTTCGACGCCAGATTCACCAATGTATCCAACATGGCCGACCGGCTGATTGTTTACGTGTCGACGAACAGAGTGATTTTTGATAAAAGACACAAATATTACAAAGATAATGACCTGAAGGACAACTTGTTGAGAGTCATAGCGTCGGATCTCTCATATGACAATGGTTTGTGTGCTTTAACAGTTTGCTAAACGTCTTTGTTTTAACTTTCAACTGTGCTAAGTAACTTTAGCTCGTAAGCTAACCTGTTCAGATACAACATACCGTATGTATTTTCACTGTCTCAAACTCAATCGTGTTGCTGTCACAGCACCATTAGGTCTCGGTTGTTATCTTACGTTTATGGATTATAGTTTAATGTGCTTATCTGGTACTGGCCCTGACTCAGTACATGCTATCATGACAGACAGACATCTCAACACTAGAGTCTAATCAGAACTGAAAACAGTCAGTCTGCTTTTGTCTGCTGTTCACCACCTCACCCTGAGTCATCTGAGAGAAAAAGACTGAAGAAATTACCTTTTCAAAATAGTCTTTATAGTCCAGCTCAGTCTGCACTCTCCCCCTGACAGTCAGACTATAGGACCGGGGGGGGCCTCACCCCGCCACACTCTGTCAAGTGAGTACAGTTGTTATCCCTCGTCAAGTCCTCGCTGTTTACAATAGAGCTAAATTAATTAAAAAGACATAGCTTGCGCACCTTTCAATTAGCTCATGAGGTTGTTCTTAGCCCGGTGTTAGACAGGGATTCAAGTCGCCTTAACGCTAATTAAAGTGTCTGAAGAGAGAGACTTTAATATGTGCAAACCTGCTCTGGAATAATCCCGATCAGAAGAAGTGAAATGGACAGAGACAAAAAATGATTAATTGTACCACAAACAGTCCAGAAAGTTCTTTTATCTGTGAACATGAGACGTCCATGTCTACTAAATTAGCTTATCCTTATAGCAATATTACACAGGGCCCTAATGAAAGTTCAATCGAGAAGACGAGGTTATAGTCTGTGTGCTGATTTAGAGCTCATTTCTCCTATTATTGAGTTTCCATGCATGCTCATTCATATTTCCACAGTCACCAGCTGTCTTCATCATCACCTGGTCAGATCTATCAAACAGCATCACTCTATTCCCTTGGTGCTGCTGTTGTTTTGTCTCCCTTCCCTCAGTTATTTCATACCACCACATGGGACTTTCCGCCTCCCCGCCACAGTCTGGTCCTCAAGGTTTTATCAGCCTCATCATGTAATCAGCCACAGACCGTGTCATGAGCCAACAACACAACCAGCGCCTGAACTCCACGAGACAGATATACAAATACAATACTATACAGTTGGTGATAAAAGGTGCAGGATTTGGAGCTGAAGTGGGGAATTTCTTGTCAGTTCAAGGTCACTCACTTTAACTCTGTTTCAGATTATGTATGTAACTGAGGTATGGGATAAAGCGGTTTTAAAGCACCGTCCAGTGTCCAACCTCTTGACCTTGGAGAGATCTCAGATTCTATGAAGGGTCGAGGTTGTTCAGAGACCACTTAGATGTCTCCCACTTACATGAAAAACACGTTTTTTATACTAATTTTTACACAAAACACAAAAAAGATCTAAGTTTTACTACCTAGAATGACCAGAGCAGTCAAATTGACTGCATGCGTTTTGTCACATTTTCCCACTCTGTCTCCTGCTCTGTTGTTTGTTTTGTACTTTAAGCTCTGTGAAGCTAAATCTTCACGCATAACTCAAGAGACTCAAAAATGACAGTAGAAGAAAAATGACAAGTACGGAGGCTTTCGCCTTGCTTCAGGGCCTTGATGAGGAAGAATCCAGTGGATGAGCAAGTTCAGGGAATGATGTGTCTTGGTATTTTGAGGAAGGTTCTTAAAAATCTCATTCGTTATAATTTTCATGTTGTGTCCTGATGTTTCATTTATCTATTCCACCAATTTATTATTAGTTTTTATTGTTAATTATCCAAATTATGTGCAAGTAAGGACTGAGCAGTCAAAACTTGACCTTGGAGAGATCTCAGAATCTATGAAGGTTGTTCAGAGACCACTTTGATGTCTTCCACTTACATGAAAAACATGTTTTTTTATACTTATTTTTACCTTATAGCTTTATTTTGTTGGGAGCAATCGTTGATCTGAAACGGTCTTTTGAAAAACAGAAATATTGCACGAGGAAAGACGTTCTGTGTAACAGTATCAAAACCAAGTTTATGAAGGCTCAGTATACAAAGCATGTTTTTTAGGTTTAAGTCCCCATCATGAAGAACAGTTTCTCTGAAAGTCCGATTTTACACACTACATTATCAGATTATTGGTATTTAATCATTGACATGTATTTATAATTTCAACCTTCTGACACCCACCCATCTACGTCAGTTATTAGTTTGCTTAATTTACAAACACTTGTGCGTTCTTTCGTTATCTAAGTCTACAGCTACAAATACTAGCAGTCGATGTAGGTACATGAAATATGTTACACTAGATAAACGAGTCAAATAAATACTGGTTAAGTAACTACGGTTAAGTAGGTCTATAAAAATGTGATCTTCTTGAATGGACTTCCACCACTGCACACAATAAGTGGAGTCAGGACCCAGCATCTGATCTATGCCATCCACCCACGATCTGACGGCAGGCCTTGATGGAGGGTTGGAGCAGCTGCAGAATCCCTTCATCTTGGGATAAAACCTTGACAATGTTTCAGCAGCTGCAGAAGCCATTAGTGGGGTCGGAGCTACAGAGGCAGCATGAGTGAAGGCAGCGAGTCTGAAACATCAGGCTCCTCAAACAAAAGTTGCCTTCAATTTACTCCGGTCTATCCGCCCTTTGTTGTCATTTTGCTCTAACTGTCTTTTGGTCCTGACCATGGAGGGCATGTCTGAGGTCTGATACACCGCTGACCTCATCCTGCTGCCATAGCAGCGCAGCTCTAAGGCCACGCCTTCCCATTTCCCGTCTAGTTCTGAACCTTTAAGGCCCCTGAGGTCCCGTGACCCCCTACGGGTTTGCCTGCTGTCTTCAGAGTCAAAGGTGGTTCCAATTTTGTCCAAATCCAAGGCTTGTTTCGGGGTTGAACGTTTGGCGCTGGATGATGGTGACTTAGATTTACGCCGTGAGTGAGGGTGGGGCTGCGGTGGAGGAGGAAGAGGAGGAGTTGAAGAGGTGGGGTCTGAAGAGATGGTTCTTCTGTTGGGTTTGTTTAAACAATCTCCTCTTTCCCTCCTCCTCCATCTGTCTCTGTCTTTGCCTGGGGAGGAAGAGTCTTTTAAAAAAGAAGACAGCCGGGACGGAGATCACTGCACTCACCAGCACTGCAAAGCAACCACATGCTCACTAAAAACACAACATGACAGGACAGTTTTCTGCATTTTTAGGAGAGGAGCAGTCAGAAATGACATGCAAAAATCGACACAAAACATGAACAAAACTAGAAGTATTTTTCCCCTTGATATGTTACTATAAAAAAGGGAATAAGTAGGTAATAAAGAAGGATTTTCACCTTCTCTCAAATACAATGAATGTAAAAGCACATCATGCTCCTTCACACTCATAAACAGACTTTTGTGTTTCATGTCTGACACTGTCCTTGTTTTATGCACTCTGCTGCCACCTACTGGATCAGAGGAAAGAAATCCATAACTTTATACTGACAGCTGAGTATCATTACTTCTAATCACAAAACATCTTTTTTTTCTCGGAAACACCTGTGTATGCAGAGCAATGGCAAAATAAAAGCCTAAAAATGTGAAATATTTTAACATTCTTGAGGCTGCTTTTGACTCAACTGATCTTTAAGTTTAGGAAAGTATCTGTTACAGGAGTGTATTGCATTCACCCAAAAAAAGTAATTTTTCTGTTCTGTTCTTCAGATCAATTTTTTTCTGCTTTTCAGAATATTTTTCCCGTTTTTCAGACTAACTTTTCTCTTTTTCAGACTAATTGTTTTTTCTAGTGGAAGCAAACATGGCCCACTTGTTTAGTTTAATCAAGTTTGACTTTCTTTTGTGTTTGAGACACTAGGAGATACTCCTTTCTTTAAGTCAGATCGATGGAACCGTCATAAGTTTGTCTGCTTTGCGCAGGCACCTCAGGATTTGCAGACCCTATGTTTAACTAATAACATGCTTTACTTTCATTGACTCCATAGTCGAAGTTATTCAGGAGCTGGAGAATCCGCTGATTTGGGGCAGTGCGGTGGTTAACGCTATCTGATTGTATGAGATTCTCGCAGGATTTTAAAGTATCTTGTTTAACCAGGAATAAAAGTATGAAAAACAAAGAGAGATGAATAAAATAGTGGAAAAACCAGAATAAAAGTTTGTCCGAAAAACAGACAGAGGGGGGAAAAATTTGTCTGAGAAACTGCAAAGAAAAAAAAAGAAAAAAAAAAACAATTTCCTGTTTTGTTTTGTTTTTGTAAGTGAATGCAATATGCGTCGATAAATTATAACATGTTATTGAGAAAGTGCGTAATTGATCCGGTAACATCAGCACTTTCACTTTTCTTTTACAAACCCTGACTGTTTTAAACTTCATCTGTTTACTTATAACTTCTCAAAAGAAAAGCTGGTTTGTTCATGTTTTCCCCTCTGTGTTTTTATATCCATCGTTTGATTCACACTCCTACCAGCAGATGGGGCTGTTTGAGTTGGAAAGCTAATTCTGTTGATGCTCTAATTATTTTGTTGGACAGTGGACATGGGCAAACAAGAGCCAGTGAATTACACAAGATGTTCCCATGCAACTACAAGAACAATAGTCTTATCACACCCCAGGACTGGTCCACTATGTAATAATCACGGGGCTTCCTTGTTATCGAATAATTTTTGTTTCCAGATTCACAGGAAACAAAATCATCGCATACTGTTTTGGATTTGTTGAAATGAGAACAATCAAGTCAAAAGACGCACAGATTTTAATTTCCTATTTATCCATGAGCAAATACATCTATGACTGGAGTTAAACTCTTGGTTTTTGAAAGTGTATGCAAATACTAATGTGGAGAAGAAGAGGAGGAAGCCAAACTTTCTCTTGTTGTTCGCTTCCAAAGAGCCCAGTGTGACGAAGCTTGCCTAACAAGGCATTAAGCCAAATAGCTGATAGCCCAGTTTCCCTAGAAAGCCTTTGTACCCCCAAAACAAAAGACCAGTACTACAAAACGACACCGAGAGAGAGAGTCAGAGAAGGGACGGAGAGATGACAGGAATATCAAGCAAGATATGCAGGAAAGAGGTCATAGAGTAGAAGAATTTTAGATGACAGGAGAAGAAAAAAGTTTAAGATTTCAACTTCTGAACATTTTAGAGGAAGAATTAGAGTTTCTATTGAAAAACTGGAGACATATAATGATAATAAAATAGTCAACTCGAAGCTCAATAGAACAAAAGCACAAAATACAGCATAAAGGAAATGCATTATTGGATTACAATAACATATGGGTCTAAGTAGATTTGTAAGGGTGAAAAGGGGATACAGATTTTACAGGACAAATATAATATAATATAATATAATATAATATAACATAATATAATATAATATAATACTTTTTAATTTTATATATAACTTTTTGATGTACAATATAATATGATATAATATAATAATATTATACTTTTTAATTTTATATAATACTTTTTAATATATAATATAATATATTACTTTTTTATATAATACAACATAGTATAATACAATGTATTCTTTTAACTTTAAAGTGACCATCCACTGTCTAATAAATTAATAGAGTAATCATGTTTTCCTCTGAAATGTGTTGGTAAAAAGAACAAAGTGTGGCTGAGATTGGCAATAATAAAGTAAAATAATTCACATGATTTTCTGTTTGATGTACTCAGAAAAAAAAAAGCTCAGTGTAGAAGAGAGGACAGTTGTAAACACTGGCTCCTAACAAATGCAGTGAGAAAAGAGAGAGATGATACAGATATCATCAGAAGTCCAAGAAAAGAAACGAGGCCAGTCACATGAAGCTCTACAGCAAGAGCAACCCTTTCATTTATTTGAACTATTTACAGACAGAACAGTCAACTGAGAAAACTGATGGCTATCATGAAACAACAGAAGAAAACAGTATTGCTGCATTGCGTTTCAATAATAACTACAGCAACACAGTGATTTCCCCAAAATGACTATATACAAATTAATAATTTGAACTGAAGGATCTCACAAGTGAAAAGAAGACTGAGATCAATTACAGGTACGGAAAGAAGAAGTAAGAGTGAAACTCTGAGAGTGAAACAGTGAGATTTGTTACCCCCAAAATCTTCCAGCTAAAGTACGACATACAGTTCAGACCTCTGTGGAAGTGCAGGACTGTTGATAGGAAAGAAACTGACGCTGAAGTAAAAGAAGAAAACTGGAACTAAAACAAAGTGAAAACTGAAAACAGAGGTGAAGATTTCGGCTCATTCTGGCCAGATCATAGACTGTATATACAATGGACAACTTGGCTCCGCCTTTCGTCATTGTACGAATTTGAAGCCGAAATGCTCTCGGTATTTCTAGGATTTTCTCCACTTCCTGGAACCACCGCTAGCGCAGTAGCGTTGTACGCATTCAGCGGAAGAGTCACTGATGTTCGGTTAAAAAAGCGTATCCCCTGTACACCCCTAGGCTGTATCAAGTGTCAATCATAAAAATCGTGAACCCCCTAATAACTTTTAAAAATGGAGCTCTATAGAAAATGAGGACTTGGGCACAAACCAGTCTTTACTTAAAAGGATTAGGGTCACATGAGGAGGAATAAAATAATTACAGGAAGGGGATTAGAGATGAAATTTCAAGATTAAAAAAAAACAAAATTATGTCAATAAAGTCGAAATTTTGAGATTAAAAACTGAAATTTCGAGATTAAAGTCGAAATTTTGAGAAGGCGAAAAAAATGGCGAAATAACGTGAATAATGTCGAAATTTCAAGATAAAAAAATAAATAAATTTTGAGATTAAAGTTGAAATTTTGACATAGTTGACATGAATAAAGTCAAAATTTCAACTTTTTTTATATATATTTTTTATATATTTCCAAAGTTTGAGAGGAAGGGGGGCCGGATTTATGATCTATACTGCAGCCCGTCACCAGATGGTGCTGTTCTCACGGTGACTTCACCCTCAGAGGAGGCAGATACATCCATTCTATATACAGTCTATGGGCCAGAGAGGAGGGTTTCCTCTGTGCTCAAGTTTAAGTCTGAAGGGAGGAGGAGGAGAGGGAGGAGTGTTGGAAACATAGACTTCACTCTGCATTGTGATGAACAGCTGTATGCGTCTCTGGCTAAGCAATATGTTCAGCATGCTAAAATGCAGTGTGCTCAAAACAATGCAACAGGTTGATTATAATGAACGGACGACCTGAGGATCTGTGCAAGTGTGGATTTGGAGCGTCTATTAAGTCTGGTGAAGTGTTTTATTTTCTGCCCAGCTTTAGTGGCACGACACTGAAATTTTGAAAGGTACAAGTTGAAACATTTACGGTTGGAAAGGCGTATGTACAGTTTGTGATTGTATTTGTCATTGGCTAAAGTGCATTATTGGGGCTGGGGGGTGAAGGTATAAGTTATCCACGATTCACTCTGTACTTTTTCCTAAACTTACACTTCCAGAAGAAAATCCACAGCAAGTCACTCCAATGTTCACAAAGACACACGACATGCAAAAAAACAGAAGGACAGAGAAGTTTTACACTGTCAGGTGGATAATGCATCAATCTTTCCTCTCTTCTGCTGAATTATTCAGTTTTTCTTTGAGGCTATTGGTGATTTGCAGCAGATGCTGTTCGTCACTCTATCAGTTCATGAACTTTCCAGAGGAACACATCCTTTCAGATATTTACTGTATTTATGGTTTAATCTGAAATAGAGCACTACTTTATTTCTTTTGGAAAGGATGAAGTGATTGATGAAATCAAGGGAAGAGAGCTGAATGCATTCTGGACCACGACTTTATGAAGTTTTGAGAGTTCACACTGGGGAAGTACCTGAGCTGGGCCAATTGTCCTGTGCTTCATGCCGGGGGTGGGGGTTGCACTGTAGGGCTGACGGAGTGACGTAGGTAAGGCTGGGGCAGTTAATGTCACCCTCTCCAACAAGAGTCAGATCGGACAGGGTGTCCTCCTCCAGCATCTGGACTGAATCTCCCCTGACAGAGTCCTGGAGAGGACCACAGTGGGCGCCCTGGGACGGATGGATGGGGGAAAGGGTGCCAGGGAACAGAGGAGGAGGCCTGGTTTTTCTACCCCCTCCACTCTCAGTGCCAAGCGCCGAGTCCAAGCTGTGGGACTGATGGCTTGCACTGAGCGAATGGGAGCCCCCTCCTCCCCTGTCATTGCTGTTTGCCTTGATGCCCCGGCGACCGTTGCCAGGGAAGCTGCCATTGTTGGGGTTGCGGGAAAACGGAGTTGAGCAACTGGGCTCGGATTCATATGGAGGAGGGCCAGCCTGGTTGGTTGCCACTGGCGACAAGCGCAGAAAGTCTGGGAGCTGCAGGTCGCTTTTGTTTAGCAGGCCTCGCTGGTCGTCGGCTCGGTTGCTCTGAGCTTTGGATATGAGGTCAAAGAACTCTGCAGGCACACACGCACACACATCAAACAGAAACAAATACACAATAGCAAATAACCAGCATAAAACCACCTTTAAGAAAATAAACAGTTTTTGTAATAACATGCAGCAGAGGGTGTGTATTAATCAGCTCAACAAGTCAAAGCTACATCCAGTGTGATCAGACAGACTAAGCAGGCTAGCCTCTGAAAGCATTCACTGCTGCTGCTGCAATATGGCACACAGGCAAAGGGTTAGTGTGATCACAGCAAACGGAGCTACAGATACAAAAGAGAAAACAAGGTTGTACTATTTGTCTTTACCTTCAGCTTCGTCTATATTAATCTTTTTCTGCTTTCTTTTCTCCGGAGCCTTATGAAGAGAGACAGAGTAGCTGGTTAAGGGCTGGTCGCTAGTGTCAGGGTTGGGCCCAGCTTTGCCATTTTCCACATGGGGGCGGGCTAGACCAGCTTTCCCTGATGGCCTGTCCTCCCCCTGAGGGCCGAAAGAAGAGCGGGTCATGCATTGGAGCCCTGATCAGTCTTGATGGTGCGATTATGGGGACAAATGATGAAACACCAGGGGGTCTACAGTGCTACTGACAGTGACGAGGATGACAGGTTATAAAATAAGAATTGAACTGAAACAGAGGGGGCTGATTTTAGTTATGCCGCTACAACATCTTCTAAAAAAGGAGGTGGGAAATCCTTTTAAAAACCCCAAGAAGGCCAACACTGAGAGTACCAAGCACGGCCAGTGGATTTAGTAACCATGACAGATCACACAACACCAGAGGTACCGACTGTCTCACTGCGGAAAGCCACCTCACTTGGTTTGTGGTGGAAAACAGCCTGTTTTATAAATGAAAAGATCCCCTCAGAATAGTGTTGAGCGGTATGAATAAAATCTTATATCACGTATGTTTCTTCCCCCCTGTAAATTCAATTAATAGCTTAAAAATACTGTTGCATTTGTTCATTTTCCTTTCATTTTCAAACTCGGATTTGTACAAAAAAGCGAACAAAATGCCAGACCAGTCTGGCGATTTTTATCATATGGCGAACCTTTAGAGAAAGACTCTTTAGTATGAGAGGAGCAGCTGCAACTTTAGTTTTTGGTGCAGCGGGTGCACCGCGCATCTTTTAATAGATCTCATAACAGAGCTTGGCGTGTTTCATCTTTAGGTGGTAGAAGAGGTTGTTGGTGTTTCCACCTCCAGCAACAGCAGTCACACGACACTCTTTGCATAGTATTTGTTTTTTGATCATTGTTGGATTTTCTAAATCGGAAGAATCCCCAGACAACAGATGTCACGACTCGCACTCTTCTCCTCCTCCTCTTCCTTGTGTTGGGTTCGTCGGCCTACCTCCATTTGTTCAGTACTGCCACTAATCTTCGCATCAGCCATGACCTCCACCAGTGAAGCTGTTTCTTCTTTGTCGAAACTACGCCAAGCAGTCTGCTGGACACGCTGGTGATTAAAGGGAGCACACCCAAACCTGACCAATCAAACGGAGCGAACAAACTCTGCAAACGGATGCGCTCCGGCGAGCATAGACAACTACTCACTGACTCAGAGAGATGAAGCAGACATCTGCTCTCTCGCTAGCAAAATTTCTACGGGTAGACACTTTTATACCTGCACACGGTTTATACCATCATACCGCCCAACACTACCTCAGAATAAACGAAGAGGGAAACAAATCGCCTTCATGCTTGTCTCCAAATCAGACCGCTATCTAAGGAGCTCCTGCCACCACCAAAAAAAGGGGGTTTCACGAGGTTCTGAGAGAGTCCGGGTCCCGTTGTCCAACCAGTGGGTTTGTTACAGAAGAAAGAGAATCAGCCAACCAGAAAGAAGAGGTGATGAAGCGTTTTGACGGATCATGATAATGGAATATTAGGAACGTTTGAGAGTTGGATGAGGCCTTTGACTGCAAAATGACAATGCACACAAATACAGACACAGCCCGAATGCTGGCAAAGACACGAATCATTCACCTGAGCACATACATGTGTTTTAGACACGGACACTGACAAACAGACATGGGTGATTGAAGGAGAGGACACTTAGTAGCATGGCATCATCATCATCATCATCATCATCATCCAGGGAGTGGTGTGTTACAGAACATTCCAGTGTGAAAGTGAAAAGAGACGTTAAAGGAGATCTTACTGTTGCTGATTGGTTTCTGCCCACTGAGGCGGGGGCGTGGCTCTTAGAAGCGGCAACTTTCGGTTTGTCTGAATGAAGGAGGAGGAGAACATGTCGAGATTTGGATGCAAAATGATGAACAATGCGACTGTTTGTTGCGATTGTGTGTTTCCTACCTTTTCCAGGAGTGTGATCGGCAATGTCTAATACTACTCGCAGCCCATCCAGGTTAGAAATAGGAAGACCTAGATCTAGTGGCTCCAGCTCCCCACTCTGCATCATAACAGACACACACGTTTGACATCATCCCTTTCAACGTCTCTGTCTAGGGCTGGGCGATAAACTGAAAATTTACTGATACCGAAATTTACGACAAAAACCAACGTCATTACGCCCATCTTAGTATATTCAGTGTCATGTCCCTTTAAGACGCTGTCCTACATCGGAGACGGTTCAAAAGTTGTAGCGGCTGAAGTAAACAAAGCTAATGTGGGAGGGGGTGAGCAGCTTGCAGAGTAGTTATCGTCCATTTATCGTTATTGAGGTGAACTGCTCAACATATCATGATATTGATCTGAGGCCATATCGCCCAGCCCTATCTCTGTCTGGTAGATACAGTAATGATGCTACTTACAATACGTGCGACCAAGTCAGAGAGGTGCAGGCCGTATTTGGCGACCACGGGCCTGAGGACCTCTGTAACCGGCTTGGTCGGCTTTGCTTTCAGACCCACTGAACGGTTAATGGGGACCAAGTCGAGTCTGGGAAAAGAGAAAAGGAATGACCCTCTAGGAATTGGTGTTTCAAGTCCAGCATGCTCAGGGAGACTGCTCATTATGACCTTACCTGAAGAGAGTACGTTTTTCTAGCCGCAGGTCTCGAGAGCATAATGTCATACAGTCCTGGTCTAGAACGAGTGGCTGAAAGAGAGAGACACACACACAAAAAAAGGTCTGCTAGTTTCTCAGCCGTAAAGGACAATAATGACTGACTGTTCGACCAGAATGACAAAAACCTGCATGAACCACCGTGGACCCACAGTCTGAAACAGTTAAGTGCTTCTCGATGGGTCATTTTAGATTTAAATGACATGCAGAGTTGATGCAAACACAAGATGCTGAAAATCTAGCAGGTCAAACATGGAGTGACTTTCCAAAGACGGTTAAACCAAAACAAAAACAAACTGTTCTTGGCGGCTAAACTTTATGGAGGTGTTTACACTGAAATATAACGGGAACAATATCCTCTGTAAATTGGAGACAGGGCAGACCACAATGGAAAGTGATGCATTATTCATGAGGTGATCAGCCACAGAAATCTCTTCTAATGAATCTGCCTCCGTCTTTTGAACAAGATAATGTGGATTTTATGCCTTTTTAAGTATTATGAGGAAACCAGTTCATTTTGTTTTTTGTTGTTGTAGGGCAGCCGTTTAGCCCCGGGTTTGACTCCAACCTGCTCTTTTCCCATCTGTCACCCCCCCACTCTCTACTAGTTTCATCTGTAAGTCTTTAATATAGTAAGCAAGCACAGTTGAAAATGAAGTATAGAAGTATGTACAAAGATCCAAATAAGAGCGAACAGAGAGGTGATGTGCAGATCTAGATCCAGTCCATCCTTTTCCATGCTCATTCCCTCACAACATAAACAACATGATCTGATCGACAACTCCCACTCTGTCAAAGACTAATGAGCGTGAAAAAGCTCCATGTTTATTTGCATGTGATGCTTCAAAGTGAGATCCCATCGCATTGAAGCATCAGACGCATGGTCAGGACAAGTGTGAGTGTCTTTTAACAAGACAGGCCAGGACACACAGCTGTAACCTCCTCACCCCTCTGATTGTTCGTCTTTTATTCCAATTAGGAGAAACTTCTTTATTTACGTCTAGTTACTTGTGCTGTAAATCTCTTTGGGGGTGTCTAACTCGGTGTTAGAGTGTGTTTGACCATAACTTAAATTTACGCTGGAATATCCGTTTAATTTAATGCTTTTAAAATTGTTGCTCTAAATGAAGACCTTCGGGACATTTCTACATCCACTCATACTTTACCTTTTCCCCTCCAACCAGAAAGAGATCGATAGCTGCCAGGTTGATGCAGAGCTTCTCACAGATGCCCAGCAGCATATCCCTGATGGACACTCCAGCCTTGAGTGGCACAGAGCAACATGAGCCATCAGGCAAGCTTATATTACACTGCCTCAAGGGGGCGCCTCCTCCTCCTCCTGTTGACATCGATACTGTGCCGTGAGGGACTTCACCCTGAGAAGAAAACAGGGACAGGACAGTGAGAGGGACCAGTGTTGAGGAAACAGACGGGTGTTGTTTGACTAACTCAAATCAGCTCTAACACGATGACCTCCTGACTAACACAGTAAAAGCACCGCTCTAATCAGGTCAAGGCCAAGTTAGCCGTGACCTGATGAGACACAGACCACAGATTCTCAACTGGACTGAGATCTGGGGAATTTGGAGGCAAAGACAATAACTTAAACATGGGGCCACCTTCTGTCATTGCTTTAAAGTGCAGTTTAGATGCTAATAGAGGTCAGTGCGAGCATCTTTACCGGTCTGCAATGTGACCCCAAGAGCAATCCACTGTCCAATACTGATCTATAAGAACTTTAATTAATGTTTATTTGATTCCCAATAAGACTCTGGTAAGAAATACTTTACATTATGGGCTTAAAACTGCCTTGAGATGCAAAATAACAGAGTTTCAAACCACAATTAATTGCAGTTAACTATGAAGATTCTGTGATTAATCGCGATTAAAAAAATGAATCTTTCGACAGCCCTAGTTTAAACCAATTAAAGATCAAATCTCTTCAGCCAGCTTTTTTCAAACAAATGCACCATTCAGCCCCTGATCAGCTGGCCAGTTTCCTTCCTTGGACCACTTTTGGTATGTAATGACCCCCACAGACCAGGGACGAGATCCACAGTATTAAAGATGCTCTAACACAGTTTTATTATGGCTATCCACTGAACATCACTCTCACACGAGCAGTTATGGTGTTGAGAGAAGGAGCGTGAAGGTGCTGATGGTGCCGGTACTTAGACTGACCTCGTTCCTCCCCAACTCCAGACTGGCTCCTGATGACACCGATCCCTGGGATTCACGGCGTCCATTGCTGCCAGAGAAATCTATAAAATAACACAAGAAGTGTCAACAAATGACAGCTATTTGATCTGAGAAAGAAAGTAATTTTCAGTTTCAAGATCAAATCTCTGTTAAAACCAAATCATAAAACTAATAAAGAAAAAACTACTGACTGTAGTTGAAGTCAGTCAGTTCTCGTTTCTTTGGGCCTTTGCCGAAGCTCCTGTTGCGGGACCATGAGAAGAACATGCCTTTCTTGCGGTCCACTGAATCATCTCGACTGTCTTCGTTCAGAGATCTGCCAGATTTGCTCTTTTTGTCCTCCTTGGAAATAAACAAAGAGATAGATGAGAGTAGTAGACACCCAGATCTAAACAGAGAAACTCAACACTCTTATTTCCATTTAAGTCTGACTTCAATGAGTTTCAGACTCTTTTTATCACTTTTAAAATATCATAGGAGTAACATACTAACGCTGTGGGAAAGATGTAACTTTGCATGTTTTTTTAACCGTACCTTCTTGGGTGTTGAGATATTGGAGCGGTCAGAGCCAGTGGTACTGTGTTTTGAGGTTGGGCTGCTGGGGATGTGGTAAGGGTCAGGCAGAGGCCTCCCCTCCACCTCAGCGAGCATACACTCCTGGTATAGCAGAGACTTGAGGAACCGTGTGTAGCTGTCAAACTTCATCAGGTTGAAGATCTAAAGATAAGTAAAAGGAAGTACAAGGAGAGGATGATAAATCCAGGAGGTGATGAAGGAGCAAACAGACAAGGATGTGAATGCAAAACAAAGTATTTAAGGTTCAATATGCGGCAGAGTTAAGACAAGATGTTCAAGACCTGAAGCTTAATGGTGGGTGGAGTTATTTGCTGCTGAGCTGAGGTGTAACGAGTGAAATTATATAACTACCCCATGTATGTATAATGGTATGAGTGAGTATTTATGTATGGGAGGTGCTGACAACTGTTTCCCTACAGCTGGACAAGATCAATGTAAGCAACTGGATCGGCTGGAGCAGGCAGGGCAGAACTGCACCATGGTGTGTGTGTGTGTGTGTGTGTGTGTGTGTATGTGTGTGATCTCATCACAACAGGTGTCATCAGATCATCTGCGTAAAGCTCCTGCTGTTTGTTTACACGTCATGCCTCTCATACCTCTGCAACACTACAATGTAATGCTAAATCTCACACTTGGACAGCAGCACAGAGACTTTTCAGGGTGTGGTGTAAAGTACAGGCATCGTGATGGCCGAGTTTCACTGTGGTGCGAGGGCAGCATCTTAACGTGGAGAGGGCCAGGGTTCTTGTTCAAAGTTAGGGGTTATATTGGTGACTTTTCATTCATCATTTTCATCAACCAAATTAGATGCTGACATCACAGGTCATCTACCTGATAGGGATGGGCGATAAATTATCATTCACAATATATCGTCAGAGAAAACCTCCATGAGAAATATTTGCCATCTTAAGATAAATATGATAAATGCAAGTTGATGACGAAAGCGGGAGCGCCGAACTCACAGCCATCGCCCACGCAGAGCAGAATAACAAACAAACATGGACGAAGGTAACGAAGAAGACGTTGTCAATAGTTTTCTCCAAATCCTACCACTCAAACTTGTGGTTAAGTATCTTATTTGACTTCTCTGACTGGTGTTCTCAAGACAAAATGAATCAAAAATATAAATTGGATTTTTAATATTTCCTATGGGGACTTTTATTGTTGTCGCCAGAATGGAAAATCTTATTGTGATACATTTTTTAAGCCCATATCGCCCATCCTTACTACCTGACCCCTTTTTATACAAACATTGTAAAATTTCAGTTTAATGCCGTATTGTAGTACAAACTCTTGAGGTTTCCTTACTAAAGACCTGAATAAAGAAGTAACTGAGGAGACCACCCACCCCTTTACAGCTGGATGACCAACAGAAACTGTGAAACCGCGACTTTGGCCCCTGTCACCTTAGAACTAAAGAAACCATTTAGAAGAGAGGCTGAGCGTCTTAAAACAAGTCCAGTTGCCCTTTCAACGAAGAATTGGATAACCATGACCTGGATGATGAGAACCTTCACAGAGAACTCTGCATGTTTGATGTGTTAAAATAGAGAAGGTGGGTAATGACAAGGATACCCTTCTAGTCTCCTGACTCTGGAACAAGCGAGCTTGGCTGCTGGAAACAAAAGAGCTTTTCAGTATTCCCTCCACTTCATAACAAGCACTTCTAAGAAACCATTCCCCTTCGTAATGCCAGAGACTCAGTAAAACCCCAGTCCAAAAAGAGATCTCTTTTGTTTTCATACAGTTGATTATGTTTTTCCTTGGGGTTAGGTCTCTTTTCACTCTCTCCCTCCAAGAGAAATCAGGGATCATGTTCATCTGGGTTCGACTCATGAATCAGACGCTAACTGTTTAGGAGAGGTCGCGTGAAACACACTTAGGTTACAGCGAAGAGGATGTCGAGTTTGTTTGAGGGTAGTACCTGCAGCTGTTGCTCTTTGAACATGTCAGGCCGCGGGGCGTTGAGGATGTCATCGGCGAGCTGAGCTTGACTGTCTATGTTTACCGGTGTTGTGGCTTTGCTGGACAGGAAGCTGTTGTAGATTTCCCGAGCACGCTGGGAAAGCTGTTGGAGGAGAAAAATAAGACAAAATGAAAAAACAAACAAACAAAAAAAAATCTTATTCCTTATACTGACTCCTAAAAACATTTGTTACCTGCTTCTTGTCATTCTCAGGGACATGGCTGAAGAATTCACACGCCTGCCAGAACAGGATATTCTCCTCGCTGAACTCTTTCTTAAGGAATTCCTGCGGCACAAGAATCACGTTTCAAACACATCAGATGTCCGAGGTTTTTACTGAACTATAACAGACTATGAGACGTTATAATCTGCATCAGCATACACTAAATAATGAAAATACATTTTAAGATATGAACACGATTATCTGGGCTTCAAGGCTTTTTTTCAGTCATTAGGTAAATTCAACACTATCAAGCAGTTAAGCAGTGCTGAAAAGGCTCTTCTCATGTTTCCATCCCTCCTTCCTCCGTTTTCCTCGGAGCAGAAACAAGAGCTTGTGAGCTACTGAGTCCATAATTACTTGCAGATCAACTAACATCAGATAATTGGAAATGCGTATCGAGAATCAAAAACCAGTGTTGAGTTTTATTCTAAATAAAAGTGTTACATTATTTTGTCTACATGTCTTTTCCTGTGGTTACCCTCACCACCTCAAATCAACCAAATTGTCCTGGATTTTACTTCCTGTAATCCACCTGACCCACTCATGAGTCCTTGTCTGAAAAGTTATCAGATCTCAAAGTTCTTCATTGGATCACACAGATGCAGAACTAATTCATCCTTTCACTGTGTGGAATTAGAAAACATTTCTGAAAGATCTCTTTGATGAAAGTATCTGTCGAGGAAATGTGCCGGTCTATAACAGACGTGCTATATTTAGTACCGAGAAGTAGCGGACTCCCACGGGATCCTGCAGCAGTCTCTCGAAGCAAACGGCCCAGCTGGCCACTCTCCTCTCAGTGTGGCGTCGGTGACTCTGAACACTTGGGAGGCTGGCATTGCTGTTCAGACTGTTGTCACTGCTGCAGCCCTGCAGCTCCGCGCTGTTGAGTTCTGTTTGAAGACACACATCACGCGTTAAATAAGAAGTCACAGCAGCACCACTGAGGGCTGGGAATCTCTGTGCTGAGTTACATCTGAGTTCAAACAAAGAGCAATGATTCAAAGTTTGAGAATTTGGTGTATCTCACTTTTTGATTTCTGTAAATGTAGCTTTACGTGAACAACACAAGAGTGAAACATCGGATGGGCTGGTCTTAAATGGCTAATATACTCAAAAAGTTCCAGTTAGATTTTATTTTTTTGTTTGCTTCTCCACGTTTTCCTTCTGGCCGATCCAGTGTTTACGTGTTCTTTCCATTCAATTACTTCATCATCTTCAATCTACTGCGAAACATTTTTACTCATACAAAGAAAGCAGCAGTAAAAAGAGCTCCATGCTCTTCAATTCAATTCATAATTACTTAAAATATGTCAGCAACATACTAAGGCTGTAAAGTCCTAATCGACTGCTCAACCTATTGGTCGATAAGTGCTGAGTCGACCAAAATTCTGATTGGTCGACTCGATTTCTTTCCATGTCAATTTACAGTCCATGGTTAATTTCATCAGGAGGAACATACCAAGTGCTTTTGGGGGTGTTTTCAGAGCACTTCCATTTCACAGGTAGCAGTCTGTCTCAGAACACCCCCCCTTTTTTTCACCATTTTGGATTCGCCAGTCCCACTGGAGACCGGCTGGAGACAGAAAGATTAAAGAGCGTCCGCGTTAATCAACAACCCCATGGTGGGCGATATTGTTTTTTTGTAGGATGGTAGGGGAAGGTCCTGCCTCCTTCGCCTCTGATTGGCTAGAAAAGCTGGATGCTCAGGCCGAACACGGGCTGTCGGCTCTTTACATTGAACAGAACGTTACAGAACATTATCGCACTTCTGAATCTCCCAACCCTAACCCGACAGACAATGACGTTTCACAGCCATAAGGAATAACCAATCGAAATCCAGCACAGCCAATCAGAGGCAAAGGAGGGCAGGACCTTCCCCTACTATCCCACAAAAAAAAATTGCATCTGGTGGTTTGCTGAATATTTATATTTTAGCCTTTTGTGCCCCCCATATTAGTCGATTTTTGGTCGGGGTTTTAGTCGATAAAGAATTTCGTTGGTTGATTACAGCCCTAGTAAATAAAGTTCTATGCTGTTCAATTCATTTCAAAATTACTTAAAATATATAAGCAACACACTTAGATCCTTGTGGCATCAATGTGTATTATCCAAGAGTTTCACAGACACCCTACCAGTGTCTCTTGCTACTTCTTGTTCTCTTTGTTTTCCATCTTTAATAAGAGTCACTCACAGGATGCTATTTGAACTTCGCAATTATTTTATTTTTGCTCATAAAATCAGGAAAGTTCTGCAGGAAGTCTGAGTTATCCTTCTGACCACCACACCTCACTGTTACTGTGCTGATGACTTGCAAAGGGAAGGCGCAGTGAGAAAGCCGAGGGTAAGATTAGCAAGGCTTCAGGCCTACTGATCTGTGGAAATCCGATGAGATAAAATAAAAAACAAGAACAGCCAGAGGGAAGGTATCACCAGTCAGGTGTCCAACACAACGCAGATCCCGTAAATAAACTGAGAGAAAGTCTCAGGCCCGCGGTGAAGTCTGCTCTACTCAAGGCTCGGCTGTTGTTGGACATTTCCATGCTGCTTTTTTTAATCAGAAAATCCTTCCGCCTCACGCATGACATGTATCCAAGTGGAGATATTTTCTATCTACATCCTAAACTGTACCGCTCATTTCCTCTAATTAAGTTTCATAGTGTGTAGCGTACAACTCCTGTTAATGAGGGCAAACATCTACTCAGCAGTGTATCCTTATATGTATCACGGGGGGAGTGGAGCATTTCCCAGCAAAACAAGCATCTAATACAACAAGAACTAACTTCACTTATCATCACACATACACAAAAAAAACCCTACATGATCTCATGTCAACAAACCAATATGACAAAGTAAGTCTCAAAGGAGAAACAATGGACATCAACAATATCCTGAGCTTGCATTCAGACCAAACAACACTCACTTTTCTCTTATGATGCAGAGAAACAAAAAGCAGAGCCAAGGTATGCCATGCTCTTTAGAGATATACAGTCTAATACACTCCCACTAGCACAGAAGCTCATTTGATCCCAAGCCCACCTTCTGTGGATTACTCTGAAACCGACCTGAGGTACTTCAGAGCCTGAAAAAGAGCCAAAGTAACATTCAATATCAAAGCCTGTGTGCAGTAAGCTTCCTTTAGCAGTCCTCTGTGGTCGTCTTTTAATTTAAGCTGTAAAGAATCCTGTCAAGCAGCTGCATCCTCACCTGGATAAAGCTGGTAGGAGCCTGTGTGATGCCAGCGGGGCATATAGCGAATCCTTAGGGGCAACCAAGCCCCTCCATCCATACTCACCCTATCAGGGCCACTTGCAAACTCACATACACACACAAGGAATACTTAGTTCAAGGCAGTGCCTAAACTCACTGCAGGAGAGAGGCTAGCTAGCAGGAAAACAGGGACAGAAGACAGAGAGAGAGGGGCCGCTGGTCATGAGCAACCTGGCTGAAAACCTGAGAAACCACAGGGAGAGTCAGGTCACAACACGCCCTGTATCTCCATTCAGACGCACACACATGCACACACATGCACACACATGCACACACACTTTTGCAAGTAGGTTGGTAAGTGATATGAGCGCGAGCCGGCCTGGTGATTATGAATAATTCAGAGCCAGAAACACACGAGAAAACAGAACGGTGGAGTGAGACCACATGCATTTACACAAACACAAATACAGTAGAAACCTGCTGACAGGTGAGGAGGAATATTTGCTCATACAGTCTTGATACTTTCATGATAACTGTGTTGGGATTTGAAGAAGTAAAAAGCTGATTTATCCTGTGGGTTTTTATTTTGAAAGGCTCTTCAGGTGCACTTAATTAAGAATATAAATTATGGACTACTTCCACAAAAATTATGGATAAAACATAATGTAATTGGAGGACTGTGGTCCAGTGAAATCCCCTAATGGAGTTATGACTGTAGCTGTGCATGTAAACATACTGACTGACAATATTTTCACAGAAATTTAACTTCAGGCATTTTCTGACAGTGACAACAGAGATAGTCTCCTCACTGATGGTTTCTGTTTCATGACCGGTTAAAACTCCCTACAGGAGCTTTAAACCTCAGAGCTGTCCTGCTCCAACAGGACTGAAGATGATAACAAAGGCTGTTTCAGGGATAAGCTGCCATGTTGTTTCGTTAACTTGTGTGGTTTCCTACAGAAGCGTATTGCATTCACCAAAATAAGACAAAGAATAATTTTAAAAAAGCTCTGTTAATTTTTGTTTGTTTTTCAGAGTAATTTTTTTTAATTTTCTGTTTTTCAGACAAATTTTTTTCCCTATTCACTGGGATCATGATCATTTAAAAACAGACACTTTCATCCCCCTCTGCTCGATTTATTGGAAGCAAACATGGTCCACTTGTTTATTTTAATCAAGTTTGACTTTCTATTGGGTTTGAGACACTGGGAGATACTCCTTTCTTTAAGTCAGATCGAAGGAATCGTCATAAGTTTGTTTACTTTGCGCAGACACCTCAGGATTTGCGTACCTTATGCTTAATTAATAACATGCTTTACTCTCATTGACCCCATAGTCAAAGTTATCTAGGAGCTGGAGAATCCGCTGATTTGGAGCAGCCGCGGTGGTTAATGTTATCTGATTGTAAGAGATTCTCGCTGAATTTTGAATGATCTCATTTAGTCAGGAAAAAAAAAACAAGAAAAAGTTAGTCGGAGAAAAGCAAAGAAAAAAAAACAGTTTCCTTTTTGTTTTGTAAGTGAATACAATACGCTTCTGTAGTTTCCAGATACTTCTCCACAATTATACAAAACTCTCTAATGACCATTTCCTCTTTGCTACTGAGGGGTTACAAAAGAATATCATCATGGTGTGGCTTCCAGCATCAGCTGACCTAATTTCTTTGTAAACTAGTCAATGAAGCGCTTGTGCAAAGGTCTATGAGGACGAGCAGCAGTCTTCCCCAAAAACAGCTAAATACAGGCAGAGTCTCTCTGCCGTCACACTCCCTAACATCGCATGCAAACAAATGTGCAGGAAGAGCAGCCTACCTCTCTGAAAACACATCATCTCTGTTGCTCATTGAAAAAATTTCTGGTATTAGCTCCATAACGCTTTTTGAATATTCTCTTTCTCCTTCCACCTCCCATTTGCCGTAAACTGCAGAATCCCAGGGCTTTTGATATCACTTGCAAATGCTCAGTAACACCTGAGAGAAACTTAAAAAAGTTCGATAAAACAGCATTAAGCTTTTTATAAGTCTGTTCTGATGTCAAGTTCTTGTTTTTTAAAATTTGTCTCTTTTTGAAAGTTGCGGCTTTCCACCTCATTAAGCAGGCAGAGGTGGGGCAGGAGTTGAACAGGTCCAACCAGACCGCCTGTTGTTTCTACAAATTTAGTGAAAGCAGACCGATTTAAATGAGGTGTCCATGTTGAACATGACTGTAACCCTTTACCACAGCATGCTTTATACCACAGAGAAACTACTGAGAAACTAAGAGAGGCTAATTCAGAGGTTGACACGGCTGTTTCATAAAGCTTTTAGCAAAAAAACAGTAACTGTAAAAATAATGAAAAATGCAATGACAACAGCTGTTAAGAGTGTAATATGTAAAGACATGTTCACTCACCTCCATCAGAGACTGCTGCAGACTGTAAGGAAACACAAAGAGACATGGATTAGGATATCACCTCATCACATCAGTGACACATACTGACTTCTTCTATACGACATGAGCGCCCAGAGGCAGCTGTCCAGGCACGCACTGTGAGCCGCGTGGAAAACACAGACTGTGACTGACTGTGATTCTTACAGGACAAGACCTGGGTAATTATCACATACAGTCGAACATCTCAACACAGTCAGGTTAGCGCCAACGCTTATTGTCTCGTGTGTGGGTGGAATCATCAGTGAACTGGCTGTGCTTGATCTGCAAGAAAAGGTGCTTAGAGGGGCGGGTCTGGAAAAGAGGTGAAGAAAAGAGCTTCAGGGCTTCGTTCTCTTTATTTCATGTAAATGTGACAATCATTTACAGCTCTCACAACTGGCAGTTAAATTTACACTTAATTCACAGGATCATACTAAAACCAGCAATTAATGAGCTGAACTGCACCGAACCCTGGTAAACTGATCATAATCGAGCCTAGAGGGAAGATTTATGAGTAGATTGTACTGGTTTTCTGAGGTTTCTGCGTATTTTGGAGAGACTTTTCTTAATAAAAGTTTTTTTCCATCCTAAATGACAGCAAATTAAATCGAGAACAGTCACTGGCTTCTTTGTTATGTAAATTATGTTGTTATGTGCAGAATTATGCAGCTAAATGTTGCTTCTGCCACATATATCAGCCATGGTCATATATCTGAAGAATTCCCTAATACATTTCGTTTTTTCTTTATTCATTAAGTTAATCTAAAAGACATCGCTCGATAACACAACCATATATATTGGAGCTCACTAAGCGTGGAATAATGACTCAAAATGACTTTCTATTTCACCCTTAATATTTACCCTTTTTCTTGGTCATTTTAGACATTTTTAGACGCATTTCACAGCTCAAGTATTTTACCCATAGACTGTATATACTATGGAAAACTTGGCCCTGCCTACCATAATTATACAAATTTGAAACCAAATTGCTCTTGGTATTTCCTGGATTTTCTCGTCTTCCTAAGACCAGCACTCAAAAAGCATATCCCCTGAGTGAGCTACACAATCTTCTTACACCCATAGACTGTATCAAGTGTCAATAATAGAAAACAATAAGGGGAAAATTTATATTCTGTGGAATTAATTTCTAAAGTTTGTCCACAGCTCCATAGGGATTGCTGGAGGAGGCAGGATTTATGACCTATACTGCAGCCCGTCACCAGAGGGTGCTGTTCTCGCGGTGGCTTCACCCAGCAAAGAGGAGGCAGACGGCGTCCGTTCTATATACAGTCTCTGATTTTACCTCTACTTTTTTGCATATATGTGCATTTAATAATTATGCAGCCTGTGTATGCATATGGCTGACATAAAGAACAGTGGTAGCTTATGGCCCCTGGTTTCACGTGACTGTAAACAATACTTTTTGAAAACCCCAGGGTGAATAAATCTGTATACAACTACCGTTTCATCTTGGTGTGGATGCCTATCCAAAACTTTCTTAAAATGATTATGCACCGTAATTCTCTTGATACGTCCAGCCATTACAGCGGCCATTTTTGAATTTGGCTACTATACTAGCAGTACGTACTGATTTGCCCAAAATTTGGTATGCAGTATGTACTGCATACTGCATTCGGCAGGAGTATGCAGTAGGCGAGTTTGAAAACAGCCAGACTTTATACGCATGTTCGATAGACTTCTTCTGTTTTACTGTGCATTTCCAGGGTACCGTTACAGCGCCACTTACTGGCTTGGCATATGCACTACATCTTCTTCAGTCATTTTCAGTGGTGTATATGTGGATATTTTCTGAAACGATGCCATCTTTACTGAAAACCTTTTTGGATTAAAAAGCAATATATATAGTTTTCATCCCGTGTGGACAAGGTCTTAGTTCTGGGGTGAAAGATTTACCCCTTTAAAAGCCCTCACTCAGGAGGTAATACTTTTAAATGATCCAGGAACTGGTTTAGAAAATCAGGCCTGAGGATTTTATTTACATTAAAAACACAGGCTGTTGATTTATATGTGAAGTACTGTTAGCACACACACAGGAAGGAAGAGAGAGTCTGGATTAGATCCAATATAAACTCATGATATCCAAACAGTAAAAACTATATACATGAATTTTGACTCTGTTCCTGTACATGTTTCCCATCTCCGGGATGCTTTTGTGTGTTTGAACAGTTTCAAGGGTTGATCTAATCAGGAAACAATCTTTTTAACATATAAGCAGGTGGACAATAACAAACAGACACCAGCTGAGCAGAGAGAAGAAGAAACAGGTACAGGCTCCAAGAACAAATATGTCCAGGAACTTGATGTTATTTTATAAACCAATACTATGGAGGCCCTGAGGTGCAAAACACAACGGCAAATCAGTAAACACAACACAAAAAAAGAAAACACAACAGCAAATCAGAAAACACAACACAAAAACGAAAAAACACAACACAAAAACGAAAAAACACAACACACACAAAAAAACAACACAAAAAGGGAAAACACAACATCATTAACCATTGTGTTTTCTCTTTTTGTGTTGTTTTTTTGTGCTATGTTTTCTTATTTGCTGTCGTGTTTTCTGATTTGCCGTTGTTTTGTCCTTTTGTGTTGTGTTTTCTCTTTTTGTGTTGTGTTTTCTTATTTGCTGTTTTGTTTTTTCTTTTTGTGTTGTGTCTTCTTATTTGCCGTTGTGTTTTCTCTTATGTTGTGTTTTTTTTTTGTGTTGTGTTTTCTTATTTGCTGTTGTGTTTTCTCTTTTTGTTTTGTGTTTTCTTCTTAGCTGTTTTGGTTTCTCTTTTTGTGTTGGTTTTATGATATGCTGTTGTGTTTTGCACCTCAGGGCCACCGTACAATACAGCTAACCTGCTGCCAATGTGATTTCTGACAACTTCCAGATGTGACTGTAAAGGTGTGTCGGTTGCGTCGGTATGGTGTTGACAGTTAATCAGCGGTGATGAAATGAGCTGGTTAGTTTTGTTTTGTTTAAAAACATGATATTAAATTTTCTTCCCACTGGTCACATGTTACCAAACCTCACATTTCCTGCCTTCAGCCCCTCTTAAACAGTAAATGCCACCTTGTAGCCACATGCCTGACCAGTTCAGACAGAGTTTACGTGTGTCACTGTGTGGTTGTCACAGTGTATACAGAACCCGAGTGCTTTATTAGCTGTTAGCAGAGGGAGAGGGGAGGTTTACATCATCTGCTGGGAAACCTGGAGGTTGGGGGGTTCAAAACACAGGGTACAATCAACAGCCATTCATTCTCCCTGTTATAATATTATTACTTCAAAGGCTGTAAAAGTCTTCTTAAACAATATCAAGTTTCTTAAATGCTCCCACTTGGTATGTGCGCCCCTGACACGCCTCTGGACAACAGTCTCGTGAAGAAAGGACATTCTTTTTCGGAGGATGAGACACAGAAGAGATTTAACATTAAACAGGGTAAAACAAAACGTCAATCTGTGGTCGAAGCTGCCAGCAATAAAACACGGCCTTGCATACACAAAGGGAAGACAGATTCAAACACAGGGACATCATTCCTCTATTATAGTTACTGGCTAAAACCCCCAGCTCGGTCTTATTCCTGTGAAGGATGAAAGTGAGCAAAGTGAAAAATGACTGAACAGACTAATGAACTTGTCATCCCAGACAACTCCTGTACCTGTAAACACTGGAAAACTGGAGGAGACCACACCCAAATCTGAACAACTAACTCACACATGCTGTTCTAAAAAGGTCACTTGAAAATTCACAACAGTTTTCCTGGCTGCACACACACACACACGCACGCACTCTCAGACACACACAAGCCATACATAGCCACACACAGCCCGAGTGGAGGAGGAAGCTGGTGAGCCAACAGACTCGACGTGCGTGCCTGGGTGTTTACTTTTGAATATGAGCTGAATAGTAGCTGCCATTGAACGGACCAGTCACCCTGCCAGTACTGGTAACCATAACACCCCTGAGTTTAGTGTAATTCATAAGAGGACGAGGTGGATTCGAGTGACCCAAAGCAGGTCAAATAGGTTCGGCTCTACAGGTGTGGGCATGAGTGACAACGCTTCAAGGAAAAAAACAGGGAATGATGACAGATTTGCAAAGTTAAACCACTTTTTTATCTGTTGTAATTTTAAAAAAAAGCCTGGTACTTCCTGAAATCGAAGAATAAACATACACACGGCAAACAGAACTGTGTAAATGGACCCTTATGTGTACAAAATCTCAGCACCACCACAAAGCTCAATCTCCCGTGACCCTCAAGTGTAACATCCTACATCCTTCCAACACATTCAGGAATCGATCTCCACTCTCAATGAAGATAATGTTTGTCTTCCTACAACAGAGTCTCACAGGAGATGAGACCCAGAGGTTGAGCTGGGGGATCAGTGTTTGTTTGACTTGGCTTTTTGCCTTTAACACACAGACAGTGGAGGGAATCAAAACACAAAACAATCTGCTCAGAAAAAAAACATCAGGATTCTGGATGTTGAACAGTTAGTGCTTGTACCTTTCTTTATATTTACTTAACTTTTTCACACGCCGACCTCACGCCACCGTACTTCGTTTAAATCATGTGAAGACTTGTTCTTCTTCTAATCTAGCTCTCAAGTGCCCCCGTCACCTCCCTCCTTTATTTTGTCTTCTCCCAACTCTCTGTAAACTTGTCCTCCTACGTAAGTGTTTTCCCACTCTGAAGGTAACGGATCCTTTTTTTTTTCTCTCTGTGTACTTTGCTTTGGGAAATATTCCCCTCTTCGCTCAAACTAAACCTGCTACACTGACTTTCACCGAACATACCACTGTGTACTTTTGCTTGTACCGAAAGACAGTAGATGACATTTCTCACTCCCCGCTTCTCTGCCTCTTCCTCATTCCATTCGTCACCGACTTTTGTATTGAAATAAACAAAACAGAAGGGAAGCCAATGAAAGGATCCAAACATCTGAGAGTAAAATTTATGCAAATGATTAAAAATGTTTGATGTGGAACTTTTTCCACTCGTTGCACTCAGACTGAAATATTGCAGAAAGTTAGAAAACTGTGTATCCAGAGATGGTTGAGTTGAACAAATGATGAAATAGTCCTTTCCTACATTAAATTCCTTCCACTGCAAAAAAAGAAGTTGTGCACTCTCTCAGGCAGGCAACTTTTCAGCATTTTAAGTACATGTTCACACACTACTTACTGTATTGAAGTTCCAGACCCGCTTGAATGAGAGCCTCTTCCTCAGGCTCATCCTGTTCTCCTCTGGCACAGGAGAAGACCCACTGTCTGCTCGATCTACATATCTGAACCTCAGAAGCGCACATGCAAACACACACGCCTGCTGATGCTGACTGTACTTCACCAGGACCTATCTATGGCAGGAAATACATGTAGACAGCTGACTTGGATGGAGCCATGCCTCAGCATGCCTACCTCTCTCTCTCTCTCTCTCTCTCCCTCATTCACATACACACATGCACGTGCACGCCCACACACACAGTTATGAACTGGCCCTATTTGTTAATGCTACATTGAGTGCATTCACTGTACGCAGGTTTGAAAATACTATTTCTAACTTAAACAAAATTTACCTTTCCCTCTCCTTCACATCCTCCTCCACACAGTTGGCTGACAGAATGACGAGGAAGTTTCATTTACAGGTCTGAGTTTCCATAGTGACACGCCCCCATCAGGCAGCAGTCACTCAGGGGTGGGAACAAAGTGAAGTCTGCCAATCATGCTGCAGCAAAGACCTCACCTCTGCCTGCAGTGTCTCAGGAGTAGTAGTAGTTTTTGTTGTTTGTTTGTTTTGTATGACCATGCTCTATAGCCATGATTTATCTAAACATTTTAACTGCATATATTACAGTCCAGTTATCAAAAATATGTATTTGTCTGTGTTTATTGTGAGACTCACACCATAGGATTGAAAACGGCAAACAGCTAAACCGTATTTCCAAACGCTTCAAGAGAGATTTATGAGATATTGATTTGAATAATTTCTAATAAAAATAGTTCGTCTCAAGATAATTTTGCACTCTCTTCAGCACCACATATGTCACTTTGAGGCTCAAGCAAATCTTCTATAAAAGTTGATGTTTACTGAACTCAATCCCAAACTGTAGTAGGGGTGGGAATCACCAGTGGCCCCACAATATTATCACGATACTTAGGCCACGATACAATATTATTGGGATTTTTAACATTTTGCAATACAGTGAGTATTGTGACACAATTGCGATTTAAACTTTTTTTAAACAGTTCAGCTAATTTAGCATTTGTCTTTCTTTTATGTTTGTCTTATTTACACAGTATTTTATTTTCATGTAGCACATCTTGCAAACTTTATGTGTCAGGTCCATCTCATTTGCACCCCATTTGCATTCCTAATGTCTTTCCTCAAGTGCTGCTATATTTGTTGCACTAACTTTCTCCAGCTCTATGATGTCCCCTCTGACTTCACATTACTTGGTAAATGTGACGATACAATATATCACCATACAAAATATCATGATACTATGCTGTATCATTTTTTTCCCCACCCCTACACTGAAGTGACTCTGAAGAGCTCCAGCACTATGAGCATTAAACTGATACACGGATACACTGAGGCTGAAGGCTGAAATCACGGCCAAAGTTCTTCATGCTCAAGTGCTTAAAATCGAGTCTGCCTTATTTTCACTCAGTAAAGCCACAGCGGTTAAACTTTGAATACAGGATTTTAGTATTGAAAAGGCAGAAAAAAAGAGCACAGACGAAGGTTGAGCTGCAGGTTATATCATAGAGGTGTTTCTGAACATTTAACCAACATAATGCACCGTAGAAAACTGCTGCTTATATTTAGGGGCAAGAGTTTGGGTTAGTGAAAAAGTGGGAATAAAATTCAGAGAAATTAAGTTTCTGATGAAGCTAAACTGGTTTAAACTTTACTGAGGCTCCATGTACTGTATTATTTTAAGATAACTGCAATAATAATAATTAATTAAAATGAAATAAAATATATTCTACCTCAGGGTGACGCTGTGAAATTTTATACACCTGGTTCAGCTTCTTTGTAAAGCAGAACATTGTAATTTTTTCAGCTTTAAAATTCTGGTAATGAGGGAGGAGAAGTTTGTCACAACATATCACTGAGCCTGAAGCAAATGTGAAAACATTCAGTGATATTGTGTTATCTATAAATGTCCGACTTACAGTTAAGTGACAGGATCATCAAAATGAACCCACTCTAAAACCATAATGAGTTCATCACCTCTCTGATTCTCTTTTCACCTTGCAAACATAAAAAGTGATCAACACCGCCCTCTGCTGTCATGACACTGATAAGGTACATACTGATGCAGTTCTATCACTCCTACTGTACCACAACACAAGCCTGTGAATTAATAATCACTTATAGCTAATCAGCCTAATCACTGGTTCCAACGGAATATTTATGATTACAGCTATTATAGGGAAGCACGAGCATTATGAGACCAGATCCTGATTGTACCAATCTGTGGTTTCACTTGGTGTGCTAACATGTGCTGCCCTCTGCATCAGAAATAACTTTGAGTGCGTCCGCAGTCCTGCACTGGACTCATCACATGATGCTGTTAGATTGTTTTTTCAATGGATAATAAATATAATATGAAAAATATAAACATTTATTTGGTGGTGGTGAAGCTGGGCACCCTCATGTATGGATGCAAAGATGTAAAATAAAGTTGTGTAGTAGGCAGCCAAGGTATGATTGTAACCTGCAGCCCCCATATCCAGCACTTCTTCTTTACTCCATCTATCGTCTCTATCCACCGTCCTGCCTCCTCAGAGTAAGGATGCACCAGAAATATATACAGTGCTCAGCATAAATGAGTACATCCCTTTAGAGTTGTCAGAAAACCTTTAGTTTCAACAAAAATCAACGTTTTCTATGTCCGACTATACAACAACATACTCCCTCAAATGTAGGCCACTGATTGCAAACAAGATCTTTAAGTTGCATACAAAAAAGTATTTTTTTTTTATGTCTGTTTGAAATCCAAATTAAAAAAAATGAGTACACCCCAATCAAAGCTACATTTTAGTTACCATATCACCCTTATTTTTATCTTATGGTAAATAAAATGTTATGCTAAACTCAGCTTTGTCAAAACTTCTGAAATTGTACTTTTGCTCATCGAGATATTGAGTAATACGTTACTTTTAACAGAGGGTGTACTGACTTCTACTGGGCACTGTATCTTTATCTTTTTTTCCTGAAAATGCAGCTACAGCTGATGTGACTCCAGGCCTCCTGAGATGTTTCATGTACAAGAGAAAGTGTGATCCTCTGTTATCATCTGATTTTCCTCTATCAACACTGTCAGCCCAGGGGATATCACGGGGCAAACAAACACACATTCCCTCATTCATAGAGAATACACACACACACACCAAAGAAAGATGTGAATACAGGATATTATCTAAGTGTACATGTTTGTGTGTATGAAGGTATTTCTCCATGAAGCCTTGTTGTTTTTGTTAGTGTGTGTCGGTGTGTGTTTGTGTGTGTGTGTCAGAAGGTCAGAGGGCCTGCAGTCCTCTCTTTCCTCACTGCTGTGTTTAGTGGTATAATGTACTGTGCTACTTTTCACCAAAGTGTCAAGACCCACTCACTTAACACACACACACACACACACACACACACACACACACACACACACACACACACACACACACACACACACACACACACCATGCAAGTACAATTAAGTGGAAACCATGACCTTGAACTGACAGCTGACTCCAGAATAAAACAAAGAGCGCATTAATACGTTCAAAACAAAAGAATCAACAGGTTTCCCCTGTAACTAAACAGAGCCAGAAAACCCCTGATGATTGGACTGTGTCGGTCACATGATCTGTCATGTCATAGAAAAACCTGCCAACTCAAGTTTTAATTCATATGTTTTAACTCAATTTTTTACACCAGCAACAAAGAAAGAGCTCAAACTGAATCAAAATTCAAATCAGAGAAGGACAGGAAAAGTACGATGTTAAATTAGTTTGTCTAAAAAAATATATAAACATAAAGGCTACAAACTAATAAAGACATCCATTAGGAAGATACGACTAAAACATCCACTTCTTCAGTGCTTTCATGATCCTATAATATAGCCTACGTGTTATGTTTGATCAATCCAAAGCAATCTTCTAAGAGATGAAATAAGTGACAAATAAAATCAAACATCATAACATGGAAATACACCGATCAGAAGTTCATCCACAGCTCAATACTCACTGCTGTTAGAGAATCCACAGTCAAAGTTTGCTGCTCCATGGAGAAAGAGACGAGTAATCCTCAGCACTGCATGAGAGACCTTCCCTCAGCCATCAGCTGGTGAGTGTCTGAGTGTGTGTGTATGTGTGCGTGAGTGAGTGTGTGTGTGTGTCTGCGCTCACAGAACGTCAAAGCAGCAAAACTTGATGGCTTTCAAATGTCCAAACCCTGACAATGTGACTGCCGCTAGATTCCTCTTCCCTCTCGCTGTCATTCCCCATCCTCCTCCTCCTCCTCCTCCTCCTATTTTGCCTCCCTCACCCTGCCTCTCTGTCCTCCCCCCTCCTCCTTTTTCTCTGCTTTCCCACCCACCCTTCAATAATTTCTATTCCACCCACACTGCTGTGGGCTGAGAGACAGGCTATACAAACACTTCGACAAATGCGGTGGCACGGCTGTAAAGGGGAGACCCCTTGTCATTAAGGAAAACACGACCACAAATAAAACCGGCACTAAGTTGAATGGATCACCCCGAGTGCTCATCTGCATGACAGGATCATGAGATTCACGATAGTTTTGTGAGAGGGTAACGAGATGAGAAAAGGATATGTCAAGAAAACAGACATCTGATGATTTCAATAAAAAAAGGATTAGGCTGTGTACAGCTGAACTGAGAAGAGGCTGCATTTCTGAGCATGCCTCGACACACACACAAGGGAGGTGCTCACCCCTGCAACCCCTCTGGTGTTGGGGTTGAGAGGAGACCTGCCAAACTCACACTCAGTGATGATAAATAGCAAAGAGAGCATTTCACAGATGAGAGGCAACTTATTCAACGTCAAGAGGACCCCAGTTTGTCTTCCAGGAATGTGAGTCCGAAAAAAGCTTGTGTGTGTTTTATGTGCTGAAGGATGACGCAACACCGAGATTTGATACTTCATAAAATCAAACGATCTGCAATAAATGAACTTCTGGACGAATAGAAATATCTCTGTTGTCATTATCTCTTGTCATAATGTGGTTGTGGTCGTTCACTTGTGGTCAGTTGGTGTCAGTGCTGTGAGGCTCCTTGTCAAACGTTTGCAGGTTGTGGCTGTAGGGCTGGGCGATAAACTGAAAATTTACCAGTATCAAAATTTACATCAATAACCGATATATTGAGCAGTTCACCTTGATAACCATAAATGGACGATAACTATTACACAAGCTGCTCACCCCCTCCCACATTAACTTTGTCTACTTCAGACGCCGCTCCAGCCGCTACAACTTTTGAACTGTCCTCCATCTCCTTACCTGTCTTTCCCCCTTTGTTACTGACTGGATGGGGTGGAGTCACGTCTCTGACATAGGACAGCATCTTAAAGGGACATGAGACCATAGCCCACCTACACACATCCAAAAACCAACTTTTGTTTATTTATTTATTTGACACCAAATATTCCAATATGGGAAAAATGACGGTTAATGTCATAAATTTCAGTTTATCGCCCAGCCCTAATGTACGGTTTTAAAAATTATGAGATAGAAAGTTTTGAATTATCAAGTAATTGACCATTTTGATACTGTTTTTTAGGGGCTACAGCAAAAGCTTTGTTACTTTTCTGTTACGCTGGAGCCGACTCCAGCACTGCTTAGAGCAAAGATAGAGGCAGTGTGTAAAAAAAGTTCACTGTGGCATAACAGCTTTGAAACAAACCCCTCTATTGGGAGAAAAAAGTCACCACAAAGATCAGTAAATGTCAAAGTTACGGTGACTACATCTGGAAAATCGCCCTCTCTCTTGGTTCCTCCATCCCAAAGAGAGAGAAATCCTCGCTGTTTTGCGATGACGTCCTTGGTTTACTTTTTTACAGAACATTAAACAAATCTTTTCTGAAAGTTCAGAAACCTCTTGGAGATAAACTGACCTCAAGATGCAGCGCAGATTGTTTGAAAGCCTCGAGGTTAGGACTTTGGTGCGTGTTAGCGTGTAAGATCACTTGAGAGTCCCCACAATCCCCCAATACAACGCAAACACAGACTTTGTTTGTGTCTGAAGGGGGAAGAAGCGAACATTTTATCTCTTAATCAATTAGCTTTTTGTGATAAACTGGGTAGATACTCTTGTTTTGATTCTTAGCGAGTCAAAACATCTATATTTTAGTTATCATCCCTCATCACGAGAAAAATTATGTCTCTTTTAATGCCAAAAGCAGAAAACGCCAAATAACTTAGTGTGAAGGAGCATTCAGATTATTATTTTCTAACTAACTGTAAATACTTCAAAATTAAATAACATTGACGTTAATGTGGGGCTCTGGCCACAGCCTGAACTAGACAGATTGCAGCAACAACAATCGCTTTACAGCAGCTAACGCTAACTCTCATGGGATATGTGGTGTAGAAGATGAAAACAGCAAACATAGAACAGTCTGTTACAGTCGCTACAGCAATCCCGTAGTTTGACTATCAGTAGTGTGGAAGTATTTAAAATAGAAATCCCAAAGAGTCCATCAGAAGCAGTCGAGCCGCGTTCGATGCCACCGACTTGGTATGACATCTAAAAACGAAGCATCTACGTGACTCATTATATCAACAGAGGACAGGATGCTGTGCCAAAGCGGCCAACTGTGGCTTTACGAGGGAGAGCAGAAAGGCCCAAAAGATTACAGAGAAGATGTTGAATTTATCGCTTTGCTCAAACAGACCATCTTTGTGGCGGAGAGCGCGGGTCTCTGCTGTCTCTTGGATCTACGGTATGTCCTACTTTCTCAGTAAACACTGCCCCATCAAAGCCGTTAAAGAGAGGTTTGTGACTATTTACGAGGTGATTTCAAACATGATGTAACTGCTGTTAGTTTGACATCAGGCTCTCTGGGCTTTCATGTTTTTTTCCATATAACTGCTGAGCCTCAGCGCCCTACACACCAGAGTCTAACCATGCAGGATCACCAGCTTCATGAAACAGCAGAGCCTGTAAAACTCATTTTAAGTGACACGGACTGAGCCTGACGTCATTTTTAGGTTTTTTGGTAAACAAAACAAGCTCTGTCATCTAGGCAAATACAAGTACCCGACAAGGACACAGTGATGGCAGATTTGAATAAAGGTGATTCAGACATCCTTGTTGGTTAAAGAATGACCCACATATGTGTTTGTATGCGAGTATCTGCTGTGTGTCTAGGTACTGTAAGTGCTTTAGTGGGGCCCTGCTAACGAGGGGAATGTCAGCTTGCTAGTCGTCAGAGCTCATTAGAAGTGCAGGCTAACACTTCAAACCCTACCCCCCGAATCTTCTGCACACACACACACTCACACAAACACACACACACACACACACACACACACACACACACACACACATATTCTAATCTCTGTCCTTCCCCCCTCTCACCCTCACCACACAAAGACCTCTCTGTTTGTGGACATTACTGCATGTGCAGAAAAAGAAAAAGGCCTAACGACCGGAAGAAAAAGGTAGAATAGCGGGGGGGAGAGGAGAGAGGAGAGAAGACGAGGGAGAGAAAACGCTGCAATGGAGCAGTGTCGCAAAGGGACAGACACAATCCACCGCTTCATATTAAATCAACTTTCATGTATCAAGACCAATTGTGAGAAAATTAATAATAACTCTACAAGAAACATGTATTTTGCAATATATTCTGTACTTACTGTGCAACTAACAAGAATGAGAGTACAACACTGAAATAAACACAGCCTAATAGGGATGGGCGATATAGGCTAAAAGATGTATCATGATAAGATTCGTCATTCTGGTGACAACGATAAAAGTCCCGATAAAAAATATTATTCTAATTTATATTTTTGACTCATTTTGTCTTGAGAACACTAGTTGGAGTAGTCAAATAAGATACTTAACCACAAATTTGAGTGGTAGGTTATGGAGAAAACTGATGACATCAAACCTGATTACGTTCATCTGAACCCCAATCTCGAAGGAAATCCCTCATGTGGAATTTCGTTCAGTAACGAGCTGCTTAGAAACGTCTTCTTCATCACCTTCGGCCATGTTTGTTTGTTATTCTGCTCTGTATGCGGTATGGCTGCGAGTCCATCGCTTGCGCTTATGTCATCAACTTACATTTATCGTATTTATCATGAGATGGCAAATAGTTATCATGAATTTTCTGATGATATATCGTGAACAATAATTTATCACCCATCCCTACAGCCTAACCAAATATCTTATATATGTAGCTAAAAATACACACACGCATAGGCACTGACGATAATAATACTCAGTATGTCGCACTTTCGGTTTCTCTTAAAACATATTTTAAAGATGCAACTTTGTTTTCTAAACTCAAAGCTCACAATATAAGCTGAAAAGATGAAACTACATGTAATAATATGTGGATATAATATGAAGACTATAACCTGCAAAACTAGGCCCTGCTTCAAGGTATCCGTCATTGTAGGAATAATGACATTCAATTGTGTTTTCCTTGCCTGAGTACAAGTACAGCAGCTGCAGAGAGAAAATACTGTAAAATAAAACTAAATAGGCGCATTGTTCAGCAAAACTCATGTGCATCATCTGACTCGATTCTGGGTTATTTCTTGCAGCCAATAGACGAGCAAAAGAACAATACTTGCATCAGGAAATGCCCATTAAGTGCACTATATATATACTTGAATGCATCCACAGGTAAATAGAAGCATAAATAAATCGCTTACTTCAGTTTATGTCAAGTAATCCTCATATTTCAGACAGTATGGCATAAATATCGACCTGGTATGTCTATTGGCTGTTTCTATACACCGGCTGTGACCACCACTTTGTGTATGTTGCCAAGGTGATGTGAGAAGAGGGCTCGACGTGTCACGTGAGGATGTATGATGCACACAAGCTGCTATTATTAGAAAGCGGTGCACGTGTAGCTTAAATGTGACAATAACACGGTGGTCAGAGTGAGCTCGAATACTGAAATAACACTCAATGCCACAGGTCGGAGGAGAGAATCAGGTACTGTCTATACACACACAGTACAATCAATCATGTGTTACTGTGTGTTGGTTTGTGTGTTACTGTGTGTTCATCTGCATACTCCTACCTCCAGGTCATCCAGGGAGCGAGCTAGGCTGAGACGTTTGGAGCGTCCAAATGAGCGTCTGGCTGATGAGCGCTGAGGAAGTGGAGGGAAACCCATGGTCAGACCACGAAACCGACCACCCTAAGAAAAGAAAAATATGATATATGTTCAGATCACAGGGCATGACAAGCAGAGGATGGCAGTACGAACAGGGAGGAAAGCCGGTGTCAAACTTGATATCCTAATTTGAAGTGTGAACAAGGTTGTTGACGTATTTTAACCTCCTGAGAGTCCCACATTGACAAATGAAGCATTTCCTTTACTTCTCTTTAAGATCTAATGCTCAAATACGAGGGTAAAGACAAAGAAGCACCAAATTCTGACTTTTTACAACACAAGCTTCATCACAGAATTCTTGATCGATAAAATCTCAGATTCCTAAACCATTTCAACCTTACAATCAGAGGGATCTGTTGACTTTTAGATGTTTCAGTTCGAAAATGTGTTCAAGTTTTTTAAAACACCCTGTGACCAGAGTGTGTAATCTGCCTATTTAGCAGGGCAGCTGTGTTAGAAAATGGAGTATTAATTCTTGTGTCTGCATGGCCTTCACATACAGTAAATCTTTCATTCTAAAGGCATGTACAGCCTTGTGACTTTGCCTGTAGCAGTAGGTCACCCTGTAGTCTAACACTCAACCACAACTATAGCACAGAGCACAAACAGGACTGACATTGTAATAACTATTTCATCTTCGCATAAGGTATTGTGGAGTATGCTTCAGATGAGAGCTGCTAACTCTAATAACTTAGTGTCAGTCATACACTGTAGCACAAGACTTACAGAGTGTGATATGGGCCAAACATCACACCAAAAAGGAGGACAACCCGGGACTTGAGCTGCGACTCTGTATTTCCAATCATACAAGTAGACTGTCTCCATTTAACAGAATGTAACTCTATTTTTTTCAAAGATTCAGATTTTTTTCTGCTTCTCTCACAGTGATGGTAGGCAGATTTCTAGGGCTGTAAAGTCCTAATTGTTGTCTTATTGGTCGAAATGTGCTGAGTCAACTAAAATTCTGATTGGTCGACTTGATTTTTTTCTGCGTCAATTTACAGTCTGTGGTTTATTTCATCAGGATGAACATATCAAGTGTTAATGGGGGTGTTCTCAGAGCACCCCCGTTTCACAGGTAACAGCCTGTCTCAGAACACCCCCCCCCAGACAGGAAGATTGAAATAGTGACGGGCACGACAGTTCTTTTAGACGTACTGAATCACTAGGATAAATTCACAGAAAAGATTCGTTCAAAAGATTCGTTCACCCAATCACTGAATCATTCAATGCTTGGCAGTAGAGGCCTGCGACTCCAACTTCCTAAACTCATACACAGCTGAATGGTTCAGGTTTCAGTTCAGTTCAGGGCTTCTGGGCCCAGGAGACGAGAGTGTTGTGGCTGCATGCGCTGTCCTTCCCTCCCTCCCTACCTGCAGCGGCTCGCCTAGCAATGCTGCAATTCCTGCTGACAGCTCAACTGAGCTGAGAAATGAACAAATCACTGGAGAAAGTGATTCGGTTCAGTATGTTCACTTAGAAGATTCATTCTTTTGAACGGATCATTCGCAAACGACACAACACTAGATTGAAGAACGTCCATGTTAATCACAGTCTGGTGGTTTGCTGAATATTTATTTTCATTTTGAGCATTTCAGTTTGCCTTTTGTGTTTAATTGCCTTCTTGTGCTGATGTCAGTATATTTTCCTCCACCGCATGAAGGTTTGCTGTCAGTCGGAAAAGTCCTCCCACCTTCATTAGTAGATTTTTGGTTGAAAATTTCAGGGTTTTAGTCGACCAAGACTTTCTTCTCTTGATTACAGCCCTACAAATATTTCCTTTTACAAAACGACTGAGTAAGAATCAGCAAACTCCAGGACACTAATGACTAATTTATCAATGCTGTCAGGCTCTAGAGGGCAAACTGTTACACGTGTTGAATCTGATTAGCTGATTAAGAACAGGACTTGTCGGCATTTCATCAGGGGTTGACCAGCGATGTTGCCTGGATACCAATGAGAGGCCTTGTGACTGAGTGTGTGAGTATGTGTATGTGTGTGCGTGTGTCAGCTAAAACTAACTCAAATACTGGATTACATGTGTTTGCATCACAAACATTCACACATGACCGGTTTTACCTATGTACTTTTGAAGCAGACAAGCATGAGGTTAAGATCTGGATTTAAATAGAAATGATCAGTGCTGATCGCTCTCTGAGGTGCAAGAAGATCATATTTTAGCAGGAAAAACAGAAGCTTTCTCTGTGCATCTGAACTTGTGCTCTTTTTTCTCAGACATGCTGTGAACACTGTCAAACGCACACATGCACACATTGAGGAAAAGAGGCATCCTTTCTGTTCAAATAAGAGATTGAATCGTGACCTCTTTGATTTATGTTGTGATTTAATATTTCAATACAACTTCATTAGTAATTTATCACTGAAATCTAAAATATTAGATCTGTACGTAAATGCTGTAGACAGACTGACTTCAGCTACCAACAGATTTCAAAATGTTCGTGCAGGAGGTGCAGCCGGCTTCTGGAGGGCTGCTGGTTTAGATAGTGAAACAGTGCCACCATGTGGCAGACACTTGAAGTCAATCAAAGATAAAACAGGATACGCACAAAGAGATACTAGGTTAGTTGTTAATGATGAACTTATTACCTGATGAAGTTTGTTTCTTTACTTTCTTAATCTTACATTTGTGCTAAAAGATGTGTAAATTGTGTGCTTAATTCACCTCAACAAAATCATCATTTTATCTGACCCTTATAAATGACCTTTACCATGGTGGTTACACCTCTGAGCCACAAAAAGCTCCAACTAGTCGACATTATTTATAGGTATTGACATCAAACTTCCGCTTACTATCAGCATTTATCCTGGCCCTGGCCCTGTACACATTTCCTCTCATTGTCCCCCTGGATGTCCCTTAGATCCTGTCTGCCGTGAGTTTTCCTGGGGGAAGCACCAACCTCATTCAGCACCAATTAACAAGGGTCTATCTCCAGTGAATTCATCTAGAAAGTGTGCAGTCGCGTCTTTTACTCTGCTTTACATTTCTATCTCTTAACAGTCAAATTAAGTCAAGAGTGCAATGATAAATACACAAAGGAAATATATTAATCTAATTATCATGGCAAAGAAGTCGAGTCTAGTGTTGCCCTGAGTCTTCTTACATGGGAAAACAGGTGGTTTTCAGGTGAAGGCAGATGCAAAGCTGCTGCATAATACATGATCTGATATTGGAGCAGTGGGGATAAATAACTTATCCATTCACTTGTTCTGAGAGTCTAGGGAGAACAGTCAACAACGGCGCCCCCACTATTCAGTACAAAACAGGAATGTTTGGTGAGGTGAATAAAGTTCATCGCACCTTTCAAAACCGCTGGAAAATTTCACATCTGTGTGAGAGGAGTTCAACGCTAGGCACTGGCAAGAAGAAGCTGAAAATACGGTGGTGAGCATGAGCATGAACACAGAGGGATTTATGGCCTCAATAAACTGCCGTCTTCAACACACTCTGGTCAAAGGAAAATTTCCACAGCAGGGGTGTGTGATGGGATACCACTCTCTGCCCAGGCTTCTCATTTCATGGTCACTTTTAACACAACTCTCCCAAAAGCTGGCTGCCAAAAAGCTAAGGAGGTATAAACTTTACTGTGCAGAGTATCACTTAAGCCAACAGGACTATCTCTTGGGTTAAATTCTCTTTAAGAAAAATGTTGATATTTAAATTGATAAGAAGAGAAAAAAAAAGAATTCGGACTGATAAAAATCTGAGTTGAACAAACCTTTTTTTCTCCGTCCTTCACATGCCCACGTTTCTTCTCCTTCTCACTTCTTTCAGCTCCGGCTCTTTCTCTGTCCCCTCCACCAAACAGCTTCTTAGCCCACTCATCTTTCTGAGCAGTTAGTCGGTGGGTGTGGGAGTGAGTATGCGGGGGAGCATGAGGCTGACTCCCTCCAGGTGGTGGCAGGTGGTCCCCGGGGGCCAGTGGGGCCCTGTAGCGGTCGGCCGGAATCTTGCTCATAGGTGGGGGCAGGGTGCTGCAGTTGGCTGAGGACCACCCGTCCGTGGATTCTGCGTAGGACTCCTGATCACTGCTTACGCCCTGAAGGTGGCTGTGGTGGTGCTGCTGACGCCAGTCTCTCAGCACATGGACAGGCAACCACCTCTGCTGGTCCACTCCTACTCCTCCAGCCCCTCTTTTGTCTCCTCCCACCACAGCTCCTCCCCGCTTCCCTTGTGAGACGTGGTGTGGGTGGACCCCTCGAGAGAGTCTGCCAGGGACATCAGGGTGAGCCAAGGGGAGAGGGTGAGGGATGTCAGCCAGGTGTGGTTCATGACGGTAGTGGCCATTCCTGAGAGCAGGCGGAGGAGGTGGAGGTGCAGCTGCAGCTCCGAGCGTGGGGCTCCAGGCCTGCTGCGGCGAAGGTGGACTGTCCCAGTGGCGTATCCCAGAGAGGTGGTTGTGGTTCGGTGGACCTCCGAGGTCCACTAAGAGTACTCTGTTGCTCTTCTCCTCTGGTAAAAAGTTACAGATGCCGCTGTCACTGTTGCTGCTGGTGCTGTGGTTCTGCTGAGCGTCATTGTCAGGGTCATTGAATGCTCGAGCCCGGACCCCCTCAATGTTGTCTCCCATGTCTCGGTAGAGGACTGAGACAAACTGGAGGAGAGGCTGAGAGCTGGGCGGGAATTCGAGGCAGCCTCCTGTGTCCGGGTCGGGAGTGCACTCAAAGCCAAACCTCCTTGCTACTCCAAAATGGACCTAAAAAAACAACATTCACAGTGATTGATATTTCTGAATTGTTTAATTGTAAGGGAATATATTTAATTAGGTTTATTATTTGTAACTCAATGGAAAGATTTGCACAAAAAATAAGGATTAGTTTTACTAGGGCCGGGCGATGTTGCCTCATATGTCATGATATATTGAGCAGTTCACCTCCATAATCATAAATGGACGATAACTACTCCACAAGCTGCTCACCCCCTCCCACATTAACTTCGTCTACTTCAGTCGCTACAACTTTTGATCCATCCTCCATCTCCTCACCTGTCTTTCCCTTTTTGTTACGGACTGGATGGAGTCAAGTCTCTGACGTAGGACAGCGTCTTAAAAGGGACATGAGACCGTAGCCTACCTACACACATCCTAAAACTAACTTTTATTAATTTATTTTTTGACACCGAATATTTTGATATGGGCAAAATTACTTTGGTTATTGTCGTAAATTTCTGTATCTGTAAATTTTCAGTTTATCGCCCAGCCCTAACTTTTCAAGATATGTTTGTTTTTCTGTAAAACATCTTTTCCCCCTCAAAGATAATAAAGTATGTCTTATCTAACTGAATACTGTCACAGGAGGTGACTCTTCTATCCTGTCTATTTCTGTATAAATTATTCAGGCGTGGTTTAAATAAAGGGAAGTCGTCTCCTTTAACACATCTCTTCACTGTCTCTGTGATCATACCTGATGGTGGCAGAGGTCCGGATCCACAATGAACACGTGGCAGGAAGTCCTCAAACTCCCCTCTTCGTCTCGTCCGTTTCTAAAGTAACAATCCTCCTGGTCATCAGTGGCCTGCATCGTGACCAGTCCAAAGAATCTGCGGTCGTCGGGACAGCAGGCACTGAAAGCGAGTTTCTCTGCGGGATAGGTGGCCAGAACTTGACCCCTTTCGCTGCACAGACACACACTGTCATGCATGACCTGGTGGGACAGAGTTGAAACAGATAACAAAGCACAATGTAGTATAACACAAGAACAATAAAAACTTTTAACTTTCGAGAGTTAGCTTTAAAACTTTCATTAGTGGCAAAGTCTCTTATTGGAGCTCAGAATCACATTTCTTATAACTTCACAGTTGTTATCGATGCAATAATTTCTCAAACTTTACTTGCTGTTATCATCATAGTTATTCAGATTTATGCTGCCATGCATCTTTGTCAGCCAGTTTGTTTATATGCCTGACTTCAACCTCTTTTTTATGAGCCCCGGTCGCGGCAGATGGCCATACACCTACAGCATGTTCTGTGCTTGTAAAATTTGATGATTTTCTTCTTGCAACTTTCATCAATACTTGATCAGATTTGAAAACTTTGGTCTCTGTAAATTAAACTGCAGTAAAGGAAAATAAGGAACACTGTTTTTAAACTGTCAAAATTAAGTAACTTATGATCATTGTCCTTTTTTCAGAACTTTCAGTGTGAATAAACCAACGCTGATCAAGTCCTAACATTTTGTCGAGCTTGTGATCAATCACATCAAGTTAGTAGACTTTCAGTAAGGTTAGATATTCAGAGTAAACCAATAATACAATATTCTCTTTAGATGAAACATTTTGCCATACCTTCATAAGAACCAGTGAATGGATCTTTTGCTCGGCCCGAAGTCGCCTCATGCTGCATCTGATCGCTTGGAGGCTGTCGTTCTCTAAACTCATCCCTGTAGAAGCCAGCTCAATGGAGCCTAGGTAGCCGACAATCATGCCCACATTTAGGATGCCCTCGCTGGGCTCCAAGACCAAGTCACCCCCATCTCCCACATCCAAGTCTTGTTCTTCATGTTGGTGAAGGTGAAGCTGACGAAAGTCTGAGTCCAGAAATACTGAATCATCGTTCAGAACTTGAGCCATTTCCTCTTCAGAGAGCAGGTTGGGGTTGCTCTGGAAATGGGTTGAGTTGTGATATGGAGGGAACTCTGGATCAGACAGTGGCCGTGGCTTTGATGACGTGCTCGCCCCAGATCTCTCCTTGTCTGAGCTGCCGGAGGAGTGGCTGGAGTTTTCAAAGATCATGTTAAAAATTCCTCCTGACTGCAGCTCTGCCACAACTTTCTCTGCTCTGTTGATGCCGAGCTGTTTGGAATCCAATTTGGGTTTATACCAGCCTCCACGGGCTCCACAGCCTGACCTGCTGTTATTGTTGTTGTTAACGCCGTTGTCATAGAAACCATCCAACTCATCGTCACTAGAGCAGGAGTCAAGGTAAGATGCTGTTGTAACATTACTAGCGCTGTGACGACCGGTAGAGCGTTGGTGGTGATGGTGCCGCCTGTGACGCTCTGTTTCAGCTATGACAAGTTTCAAGACGCCAGAGCAGCGTCCAATCAGCTTGACTACATCTTCATGGGATGCCTTGGAGACGTTGATGTCATTGACAGAGAGAATGTAATCTCCTGAATGCAAACCTACGTACTCTGCAGGACTCCCTTTCAGGATACAGCTGAGAACACATGGACTTTGGCCTGAGAGTGTAAAGCCATACCCCGTTCTTCCTCTCGCCACTTCCACAGCCCGGATACGACCTTGCTGGGTAGAGGAGGGCGATAGAGGTTGGTTGAAACCAGCAGAGGGCCGTCTTTTAGGTTGTGCATCCCCTTGCCTGAACATTGTGTCAGAGAACTTTCCCTTGTCCATGAAGAAATTAATCAGTCATTGTTGCCCTTCGGCCAAGTTTAAGCAGAAACACAGAGCATCTCTTTTGCAGGTCGAAATGTCAAACTTCTCTTCTGCCAAGCAACTTGAAAATAAGTACAAGTTCTTTTTGAAGCAGAAGGATGAGAGCTTGGTCTTAGCTCTAGCTAAGTTCCTCCACTGCCATCATGTGGTGTCAGCCTCCCCCTGGTTAAGGGCTCATTTACCTACAGAACAAAAAAAACAAACACAAAGTTACTCATAATATTCTTTGTCACATACATTGACTGTCTCTACCTTGGCTTATTTACATACATACATACATTCCTTACATGTCATGTAACTAGGGGTGCACCGATCACAATTTTCTTGCCAATCACTGATCTTTAAAAAGCTTGACCTGCCACCTGGGTGCATGTTTATGTGTAACCTATCTGGTTTAAATGCAGTGCGGTTAAAACCCAGTCCAAAATGAAAAATAAAGACCAACATCAAAGTATTCTCATGATTATTAAGCATGCAGACATTTTAAGCAAAATAGTTTTGAGAAAATTCCATCCGAACCAAAACTAAGCACATATGTGCAAATAAAGCAGGATTTTAACCCTGAAATATCAGTCACATCTCATTTCAATCAATCAATCAGTAAAACTCCATCTATAAAGCGCTTTTCCTACAGGAATGTGACTCAAATTGCTTTACAGTCAAGTTAAAAACAAAAACAAAAAACTCCACCCCCAACCACACATACACACACTAAGAGAATGGACATGAGGCTGAATACAGATGAACCAGTTGAGAAGGCACCATCAGAGGAGCCGTCAGAACCAGGAGCAGAGAGCCGCCCGCAGCCACAGGACACCGACACACAGGGCCAGTGGAGGGATGTGTCAGACAGCAACCTCCACCAGGAACCCCGTGGCCGGCCCCTGCAACCACAAGCAACCATAAGCGACCACTGCTTCCAGTGCCGAGGGCTCCCTCAGAGGAAACACTGGGGGTCCTAAAAATTATTAAAACAAGTAAAAACTGAAATATGGGTAAAACACAGACCTAAAATAAACCTAGGCTAACTACAATAAATGAAGATAAAACAAATAAATATCAATTAAAAGCCAAGTTAAAAGGTTGAAGCTTAAAAACATGAATGTTCTCTGCAGCCCTGATTCATCTGAAGGCCAAAGATCCTTGATCACACAGTTAAGAGCTGAGATTCTTCCTGAGGTTGGTCAGTTCTCACAATATAATGACCTGAGGAAATTTGTTTGTTTTATGAAGTTGCTCAACAAAACCCTCAAATAATGTGGTGTCTAAATGAGTCCAAACTGGTCTGACTGTTTGACTGTGATGTGCTCAAACTTGTTTATTTTGTATTTTATGTCTCAACGTATTTAATTTAATTTTCTTTTTTGTTTTAAGTCAGAGATTTACCTTAAAACTGATTAATCCTGGATTGTATGAACCAGTGGTGTCATGTAAACGCATGTGGGTTGGGCATATAAATATATAAATGACACAATAATGAAATTAAAACTTGAAAACTTGTGTAAAACGACAGCTTTTAACCTTAAACATCAAACAGTTAACACAACAGGTATCTTTGGACGGCATCTTTCGTTTGTTTTAAAGGCTATTTACTGAAAAATGCCTCAAAATGTTCCCAAAATAAACCTGTAAAACGATTGAACGTTTGCTGAGAAGTTGACGCGTTACAGTTAGCTTCGTTAGCAGTACATGCTAACGCGGCTACACGTCAGTCCTCGTTGTTGTAGCCGCTGCATAACAAAATAAACGTTTATGTGTTTTTCCACGTAAAAAGGTGAGCATGCTTTACTTTCCGACAGGTATTGAGAATTACCCAAAACTTTCTTGCCGTGACTCGCTGATAAAAGGTGCATCCATCCATGCTTAAACTTTAGTCCCGCCCCCGATTTCCACTTCTTTGGAATGTCGGTCTGTTACTATGGCAATGCATGTGTACACACTCTTTTATGTCCTGTCATTGGCTTCCCGAGTTGTCAGTCAGGCAGAAACCGTTATGAGTATAAATTGGCATAAGTTTGTTTGAGAAATCGCTAATAAAAGTGTACAGTGGCGTATTCTACAGGTGTCCAAACCCTAGCATCAGAAAAATGACAGTCAGCTGGTTGAATAATATAATAGGTTATTGAAAACAGACTGAGCGTATTGATTGGTCTTTAACAAGCGAGACGGCAACCGACAACAGCTGGCTACAGAGTTGTAAAGTAAGGGTGGCTCTGCAAAAGCTGGATGTAGGTCTACTTTGACTCTCCGACCGAGATGTTTGCTCCAACTGCGAGTCTACGGGACTTACTTGTCGGTGTCCGGCGGCTGTGCTGTCTGGGCAGGGTCCATGCTTTAGTATCCAGGGTGAGTTAGGTAAACTCAGGGACGGTGGGTAAACAAAGAAAAGGCTGCACCATCTGGCGAAGTCGCCTTATGAGTAGGAGGACTGGAGGAGAGGGAGGTGTACCGAGAGAACAGCTCCGGGAAGGAGGAGGAGGAGGGGGATGAGGGTTAAAAGTTTACTCACTCCATTCACTGTTCCTACAAAATGTTAAAATGCTTTATATGTATTTATTTATTTTTTCACAGAGAAGTTTATTTAAGGTTGTTTGATGCTTATCCTACATTTACGGTGGCCGAGAACTGCTGCAAATAAAAAAAGAATGCAAAAAAAGAAAAAGAATGCCACTGCTGCAAATTTTAAAAAAATGCAAAAAAAGGAAGGTAACTGATGCAAAAGGGGAAAAAAAGATACTGAAGCCCACAGCAAATAAAAAAAGAAACGTGACAGATAAAAAAAAATAATAAATCCACAATGAGAGTTATTGACACAAAAAAAAGCAGTGATGCAAAAAAATATATATTTACTGTGAAAATAAAAGGATGCTAGTAAAAAAGAACGCCACTGCTGCAAATGAAAAACTGCAAAAAAAAAAAAAAAAAGATACTACAATGAAAGTTACTGATGAAAAAAAAAAAAAAAGTTATTGTGAATTTTTTTATTTCCACAGTAAGTAACTTTTTTTGCATCGCCACTTTTTTTGCGTCATTGACTTCCGTTGTGGCTTTTTTTTTTTTTTTAATTAAAAAAAAAAATCTTTTTTTATTTTCTGTGGGCTTCAGTTTCTTTTTTTTTTGCATCAGTAATTTCCATTGTGGCTTCTTTTTTTCTTTTGCATTCTGTTTTATTTGCAGCAGTGGCGGTTCTCTGCCACTGTACATTCAAGCTTGTTTGTTGCTTATCCTACATTATTCTATACTTTTCTGAAGAGATGAAGGCCCTTGAATTTACCACAGGTAACATATTAAAACAGTCAGTGAAAGTGCATCTCTGCCAAATGCTCGGAAGTACAAATGCCTTCTTTAATTTGCAATTTAATTATATTTCTTTTTAGTTTTCAATGTGAAGTTACTTAACACCTGCTCGGCCACGACTTAAACACAGTGTCATGAACCATATGGCAGCTGTCTGGTAATCCTGTTAATGCATTTTAATCATGAACCAGCCATTGTAGTGTGTGCTGTAAACCAAGAGCAAACCCATAATTAGGATTACGGCTTGGTTCAGAAAGGAAAACACTGTAAATACACTTTGCCTTAGTTTTTCTGTGTCTTATGTGTTGATGTTGTTGCTGACCAGCTGAAGCAGAGGGATTAGGCATAGTTTGGCAGAGCACTTTATGCTTACAGTGGATCTTGTGCAAAACAAGTTTGTAGATTTTTTTTAATTGGGGGGAAAAGAAAGAAAAAAAACATCCTCTAGTTCGCCAATTCAGCAGTTCAGTCAAGTTCACCGTGTGAAAAAAGTCCCAGAGTGAAACACCACTGAAGATAATTTTTGCATCTTTAAATAATTTATTCATCTCTACAACAAATCATATTAATTTTATAATACCAGCAAATCTTTTTTTAATCAACTGAAATACAAATATCTCCCACTGATAGTACAAAAAAAAAAAAAAAAAAAAAAGGATGGTAAGGAGGCGTCAGGGTCCTGCTGAGGATCCTGCAGATTATCCGCAGTCAGTGCTTTTATCATTTCCATGGCGGTCTCGGATACAAAACAGCCAACATGCTCACTGCACGAAGCCGTAACATGATCTACTTGAAAAAGCTGAAAAAAAAAGTTGTAACCAGCGATTCTAGGCTTTAGAAAAAAAGAGAAAGTCTTGATTATTTTCAGATCAGAGTAAAAATACAGTCACAGAGGAAAGCATGTTCCATTAATTGAATGTGACCTTTGTCCCCAGCCTAAACATCCATCCCCAAAAGCACAGATTTCTAGGTAATCGCATTAACCCTGCAGGGGTCCCATTAAGTCATCGCCTTGCCTATTACTTAATTACTGAAAAGGAGAACCAAATGTAATTTATGTCTGGAACTGATACCTGAAATATTGTAATTAAATGGTAATCTGTATCATGTTTGCTGACACAATGTAATTTATCGAGGCCTTTTATTGGAACTTAAATGAAAGCTACAGATTTCATTTTTTTTTTATTGTGCTAAAACATTTTAACAAGCTCAAAGAAAGCCAGTCACATTGCTTTAAGGTTAGAGAGTGGTAACATATAGAATTCAAATCTGCATGACAGTGTTACACGTATGAACGGTATGTATGTCAAGGAAGCGCTTCAAATAAAAATGAAACAAATCTGGGAGTTGAAGTGCTGGGTGTATTTAAAAATGTAGCACTGACAATGAATAATGTCATATTTAATGATCTCCAACAGAGACAAAACAATATTTAAAGCTCAACAAAATCAAAAATCTCCCGTCTGTGACGTCTCGCCATCATGCTACACGTTCTCATCAGTTGATTTGTCAAAGCTTTTGCTAAGGTTACAAGGCTTCCTTTGGATTGTGTCGCACCTCTTCCGAACAATGGTTACAGCAACCGTATCCACAGACACAAAATAAGACTGAAAGAAATGATCTGTGATCCGAAGCATGCTTTCAAGCTTTTCAGTGTACATGTTGCACATACAGTATATTCAGTCTTCATCTAAGGCAAGTGTATGTACAGGGTAACAACGCCCAGTCACTCCCAGGCAACTTACGGTCAAGTCTGGAATAAAATACTATAAGCTTGTTCATTTCTGCATTCTGTGGTAGGCTTTTACTGACGTTCTTTTTCATCATTATCATGTGTTTGCGTGTTCAGACAGAAAACAGGAATCACATTACCTCAGCTAGTTTAAGATCTTCCATCTTTACACAGCTCTTATTTTATCATGCACCATGGCTTTCAATTGACTTTACAATTACTTTTTACAAGATATTATGAAGGTAACTCCATGTAAAGATCGACTGCAAATCAACTTCCAGTCTTATTACAACAACAATAAATCACATCTTACATCCTGAGAATTAAAAAAAAAAAAAAAAAGCACAAGAAATGGACCAGAGAAATCATTTTTGAGTGCACTGGGGAGCTTACAAGACTCGAATACAATAAAAAAAAAAAAAAGACTTGGCAGATTAGCAATGTCATAAAACAATGAGAAGAAATGCTTTCTCCCACCCTCTGCTACTGCTACAGGATAAAAAGTAGAGTTGACATGATTGCTATTTTGGTATTTGTTTGCTTGACAGTGTTAACTCTCTTAAATAATAGTCATATGGGCCCTAACGAGGTTACAGCTTTTTTGTTAAAATAAAATTTGAGATGTTTTTATTCTGAAGCACGTGTACTCGTCCAGGTCTTTGTCCGGCCAAAACAACATTCACCTCAGACACAGACATGGTCGTTAAAATTGGTGCAAACACGTCGATTTCTGTTGCAGCAATCCATCTCCTGCTATGGCTGTATTTGCTCATCCATACACATAAAATATTGACTATTTATCCAATGTGTCGGACTGATCCCCCAACATCAAGCAGGCATTTGTGACACTTGTGTTGTGCCAGCCTTTTGTCAGTATCCTCACAAGACCTTACACACTCCTAACATGACATTCTAGAAAATAGATGCGTTGAAACTTTGTCAACCCTAAACTTTATGGTCAATACTCTGCATTTTCTTATTTATTTAGTTTTTTCTATTTTACTTCACTGACATCACAATACTCAAGCAAGTCCTATGAGGAAAATACACATTTGTGTGTAAATTTTTTTTTCTTTTTATAGCCAAGGTGCTAAAAGTGGAAGGAAGAATCAAAGGTGCTGTCGTTTGAGGAATGGTCTGTGTGGGGGGGTGTGTGGTTGTGGGCAGAACCACTGTTTCAAGGATTTGCAGCCAGAGTCCTTCCCATACGGATGTTATATTTAACAAACAAACGAAAAATGACATTGATTCAGATACCGCCCCCCCTTGGTTTTGCTTTATGCTCACTTTACTGAATTCAATGAGGTAAATTCAGTCGCTCTATTTACTCTGTGTGTGTTGGAAGGAAACGATGAGGCTACAGTACAAACTTCTACAAGACATCCCCCACCCTCAATCACAACTCACATAGACTTCATTTTACCAAACCATAAAGATATATATATATATTTATATATTATCCATTTTCATTCTATGCTTCATGTGCCTGTCTCTGTGCCTACAGGTCCATCTCCTTTTGTCGCCCTCAGAGTGTGGTGTCCTGGTGAATTGACTGCAGGCAGCCCAGCAGCTGGTAGTAAGGGCTGCCCGGTGAGGCCACGGTCTCAAAGACGGACTGGAAAGCCCTGCGGTCCAGCTCTTCGTCAATCTGGTGCCGGTAAAAATCCATGGCCACCAAGCAGAACAGGTTGATATCGACCACTTCGCTTGAGCCCATTCTGCTGATCACGTGAGGCAGCCTGGTGAGGAGCGAAGGGGTTAAGGACTTCATACCTTGTATTGAATATGAACACACTGTAAGGGTGATTTTCTTTAGCCAGTCATGTCAGCCTTTCGAGTGGTGGAGCTGTGTCACCCAAATACCGGGGATACTTTGGTGCTAGATTTCTGGAGCCGTGGGCCTTCGACAACTATCCTCAACAAGGACCTTGTACCCATGTTTAACATCACTCAGGCTCCCAGAATATGTTGTGCTTTGTTATAACCCTACATGTACTCTCCTTCAGGTTAACAAGATGCAAGCAGAATGTGTGTAAACATGGACGACTACATATACCTGAACAGTCTCAGACCAATCTTTGTTACACTTGTGGCATGATGAAGCTGTAACCCAGATCTGCAACCAGTAAAGCTTGTCAAAATGATAATTCGTGTGGACCCTCCATTCTTTTAAGTGTGAACATGTGCTAGGCATCCTTACACACACCATACAGTATAGATTCAACACTCAAATCAACATCCCATTTATGGGTAGTTGTCCAGTTAAGGATACAGAGCTGAGATCCATTGAGAGGTGGAAGCAGAGACGAAGAAACAGGAGAGGCTCCACATGGCCATAGCCACAGGTGTCCTCTGAGTAAAGTTGGACAAGGACAGCAACACCCAGTCTCGCACCATGGAGGACTGGCCTGTGGCGTGGAGTGTCTGGAAAACCTGGAAATGGAAGCAGAGCAGAACAAGAGGTAGTGAAAAGAAAAAAAAATCAGCATAAGCGAAAAAATCATCAAGTCTTACAGTAACTACTTGTCAACATCACAACCAGGGGGGTAAACGTTTATATTCTGTGTGATTAATTTCTAAAGTTTGTCCACAGCTCCATAGAGATTGCTGGAGGAGGCGGGATTTAAGACCTATACTGCAGCCCCCCACCAGAGGGTGCTGTTCTCGGGGTGGCTTCACCCAGTGAGGAGGCAGACGGCGTCCATTCTATATACAGTCTATGGTTATTACAGATAAGACAAATGTAATGAGAGTTTTATTATTCTTGCTCTCTGGCAGAAATCACATCAGACGTGGTCAAATGTTTTCATTTGTTCAGTCTTATATCCTGCTGCTCACCTTGTAGACAACCGTGGCCATAAACTGCGGATAGGGTTGCTGATTGGACAAGAACTCTCCGATGACCTTGTTCATGACATCCTGTGGTGGGAAGAAGTCGTCCAGGAATTGGGGCAAAATCCTGGACACGACCCGAGCTTCGCTTGGTAGACCTTTACGGATCCTACGGACAGAAACCCAAAACAGCAGATGATGACGGGAACACACAAGCTGCTGTCACTGGATGATCTGGACACCACAAACCCAGAGAGTTCAAATGGCCAACACTACTTTAGATGTATATGAGATGTTTATAAGATCTTGTATAATGAAGTTTGTTTGTGTGTTTCTGTACCTGTCGAAGAGCACTGACACCCTCTCCATGGCAACAATGATGGACTCGCTGTCAGGGGCTTGAGGGTCAGAGTGGGCGGGGCGACTGGCGGGGCTGGCTTTCTCCTTGCCTGAGGAGAAACCAACATGACCCGTCGTGACCCCCAGCGCCTCTGCTCCAGCAGAGCCAGAGTCAACCTGACCTCTAACCCCTGTCACGTCTGAACCCGACGCAAGCACCGCTGAGGGGACGAGAGGGGGGATAGGCACGGGTTGGACCATTGGGGGGGAGACGTTAGAGTGGGTAGTGGGGACATCATTATCACAAGATTCAGATCAGAATTAAGCCAACTTTGGTCATTCACATTCTTCAGATGTATGAGATTGTTGTTTACAGTATTACAGAGATTTTCATTGCCATGTTAGCGGCTACACTTTATGGAAGATTATCCCCTCTGTGACCCGGATGAGCTCCAGCTTGATTTGTTTTGCAGTAGAAGGAGAAGTGTTACAGACTGGTTTACAGAGAGAAAGTCGACCAAAAGATCTCCTGAGAAGAGCTGATGTCTAGCTGGTCACCACATGGATGACAGAGCACCAGGAGTTCGAGGAGTTAGTAGAAGACGACGCAGGGGTTAGAGGTAGGGCATAGGTGTGTACTCAATAGATGTATCACATGCCGGAAGTGAGCAGGTTTGCACTAAAATGTTTGGTAAAGCCTTTAAAAAGTCAAGTTTGCTCTAAGAAGTGATAAAGTGTTAGTCACCAGGAAAAGGTTTAGAGTAAAGACACACGGTTCTTTCTCGCATTCAGTGTGAAGAGAGCTGTTATAGTAGTTTTTCCTCTACACAGCACTTAGTCTGAGAGGTTATCGTCTCTATCCTTAAAGAGTACATATTTTTTATACAATAAGGACTTTTGTATCATGTATGTTGTATCAATTAGGGGTGTCCCGATACAACTTTTTTACATCTGTACCATACCGGTATTGTAGCCTTCAATACCGGCTGATACCGATATTGATCCGATATTAGCAAAAAATTGTGCATGACAAGTTTTGCACTCGGCTGCAATGGCTTTTTCGGTCTTTGATGAAAAATACTGCCAACGTCACACCTAGATTTCAACCTAAACCTCCAGGGTTTCCTCATCTTGAGTCTTAAAATGACATTTCGTCAGTGTGTATATTCCTGTTTCCATGAAATCAATTCTTTTTTAAGTTTATAAATTCTAATACAGTTTCTGTTGCATTTAGATTGTGGGGTGGGAATGAGGGGTTGGGCTGGGGTAGATCTGGGTATTTGTTTCTTTTATTCCTTTTTCTGTGTAAAGCACTTTGTGCTACATGGTTGTGTATGAAAAAGGCTATATAAATAAAGACTGATTGATTGATTGATAATCCAATATTTGATTTTTTGCTGATATCAGACCGATATAATCCGATATCAATACCGTATCGAGACACCCCTTGTACCAATGTGGTCCAATTAGCCAGCAAGCTGAAATCAAAGGTCTTTTGAAAGTGAAAAGTTATTGAGGAAGTCTCAACAGCGACAGTAAAAAGCTAGCTGTTGATTTAACAGGAATGCAGATTACTACGCATTAGCTTCGTTAGCTTCTCCCTCACCAGTGTACATGCAGGTGAGCATGAGTCCCAGGGCGGCCATGGCTCTGTGTGGGGAAGGCATGTTGACCCGGTCCACGCTCAGTTTGACCAGCGCCTCTCCATCCACACGTGACAGCTGCTCCGACAGCAGAAGACGCTCCAGACCACGAAGCACACAGTGATAGATGACCGAGGGGGTGGAGTCCTCGCTAGCAGACACCATCACGCCACACAGCTAAACAAGCGGGTAAGAAATAAAGCAGGAGAGAAGTTAAATATATTTTTGCAACAAGGTAAAGAGCATTTAGGTTCAGTAGAAAAAGATATCAGCCAAAATGTGATATACCTGTATGACTGCAGCCATAAACTCTGTTCCAACATCTAGAGGGTAGTTTTCCATCATGTAGAAGGCCACTGCACACATCACCAACACATGCTGCTGGTTATGGAGGTTCACACAGCTGCAGAATTCAAGGAAAAATAAAACAAATCAAAATTTTAAAAAAATCCCATTTACTTTGTCAGTGTATTTTTTTCTGTCCCTTCTCCTCCTTTGTGCCCCAAACTCTTCTCAGGAATAATTTTTTTTATTCTCAGACTACTTTCTGAGTTTCTCCAACAGAAGATTGTGAAGGTTGAGCATGTGCAGATTGAGAGTGATACTCACTGAGCAATAGCTCTCAGGTTTGACAGCAGATAATCTGAGACTGTTGGAATAAGCTGTTTGGCTGTATCATCCAACAGGTCACACTCCAACACATACAACACTCCGTGGAGAGCCCCCAAGCGGCTGGGCAGGTGGGTGCTGCGCAGGGTTGTTTCCAGCAGTCGGCAAACGGGCTCAGCTATTGCTTTGTCCTAAAAAAAAGAAAAAGAAAAAAGTTTTCAGAGTTTCCAAATGTGAGTCTAGTAAACTCTGGGGCCTCAGCGGTACAACCAAAAACAACCACAAATCATCCCATTTAAAAAAAAAAAGTCCCTAACCCAAACACAGCTGTACTCACCATGCCCAGTACAGCGGCGGCCTTACAGATGGCGGGCACTAGGTATTGATTGAGGATCTCGTCTTCAGGAGGGTGAAGCTTCTGAAGTTCCATCAGGGTGGAGAACATCATGTCAAACTGGTTCCTCTCTGTGAACAGGTCTGACACCGCCAGCAGCTACAGAGGAAAAAAAAAAAAAAAAAACAGAAAATGATGAAGAGAAGGCTCTACTGTCATAGTCCAGTTCCTGAGGGATTCCCCTTTGAAGTGCTGGTATTGTGTGTATCGTAGCTCACCGATCGGACCACTTCACTGATGAGTATAGTCGGGGTCCTCCTGTTACTCGGGGAGCCGGGGATCAGCCACTGACTGTACAGCTCCAGGAGAAACTGGGAACATGAATGAATGTCCACACCTGCTCGATGCTTCCTGCAAGCACAGATAAGAAAAGTGGGTTCGACTCTGTGTGTTAAAATCAAAGTATTAATGAGTTTACATGTCCTCATCTACTCCTCTGACCTCGAGTTGATGGGTGAAACAGGTGGAGAGGTCGGAGCAGGAGTGTCTGTTTCATCCTCTTCATCTTCACCCCATTCTTCCTCTCTCAGCGGGGTGATGTTGTTGCCCAGCCATACCGAGTGAATGGAGACCTGGGAGGAAAACAAACATTTGAAGTTATGTCAACGTAAAATGAAAAATTTGACTAATTTACTGACACAAGCGTCTCTTACTTGTCCTAGTTTGTAGTCCATGTTGCCCATCTCCCTCTCTGTGTTGATCTGAAGCAGCAGCTTCTCGTGACTGATCAGAGTTCCCGCTGAAACAAAATTAATCAACATGACAGAGTGGTTGATGTAAGAGTGGCAAATGTAGCTAGAGACATGTTGAGTGTGGATTCTGAATTACCAGCTGAGGCCGATGACAGCGACGGTACAGGGTCCCAGGCGTGGTAAGGGTGGTGCGTATGCAAATTATCTCTCTTCGAAACCAGGGCCTGAATCTCTCTCTCCACCTCACCCCTGATCACTGCCAGTTTTCTTCCAAACCTTGATGCAAACACACACAGAGACACAAACAAAACCTTGATATTTATTTACTCTTTTTTCTGGCACTTTTTAAATGTTTATTCAAAAAACCATCAAACCTACCGTGTCTCCAGGGCTTTGAGACTCTTGTTGCGGGGCTGCTGTTCCAGACAGCTGACTGCAGGGTTACCAGCAGTGGGCAGGGTCATGGCACTCAGCACCAGGCTGGTGATGGCTTGCACTGCTAACACATTCAACTGGGTACGCTCTAAGTCCTCCTACAAAACATTGAGACACACTTAGGAGTTAAAAAAAAGAACAAAAAACAGAAAGATCAGGAGGCTCTAAAATAGTTCCCACACACACATAGCTTTTGAGACTAAAGGCTCATTTATGTTCGCCCGTACATATGAAAATGTACACGTCTGTTTTAAACGATGGTTCCATAATTGCCTAAATACTTTCATGCGTCCTTTACGTCGGCATTAAGGCTGCACGATATTGGAAAAAAATAATATTGCGATTTTTTTCAACCCTGCGATATATATTGCGATATTAAAAATACAGGAATTTTCACCAGATGACCTGAATAGCACTTAATGTTATGCTGCACTGCTGAAATCTTGAGGACAGTTAACCTGCTCTGATCTTACCTCTTTTTGTGAATGTTAGTAGAACGGCTTCTGTCTGTCTCAGAGATATTTTTAGCTTTTATTGTGCTGGGACGTTATTGTGGCAACAGATGAACACAGAAGACGTGTTTTGGTCGACATTATCCTTCTTTTAACCGAAATAATTCCAGATAACTGACTTTCCTTTTCTTTTTGGCAACAAATCTTCATTTTCGGTGGTTTTCGCTTGTTCGTTGTTCATTTTGCGATCGTTGTTGTTGTTGTTAGCGGTGTTGTGCCGAGAAACGCATGTCCTCCGAGAATTGCATGCACCTCGGAAAACGCACACTGCTTATAGTAGAGTGGTCCACGGAAATGTACAATTTAAAACCCATACAGTTCTTATTTGTTGGGCTTAACAGTCAGTAAAGTTCCGAAAGTAATTCTCAGCGGACACACGTCTCCCTCCATGTGCAGAACATGTGCAGGGGTGGGTCTCCTCCTCCCTGATTTTGATTGACAGCTGGCAGGATAGTCTGATTGGCAACTGAGAAGTGAGTCTGATTGGCAACTGAGTTAAGGACGAAGGTGATTGGTGGATTGCTGCACAGCACATGCAGAGTCACATGGAGTGTATCTCAGTCGGTTACCCTTGAAATTAAATGAGTTCATTCACCTCCAATATCGCAGGCTCTGCGATGTGACTATCGCACACACGTACATCGCGATGACGATAGTCAAACGATATATCGTGCAGGCCTAGTCGGCATGGATATTAACCACTACATCCACCAGGGGGCAGGTCAGAGTCAAAAGTTTCTGACAACAACAAACAAACAGAAACACAGCAACTGTGGAGGAGCAAGTGATAATGTATATTTTGCACAGAAGACAGAAACGAAGGCAGCGTTTGAGGAGGCGGAGGTCGATCAGGCCACTGAATGCCTTACTGTTGGAGGACGGAGAATTATTATCTCTAGTAGTACCGATAAGAGAAACTGACAACGATCATCATTTTCAGTACTGTAGCAACATTGCCCCCACAGTTTCCAGTGGTACTGCTCTGTCTGTCGGATACGTGCAGAAATATGGACGAAAAGAACGCGTCCATATTTCACGTCCGGATCCATATGTAACATTGAGCATAAATGAGCCACAAGTGTATATATACCTCTTGCTGTGCCTCCTCCTCTTGGTCCATAGTGATGGGTTGGGTGACCAGCACCCCAAGCAAAGTGGCCCAAGTCTCCTCAAATTGAGTCCTGCTGCTCCAGCCTGAGTTTATACAACAAAACATGTAAGAGGGGCATGAAGAACATCAGCATGTAGCTTTCACTGCCACCCCAAAAAACGGATCTGACAGTAACTTCCAGAAACAATAAGACATGTTTTAGTACCCAGTGTGTTGATGCGGTAGAGGAACTCTCTAAAGACATCTTTTTCCTGCAGGAAGTCCACGGGGATCTCCGGCAGTGTTGTGCCAAACTCACCTCCTGGCTGAGGGGACCAGCCCAATTTCCAGACCTGCACACACGAAACATCAATAAACCACAAGATTCAGGTGTACAAACTCAAGGCATGCTGTCTCTGTCACACTAACCAGGGGGGGTACTCTGGTGAAGCTGTTGACCAGGGGGAGTCGAGACAGACTGATGACAATGTTGCGCAAGGTCGGTGTAAGGAAAGCAGGAAATGCGCTGTTTCTATGGTGACCCAGAGCGAGAACGCTCTGCAGACCTTCCACCAGCTCAGCCATGATTTCACACGCTTGCCACTCAAACATGTCTGCAACACAGAAGAGGAATTTTCCATCATACATCTCTTAAAGCTTTTGAGATAAGAATTTTCTAAAACTGTTTGACTTGATCTCACGTTTAGCATGTGCCGAGTCCACCTGATCTTCTTCAGCATCTCTTTCTGCTTTAGTCTTCTTCTTCTCTGGATGCAGAAGCTGGTCTCCAGGACTCACAGCCACTGGGGAGTAAAAGCAAAAGTCAGCATCACCGGAGAATTCAATGTAAAAAAATTTAAGCCCACAGGCTTTTGCGGCAACAGTGAATGCAGGAGCAAGCTCTGGTTTATCTACCCACCGGCAACAATGATAAGACGTAGACAGTAGATAAGAGAGCAGGTGTATGTGCTGCACTCAGGGGTGGAAAGCTTGTTCCAGACACAAGGCTGCTGCAGGGCGAGACAAAGGCAAGAGAGAGCCCACTGGAGGTCGACACTCAGGGGCAGCTGGTCCCGTAGGAGACGCCAAACAACCACCTAAGAAATTTTTTTTTAAAAAGTTAAGCAGTTGGATGGACTGTGTGTGTAAAGTTGTGAGTTAATTGTGACAGATTGTCATTCCTCATTCTATAAAAAAATAGTTATAGTTTTTACAAGTTTTCTTTTTACTATTTGTTGAAGTCTACATGTTTTGAAGAAGAAAATAAAATGCATATTTTTTTAATCTGTTTTTTACCTCAACGGCAGTGCAAGTGAAAGTGGTGATGAGGTGCTCCTTGTCAGAGGGGATGTGTAGTGAAGATGGCAGCTGGTTTACACTCAGCAGGTACTGGGACAGAGCTCTGCACAGTGACAAAACCCTTGGATAGAAACTGGGCTCATCTGAAAAACAGAGAGTAACACATGAATGAATAAAAAGTGTAGAGCTGCAGCTATGACAGGAGATTTCTCCTCCTGTACTTTTACTCCTACAATACTTGATACTTCAATAAAGGGATATTCCGTCGTAAAATTAGTTAATCACCGAGTGCTGCAGATCATCACCATGAAGTAATAATCATCATAATAATCATTTTGCACTGCAGACCCAGTAGTTCTTCTGCCTTAGCGTCTCGGTCTGATTGCATTTCCATGAAGTAATAATCATAAATGTTCTTCCTTGAGCTCCGAAACTCCGCTGCACTCAGTGATCGACTCATCAGGGCAAGAGAAGCAAGCAGTCGGCAACATTCATCTCTGGAGGGGATGTCTAACTCAGTGTTATGTGTTAGATTTTAACTTAATTTTACATCGGAATATCCCTTTAAACTGAATACACTCTCACCGTATACATCAGCCAGCTGCTCCCAGTAGGGCTGTGGCTGGGAAGGTGGCAAAAAGGACTGGTGAGGGACAGGAAGTGATCCAGTGACTGCTGCAAGGCGCTCAAGGGTTGACTGCAAGGCGGTCTCGAACAAGAGTGACCCCTGACCCCGGGTTAACCGTTGCAACCCCATACTCAGGCATGGACACAGCAGACTTAGGTTGAACTCCTGAGGAGAAGAGAAGAGGTTGGGTTGAGATTTGGTAAAGAAAACTCGTCATTAAACATGATTATGTCATGAATCTCTCACCTTGCAGCTCATGATGTTCAACAGGTCAGCTGACGGTAGTTTAGTGAGGAGCTCTGTGGTCTCCAACAGGGAAAAATCTCCACGCAGACAACACTGGGACTTCACAAGAGCTACATACCATGCCTAGAAACAACATTTAAGTGACTTCTTTACTCTGAAAAATCAAAACACCATTAAAACGTATAAAACAGACGAACACCTCTGTTCCTGAATGCCTTACTTTGTCTGCATTGACCAGCTCAGGGGCAGGAGGTGGATCTCCATCCAACGGGTGAGGTGTAACAGGAGGTGTGGGGCTTCTGGTGTCTGTAACAGTGGCTCTGAACCTGTCCAGCAGGGAGTAGAACCTCTGATGTCTGTGAAAGGAAAAAGGAAAAGATCATGTTTGAAAGCATGCTGAAAAAACAAACTATTTCTTAAACCAATGTTGATATAGAAGAGTGTTACCTCTGAGCCAGGCCGCTGGTCTGGAGGTATTCCTGGATCCGGTCCAGTTCCTCTACAGGCAGCTGAGCTATACTGTTCTGCATGGAGGCAGGACAAAACAACACAAGATCAGCATGAGGGAAACCACATGTACACATTGTGAAAGTTCACCTGAACATGTAGGTTCACGCAACAGTTCATCTGTTCAATCTCACAAAGCCTAGAATGTACTTATCGACATCGAGCTGTACCTGAAGTGTCTCAGCCAGCAGCATCTCCACCCTGCGACACGCCAATGTATCCACCATGCGAGCGAGAACTCTGAAGGGTGTACTGAGCAGCTTGTCCACATACAGCATCAACAGGGAGCCAGACTGACTCAGGTGGATGCCCTCCAAACACTGCAGAGTCTTTTTCAACATGGTAGGCTGCAGAGAAGGAGAAGATTCAGTCAGTGAAGCAGAGGAGGAAAGAAAGAGTCTAAAGCTAAATGTATAAGAGTGGCGACAAACATGGAAAATTGAAGCTGAGTAACCAAACAAATGAAACAAAAGCAGAGATTAAAAAGTCTCACTGTAGTGAGGTTGTCACAGCGAGACTGGATCGCCTGGATGAAAAGACCACTGGCAGCTGAGTTGCGGTGTACAGCACTGATGAAATCTTGCACTGGAGGCTCTTGGGAAAGGCTGATGAGGTCACGCACATGGTTGACGATAAGCCAGGTCAGATGTTCTGAGTCGTGTAGGTTCTGACACTGTAGAAGCAGAAAGTTATAAAAAGAAAAAAAACACAGATTTCATTTGTTTACTCTGTTGTGTATTTGTGGTTTTCAAACACGTCAGTATTCTGTATCCTGGATGTTGTGAAAGCCTCACCACATAATCACAGAAGAGGATGAGGGCGCCCCTGCGTACAATCTCTCTGTTGACCATGGCTGACCGAGTCTCCGGCTTGTCCTCTTCTCCTTCCCCCGAGGAGTGAGGGCTCAACAGCTTTGTGCATGACAGACTGTGTCCCCTGACAGAAAGAGAGGATGACGACAGATTTTGATAAGACACAAGGCTGCGCTGATGATTTCAGGAGGATCTGAATGAGAACAATTCACTCAAAGAGAAATTCAGGGGTAAATTTAAGTTATGGTCAAACACACTGTAACACCAAGTTAGACCCCCCCGAGAGATGAATGTTACGTTAAAAATGTTACCTCAAAATGTTACATTTTAATGAAACTCAAATCTTTTCCTTTGTTTTTCTAACCTCTGTCATGATTCTGCTGAATAAATAAAACTGCGTTGCCTTTTTTATGATTGAAAACACTGTTTTTTTCTCGTGCTGCGATACTTTAATTTGGATTCCCCTCTATTTTCATCCAGGATTCAACAATTTAGGTCCACACAAATAATTTGACCTTCAGTGTTACCTAGGAGTCTGGTGCACTTCTGCCCACCAGGAGTAGTTGGTGTAGTTGATAATAAGAAGGACTTGGCACCACAGCAGCACCAGAGAGGGGTGGGTGGTGATCAAGGACTGCACCATACTGTTGAGACCCTCCAAAGGGTAAAAAAGGCTGGCCTCTGTGCCAGTCGGTCCACCTCCACCTTCACCCTTTAGGAGACGACTAGCTGCTGCTGTAATCCTGCGAAACATACCTGACAGAAAAAAACGAAGGGGAAAGGAGTTTCACACCATTCATAAATGGTGACTAATAATCTTGAAAAGGATGATACAAAAAGCTACACGCAAGACACACGATTATACATTTTATCTCACCACTTTTGAAGACATGAATGAGGCACATGAGTAGTGTGCCTAGCTGCTGACAGTAGAAGGTGTGCTGCTGCTCTGTGATGTCCACTTTAACCTGTCGAGAGGAAATGTCGTCCAGCAACACTCCAACCAGCTGGAGTAGGAACCTTGAGAGAGGCAGGAACAGAAGTTACGTCACACAACTCCTAGACTAGATTTGCTCCAACCTGAGACACGAAGGACCAACAAACCTGGCGAAGGTTTCCTCTGGTAAGGCTTTTTGTGCCTCACCGTTCGGCTCCTGGATACACAGCATGTCAATGGGTAGTTCGTTCGGGGAGGGGCTTTGCTGACGGAGGCGCCGGATTGTGCAGCAGGAGAGGAGATGTGGTGAGAGAGAGAGCTCGTGGATCCGGGACAAGACTATGTCCTCAGTGGACTGGGAGATGAGTACTCGGAGCACCGCCAAGATACCGGACACCCACAACTGGACTGTAGCGACTGACGCCTGGAGGAGTGGAGGTTTGTTTTTTAGGGCGACATCCAGATTTTGGCAATCATTTAACAGCCAGTCTGTTTTTGTGTTGCAAGTAACTTACCATACTGGCTGGAGTGGTGAACATACTCTTGAGCAGCATGTCCACGGGTCTCAGAGAGGAGGGGGCCACAGTCTCAAACAGAGTATTTAATACTCCCAACGCCTCTGGGGAGTCCAGGTGCATCTGGGTAACAACACATACACATTGTTAACTCAGAATATGTATTCATGCTTGTTCATCTTTTAGAGAATTCATGGGATGAGATGTCAGGTATATAACATAAGAGAACTGAAACATCACCATAACTCTGAATTAAAATGGTTATAATAGACGTTTGCTCACCTGTTGTTTAGCAATCATGGGAAGAATCACATCAGCAATCTGCCTTGACAACCGCTTCCACTTGTCTTCGTTCTCTTTGTGACACTGCTGCAGCACGAGGATGAACATTTCCAACACCTACAAACACACAGCAAAGAAACCATCAGAGAAAAAATTGGCAGAATTTGCACATGTGTCTGTTCGTGTCTGTGAAAGTACCTGATGGTATTGCACAAGTCGAAGCAGCATGGAGACCACCACTTCCTTCTGTGTGTCCAGCTCTTTGCCTGCATCTGCTTTGTTTGAGCCCCTCAAAACAAACAGGTCGTGAACTATCGGCTGCAAGGCTGGGATGGCTGCGGAGGAAGAAGAAGGAGGGGAAAACTGTCAACAATGTATGCTTTATTTAAATTAGCGTCCAAACATGCAACCTGGTCTGATATCGGAACAAGAAGGGCTGAAAAAGGATCACTAAGTAGGAGATGTTGTGTGCCGCCAGGATTACTTCCTCTTACCATGTGTGACAGCTTTTCTGCCGCTTGCCATGATGCCGTCACACAGTTGGATGATCTTGGGGATGCTGATTATCTGCTTAGAGTGGTACCGCTCATATGACAGAAGCACCAGGAAGAAGAAAATGTTGGGGATGATGGCCTCTGAATCTCTGGCAGAAGTACAAAAACAGGATTTTTTTCACTTTTACTGAAGGAAACATGAATTTATAAACCAGTATACAGATAAGCAAGTCTGAATCCTTGATTAGGGCTGGGCGATAAACCAAAAATTTACCAATACTGAAATTTACTACAATAACTGACGTCATTTTGTCCATATTGGTATATTCGGTGTGAAAAAAATAAAATAAAAATGAACTGCTAAATATATCGTGATATTGATTTGATGACATATCGCCCAGCCCTATCCTTGATGTAAACGAACAGAACTTAATGATGCATAGATTTCTTAAAGAGCAAGCAAAAAGAAATACCTGAACTGGCCAACTTCGATGTACTCAAACTGCTTCAGGACAAACCCTATAAACACCTGAAAGACAGATAACATCTCTTAGGTGAACTAAATCCTAACAGTGACAGATAAGCTCATTGAAATGAATAACTTTTATTTTTTTTACTTGATCCGAGTCCAGTAAGCAGTAGTTGACTCTCAGCTGCACAAGTTGGGCGAGCAAGTCCAGGACTTGTCTCTGCAGGGTCACAGAGGTGCTTGTGGTGTACTGCTTCAAAGCCTTGATAACCAGAGGCTCAAACAGGCGAATGTGGTTGTGGATGGCATTCTGGAAAATACACGAGCATTTAGAGTCACACCTTACCAGTGTGGTAAGGTCTTTTTTAGACATTAAAGTTTAAAAACACGACAGTTGATTAAACTAAAAGACTAATCAAATCCACTTTTAACGAGAAAAACGTTTTTAAATTCACCTTGTCTCCTTTGTGACGTGTTGCATTTGCAATGTTGGATCTGAGCTGGTTTGAAGCTTTCTGCATGACATCGAACCATCTAAAAGTAGAAAAAAAAGGCGGGGACAGTTAGGTCAGCATCCTACTTTACCCTGCAAGTGAGATACACAGATAAGAAATGAGACAAGAGGCAGTATTCAGACTTGACAGAGCACTCTTGGATCTGACTCTGGGATATGTTGGTATAAAATATGGCCGATTAAAAGTTGATCATCCTGTGGGTAGTTCTGACCTGATCACAATGTGGCCTGAGAGTGCTACACTCACCCTGAAGTGTCCTGCTCATGTTCAGCCTGCACCATGTTTCTCAGACTTGCATCAGCGAGGGCTTGGGTGAAGTGAGTGTACGGCGCCATGAAGCAGTAGTGGTAAAGGCCTGGTCTCAAGCTGGACGAGCCAAGGCGGAGAGCTTTTCCCTGGGACCGGCTTGGGCCGCTGAGGACGCCGTCATACTGGGAAGCCAGGTTGGTGCCAAAAAGGGTCTTCAACAGCTACGTCACATTTGTAAAGATAAGAGATGATTTATTTTAGATGATTCTTCCAGTATTTTAACCAGGATAAAGCAGAAAAGTCTTGTTAATTTCTCGCCATCAGGAAAGATAACTTCTAACTAGTGCACTGCTGTGTGTCTATACAAAGATGTATGGAACCATCGCACAGAGAAACCAATGTCTTGATGGCCCCTGTCGGCAGGAACCAGTCTCGATCTGTGTGGAGTCGGCTGAGTTGCAGCACACTGCTCAGAGCTGGAACCATTAAAAGACTGCCACACAAAACAAACACAACATGAACTTAGATGACCTGCAAACACACAATACTGACCTGTTGGACACACACAGTGGACATTGTCGGTTCTCTGGAGAAACAGGACTTGAGGTAGCCCAGTATTTCTTCAACACACTGTAAAATAAGGAAAAAGTTGGAGAATCAACAGATTTTCTATTTCATTTTTTTCTTCTGTATATCAACTTGCTTTATTTTTATCCAATTATTCAATCCAATCCATTTTATTTATATAGCCCCATTTAAGCAAACACAAGGTTTCCAAAGTGCTGCACAGTAAGATAAAAACACGATAACACAACAGAAGCACAACAGATAAGATAAAAATAAAATACGATTAAACACAGTAAAGCAAATAAAAAAATACAGTTAATAAAAAAATAAAAATAAGGTCATCCTCCTACTGGGTGTTAAAAGCCAAAGAGAAGCGGTAAGATGAGATTTAAAAACAGGCAAAGAGGAGGCCTGTCTGTCTATCCAGCATCCCTGGTATCTGGTTTTAAATACAAGCCTGTCATGCTCACCTTACTGATGTCATGAAGTGTGGCCAGCTCCAGGAGCTGAGACAGAACATCCAAAGTCGAACGTAGAAAACCTCCAAACTTCTCCTGACTGCTGTGGAGATCCAGTGTTACCTAGAAGATGACTTTCACTGTCAGTATCACCCTCTACTGACATGCTTATCTGACCACAAATGTGTCTCCTGTGAAGAATTAGTTTAAAATGACCATTTTCTCACCTTGTAGTTGGCATGAGTAGCTTTCAGGACATCATACAACTTCAGGTAGGGGGGCAGGTGGTAGAAGTTGCCAAGGGTGGTCGATTTATTCACAGCTGTTGATCCTGTGCTGTCCACTGGCCTTCCTGCTTACAATAAAGGAACAAATCGATTCAATCGTTTTGAAGATTCCCAAACCCACATGTGTTTTAACATGTTTTAGTGCTGGTCATGTATGCACATACCTGTGTTGACCTCATTGCTTTTCTTTGGGCTCATTGGGGCAGCGCTGGGCTCAGCGGCCTCCTTCTCCTTGCCCTTTCTTCGAATAGGGCTCAGAGAGGGAGTGTTGCTCAGAGAGGGAAGGGTGGCCTTAGAGACGCGTACAAATAGTCAACTTAATACAATCGCCTTCTTGAAATTTGAAGCAGATAAGTGACATCATAACCACATGTATGTGCCAGTCAAACTAAAAACAGAGGTTATGGATAGTTACTTTGACAGCTGGTCCAGGCGGCGTGTCATCCAGCACATGAGCACAGATGTTGAGGACTTTCAACAGATGGGAGAAGAGCTGCTCCACCATGGCGACCAAGGAGCGCTCCGACAGTCCTGACCAAGGCTCCTCCATCTTATTTGGGCCACCACTTGTGTTAGTGCTCCCACTACTGCCTTCATCCTCCCCAACCCAGGGGTTGCGCATGCATTTTGGAGCTATGGCTGGGAACAAAATCAAAATAGTAATAGATTTATTAACACTCAAACTACCAAGGCAGTCATTTTGACTGCTTTCAAAATTTACAATAATACCTATATACCAATCACACCCTGACTTTTCCTAAATGTGTGGATATTTTATTCTAATATTGTTTTATCATTAAAATTTCAAAACACAAAGAGGTCTGAGTTTTACTTCCTCAAATGACCAGAGCAGTCAAATTAACTGCATGCTTTTTACAAAAGGTGTTATATCTCACTATTTGCTACATTTTTCCGCTAGTTTTGTATTTTGTTAGTTTTGTATTTAAAGCTCTGTGAAGCTAAAATCTCGCTCTAACTTTACTCAAAATCCAAGAGACTCAAAAATGAGTCTGGAGGCTTTAGCCTTGCTTCAGAGCCTTGATGAGGAAGAATCTGATGGATGAGCAAGTTCAGGGTGTGATGTGTCTTGGTATTCTTAAAAATCTCATTCATTATAATTTTCATGTTGCGTCCTGATGTTTTATTTATCTATTCCACCAATTTATTGTTAGTTTTTTTGTTGATTATCCAAATAATATGCAAATAAAGACTGAGCAGTCAAAATGACTGCTATGGTCATTCTAGTAGTTGCAGAATTCTGGTGGACCGAGTGTCAGAGATTGCTGCTTTTTTAAAGTGGAGTTGCAGCTCAATTTGCCGTATGATCAGATAAAATTCTGATGAATTTTACCCACCAGCAAGCAGATTTCCAGAGAGGACAAGGGCATCCTGGTGTGAAGAGAGATCAAGAGGAAACCAGGCAGAGGACAGTAAAGAGAGGACCATGTTGGCCATTCCCACTGTCAGAGTTCTCCGCTCAGTGTCTGCAGCAGACGAGGCGGTTGTTGAAGAGGCCGGTGCACTGATGAAAGAAAGGAAGTAATAAGTATTAAAGAGATAGAAGACTTTTTATATTAAATCTTGTGTAACCAGTGTAGGACATGTCAAAGTGTGAGAGACAAATTACAGAGTGTGTGAGAGGTAACACACACCTGAGCGCTCTCCCCCTGCTGCGGTTGAGACTCGAGCGAGAAGGAAAGCTGCTACTGGAGCTCACGTAGCCACAGTGCCAGCCTGTGCTCCAAGTGCAGACTGGGAAATTTAAAGTCAGGAGGCACAAAGCCTCACAGCAGCCAAACTGCAGAGAAACAGGTGAGTGATTTTTAACACACACTGAAGGAAACACAAAAAATACACAGATGTTCAGAATTTGTTGGGCAGACAGGTATGATGTGGAAAAACTCACTGTGAGGGCTCTGGAGGTAGAGGAGGTAAAAGCGTGGGAGACGGCGGTGACAACTCTGGACAAATTGTTCTCTAATGTGACATCAGTCACAGTGTTGGACAAGTTGAAGCCTCTGTATGTCCTGAAGCACACAAAATGTGTTTCTGGTGTTAAATTTGAAATGAACGTGTTTTTTGATCATTTAAAAAATTAATTGTCAACTAAAATGTTTTGAAAACCATGAAATTGTGATTATATCAACATTTTAAACAACCTCACAACTATTGGGAATTGGAGCTGTAATTGATCGTCAAAGAAGAACATGAAGCATCTTTGTATTAAGAGGATGACAGAAAAACAAAGTGTGCTGTACCTTGTGATTGTGCTAACTGTCAACTGAGAGGGGGGCTGGGTCTCATGCATTAGCAGCTGCAGATAAACTGAACTTTGGTCCCGGGCAATAGCCACTACTGGGTCCACTTGGCCTTGGTCACAGTCGAAGAACAACCTTGGAACCAGTCTAGACAGAGAGACATTAAGGAAGGTGACATTATGAGATCATACTTCCCTGGAAAGAGACAGAGCTAAAAATCAAACAAAAACATGCTTTTCCAGTAAAAACAGAGGGCAGAGCGTACCTGCTAACAGCAGAGGCTGCCACATGCCGAACTCTGGGGTCATCGTCTCCCAATAGATAGATGACCACATCATTTAGGACTCGTTCCTGCAACCGTAGCCGCTAGAAAAGGAAAGAGGAAAGACGCCAATGGTTAATGATCCTTACAATCAGGTGAGCCTTATGTGTGAACATAGACACGTTAATTCACAGTGCGCCGTATAATCCGGTGCACTTTATCACCTGAAAAATACGATACATCAATGTTTTTTGGCTGCCTTTGTTTGCAGTATTTGAGGCTTGTTATGGTCATATCTATACATTGGTATGTTCTTTCTTCCTTAGTCTTATGACCCAAAGGTACCTCAACCTAATAAAGCTAACAGAAACACAGACGTAAATAAACGAAGCAGAGAGACAGTGTCCTTAAAGCTGGTATAAAATGAGCAGCTGAGATTTTTTTTCTTGAAAAACTGCTTGCTCCACTGGAGACCCCTACAAATTAGTCAGTCGTCCCGGAGGTTTTATTATTATCAGACAGAAGTCAGTGAGTTGTGAAAATGGTGTTAGGGAAATTTATGCAGCAATACTCCAAGAAAGGATGAAAGACAAATTACCCCGGTGTAGTGATGATCCCCTTTGTGCAAAGTCTCGGTTTTCCTCTCCAAAAAGTTGAGTAACCTCAAAGAGAAAAGAGTGGAAATGTTTATTAAGCACCAGCATTATTTTTAATATTTTCTTTTATTTAAAAAAAAGTCCTGAGTGTACATAAGTGCACAGACCAACTGTGGTGGAGAAATGTCTCAGCATGTAGCTGAAAAAAAAGAAAAAATGAGCCTACCGGAAGTCCATCTCAGCCAGGGTCTCCAGAAGCTCAGTGCGGACCAGCCAATAGGACGAGTCCCTCAGAGCAAGCAGGTCTATCATCAACTGCAGGCCGAGTTCACTTAAAGTACTGCTGCACAAAGTCATGATGCAGTGCTGAAAGACACAAAGTAACTCATAAACACACACATACAAAGAGAATTACACACACACACACACTTTTACCCTCACTGTCTTACCCTCACTGCAGAGCAGGCCATCTTACAGGTGACAGAGGATTCATCTTTTAGGGTTTTCTGGAGTAACGGCACCAAGTCCACCAGGGACAGAGGGTTACCTGGGTAGCAACAAGGAGACAGTTGAGAAAACGACCATTAAAACTTCTGAAATGTTTAAGATGCTACAACCCTGATACAAACCTACCTGTTGCACTTTGAACACTGGCCAGCCAGCTGTGTATGTTGAAACGTGTTTTGGTAAGTGCTGCCTGAATGATAGCTGCAGAGAGGATGGCTGTGGCCCCTCTAATCTGAGGGTCCCCATGATCGATAAGGCCCAGGATGTCACTGACATACTGCTGCTCTGCAAGGGTACAGAAAAAGAGAGCAGAGTCACGAACAGTACTGAAAACCACCAACCAAAAATATAAATTCCACAAACTCTCCCTCAAATAAAGCTGGGTCATTGGTCTTAAAGTCATAGGTCAGCTCAATACGGTTACACAGAATTTCCAACATGGTACCTTCAACTGGAATGCCGTCCAGCGGCTCCGAGTAGAGGGAGTTAAAGAAGGATTCTGGATGAAGTGCTGCTGCTGCACCGACACAGCTGACCGCGAGAGCCTTGACGCTCACTCGAACCTCCTTGTCAGGAGTCAGACCTGGACACACACGACAAGCGCACATTAAAAGATTAAAAATCAAAGGTTTATGAAAGACACAGTAAGAAGAGTGTGAACATTTCAAAAACGTGATCAGAGTTACTGGTACTGGTCCTTTCTGATGATACATACCATTTTTCTCTCCTGTCAGCAGAAAAGAAGCAGCAAGCAGCCGTACACAGTGCACCAGTGGCTCCGCCCCCTGGTCCGTATAGTGTCCAATCGGACCCTTTATCCTTGAAGGCTTTGAAACAGACAGTTCAGTTAATATAGAGACTTTTGCTGCCTTAACTTTGTGATGGCATGGATGTTTCTTTGCTCTCACCTTGTTGTCGGGTTCGGGTTCAGCAGGTTCATCCTTGGGTTCAAAGCGGTCCACGCTGCTGTCTGAACCCTGCCTGTTGTGGCCTCTGCCTTCGAAGAGATGAGGCTTGCTCAGAGCTGTTGACAAACACAAGGAAACAGTAAGTACAACTCGAACTTGAAATCACATAACAAACGTGTCTTAAGGCTAAAACATACAAGATCCGTATTGACCAAGTTCCGTAAGCGTACACAGCAAATAGGTTGCCATTCTAATCAATGAAGCATCACAGACAGGATGTGTATCAGCTCCGTATTAGAAGTGTATCGAGCACGATTCAGCTAAAGATCCGCGCCGAGTCTATTTTTGCTGCTCTTTCACACTTCCCACACAGAGAAGATGTCAAGCACAAAAGACGCGCATGTCATCCGGTATTTCAAAATAAAACACCATATGCGGACTCAGGACTGTGTATCAGTTCGTGTAAATGAGAAATACTTCCTGGTTAAGGATTTATCAGTAACAAAGACCAATCTGATGGTCAATCCCTGATCCATGTGGACCCCAAAAGGACTTTTAACTGCTAACTCTGTCTGAAGGTAACAGCACAGCATAAAGGAACATAGTTTACTTTATTAAACACGAGTAAACCTGCAAAAACCCAAACTGTTTAAAATCACATTGCTATTTCATATATAGTAGAGGCTCAACAGTCATTGAATTATATCCAAATTAGCAGGAAATGGACCACAGAAAGGCTAAACAACTTGTTGTGAGCATGTTGTCTCCTCAATACTGATCCCAGCTGACTGGGGCTGCACTATGCTGCTGCTACGCTCCAAATACGCATCCTCGCCGGAGCAGAGACGTGATGCTGACGAAATGCGCTCTATACGAATCCTGTATGTTTTCGGCTTTACTGTAAACTGTAACAGACCCAGTGCTGACTGCAGGAATGGTTCTGAGGGTTCTTCTTGAGACGAAGGTGCGACTCCTTCATCTTCTTCATCCTGTAGTGTTCCAATCTGCATCCCAGAGTACTGACTCTCACTGCCATCCAGCACCTTATGCACAGACATAAAGAACAAACATCTCCGGTGAGCAACTCAACCTCATTTACAGGATCAACACATACAACAAGGTTTGAAATGCAGCATGCAAAGGATCCTTCAACGGGGCTGTTTCATTCATCAGAAAGTTGGATTTGCTGGAGGAGAAATACAATTCATACAGTACAACTGCAAAAATCGTACGTCAAACAACTGTTCCCTCAATTCCAGTTGCAGCAAATCAACTTCGAACAGTAAAAGCAAAGGCTTTGTAACACTATAATGGTGGTTCACACAATCCACCAGAGGAAGAGTGAGTGTTTGATCAAGAAATGCATGATTTTTTGCAGAGAACTTTTTTCTAAAGCCAGATGTTTTTCATATTTCTAATAAAAGATGTCAGTTGTTTTGTCAGGTTTGGCCTCCTCTGGAACAAGTCTACCGAAGACTTTGAAAAGTTGTAGGACGCCAAATCTGATGAATGACAATCAGAGGAACAAGTTGCCATCATGCTTTGTCTTTGAACTCTTCCAGCCAAGGTCCTTCAAAAGAAAGTAAACTCGGGGTTGTAATCACAAGGGAAGCGGGGAAAAGAAGAAGGGGCACGATGTATTGCAAATGACAAGAGAAGGAAAGAAGCAATCAGCAGGGGAAATTCTGTTTCTGGGGTGTCACGAACAGAGGGAAGAACAACGAATGAAGAAAGCTGGATTCAAGCAAGCCCTCGAAACTCAGTTCAACATGTCCAACTGCCTGACCTTGTCACTAGTGTTAGAGGAAGAGGTGGCATAGAAAGAGAAGGAAGAGGAGAAAGATGATGAGGTGGAGGAAGCAGTGTAGACAGAAGAGTCGCTGTCTGTGGCATCAGGACCCTCAGTGGAAGTTGGAGAGGGAGGGGTTGGCTCAATCACCCGCGGCAATGAAGTGCGCGACTACGACGAGGTAAGGAGAGGGACAAAGCAGAGGAGGCAAGACCATACAGGTAGAAACGTTAAAATAGACAATAATCTCAAATCAAAAAGCCTCTGAGTGCCAGCAGATCAACATTATCGGTCAAAACCATAGACTGTATACACTATGGACAACTTGGCTCTGCCTTCCGTCATTATACGAATTTGAAGCCAAAAAGCTCTTGGTACATCCAGGTTTTTTCTCCACTCCTAAAACCAACATTGTGCAGTAGCGTTATACGCATTCAGCGGGAGAGCCACCGAGAGTCGCTGTGATGGCGCTCAGTTCAAAAAGCGTATCCAAAGGGTGAGCTACACAATCTTCGTACGCTCATAGGCTGTATCAAGTGTCAATCATAGAAAACATGAACCCCCGAATAACTTTTAAAAATTGAGCTGTACAGAAAAAAGAGGACTTGAGCACAAACCAGTCTTACAGTAACTACATGCCAACATCACAAGCAGAAGGGAGAAAATTTTATATTCTGTGTAATAAATCTCTAAAGTTTGTTCTAGTGCCGATAACGAAATTTACCACAATAACCAACGTCATTTTGCCCATGTCAAAATAATCGGTGTCAAAAAAATAAATAACTAAAAGTTGGTTTTGGATGTGTGAAGGTAGGCTATGGTCTCATGTCCCTTTAAGATGCTGTCCTACAACAGACAGGTGAGTAGATGGAGGACAGTTCAACAGTTGTAGCGGCTGGAGTAGACATTTATCGTTATCAAGGTGAACTGATCAATATATTGTGATATTGATTTGAGGTCATATTGCCCAGCCCTACATTGTCCACAGCTCCATAGGGATTGCTGGAGGAGGCGGGATTTATGACCTACACTGCAGCCCGTCACCAGAGGGTGCTGTTTTCGCGTTCGCTTCAACCAGCGAGGAGGTGTCCATTCTATATACAGTCTATGGTCCAAACTACTTCTGCACTTGTGCTTTACATAATGTACTCCATTCAATTTTTTTGAATGAATCAAAAGATAACTGACAACAACTTCCAAGAGCGTTCACATGTAATGTCCTTCACACTGGGCTTGTAGGATAGTTTTTCTGCTATCCATATTCAACTTTTTTCAGATGTAAATCTTAAGTCCCAATGTATTATTATCAGTTTTATTTTTGTTCTTATGCTGGATAGATGGTTGAAATTAATAATAAACTAAAAAATAAATTATTCATTCCCTTATTGGCAGTCAACACCCTGCAATGTAAAAAAAAGGTTAATCTAAATAGAACAAAACACGAACTATCAGTGAGATAGGACAACCGCAGGAAAAAGAAAAGTTAAAATCAAAATTATTTTAAATTAATGCAATTTGTAGAACTTAGACATGCACTCCAATGCATGCATGATGCTAAAGAATGGAAAGGGAGCGAGCCACACCATTTTGCATTATTCATTAAATGAGAACTACTGTAAGCCTCTAAGGTTCATCAACTTCAAATAAAGGTAATAAAGAGTTCACACTTCCCTGGGAACTGGCCATCAACTAAAAACTAGTGATGTTCTCAAAAATTTGCACATTTACTTTACAAACATGTACTGTTAACACATATATGAGTGAATCACTGTGTGCTCAACTGTACTACACAGTACAACCTTAACTGTGTTATTCCACCATATTTGATCTTCTGTTAATGCCCGCACTGACCAGTTCTGCTACGTCTGAGGGGGTGACAGCTGAATCTGGTCCCTCTGTGGTGGTCTGAGAAGAGTCACTGGGCGGAAGAGAGGGGTCATTCGTGCCCAGCAAAGCCCCGCCTGTTCCCAAGGGCCCACCCTCAGGGGTAGCATTCTCTGGTGTAGTATAGTCAGCCGTCTCTGGAGTGATGTTGGCCCCGCCGCTGGAGCTTCGACTGAGCATTTCCTCCTCGTTGTCGTTGGGTGACTCAGGAGTGTCTGACGCAGATGTCCCACCTCCTTGCTCAGAGGATGCACTGAGGTCCACAGAGTCTCCAGGCTGCAGGGTATGCTGGGAGCGCGGCTGCTCGGTGATGATGTCTACCTGCGCTGCGGAAGAGCAGTCTGCACCGACGACTGATGCTGGAGGAGTACATTGAGTTTGTTAATGCTTGAATAAGTCTCTCTTGTTCAAAGATTTTAGTATGGCAGTCAAAACTGCCCTGGTACTTGGTACTTCTCTCCTACCTGTAAAGGCACCAGTAGTGACCTCAGTTCGCTCTGTGTCATCTTCCAGCGCATCTTCCTCCCCAGAGAGCACTTTACCTGTGAGCAACACCAACAATCATTTCAGTAGGGATAAAGTAATAGATCAAAATTTTGCATCCACTGCAATTTGTTGAAAATATAAAACACAATAAACCATCAGTGACTCAGTCAGAGGTACATCTTTCCTAATTCTGTAACATTAGTTCACAGGTTGCAGTGACTAGGGAAGAGAAATAGACAAGTCACCTCTCTGTTTCCTGAGTAGGAGCGGGCTGCAGGAGGACCCTCCCGCTGCAAGTGGCAGGAAACAAGCAGTAGAAAGGAAGTGAAAGGTAGTAAAAGCTTAGCAAGGCTTGTTGGAAACAGCAAAGTTAATTACAGACAACAAGGAAAGCAAGCGAAGGAAAAGGGCCACCCACAGAGCCCCCAGCATAAAAAGAAGCAGCACTACAAAGCAAACTTGTTTAGGTCAGTCGATTAGTAGGGTTGATGAATTATTGGTAGCCTGGTATACAATGACATATTCAAGAGCCAGGTGACACTGTAGAGCCCATATAGTAATGTAAGAGGATTACAGAGTTTACTAAATCAAGCTTGAACGATGACTGTATTTTACCGATGAGCTCAAGGATGCTGCCAGACCGTGCGCGACTCTCTGCGTCCTGCCGAAACACAGTTGCGTGTGAAATGCTGCTGGGGGTGATGAGCATGTGCAGAAGCTCCGGCGGGGGGGTCCTAAAGATCTGCTGCAAGACTTCTAGAGCTGCTGTGACCACATTGTGATCCCAGTGCTGTGTGTAGTGAAGGGTCAGCTCATACACCTAAAGACACACAGAAAATTTAGCAAAACATCTGTTTACTGTTAAAACCTCGACATCAACACAATTGCACTCTCCCTTTCTACCTGAAGAAGCTGCTCTGGTGTCGGCTGCACATCAGCCTCCTTCCTCATGACTCCAAAGCTCCCTTTGAGGCTGGTTGTGTTAACTTGTTGCTGCAGCAGAGGCATCAGATAGCGAAGGGTTAACAACACCCCCAGAATCAAGTGACTGGGGTGCTCCTCATCGACTGGAACAAGCAGACCTGGAGTTGGAGGAAAGGTCAGAGAGTGAGTGGCTTGGAAAAGTTAGGAATAAACTGAGCATGTGCAGGAGTGTGTGTGTCCTACCCAGCAGCACATTAAGGAGCCAGGTGTAGAAGTAGCTAGCGCGCCTGGAGTGTTGGCAGACACTGACGGCCGAGCTGGCTGCTGTCCGCCGGATGGTGGGAGAACTGGACTTTAGGTTGGCTACAAATGACTTCAGCAACACCTGAAACAAACATGAATAAGCTTTGCTGAGGGGAAGTCTTCATAACCTAGAGCGGGTGAATGTCCTCAATGACCTGCTTTACCTTAACCTCGCCATCATTAGCAAAGTGTCCGAGGGCTACCATGATTTTTGGCATTGCTGCAGCCAGTGTCTCTTGTACCGTCTCCTCCTGCCTCTTGGTAATTCTGGAGAGGCATGGCAACAGGTTGACAAGGTAGGGTCTGGACCAAAAGAGAGAGAGAGAGAGGAAAATACAGATCAAAAAGGATAATAAAAACTCATTTAAATAGACAGTTGATATGTGCTGTGGAGCAGTGGTTCTCAAGTGCAGTGCTCGAGGCCAACCGTCCTGCATGTTTTGGATGTTTCCCTGCTCCAACACACCTGGTTCAAATGATCAGCTCGTTTTCAAGCTCTGTAATGGCTTACTAACGAGCTGATCATTTGAATCAGGTGTGTTGGAGCAGGGAAACATCCAAAACAAGCAGGACAGTGGGCCTCGAAGACTGGACTTGTGAACCACTGCTCTAGAGCGATGTTACGGAAGGATTTTCTCTGTTTTGCAAGTTTCTTATTTTTTGTAAGTTAGGTAAAACCACTTTCAGGCATTAAAGATGTGCATACCTGCATTTCTGTGGTCTGATGAGGTGAGCAAGCTCCGCAAACCTCCACAAAGCTGCCCTCAGACTCCGAGAGGCACCGTTCTACAAAAGATACATAAAACAATCATTATCCTTTCCAGCAGAAATCTGATCGTCACACTGGAAATATTTTCAGTTTTTGGAAGAAACAAATGTTGATATCGGCTGACTGAGTGTGTGGAAGTATTCATCCTGGAAATGAAACATGACTTGCAACGAAGCCGCATCTTTTATTACCTTTTTAATTTCTTTGTACAGCTCCAGCTGCAGACGAGGCAGGTTGGAGTCCATCAGCGCCTAAAGACAGATACTTAAGTAATTATCTTGGACAACATGGCTGGTTCCCCTGATTTTAAATCAACTCATGCAAACAGGGGTTTTATTTTACTTTGACTTTAATGATCACACAGAGCATCTTTCTTTTTTAATATGTCTGAATGTGAGAAGGTGATGACACATCTTGCTAATGAAACATCAGGGTCTTTCTCACTTTGATGATTTTGTTCAGGCACTCATCAGCCACCATTCGGACATCTGATTCACTGTCATCACTGCAGAGGAGGAACATTTCCATAGCGATGCCCAGCAGTTTCTGGAACTCTGGAGATGTTCTGCTCTCACGGTGACAGAAGAAGGAGGCATGAGAGAAAAGTGTCATAACAACGATCAGTATTTGAGCTGATCATCTCACCCCAATCATCTACATCAGCTCTCACTGAGCTTCATTTGCATAGAACACAGACGCAGAAATAATCTAGAGTAACTGTGCATTTTAGGTTCACCTGCCTGTATATACAAAAAGATCATAAATTTAATGTTAATGTGGAAGTCTAGCAACAGCTGAAACTTTATAGCGGAACACACATATGCACAGCCAGCCACTTAAAACAACAACAACGGCAGCCTAGAGTAACGCTTTGGGGACTAGAGGCAAAAAACACATACCAAACACAGGACAGTGTTAGACAAGCATCAACAACCCTGTGGCTAAAATGTTAGCATTGTAGAAATGTTTTCAACTCAAACAGTGAAAACAGTCCAACAGACATCTTCCATATTTGACACATTTTGTGAGATAAAGCTGCATTCAATGCTGTCAATATAATATCACATTTAAAAACCAAACATGCGCCGCAAAAAATAGCACACTCAACTAAAACATGAGAGGGGAAGGCTGCTACACTGGAACAACATACTCTGGACTTTAAAACAAGGATTAATATTCTCAACCAGCCTGTCATCTTGGTACAAATTGAGGTTTATTCTATTTCTTGTCCTTTCATTTCAACACTTTATCTGATGCTTTACCACAGCTGCATGATGTGACCGCTGATAGCTTTAAAACATTGTTTAGTACCATGTTTCTGACCTCCCAAACCAATATTACCTGGCTCTACACACAGTTTACTCTTCCAGAACTCAGGCAGTCCTTCAGATAAAGGAGACTGTAAAATGCAATGGGAATAACTGTTTCAATAATAAATCTGCGAGCCCACCTCAGAGACTGAGCCACGATGTTTTCACATATTGTCAAGCAGTGAGTGACTCTGTCCTTCTTTGTGGTGGCCTGCTCCTTTTTCCTGTAAAGACAAATAGATGAGGAGGATCAGAAACACTGCAAACGCAAAAGGCAGTTAATGACAATAGAAAAAGGTTCTATTATCATCAGGGAAAATATGGATCAGGATCAGGACTCAGTATCAGCAGGTACTCAACATTACAAAAAAATTCGACCAGGATCAGGAGCCAACTAAGCTGATAGTGACATCTATACTAATAGATTGAGGGGCAAGCGGTCCAGAGAAGGAAGCAGGAAAGGAGTTGAGCCAGCAAATACATCAAGGGGGCATCCAACACAGCCAGCAGCTCCTGAGTTTCCAATACCTCTTGCAAAGATGGATCCAGGTTTGCAGCGAGGAAGTGAAAACAGTCTAACTTTGTTTGCTGGTTTGTGTGTTAGGCTTTGTAGGGGTTTGACTGACCCTGTAGTAACCAGGTAAGGCCTCTGAAAATCAGGTGTACTTCAAACTACTGCTCAACCCACCCCCACTACTCAGCGACTGATATGAAAAAAATATATGGTGATAAACTTTTTCCCATATCCACCACTCCAACCTATGCCCTTGAGTTTAATAGATATTTTTTCAGTTTATCAGGCCCTGATCGACACAAATAGCTCATCCTGATGAGACTATGAACTTTTACTGCAGGTTTCCTGTGTCAATGGATTGTGATCCTCCAAAATTGATCGATCCACCTGAAGATCTGTACCTGTTCCCCCTTAGGATGGATTTGCACAGCTGATGCAAAATCACCTGATCTCCCCCTTTTGCTCAGACAACAACAAAAAAACAATGATTTAATTTAAATACTATCTTCACAAACAGCTTCTTTCAAGATCACCTCACTGATACTCTCTGACCTCTTCTGTAGGTGTCATAGTATTAATTGGTTAACGTCTGTGACCTCATCGTACAGTTTGGTCTCTAAACTCAGACTAAAACTAGGTTTCTACTACAGGAATAAATCCTGTTTCTCCCTCAGTGCTTGAATATACCTTGTATCTGCTGCCTTTCTTCCACTGTTGGATTATGGTGATGTTTTATATATGACTGCTTCAGCCAAATGCCTGCAGTCCTTGACTACAGTCTATCACTGAGCGCTGAGATTTGTTACTGGTTGTAGTCACTTTACACACCATTGCGAACTTTACGCCAAGTCTGGCTCTAATGTATAAGGTTCTTCTTGGCTTGGCTCCTTCTTATTTATGTGATCTTCTTCATAGGACTGAAAGCCACTACTCCCTGCGCTCAAACAACACTATCCATTTGATTGTTCTGTGAATTAGAACTGAACTGGGCAAAAAAGCATCAAGCTTTGGTGCCACTCTCCAGACTGACCTGAAATTGTCAGTTAATTTCGCTGGAAGCATTTCGTTGAATCTTACATGACAGACTTTGGGAGACTATGGAATAGTGCCTGTGTTTTTAATTATGTTTCTGGAGGTCATTTTCTTCTTCTTAATTATTATTATTGTGATGTGTGCTGCCGACCTCTTGGCCAGGTCATTCTTGTAATCTCAATTGGTTCTTACCTGGTTGAATAAAAGGTTAAATAACAAAATATGGAGAGAAAAAAAACCTAAATTCACTGAAAATCTCATGAACGCACGAGACTGTGGAGAAACGTTTGGACTCGCGTGCGTTCAAAATAGCAAATAAGTTCATGCACGAGATTAAGACTTCTTAGATCTGGAGACTGTTAGCTTACAGGTTAGCGTAACTAGCTCAAAACCAGCTACCAGACCCTGGAAGTCCAGGGGAGAGGGGGGACTATGGTGGCTAATGTGCTAACTAGCTGTCTTATCCAGAAACGACGCAAACGCCGCGAGGCAATGAAACACTTACTGTCTCTGCACGAGCTCCTCCGCGGTCGGCGGCCCCTGTTGCTGCTGAAACGTCTTCAGAGACTCAAAGGCCTTCATCAGTTTCTCCATGGTGGCCATTTTATCAACAGTAAGCAAGCTAGCTAGCCTTTTTGCTAGCTAATATTTACTATCTGAGCTAACTAGCTCGTGCGGTTACCTGGGAACACGGAGAGAGAGAGAGAGAGCGCGAGCGGTACGTAGCGCAACGAGAGTGCGAACACTGCTCGTGACAACTACCCCGCCTCTGCGCGTTTAGTTTGCGCAATATCGCTCTTATACTTTCCTAATCGTGTTCCTACATTGGAGGGATGTTGGTTGATAGTGAGCCATATTGGTGGCAGCAGCGTTACGTTCCACTGACAAATCCAACCAGGAAGTGATATATCCGTATGGTTGACAGAAAGGGCGGAGGAGCAAGTCGACGACCAATGAGAGTGAAGTTTTGTGTTGAGTGACTTGAAGACGAGCCAATGAAATCCTTCGACTTTTTTTCTTTGTTGTTGTTGTTTCTGTCACGGGACTGCTGAGCGTCAGATCGCTGGGACGTATTTGGCTGGTTGAGATGTGTTGTATTTATCTATGCGTAATGTGGAATAGATGGTTGAAAGTTGGTAAACCGAGGGGACTTAGGGCTGGGCGATAAAGCGATAACGATACATATGGAAAATTTATTTCCCTCAATATCAATATAAAAAATGGTCAGTATGCTTTTTGGTAGTCGGCATTCTGCCATGTTTTGGTAGACTATACAAATAGCTGATGAGAAGATGACAGTATCGACAACACTGGCAGGAGAATATCGATCTCTCTTGGTCGTCGTCAGACGAGCTTCCATCAAAGTCTCCAATACTCCCAATTCTCCATACACCTGACCAGCTCCAAACAGCTTTTGGCTCCCGCATCCTTCTTCAGGATGTCCACATACATTAGCGCTGAACGTCCTCGCGAACTGAGCCAGTGTGTTGGTTCCATAGGACCAGCCTGCTGGCCGGGAGCTCCTGATATCTATGGCAGTGGCCGGCCAGCCTCATCCTCCTAGATGCTACCTTCTTGCTGAGCCTCGGCAGTGCCCGTACAGGTCCTTGTTGGTAATGTGGATGTTCTGGTCCACATTCAGAACAGTTCATAGCATTCTGGTGTAGCACCCATCCAGCGACTTCTGCAGGGTGGGTGTCAGGGTCCAGGAGTGGCACAGAATAGGTTCAGCTTTATGTGTCTGGAGAGATTCGAGCTCCACACTCTTGACATACTGTTTGGTGGTGTGGAGGTATTTTGTTTTTTTGAAGTCAGACATAAAGCAGAGTAATGTGCACTGCAAATTATGTTGAGTACATGTTCTCGCAAAGTCAGGGAATACCTCAAATCTTTTTTACCACCTGAAGCAGTGCCACGCGGCAGAGCACATGCAATGAAAAATATCACAAACCCCGAGCGGAGCAAGGAGCCCATTGCGCCTGTGCAGCCAAAAAATCAACTGATATCGATATCAACTGATATAAGAAAAATATATAATGAAAAACTTTTTCCCATATCGCCCAGCCCTAAAGGGCTCATTGAACTTAAGGAGAGAAGGACATGCAAAGAAGTATGATGGATTTAACTCACTATGGACCCATACACTGAAACAGAGGGTTAGAGCCAAGAATGAATGGGTTATGATATCCCAACCGGATATGTTATTTAAGTTCATGGTAGGCTAGTGTTATTGGCGCAGAAAATACACGTGAATGTGCATATTAAGTTTTACTTCTAGTAAACAGTCTAACCCGTCCCATCACATTGGGGGTTTTCAGTGTGGTACAGAGGTCTAAGGAGCAAAACAATGTTTCTTCTTTTTCTGAATTGCATTTTTTTTTACTATAAAATGTGCCCAATCAATAACATAAAATATTGTAGTTTGACACAAATAAGCCAGGACACAAGTATTTTTTTATACAAATGGCAGTGTATTATTTCATAATTACAAATGTCAGATATGGTACAACAACCAGTGATACAACTTGTACAAGAATTGACAATGACTGCAGTGGTTGAACGACATGACTGTACAGATACAAAAAAAGAAGAAAAATTAAGAAGTCCAAGGCCCCATTTGAATACAAACAATGCATCTGTCGTAACTCCCTTCCTTAAAAATAACACTTATCTGACTTCTATGGACAGAGCAGAGGAGGGAGAGGTCCCAGGTATTCACCGAAGAAGAGTCATTAATGAAGAACCCGAGTCAAATGGCATCAGGGTACTGAGTATCTATTATCGTTTAAAGTTGCTTTTGAGCATCAGCCAAGTTTTACTAGTGGGCGAGGAGTCATCATCACCACCTTGGGGTAAAGAAAGAGAGAAGGGAGTGCTTGTCATGTATTCAAACAGGGCCAACTCAGCTGGTTACCTTGCCATTTATAAAGTTGTCGTCAGATACCAGTAAGATACTGTATGTTGGCACTAGAAGGTCATCATTTACATTTACAAGGAGCCTGAAGTATTACAAACCAATACATGCTTGAGTAATAAAACATATGTAATTTTTAAAACAGGCATTACAATGCACTTAGTGCTGACATTCAAAACTGTTGAGCTGTTTAGTTCCTTTATGAGTAGGAATTTCTGTCAGGATGGACGGAATGATGAGATCGATAAAAGGCAGGATGTCAAACTTAATTCTGTATTTGGCACATACAGTACAATAAAGGCTGTCAGTCTCTCTTCAGTTTATCTTTTCACTTAAACAAATAAAATTTACTGAAAGTAGCTTTTGGTAACATTGGCAAAAAGTTAAAGACACTTCCTATAGTCATTGTCAAAACACACAATAGTGCAATGAAACTTTTTTTTTTTTTTTTTTTGTTACTGCAATGTGGATGGCATGAGAGTAAAGTTCAAATAGTGACAGAGGCATGATTGGCAAACACAGTTTAGTTTCCCTGTGAGAGTGACTGAATGTGTGTTAGAGTTTAGATACATGTTAGAAATACATCATTTACAAGGTTTTTGAGGCTAAAGAGCTAAAATGCTAAAATCTACATAGGCAACAGAAACCATTTCAAAATGTGCCTGAGCGGAAAAGAAAGGACTAAGAAACTCGTAACATGAGCTAGAAATAGCTTAATGCACGCATTTGATTCCTGACTTTGATAGTGGAATGTGCAACTGGGGACACCATTTTCTAGAAAAGAACCAACTCTCCAAATCAGTCCTCGAGATGGGGAATTTCATGCGTACCATCTAAAATTGAGCAGTCTCTAGTTGTCTGAAGTTCAACCTTGTGACATTCAAGTCCTGTCATGATTTCGCGCTTTTTTTTTTTTTTTTAGTTTTTTTTTTTTTTTTTGGTATTTCAATGCACTACATTGAATAAAAAGCTGTATTTGCATACAGTCTAATGCACACACACTCACGCACGCACACACACCTAGGATGTCCAGACTGGGTATTCACAGCATTATAACAGGTGGTGTTGGGTAAACAGCTACTGCCTCAAAATCAAAACAAAGAGAAGCAAACAGGCCTCCACAATGCCAATGAAAACAAACAAAAAAGTGAACATTATACATCCTGACTAAAACATGATGGGAAATCTTAAAAATGTATTTGTCACTAATTGGTTATCTTGGAAGGAATAAGTTTATCTAAAATGTCATAATACTGCACATCACCTATGGGTCTGAAGTGGTTCCTGACTTCCTTTACAGAGCAGATGGTAATTCTGCAGGAAGGAGTTTTAACAGGATTCCCCCGTGTCTACCAACACAGTTTCAAGTTAGCCCTGCCAGAGAAAAACGAAGGATTTTAATGTCATATTCTGTTTAAGAAATATCATTTTGATCTGCAAAGAAAAAAAAAAACGCTTAAGCCACAAGTCGTAAGAGAGCATCTGGTGATATGTGCCAAAGAGGTATTATGCTATCTATGATCAACTGGTTCAGGGGCCAAAACAGGCTGCATCCTAACTCAGCCCCAAAATTACTGACAGCTGGATCAGTAGAAGGAAGGTTTTTTTTGCAACCACAATTTGTTATGAAGCCCTTGTCAGCTGCAGGTCCAGATCTGTGATACTCTGCTTTCTGTATCATCTTTCTCTGTTTTTCTTCAGTCTATCAGTCCTAAAGGGGAACAAATTACCAGGATAACTTCAGGGAAAGAATTTGCTCTACCACACATGGAAACAGATTCATAAAGAATGGGCTTGTCAAGAGCCAAAGTGAGAAGAAGCAGAAAGAAAAGATAAGGAATAAAAATAAGATGACCAAAAACTATTTAGTGAATAAAAAACAGACTTATCTGATCAAAAGGGAGCACAAATTTTAGGGAAGGTTCAGGACTGATAGTTTTTCCGCCTCTTTTGTTTCTTAAAAGATTCTTGTTGTTTCATATGCTGACTAACTTTGGAAGATTTGTGTTTTGTTCAGGTATCAAGAGGACTGTTTACTACACATGCCCCTTAGGCCAGTGTGCTAACAAGTATAGAGAAGGAGGTGGACAATCGCTTCCTAACCATCCTAAACTAAAAAGGGGGTTGGTTGAGATCTTGAAAATATATTCCCAGGCATAAGCAACATGGCATAAACACATCAACTTTAGTTTAGATTTATTCCCTATCTTTTAAACGAGCTTCATGTGGATCCACCTGATCTAGAAGGGCTAAAGAGGACTAGGATAAGTTTTGGACCGAGTGGAATTCATTTACTGATAACAGGTCTTGTTGGCCAAATAATTGACATACAGCACAGATAAAAAAAAAAGGCAAAATGCTACATTAAAAAAAAAATGTGAATGGTACTGTGCTTCTTCAAAAAAGTCCCAGACACACGTTATCCATACTCAATCCAAAAGAAATCATAACAGGAAAAAAAATGTAATGTATGCATTCAAGTGGTACTTTTATGGCTTTTTGTACAATACAACCTTTAGTGAAAATATACATCTAGACATAAATTCAAGTACAAATGTACAAAATCTTAAACTCATACTTTTTTCTTTAATTATAATACACTTTTAACAGCTCATAAATACAGGTCAACATTCACTGAGTTCCTAAGTTTCGAGCTCGGTTGGAGTTTGTAGTGAAGTTCAGCGGCGAGGGGGGAGGAGGAGGCAGGTGGTGGAGTGGTTTAAAGTCGAGAAGGCTCTTCGATCTCATCATCACTATAACTGCTCTTAAAACACACCTGCGAAGAAAAAAGTGAGGACGTCACTATGCAAGCAATTTCTATCAGTATACGACCTGCGTTTGTGTACGATATCAGACTCCTCTGACAGCCTGAGCTCACCCGAGCTAGAAAACCAGACCTTAAACTCAACTGCGAGAGAGTTGGAATACTGCATAGACCAAGCCAGTGAGAAAAAGCCATTAGTGATTGACATGAGAATAACAGAAGACTGAACAGCACAATGTACAACTTACTGTGTTACTATCAGTACTCCCCAATTCACCCTCTTTCCTACATCTACCTCTCTTCCACTTGTGCAAGTCTACTACAGTCACAGCAGACAACTTTTCAACATGAATCCTACTTTCCAAGACAGACAGACCTGATATGTTGACTTTCTGGTGCTTGCATGTAAAAAAGTCCATAACCAAAGATAACTGAGTTTATTCTATAGACTGTATATACTATGGACAACTTGGCTTCCATCATAAGATGAATTTGAAGCCGAATTGCTCTCGGAATTTCCAGGATTTTCTCCAATTCCTTGAACCACCACTTGCACAGTAGCATTTTATGCATTCAGCGAGAGAGTCGCTGTGATGACGCTCGGCTCAAACAGCGTATCCCCTGGGTGAGCTACGCAATCTTCGTAAGCCCATAGGCTGTATCAAGTGTCAATCATAGAAAACACAAACCCCCTAATAACGTTCAAAAATGGAGCTGCACAGAAAAAAGAGGACTTGAGCACAAACCAGTCTTACAATAACTACATGTCAACATCGCAACCAGAGGGGAAAAAAATTTATATTCTGTGTAATTAATTTCTAAAGTTTGTCCACAGCTCCATAGAGATCGCTGGAAGACGCAGGATTTATGACCTATACTGCGGCCCGTCACCAGAGGGTGCTGTTCTTACAGTGGAGGCAGACAGCGTCCATTCTATATACAGTGTATCGCTTAGCCTTTGTTTTGGTCTTTCTTTGTAGCTTTTTTGATTTACTTTTACATCTGAAAATATCTCAGTTTATATATTATTTGAATAATCTAGATTAGAAACTTTAGACACATAATATCTACACAAACATACAGATATAGTCACAGCAGATAAGTGTTAAACAATCGGCCGGTTCTGCCCATGGTTTCTGCCTGCTACAAGGAAGATTTCCTTACCACTGTTGAAGATTGTTCTAAAAGACATAAACTTAAATACAAAAACTTTAAATAATAATAAAATGAAGAGTAAAGTCTTGGTCTGCTCCATTTGTAGTGTCTTAAAACTACTTTGGTTTGGTTTTGTTTGCATCCTGAGTTCTCCACGTTCAATCTTGGTTGTGTAGAATCCAGTTTAGCACTCACTGCTGCCTGTCAAGCTTGTTTCTGACAACAGATTGTAATCATAACAGCTGAAGCAGATCTGCAAATTTTCACAGCCCAACATTATGTTTACATGTCAGAATTAAAGAAGAAACTACAAAAATCTACGGGACAAAATCAGAGTGGAAGGTCCTCCCTGTCCCCAATCACAGTTACAGGATTAAAATCAAAGGGAAGTTCAGTTCAAACACAGTAGATATAGAGCTCAGTACAAAAGGGAAGGTCTCTGTCATAGAAGAAAAGTGAAACAAAGTCAAAATAACCCGTTGGTTTAGTTGCTCTTGCAAACATGGAAATATATGAGAATAATTTACCTTTCACAAACATTTAGTTCCCACGCATCTTCAAAACAAGAGCTCAATATCAAGTCTTAAGAGGATCAGAAGCAAAGCAAAGGTGCCTCATGTAAGCAAAAGTGTGAAAGTAACAAATCGAAAAAATATATAAAACAAGAACTTTTCAGCCATGGGACACAGAAAAAAAGAGAGAGGCCTCAGTCTACCCATCTTCTGTGAAAAATTGTGCCCCTGACTATATCAACTGGAGTTCAAGTTTGTTGAGTTTGGACAAGGCCTGGAAAAAAGGAAGGAAGGAAGGAAAGTAGGAAGTACCTTAGCCCCCACCCCCTCTGACAGTTGGCGGAGCACTAGCACTTGCCTCTCTTCTGAACAGGCGGTAGAAGAAGCCTCTCTTTGGTGGAGGATTGGGCCTGTTTACGTCCAGGTCTGAGCAAAGCGTCCCGTCAGTTTCGTAGACATTAATTTCTTTAAAGCACTCCATCTCGATCATCTATAAAGTATAAGAGAGAAGGTCAAATCTGGCATGAAAAGGAACAATTTCGTCACTTGGGTGATATCTATCTATAATATAACCATCTTTAAAGGAAGTGATGTAAGCAGGAGGCATTTAAAGGTGCAGTGTGTAGGAATTTGCAGAAGTAATCAAACATGATGACATGATAGAAATGAAAATTAATATTCCCAAGTATGGTTAAATGAGTATATAACCACCTGAATATAAAAGTTTTTGTTGGCTTAATTAATTTTTATCTACATCAGAGCAGGTTTCTTCCTGCCATCTTGCACTGATATGTTTGAGATATACAAGTCCTCGTATCTTGTTCAAATGGACTGTTTGAAAGAAGAAGTAGTGGTTGTTGTGCAAAAAACAATCTGTTTTAATTGGTATTTCCAGAGGTAAGGACCTGGAGGTTCATTCTTATAATACATTAGAAAAAGCTTCTTGTCCTTTAAGGCCACTGTCACCTCACTAACAGCAGGGGGTGAGCAAGGCAGCACTTTAATATACAGTCTAAACATATATCCACATATTGATGAGTCTCTGCTGCTTTGCTGCATTGAAAATGTTGTGGAACTGAATGATGACATCATCCTGGATGTCTGAGCCTGCAGTACCTCGTTCTGCCACGGGATGGAGACACTGCCTGTGACAAACTTGTGATAGAAGTCGTCATCCGTGGGGTCAAGGTTCACACCTTTGACAGTGGAGAACTGCTCAATGTCCAGGACGTCTTTACAGTAAACAGCCCGAGGCTGAGAGAGAGAGAGAGAGAGGGAGAGAGAGAGAGAGAGAGAGGAGGAGGGACAATGAAAGAGGGAATAATAGACCTATACGAAACTAAGTTACATAGATTTTTATACAGCATGAGTGTTTCACGTGATTTCTGAATATATATGTAATGTATAACACCTTTCTCTACAAGCAGCAGTGCACTAAAGGAAAAAAAAAAAAAAAGACTACTATTATAGCCATGCACTGTTCTACATTAGTTTCTATTGAACGCATAGAAAAGGTTTGTGGTCCTTAGTTTTTAAACTAAAGGGGAAAACCTTTCTTACAACTGGCCACATAGAAAACCAGATGACTGTGGGAGCTTTCCTGTCCCCTGATGGCACGGCCATTTCCCACACACTAATATCCAACCCAGTAAGCTGTAAGTCTACAAGAACTGTGCAAATCTTGTGTGAGTTGTGTGTGCGTTCTTACATCAGGGCTGAAAGGAGGGTCCAACATGTTCGCCTCCAGCCGTTTGAAGTTGATGTTTCTGAAGATGGGATGCTGCTTGACCTCTATGGCCCCTTGACCCTGACAACCCAGTCGCTCTTTGGGGTCCTTAGCGAGGAGCTGATACACAACATGAGGGCGACATTGAAACTCTGATTAAATGGACAAAGAATAGCTTCATATATCCGACATTTACAAAGAATGAAACAACTCAAATCTATACAAATCTATGTGGGTACATCGGTAACAGTTGGTCTAACCCTAAGCCTTGTCATATTGGTGTCTCTAAAAGAGCTTCTAGATTAAATTTAAGAGTTAAGGGGTTGAGGTGTTTAATGTGCATCCCACTTTTTCACCACACTTCTCGTTTGTTTCCTTTGTTTACCTCGTCCTTGTGCAACCCTTGCCTAATTCGAGCAGGGGTTCAAAGCAGACTCTCACTTTCTGCTCTTGACAACTCCGATCACTTGTCTATTTTGAGCCATCTCTCCCCACATTCCCCCGCCCCCCCTTCAGGACTCTTTGAATCTGCTGAACCTCGGGTCACAATGTTCCACCACGTCACGCATCTAATCCCCTCCTACTCAGAGGCAAAGCATGCAAACCACGGACCCAAACAGGAAGCTTTCCACGGGCTACTTCAAAAATGCACGGTATTGTATTTAACCAGAGAAAAATATTAGCTTCTGCGCAGTGAAACATTTGAAGCAATGTTGCATTCTTCCTCAAAGTTGGTACAACTTTGTAACTTAGTTTTTTTGTGCTGTCAAGGCTGCTTAAAGAACTACTGTCAGCTATTTGAATGAAGTTTATCATATAAATTATAAAACACTGAGTTTTTTCAGGATATACATCTCTAACTTCCCTCCTCATTTGCCTCCCCTCTGCTCCCTTTGTTCTTCCACTCCTCTCCCATCCATACTCAACCTCAAAGTTAACTCTGTCAACCGTGGCACCTCCCCCTCACCTGTCTGCAGATATGTTTTGCCTCCTCCGAGAACTTATCCGAGTACTCCTCCTGGTCTTCACGCACTCGTCTATCCACTTCCTCCCGCTTGACACGCTCCTTGCGCTTGCGGAATGGGGACTGGCCTTGTATCATCTCAAAAATCAGGCAGCCCAGCCCCCACCAGTCCGGACTGAAGGTGTAGCTCTCATTCTGGATCACTTCAGGAGCTGAGGCAGGCGGGAGTGAGAAGTGAAGAAAGAGAGGGCATCACAGGCAGATTTTTAATCTGAACATAATAACACAGACGTAATTAAGGAGGTTCACAAGTATGGAAGTGTACTGCATTCACTTACAAAAAAAAAAAAAGAACTGTTTTGAGTATTTTTTTTTTCTTTGCTGTTTTTCTGACTCATTTTTTTCTTGCTTTTCTGTACAAATATTTTTTCCCCTCTTTCTGTTTTTCTGACAATTTTTTTTTCAGTCTTTCTGCTATTCAGACTATTTTTTTTCTCCTAACTAAACCAGATACTTTAAGATCCTGCGAGAACCTCATACAATCAGATAACGTTAACCACCGCGGCTGTGCCAAATCAGCAGATTCTCCAGCTCCTAGATAATTTAAACTACAGGGTCAAAGAGAGTAAAGCATGTTATTAGTTAAACATAGGGCTGTGCAAAGTAGACAAACTTATGACAATTCCATCGATCAGACTTAAAAAAAAAGGAGCATCTCCCAGTGTCTCAAATTCAAAAGAAAGTAAAACTTGATTAAACCCAACAAGTCGGCCATGTTTGCTTCCAATAAATCAAGCAGAGGGGAATGAAAGCCTCTGTTTTTAAATTATCGTGATCCAAGAGAACAGGAAAAACTATTATGAGATATGAAAACTAAACTATTAGGAAAAAAAGGAAAAAAAACAAAACATTTTACTCTGAAAGACAGAAAAAAAAATTAATTCTGAAAAACAGAAAAAAATTTGGTCCAAAAAAACAGAACAAAAAATTACTCTGAAAAACAGAAAAAAATGCTCTGAAAAAAACAGAAAAAAAATTTAAAAAATTAAAACATTAAAACAGAACAGAAAAAAATTAAAAAATGTTTCCTTTTTTTTTCTTGAATGCAAATTGCCTCCGTACATTAGTACCAAAGAAAGTCAAAAAATGTCTGAGGTGTAGAAATGTTTACCCATGTATCCAACAGTGCCCACTCTCCCTCGTATCGTCTCTCCTTCAGGAATTTGAACCGCAAGGCCCAGGTCTGAAATTCGGATGTGTCCTGAAAAATAGCCCCAGATTGATGAGAGACAGATAAACACATAATTATTATCTAAAACTATGCACTTTTCCAGTTAAACTTTGAGTTTAATTTAGCCTCGAGTGCAAAGGTGCAGTCATAGTGCCCTAATTAAAGCCAATTAACTTCAAAACGATCTTTAATGACAGAGTCGTGAGAAAACAACATTTAATAAACAATGCTGGAAAGTTATCGGAGGTAATTTGTATTTAAAGATGATAAATACAGGATACAAATGCCGCTGGCTCTTATCTCAAAGAAAAGGGTTCGACATAAAGACCTTGATGTCTTTTCAGCCTTCGACTGAGACATTATCTATCTCACACTTGTGAAAAAAAAAAAAGAACAGAGAAAGTTTGAACATACCACGGTCATCCAGGAGGATATTCTCAGGTTTCAAATCCCTGTGAGACAAAAAGGACATACAGTATGTAGACATTCATTTGTCAGCAACAATTTTATTTAAATGTATTAAAATAAACACATTTATAGCTAAGTTGTGTGGTCAGGTTTATCTAATCTGAGTGAAACAAAGTCCAATCCATCAGTGTACTTAGTGAAATTTAAGTTAACTAAAAAACTGAAGGTATACTGTAGGTGGAGGAATAGGTACTGTTTCATTTCATTTCCTTCTCTATTATATATTCTGTTTTGAGCTGAAAATACGAAAACAAACATTAATTTTTTATTTTTTGGCTATTCAGAAAAACAAACAAAATATTGACTCGTTTTTTTCATGTACTAGATTGAACAGAATAATTGAATGGACAGATAATACATGGACCTTTGTCATTCTGCCATTAAACCCTCAGGAAGCGCTTCCCCCTTGAAACTCTGGCCCGACCTTCTTCTAAACCCTGTTTGACCTAACCTGTAGACAATCCTCTCACGGTGCAGGTCCTCAAGGCCACAGCAGATTTCAGCAGCGTAGAAGATGGCCCTTTGCTCATCAAAACCCGAGTTGCCCATGTTATAGATGTGAAACTTAAGGTCACCGCCATTCATTATGGTCAACACCAGGCACAGCGCATCCTTGGTCTCATAGGCATAAGCTAGACTTACCTGGAGAGGGAGGAAAATGTGGGAAGGTAGAAAATAGGAGGGTGAGAGATCAAGTGAGAAGGCAGGGGTATGAAGCAGGGAGGCTGAAAACATTTGACACGTTACATCACATCCATTATTTCACAATTCACAGACATGGATAACCAGAATCATCTTCTTCTTCTTCACTCTGTACTACACTGCCTGAAGTCCTTTCCCACTGACTCTGCAGCTTCCCCCTCCCCCTTTGTAGGTCAGTGACACACAGGGTATAGTTTGTGTATATATGTGCTGTTGTGTGTAAGCAGGACGTAGCCGCCATGGGGAGGAATCACATCTGTAACAGACTAGACTACGCACTCACTGACCACCAGGGGGGATTGGAATAGGTCTTACAGGCAGAGTGAAGCGCTCAGAGGTAAGGACAAGCAAACATGTACCACAGTGGACCTAAATAAACATGAGGAGCGACCCACAGAGATTTCTGTGCAGTTCAGATGAGACGAGGCTGATTTTATAGTAGGAATAACTCAATTTGACAAATCACAGTAACCCAATTCTTTGACCTGACATGTAGACCCTGTTTCAAATCAACACCATCAAATAATAAGTTTATGCTATTCGTGAACTTTCTGGTATGCACAGGTACAGTCCTGTGTAAAAAACAGTTGTTGTACATGATTGCCATTCGACCTGAATTGAGATCATCTATAACAGATCTGGGCATTTTACGGCCCGTGTGCCACATACAGCCCTATGGATGTCCCTGCCCGGCCCTTTGCGAGGTCCATCAATCAAATAATCAACATGCCATACAAGTGTGTTGCTTTTATTTTGAAAACCTAGCCGTTGTTTTATTTCCATTTGGACGCACGTGCGTACATCCTAGATCTGCATTTGTGAATAGAGACAAGTTTAAACATCGGCAAAATATGCGTAGACGCCGTAGAGTTGCCAAGTCTGCCTATTATGAGCGACTTTAGGGTTGTTTCTTTCAGAAGTCGCTTGTAAAAGTCGTGAGCCGCAGGTGCGCTTTTTTGGGCTTGCTTTTCTGTATGTGTAATTCAGTGACAACTTCACCAATTAAAAATAATAAATTTTTCTATCATCTCTCAAAACAAAACCACTGAAAATGATGGAGTGCATATGCCAAGCCATTAAGTGGTGCTTTAACGCTGCACAGGAAATGTAGGAAATTTTGATTTGAAATCGATTAATCGTGCAGCCCTAACTGGTAGAATGGAAGAGACCATCCAACTTTTATGAGATGAATCTAAAGGAGAAATAAGTAAAATGATTAAAAGCAGCAAAGATTTGGGTTGAGAAGACATCTCCTTCCCTTCCCAAAAGATTAAAAATTAAAATATTTGAGTTCTCTGCTTCACCCTCAGCACAAAAACTTTAAGATTTTCATACTGGAGAAATTACTAATTCATAAGTCCTTGAATTAATTTAAAGGTTATTATTGGTTACTTAAATTTTGATCACTTCACATCTACAAGCCTTTTCTGTTTCATTCAGGAAAATAAAGCTTTACTTTCAGATAAATGAGCTACTATCACTTTTGGTTCATCAGCCAAAAGAAAGTTAAACCTGCTCAAGATCACAACATCAGACAAGTACTGAGCATAATCTGAAGTTAATGCAGATTTCAGATTACAGAGACCCTGTCCTGTGTCTCACACAGGCATCTATGGCATCTGTACACCCCCACACCGAATATAAGCCTGGGTTATTGATTAAAACAGTTTGTCTTGAATGATAGTATGATGCACTGATCAAAAAGGTAAAGAACAATAGCATGAGAGAGAAAAATGAGGGGTATGAGAGAGCACTTGACTCTTCTCCTTTCTACTGCTGTTTGGTCAGAGTTGCTAGGCAACAGAGCTACTCTCGTAGGTTGAGAGGCACATGAAGAGTCATCGGTTCTGCCTGCAGCGCAGAGAACAAACACACACACACACACGCGCACACACACAATCATGTGCCAATCCCAGGTGACACAAGCTGCAGGTCTGAGGTTCTCTAACAAGCCAACATCAGCGGGTGTGTGTTTGTGTGTGTGTGTGTTTTTTTGTGTGTGTATATGCATGCACACCCACAAATGCCCGTACACAGTTCTGCTTTTATGCTCTCAAAATAAGAACATGCAACATCAGAACCAAATACTCCAAGTCAACTTAAACACAGCTTTTAGCTTCAGATATGTGGTACAGTTCACAGTGCTATACACACCAACATACCTGAAATTAACTAACACACCACAACAGCCTCATCGTGGTCCAGTCTAAAATAAAAAAGGTCTTTTTTGTTGTTTTTTTTAATAACTTATGTCAGACCCAAAGCAAGCTCTAAGCTCTAATCTTTAAAACTTAAAGTGACATTCTGGCGTAAATTTAAGTTACGGTCAAAACTTGTTATAGCCGCCTGTTTGTGGGGCAGCCCTGACGAGTCGATCACCGAGTGCAGCGGATCATTTCCATGAAGTAATAATCATCATATTAATCATTTTACACTGCAAACGCGGTAGTTCTTCTGCCTCAGCGTCTCAGTCTGATTGCATTTCCATGAAGTAACAATCACAAATGTTCTTCCTTGAACTGCAAAACTCCGCTGCACTTGGTGATCTACTTGTTTGATGTTTGGTGGCTAGTACTATGGTTGGGACCCTATATGTACTGTTGATGAAGTTAGGTGCTGTTCTGAACCTTATTTGTGGCTATAGAGTGGCATTTTGGTTGAAGTTTACGTGTAAAGACGTAGACCGCTGTATATTGCTAGCGTGCGGTCATTGCTGAAGTCAGTATAACTAAAGAAGCAAGTGGTCGGCAACATTCTTCTCTTGAGGGGTTGTCTAATTCGGTGTTATGTTGTGTTTGACCATAACTTAAATTTACACCGGAATATCCCTTAAAGATGGTCCTACAGTTGGATGAAATAAAAGATCAGGATCACATCATTAGTTTTCTGGCTTATATTTTCGCTTTTATAATCATGCTTTCGAGCAAGATTAAAATTCAAAAAGTTTCATTTTAACCTCAAGAAAGCATCATGTCTCTCTATGAATCGTAAATCTTTGCATCAAAGCTTTAGTTAAAACCAGTGGTTATGACTCTGCATTGATTCACATAAGTCATGTAGTTTTCTGTTTATTATGGGTGTGGTGGTTTCTAAATCAACTGACTAAGGTTTCACTTGATTTTTTCAGTTGCACCACACAGGATTAGAGCTGTATTGTGAAAGAGTCAGCCTCATCGAACGGTTAGTCCAGGTCTGAGCCGTTTTAGTCACACAAGGACGTTTGAAAATACCCCATCATTGTAAGGCCGTAGCGTAAAGACAGATCAAATCAGACCAAAGTAACTGTGGAGGTTTTTGAGTTAGTTTTCACACATATTATGACGTAAACCTGTCAAACAGAGTTAACATAAATAATTCACATTTGCAAATGATTTACGGCTGGTATCATGATGCAAATGAAATCAAATTAGAAATGTTTGCACAGGCAGAATGAAAGGCTTGTTACCTAAATGAATTTGGATTTGGCTGGGATCGCTGACCAGCTGAGCTGCCACCAGTAATAAATGATGTAAATTATATTTACCATCACAAGCTCGTCCACTTAGCACGGATGTCATAAAACTAACACGACTCAATGGAAAGAGCCGTCTTTTACAGCCCATAGAAAACCTTTGCAAACACACGATTTAATTTCATTTGCAGGATCTTGGTGTTCAAACAAACAGTATTCACACATGCACACGCACGCATGCATGCACACACACACACTCACTCACATGCACTCGCACGCACACTCACGCACACACAGATAAAACAAAACAGGTACATCTCTTTTGAAAGTTTGAATAAGAAAAAGGTAGTACTTACTACAAAACTACTGTTAACTTTTTCTAAAATGCGTTTTTCGTTTAGTGCCATTGCTTCACCTTTTCTCTTCTTCACTCGTTTCTTTTCCAGCTTTTTACAGGCGTACATCTTACCGGTGGCACGTACTTGGCAGGCACAAACCTGGAAGATGAGCGGCAACATGTAGTCATGAGGTTGGCAGTGTAAAAAGACTTGAAATGACCACAATAAGGCATGAAACACTCTCTTCTTTTCCTGACACTCACCTCACCAAATCCACCTTTTCCTAGTACTCTATAATGTCTGAAGGTATTTTTGGTTACTGGTTGCCTGCAGGGATTAAAAGAAAACAGAGACAGATGTTGAGCAGAGAGAGAGAGACGGAACAACTTCTAGGTTATTTCTTTATTTGGCATTAACATGAGATGAGGCGAACAGAGCGGTGCTTCACAATATTATTAACTACAACTCTGATGAGCTGTAGCGTTTTAGTGTTTCAGTTCTCCTTCCTGCTTCAGTTTTGTTTGGACGGTGTGGTTTGTTTTGGGATGTGTGTGTTTTTGCTTGGTCTGAGCTGTCTTTCAGTCAATTTTAACAATGCAGTAATAATTTTTTGTGCTAAAGTGTGTTCTGGAAGTTTAAAAGGGATTATGTAGTGTACAAATCAGACAAATAAAATGGGAAAAATTATGCATTTTTTTATGTTTTATTTTTCTTTGCCTGTTTCTGAGTTGATGTATATTTTTGAATATGAAAGTTGTTTTATAAATCTAAGGTATGTATGCTGTTTTTGTTTGTCTTTTTTATGTATTTGTGCTTGATTAAAATAAAATTTAAAGAAAAAAAAATGTAATTATATATTTTTTGAACTAAAGTGTGTTCTGGAAGATTAAAGTAGATTATCTAGTGTTCAAATCTAACAAAAAATGGGAAAAATTATGTAAACCTCATCTAACAATGCACATAATATCATTCCTGACATCCTCATGTAAGAAATACAAACTGTTTTCATTTCACAATATTCCTGAAACATCAGGACTTATTGACTTGGATTATGACAAAAACCAAAAATAAAAAAGCTAGACCTAGATGGTTGGCAAAAATTTGCAATAACACAAGTTTGGGTTGAGGAGTTTTTTTTGTTTGTTTGTTTGTTTGTTTGTTTGTTTTTTTGATGTTTTATTTTTCTTTTTCTGTTTCTGAATTGATGTATTTTTTTTAATATGAAAGTTGTTTTATATATCTAAGATATGTATGCTGTTTTGTTTGTCACTTCTATGTATTTGTCCTTGCTTAAAATAAAATTTAAAGAAACAAAAAAGTAATTATAAATTTTTTGTGCTAAAGTGTGTTCTGGAAGTTTAAAGTAGATTTTCTAGTGTTCCAATCAGACAAATTAATTTGGAAAAATTATGTAAACCTCATCTTACGATGCACATAACATCATTCCTGACATTCTCGTGTAAAGAAAAGAAATGGTTTTCATTTGTGTTTACTGACTCTGTAATATACAGTGACTACCCACCTCTCCAACCATTTCCACTGCAGGAAACGAGAGAAATACATGGACTCCTGGTAGGAGGAAAATGGAGCTCCACTTAGATAATCACGAACTATTCTGCAAAAAGGGAGGGAGGGAGAAAGAGAGTAAGAGGGCTGTTGATCATTTAATAACAAGGGAATAAAGATATTACAATTTACGGTAAGTATCACGAATAAACGTGTGTGAGATTTGTCCCAAACGTCTTCAGACACACAAACAAACATCGCTGCGTTCCCCAGAAAATTGTCTTTTAAGAGTTTGTGTAAGTGCAAACTCAAACATTCACTTTATCTGACTAAGCCCTGAATCACTGCCTCTGTGTGTATGCCTGCGTATATCTGTGTGCCTACGTTTAGGCATTGCCAGCTGTGTTACGGTTCAAAGCCGTTCTCACTGGAAAGACGGGAAACACTGAGCGCTGATACTCCACTGTGAAAAAATGCAAAACGCCTTTGAACAGAAACATTCCACTCGAACGAACCAGGAAACAGGGGATTGAGGGGAAAACATTTTCACAAAGCAGAAGGTTGAGCGGAAAAACTGAATCTCACCTTACCACACACGTGAATGCGAGTATGAGTCTGTGGGAATCCGCTGGACTACGTCATTTATTCTGACATAATCATCCAGAAAAACAACTTCTTCCACAAGTGAAAGGACAACCTAAACAAACACCAAAAATAGACCCATCGTTGAGGGACGGAGGGTTCCTGAAGGTCACACGCTCATTATCTCCTCAACATACTCCAACCATCACTCCGCTGAGAGTTGTGCGACTCTTTGACATGACCCTGCAAGTCTCTAACTAGTCCTTGTTCACTGCTTTGAGAACAGATGTCGCCTTAAAACACCAGTTGTCTCTATTCAGGGATTGGTTTCAGCCTACACCATCGCTACAAGAGTTCAAACAGGACATCTCTGAACGATGACCCTGAATGTGTGATGATGGACTATCTGCCTCTGTAAGGTAGGGCTGTGAAGTCCTAATCGACAACATGCTGCATCGACTAAAATTCTGATTGGTCGACTCAATTTTTTTCCCCGTCAATTTACAGTCTATGGTTAATTTCATCAGGAGGAACGTACCAAGTGCTAATGGAATATTTTATGAGTAACCAACAGAACGCTGTACGAGGGAATACCAAGGGTGAGCAAGAAGATTGCTGTAAGGAGAATGAAGATCTTCTAGCAGGACACTGCCAAAGGCACCGGGAAATGCCAGCCAGCAAATTGGTGCTGTGGGAACCAACACATGGGCATCGGTCAAAAGGACGTCCTACACTAACTAACTAAAGGATGCAGGAGCTCCGAGTACCAAGGAACTGGCGAGATGTATGGAGAATCGGGATGAGTGGAGGCGACGATGAAAGGCTCGTCTGAGGACGACCTAGAGATCGTTTCACAGGTAACAGCCTGGCTCAGAACACCCCCAACATACGGGTGACCGGCTGGAGACAGGAAGATTGAAGAGCGTCCACGTTAATCAACGCCCGGGGGTTTGCTGAATATAATATTTGTGTTTAATTGCCTTCTTGGGTTGATATCAGTATATTTTTTTCTCGCCCAGCTGTCGTCCCCCGCCGCAGAAGGGTTTGTGAGATAACATATTTCCATGGGGGAAGAAGCCAAAAACCAGAGGAAAACTTTGAGACTACTAGACCACAGTAATGGATACCACTCCTTCTGATCCGGTTTTTGGTATTCTCTCTTTTTGGTCACTTTATATGAGGTTTTTATCTATGATACTTCTGCTTTACGTTATAAAGGCCAATAGTCATTTGAGGTATGATATTAGACAACACAGATAATAGTCACTTAGATTGCTGTGAACTTTAGATGGACTGTGACACCAAGTTCAGATTTTGGTATTTTTCTCACGAGCATACCATGACAACTGTCCAACCAAGCAAGTGAAAAATCAAAGTTTAGCATTTCAACACTTAGAAATTTAAACTATTGTCTGTACTACAAAAATGCAAGAGACAATGCTTCAAAAACGAGTCAAACATTGTGTTCCTTGACATAAAAAGTTCCAGTTTAACAATTTCAGTGACAGACTCTGTGAGTTGCTTTCAACAGGCACTTGATACATCTATAGAAGTTATGTTCCTTACAATAAATCTGCAAGGAATTTAAGAATTTTGTCGTCTATGAGGTGATTTAACTGAATTTTTAGCTATTTAAAACACAACATTGTGATCTTGATGGTAAAGTTTTAAATTCATTTGCAAAAAAAAACAAAAACACAAATTAAGGGACAGAAAACTTCTCAGCTTGCTCCGAGTTTGTACAAAAACGACGAAGAGCCAATGGCAGACATGTTTAACCCTTTCATGTTTGCAGTCAGTTATATGATGCTTACACAACCTTGTTTGTGTCAAATTTTGCATCCACAACTACAGCAGCATGTCTCTGAGAGAGGTACAACATATCTGGGTATTATTACTACTTCTAGGTTTTCATGTGTAACATTTTGTGGTTGTTGAAGCAGTAAGAAAAGCAGTGATTCACACAAACAAACCAATTAGCACCAACTGAAGCCAGCAAGTTCCTTCACAATAAAAAAAGAGCCCACTTTTATCTTTGGTCCTCCAGAGCTGAGACAGAATATGGACATTTTTAGACTGTTCTAGCAGCCAACAACAGAGCAGTTGGTGTGCCTGGCTCTAACCTTTGACACCTTCACTCTGCAGCTCAGATGTCAAACCACAACAGTGTAGGAGGAAGTGGAATGCTCGAGGAGTAGGAGCAAATTTTGCATGCCTACTATCCGTATCACTTCGGTCATTACGTCACCACAGGAGCAAATTCAAAATCCACTTGCAGAAGCTTTGTTTCCCAGTGGGGTGCACTACAAAAACGGGGGGGTCAGGGTGCTGTACTGGTCCCCGATGGCTGCCGATCAAAAACATTTGGCAAACCATGAAACAAAACAATCCAATACAACAAAAGATACCCTGAACTATTGAGAAGCTGAAATCATGAAATCATGTATCTAATGTGGACTACATTTCACCTTCCAAACCCCAAAAACTCAAACATTTACATTTGAGGTTAAAGGGATATTCCAGTGTAAATTTAAGTTAGGGTCAAACACACCGTAACACCGAGTTAGACACCCCCTGGGGAGATGAATGTTGCCGACTGCTTGCTTCTCTAGTTATACCAACTTTAGTAAAGACCGCACGATAGCAAAACACAGTGGTCTACGTCTCCACGTGCAAACCTCAACCAAAACGCCACTCTATAGCCACAAATAATGCTCAGAACAGCACCTAACTTCATCAACAGTACATATAGGGTCCCAGCCATAGTACTACCCACCAAACATCTTTTTAACTTTGCCTGATTTCTTTAGCAAAGAGTCTAAACACAACTCACCCTCTCTCCTCCAGCAGCCGCTTGTTTGTGGGGGAGCCCTGACCAGTCGATCACTGAGTGCAGCGGATCATTTCCATGAAGTAATAATCATAATAATAATAATCATTTTACACTGCAGACACGGTAGTTCTTCTGCCTTAGCGTCTTGGTCTGAGTACAATTCCATGAGGTAACAATCATAAATGTTCTTCCTTGAGCTGCGAAACCCCGCTGCACTCGGTGATTGACTTTGTTGTGATGTTTGGTGGCTAGTACTATGGCTGGGACCCTATATGTCCTGTTGATGAAGTTAGGTGCTGTTCTGAGCATTATTTGTTGCTATAGAGTGGCGTTTTGGTTGAGGTTTACATGTGGAGACGTAGACCGCTGTGTATTGCTATTGTGCGGTCGTTACTAAGGTTGGTATAACAAGAGAAGCAAACAGTCAGTGACGTTCATCTCTGGAGGGTGTCTAACTCGGTGTTATGGTGTGTTTGACCCTAACTGAAATTTACGCCAGAATATCCCTTTAAGACCAGCACGCATTTCTTTATGTTATACAAATGATAACCTCACATCAGTGACTGAATTCCCAGTTTAGCCTCTTAACCATGTTTTCTTTTCAGGCCATTTATGTTCACTTGGTCTCAGGAACAAAAACTGCTAAGGGCTCCAGAAATGTAGTCAGCTCTGCCATGCCTGTCTTGGTGTCCAGCTTTAGACGGACAGTACCAGGAGTAGATATAAACACAGTAACAATACAGCTTTTGTTGCAGGAAAGAGGCTGTCGAGGCAGAAGAAAAGGGGGAGCGAAATCAGCATGTTGACCTTTGTCAAACCTAACGACACGATAGATTATGATACACTTGTAGTAGCGAGAGAAACGCTTTACGCTCAGTATGACATAACTCCATGTTCCACTGCAGCAGGAGAAAATCTATGACTGAGCTAATACATTTCTCCAAGTGGGTGTGTGGCTCTGCCAAAAGTCACGTTTCACTTGCAGCACCATGTTTCTCTTCCCAAAAGCTTTCCCACTGAGAAAAAAAAGGGGAAGTCTTGGGTCAGAACTGTGCGCACCAGAATAATTTGATTACATAAAATACAAATTCCACATGGAACATAAATAATTATAATAATAGTGGAAGGAGTGATGACCAAACTCAAACAGGAATCCCATTACAACGAATCTGAACTGCTGCAGCTCCAAGTCTTCAGTGACTGCCCGCCTGTGTTCTGATTTCACTCAGTTTCCGCATCTCCTCACTTTTCCCAGTTCCTCATTTTGCTTTTCTTCCACAGGTCTGACTCTGTCGGTTTCCAAACGAAGTCCAAACTGTCGTGTTTTCAGCCTGCCTATCGCTTTCTTGCTAAATTTGTTTTCAGTCTCGTGAAGGTGTCTGAATGAAGAGGTTGCTGTGATTTGTGCGGCCTAAAGAAAACGTTGGTCGAGGAGTTCTTTGGCATTTCTCTTTCTCACGTAGATCCTCTGCTTTTTTACTTTTTCAAAGATGTGAAAAGATTAAAATGCCGATAAATGTGACACACACACAACTTAATTTCACACAAATTAGTGATCCAGATGACTTGGATTAATCCATGCCTGTAAAACAGACTCTTTACTTATAGCAGTGAAAAGCCTTGAATAGCGTAGCTGTCCAACACAGTCACGATGGTTTTTAACTTGTTTTTTATTTTTTATTTTTAAATGGTCAGAACAGGAGTGCAGCCTGAGCACAAAACTGAGCTTTTCCCAATTATGTTCCTCCACTTCTTCTAAGCAGATTCCAGTTTCCTCAGGGAAGCTAAGGCCTTGTCCACACGGTGACAAAGACGATATATTGCTGTTTCGTTTTAAGCTTTCTGTAAAGACCGGATAATTTCAGGAAAACAAACAGGAAACCACTGAAAACGATGTAGTGCATATGCCAAACCAGTAAGTGGCACTGCAATGCTGACAGGGAAATGCGCCAAAAAACAGAAGAAGAGTATGGAGCATGGGTATTAAGGTTCTTTTGTCTGGTGTAGGTACCAGTTGTGTTTGGGCTGCCAGATCGGCTCGGGGATCGGTGCCTATTGATGATGTCACGCTAAATGATTGGCTGGAAGTTGGTTCGGATGACATAGAAGATTGTGGTCAGACCAAACATTGCGGAAGCGGTTTTCGCGGGGTTAGGTTGCATGGGATTGCAGTTCTTCGAAGAATTTTACAAAGCAATCTATCGCTACTTATCAGAGGAGACTTTCAACAGCCGCGCTACCACCTCTTTTAGGTCGCCAAAGGAAATGTAAAATAAAAGCAAAACTATCTTTTGATAAACAGAGATTCTGTGTACATTTTTTTTTCCTCCTGAAAAGTTAACATTTACAATTAAAACCATCTAAAAATTACAGAACAGTAAGCTGTAATTCTCTGTATTATATGGAGCACATTTGACTTGATGGAGCACAATGTAGTTTGTCGGAGTGGACTTGCCATAATGTAACGTCTTCAACAGGCGCTGGGCCCCGAGTCGATCTGGCAGCCCGAACACATCTGGTGCCTACACTGGACTTGTGCGGGCGCATTAATAGAGTTGTGCTGTGTGTGACGTAGTGGTTCAAGAAAGATCCAAACAGAAACGAAAAGGTAGTCCTATACAGATTTATGCGCTCTGGCAAACAGGGCCTTGCACCCTAAGGACATCTCTCAGTACATGCACCCAAAAAACTCGATTTGTTGAAACAGTCCTTCAAACTAGACTTCTAAAATGCACGTAAACGCACTTAATATCAAACTTCTCATGGTTAGACTAACATGTGATTAGGCACTGATTTTCACTGTCATGTATACGACTCAGTCAAGCTGAAACTGAAAGTGGTCTGCACAAGCTCCAGTGTTTGTACCTCAGGCTCTGAGCCGGTGGCTAAACAGCATGGACACATTACTACGGAGCCAGGTATTAAATGAAACCTTGTCAGACAAAAAAAGGACAACACTTTCCTGAGATCCTCTTTCCAAAGACAGCAGTCCAGTTAAGTCGCCAATCAAGGTATGGCCGTAATCTCGACTTGACACTACTGCTAAAAACTAAAAAACCTTCTTTTAGACTAATAGAACTCTTCCAACAAGATGGTTGTAGAGCAGCAGTGTTCGATCATTTTAAGATGGACTTGTGCATCCTTGGCCGCCAAGTGAACATTTCACAACTCACTACACAGAAGACACAAACTATTGGACTGATTGGTGCAAGAAGAAGTACATTCAGAGTAATAGCCCTTGGTCTGTTTGCTTCTCCTGGCTCCCAGAGCAGGAAGAAGGAACACCTGCAAGAGTGAGTGTGTTTGAGTGTGTGTGAGTGTGTGTATGCATGAGTATGAGCGAGAGAGAGAGAGAGGTAGTGAGTGTGTGTGTGTGTGTGTGTGTGTGAGTGTGTGTGTGTGTGTGTGTGTGTGTGTTGAACACTGAGGTGGCTGTTGTTTTCATGCCAGCCATCCGGATGCTCTCTTTGCCCACTGCTTTCATTCCCCTCCACCATGCATGTATTTGCAAGTTGGTGTCTGTGTGCGTGTGTGTGCGAGTGCGTGCGTGCGTGTGTGTGTGTGTGTGTGTGTGTGTGTCTAATACTGTGTTGCAGGTGCCAGCTGCCTCATCATCACTAGTGACAGGGTGCACTAGTCTAAACACTCTAAAAAAAACACACACGCTCCTCTATAGGAACTGGATTCTTTTGGAGCCATCGCACTTTGATGGTCAGATTCAATCGACACGCTGCCGACAAACAGGCATCTGTTTCAAGTACCAAGTCAGTTAGAAAACCAACGCTCGTGTCGTTGTCACAAAGAGACAGAAAGCCAAAACATACCAGATGTGCAGAGGAGATAAAGACTTACTTGGTGCAGTCATTGAAGAGCTCCTTACATGGGCTTTGCTCCAGCCTCTCCCGACACCCTGCCACCACATCCTGGGGTATGTCTGGCAGATGAGCCGCCGACTTTGTGATAGAGAAGAGGAAAGAGGGCGGGGCAGGCGGATGAGCATAAAGGGTCTGAAACAAACTGACTAAACTGCTATAATGACTGTAGACTATCAAGGTTCAGGAGGATCAAAAAGACTGTGGGTATGCTGGGTGTCTTTGGTTTGGGTGAGTATTGGTAAGTATTTTGGCCACTGGAGGTGTTTCAAATAATTATGCCTTTAGGAAAGCATTACTTTTATCCTTGTGAATTTGATTTCAGCTACTTATGTGTCTGTCAATATATAATGTACTTGTGCAAGTCACAGATCTAAGTTCCTCACAGTTAGGGTTGGGCATCAAGCATATATTGGAACCGGGGACTAACATTCAGATTCTCCTGTAACCGTTTGAATTTTTAAACTTTGATTCTGAGTTTCGATGCCAAGTGCATCGACCGGGAGAATTAGCCGCTAAACACCAACGAAGAAGAGGCCGCTGTCTGTGTCCATTCCAGGTTCATATTGCAGTCCGTAAAGTCCTAGTCGACTTATTGGTCGCTACGTGCTGAGACTACCAAAATTCTGATTGGTCAACTCAATTTTTTTTCCTCGTCAATTAACTGAGCACCCCCGTTTCACAGGCAACAGCATGTCTCAGAACACCCCCCTTGTTTTCACCATTTTGGACTCGCCCAACCCACTGGAGACCGACTGAAGACAGGAAGATTGATTCAGTGAACGAATCTTTTGAACGAATCCTTTTAATGAACGGATTCTAAAGATTCAGTTCAGTCAAAGGAACTGTTCTTCCCATCACTATCAGAAACCGACCCCCAGATTAGTCAATTTTGGTCAAAAATTTCAGGGTTACGGTCGACCAAGAATTTCTATGGTCGATTACAGCCCTAGTTCATATAATTCACGCATTTCATCGGAACAGAACTCTGGCTATCGGCCTCATTTAAACCATTTTTTTTATTCCTGCCTTTTAAAAGAATCGGAAAAGAGAATCGTTGGGAACGGGAATCGTTCAAACTCAAACTATACCCAACCCTACTTACAACTTATTTTCAGAAAAGAACTCAAGTGTGGTTAAGAATATCCTAACTTCTAATTGTTAAAAACAGTCATTCAACTTATTTGTTTACTAATTGATTACCTGTGTTTTAAAATGAGAGAGCACAACTAAGGGAAAAGAGTAAGACTGCATGATATGGGTGTGTGTGACGCACAGTAAACATTTGAACCCACAACAGTCTGTTCTCACTAAATGTCTTACACTGTTTTCCTCAATGTGTGTCTAGTCCCTACTGTTCAATACAAACTACAGCTACAAGGGTAGTATAGCATGTCTACAAGTTCAAACACTGCGATAAAGAAAGCTTTTGTGTGTCATACCCCATTATTAAAGTATGTGTCTAATACATTCAGTCCACAGTCCCTCCTCTTCTCGTCGGGAGCTAGCTGGTACATGGCCTGTCAGAGAACACAAATGTGAACAACAGCAAGAAGCCAGTCTCATTCAGCCATCTTTAATATCCCTCCAAATAAGGCTGATGGGGGGGAAGAAACAGGCACCAGGAGGTGGGGGGAGGTCGAGATAGAAGGAAGAGAGAGGAAAGAGTCAAAGGGTTAATGAGGAACAAGAGAGAAAGACATGACATGAGCGCAGGAAAACAGGCAAACAGGCAAACAGACATGTTACTGATGAGACATCCTCGTCGGAGTGAAGGCATCAAACTGGCAACTATGTTCGTCTTCACACTCAGGCCATTACTTCTGTCACCTCTTATGATGAGGCTTGTGTTTTCACCCCGGCACAGATTGTGTTTTCGGACACACATGGCTGTAGGCATGGAGATGGCCTGGGGTTTGAGTGCTTTGCGCAGTTTGGTTTGTTTGGAAACAAGCTCCACGGGGAGGAGTGAGACTTCAGCGAAACTTCACGTCTCAGCCTAGGCATGATGTTCCCTCTGAGACTGACGGCACATGTTCGGCGCAAATGTCGTTGCTCATTCCTCTTCTTGCAGTTCGTCAATCATCGTAAACAGGTGTCACTGCCGGTGTGCTTACCTACTTTCCCGTGTTCATTCCTAAAGAGGCTGAAGCGAGTTCTTATCAATAGGCATGTTTCACTCCTGCTTTCCTTTCATGCATACCTCCTGTGGCGTAGACACAAGCTGGGGCTTGTGTTTGCCTGCTCACCCTGGGGATGTGCCTCTGACGTGGGCTCCACTTCATGAAGGAGCGCATAGAGGCAGGGGAAGGGTCTGTCTTCTACAGCTTGTCTTAGCCCCTAATCACCCCGTACACCCACCCCTGCCACCACCCCATGCTTCTGCCAAGAGCAGGCAGGGGCCAAGCGTGGCTTTTCTTTCTTTTTCCTCGCTCTGCAGGAGTGATTTAAGTCCAATGTTATTAGAGGAACCGCAGTGATAGAAATTAGAGGTGAGAGACAAAGAAAAGGATAGCCAAGTGAGAGAGAAAGAAAGCATGAAGGTAAGAAAGGCATTAACACCTGTGCAGAGAGGAGAGAGTAACAGCCTTACCACAGCATCCATAAACTCGATGCAGCGTTTCAGCTCTGGCCTAGTATCACAGTACTGACGGAATAACAGCCGACCAATAGGCTGCTTCTCACATAGGCTGGTGTAGTCCCTCTCTGAAAGGAAGACAGGAGATGGAAACAGACAGAGAGACAAACGTCAGGAAATAAGATTCACTTCAGTTTGCGAGTTACACACTTTTTCTTAGAGGTCCAAAAAATCCACAACATAAAATTTTACATATCTATAATCGTACCTTAAATCTATACTGCATAAATACACAAAAGTGCAGCAGACAAAGTCACAGTTACTTCATAACCAGAGGCAAAAGAGTACATAGATACATTTTTTGAGTGGTTTATAAATGTGTGTCACTGCAGAGTCCACACTCTGTCCAAACTTCTTATTGCTCGTCTAAATTATTCTCATGTTAAGAGTCATTTCTGCACACTTTCTCATGTTTTTAAATCCTAATACCAGAGCAGTACTAGATAAACTCTTTGCCTCATTCTGTCCCTTTTCAAACTGTTTACATTTATTTGATGAGCATGTGCAATTGTTAGGTGTATATAAGTATTATTTCCACCACATCTGCAACTGCTCTGATCCGGTGGTGATTTTCACCGTATGCCAATTCCTACCAGATCCGTTTGCGAGGTGAATTTCGTGGCGGGTTACTGACAGCAGGAATTGCGAGAACACACAAGAATTCATGGATTCACATGCAATCGCGCCATAACAAGTTGTCTTTAGCCACATTGGCTAAACATAAAAGCAGGAGACTGTGTCCTTCAATAGGATGAAATCTACTTCTAGACTCATAAAATCAGCATCCTCTCATCCATCGAGGTGAAATGCTGTCTATAAACCTTTCACTTGCTCGTCCGAGCCTGTTTGTATGGTGTGAAATACGAGCCGCCTGAAACACAGAGTATTTAATTTTGAAAAGAAGCGGGATGTTTTATTTTGTGTCTGTGCCCGACTTCCTTTACAGCACAGGTTAATCTGTGCTGAATGTATCCGGCAAAAATAGAACTCTTGTGATCAGCTGCGGAGTCCAGCGATCCGCAGCGGAACAGAAAGAAGCCGTTGGAAATTGACACATTGACTTGAATGGTTACGATCAGCTATGATCGGCAGATACGGCCTTTTTGTAGCCGTTCCGGATGCGGTGGAAATTGCCGGTTAGTCTTGCACCCCTCTGAGACATTGCAAGCAAAGACTTTCAAAACAAACCAATAAAGGTTTGTTGAAATCCATCACGAAAAGAAGTGAACCTCGATGGCCTATAAACTAATTTAGCCCGAAGATGAAATGTATAATCTCTCAAATTTATGCGTAGAAAAATCAGCAACTTCACAATCATACCCACACTTTTGGTCATATATGTTTAAGTCACGGTCAGAAAGGTCCATGTCACCACTTTGAAAGCAGCTATTGTATCATGCAGCTCCAGCCGGCCAGGCCCCGGCCTATTAGGACTAATGGTGTCCATTTGAGTCATATTTCCTCTGCTACCAAATGAGGAAGAAGACCCAGGACATTTTCCATCACTGGTTGACAGTACAAACATGCACACGCACGCAAGATAAACATGCAAACAAAAATAGGCCACACACATTCACACGAGTACACATGTGTGCTTGTGAGAAGGAGGAGGGATGCATGGGATGAACATTTTTGAGTGATGACAGCTACAGGACAACCTCCAACAGTAAATCAAATCTTTTCAACAGCCCTCCCAGCTGCACTGTTTATTGTACAGCATTCCCCTCTGCTCTGCAGCTCTGCGCTTCTCATACGAACCCTCCACTTACACAACCACAAAGTTATCAAGGAAGTAAGCCAACAGTTTGTGCGGACATAAAATACTTGTATTGTTTTCGTTCATCAGCATGTTTTAAATCTTACGATGAAAAAATAGTAGTTTTAGAAAACCATCACTGAAAAATCTTTAACACCACTACTGGCTTTAATATTTGCTTAAAATGTTTTCAGATGCTCTTTTTTTGGTGTTTCCATATCAGCTGGTCTAGAATAGCGCCGCATAGATCAGGAAACACAAGGCGACTGCGCAGCTGGAAATAGGAGGGTAATTCATGAAACAATGTGATACCTGATGCATTCACAAGATCACAATACAACTATTCTCTTCTGTTCAGTTATTGATGAATTGAAGGAAATTCATACAATGATATGCAACACACACACACACACAGACACACACACATTATACACAATCACTGATTAAGTGAAGAATACAAAGCGCCTCTAAAAAGGTGGAGTGCAGCGCTGAAGGCTTGATGTCATGAAAACCTGTTTAGAGCTTTGCTTTTATCCTACATTTAAGTATCTAACTGCTGTAACAACAGAAGTCACAACAACTATTTTTAATCATCTATCAATATTTTTATGAAAGTGTTTACAACTTTAGTTCTTTTACAACAACTTTGTTTAGATGTGTGTCATTAAATACATGTCCCAAAAGTTTAATTATCAGTCTCTAAAAATATTTACTTCCTTTACTTTTTTTTAACTTGGTAACAAATTATCAACACATTACAAATGTGCTCACGAGTACATAAGACCTCTCGAGGCCAAACTAGGAAGCAGGTTTAACAAACTCTGGGTATCTTTTGTTTATCTGCAGGGTTCCTACACAGTTGGAGTTTCCATATTTTCCATATCCCACCTTTTAGAATTATTTTGGAAATACCTACTTTTCTGTTTTTGAACACAGTACTTTAGAACTGTGGTAATAGTCTGGAAACATAAATATTTTTCCATACTTTATGTTTCATTTTCCATACTTTTTAAGATCTGGAAATTGATCAGATTACTTCCATACCTTCCATACCTGTATCTAAACATGACCATAGAGATTGCACCACACACACAAACAAAACTGTTTTTCAACCTGATAAATTGGCCTAGATTTCCAGTGAGTACATACACATGAATTGATCAATTTCAATCAATCAATCTGTATTCATATCTCACCATTTCACACCAATGCTAAGACTGGATCAATTTGAGCAACATCTTGTAGGATCAGATTCACTCCCATCCCATCTTAAACCACATGAGTTAGGGCTGGGCGATATGGCCTAAAATCAATATCACGATATATTGAGCAGTTCCCTTCAATATCGATAAATGGACGATAACTACCCCACAAGCTGCTCACCCCTTCCCACGTTAACTTCGTCTACTTTAGCTGCTACAACTTTTGAACCGTCCTCCATCTCCTCACCTGTCTCTCCCTCTTCGTTACGGACTGGATGGGGTGGAGTCACATGAGAACATAGCCTACCTACATACATCCAAAACCAACTTTTATTTATCTATTTTTTTGACACTGAATATATTGATATGAGCAAAATGACGTTGGTTATTGTTGTAAATTTTGGCATCGTTTAAATTTTCAGTTTATCACACAGCCCTACCACACACACAAACAAACCTGGTTATCAACCTGATAAATCGGCCTAGATTTACAGTGAGCACATTCAATCTCAATCAATTAGCCTGTATTTATATATCACCAATTCACACCAGTGCTAAGACTGAATCAATCTGAGCACCATCTCGTACGATCAGACCCGCAGCACTTTGCAGCATTTATCAAGTTACAGTGGAGAGGAAGAACTTCCTTTAACAGGCAGAAACCTCGAGCAGAACCAGATTCATGTAGGACAGTCATCTGCTGAGACTGAGCTAGGTTTAGTGAGTGGAGAGGGGTGAGACTGATCATGTAGTTGAACCAGCTGGAGAGCAGATAAGTCCACAATCCAGAAGGACCTGGGGTATGATGGGGCACATGGACTCTCCTCAAATATAAACGGTCATTCAGAGGAGATATTTAATTCTGAATATGCAGTATCATATTTTCTGAACAGTAAACGGTGGTCCAGGTAAAGGTTGGGGGCACTGGTATTGAAACAGGTATTGAAATAGTTTTATTTTTACATTTGTGGAAAAGTTCAAGACTCTGGCATCATGACAGCTCTCATCTCTCTCTCTTGTGTTCTGAAGAAAACAAATGTGAGAAGATCAAGACATTTCAAAGATGTATGAAACAAAAAAAGAAAAAAGGAGTTGGAGCTACCACGAAGGTTTATAACAGCAAAGGCCACAGTTCAATCTTTTAATACTCCATTTTAGTCCAAGACTGACTGGTCTAAGCTGAACAGTTGAAAAGTTTGGAGGTTGGATCGTAAAAACTGTAGCTTCCATCGAATGATCTGGCACACTTGACGAAGCCTGGGTCAAACACCTGATCTCACCGAGACACAACAAAGAAACTGCAATCAGTCGTCATACTGTATCCCATAATGTCCTGTTCTTACACCGTGTATGGTTATGTGCACCTTAGGCCGCACACAGGACGTGTGTGTGTACGTGTGTGTGGTGCATGTTGAAGTAGGCAAAAGGATTATTTTGATCCTGCGCTCAGTGTGATAGGGAACTTACGCAATTGTGTCTATGTAATAGTGACGTATGTAACCCACCACAGCTGCTGCACTTACACACACACACACACAGGCACAGACACAGAAACGTGCACGCACACAATCACACACAGTTCATTTTTCAGGTCCTTTGCAGAGTTATAATCCTAATGCCGATAAATTCACCAGACCTATAAGTCCCGTCTCACAAACAAGGCGCCAAATTAGGCAGGTAATCAGCCGCTATTGATGACAGGTAAATCAAGGTAATGATAGCGTGTCCTTATGTCTCTTTTTGTGACAGTCAAGACAAAACATTGATAAAAATATCCACAAAGGGAGTGTTTGCACTTACATCTCATTCACTAAGCCCCCTTCCTGTCCTCTCACTGCTTCTCTCACCCTCTCCTGTCCTTAAGTGATCCTTTCCCCTGTCGTAAAAAACCTCCCTCTCTTTTGTTTCTGTTTTCCACTCTCCCTCTCTCTCAATAATTCTTCTGTTCTGCCACTGTAATAGAGCTCCAAAGTGGTGGAAGGAGGAAGGGTGAGAGAGAAACACAGATTGTGGGAGGGGGGAGGCATGGAGACAGCAAAGAGGGAGGGAGAGTATGTGGGCGAGGGTTGCACTGCAATCTCTGGCAGAGATGGCTGTGACGCACTATTTAACACAAACACACACACACACACGACAAACACACATACCCCAAGTGGTGTGGCATTTAGGGGATCAGGGTGGGCAAGAGGGACACGGTGGAAATGTAGCCTCGGAGTTTGACGGCTTATCCTGACCAAAAACACCTCATCGTTGGAACAGGACGTTGAAGAAATTTTGATTTGTTGAGTGAGCAAACAAGCAGTCACTAAGACACGAGAGAGAGAGAGACTCCGAGGTCGAGAAGAGGCTTTGCAAATGGATTCCCTGAGACACACACACACACACACACACGCACCGAAACATACACTGTTTCCTGTCCCCTGCCTGAAACTGCGGGTGGAGACGGGTAGAAACAGGAAGGAAGTCCAATCTGTACTTCCTCCCACAGTCAGACCCACCCCAACGACACAGCATGGCACGTTATCTTTCTGCCTCACACGCACACGCCCACACACACACACACACACACACACACACACACACACAAACACTCCCCAGACTTTCTTACCGATGGTGCGGCGTAGCTCCTCACACTGGCTGATGTGAGGCAGTTTTAGCATCTCCTTCCATTTCTTACTGCGCCCGTTCCTCTTCCCTCCTCCACCTGAAACAGAGAAAATCCACTTAAACCGAGTCAAGATGTCACATTTGGTGAACAAAGACAGAAGGACCTCCGGCCTATTGTAGTGTCTATGTGTGTGTGTTGTGTGTGTGTTGTGTGTGCGTGTCAGGGACAGCTGCTTCATCTCACCCGTCGCCTCCACGCCTCATGACCGAGCATGTGCAGAAGAATGTTGAAAGCTTTCAAGTTCATGAGATATACGACAAACAAACACATAAACACCCTCACCCTACACATCAGGGTCAGCCGGACACGACGAGCGAATGTCACACTATGTACACCTTTCTGAGGAAGAAGAAGAAGACTTCTGTGAGCCGATGGCGTTTGTTGAGTACAAAACGCCATCATGGCAGATAAGTGACAAAGTGGCTGTCCCTATAGACTGACGGTCAGGTCTCAACCCATGAACCGCAGAAATTGATCCCAACCAGTAGAAAATGTTTGACTTGAGAGTACTGAATCAATCGTTCATGAAGTGCTTCAACTGATCAAACATTGAGATAACTGGAAATACTAGGAATGCAGCCAGCAAATATTTTCGTAATTGAGTATTCTACAGAATATTCTATCGATTAATCGAATATTCAATCGATTAATCAAATATTCCATCGATTAATCAAGTAATCAGGTACACATGCACTTTAGTTAAAGTGCAATTATTAATGTACAAGAGAAAACAAGACATTTAACTAAATAATGAACAATCAATTGTTTTCCTTTTTTAGAAACAACGAGCGCTGAACAAGCGTGTCCGCATTAGCGGATTGCAATGCTTGTTAGAGAGCTAATCGTGATATTAGCTTTCATCATGTCCCTAAAGAGTCCGAGAGCTGAATAGCTCCTACGTTACCTGCTACCTCTACTACACCGACAATAGGCTGTAAGCTAGCGTGAAGAGGAGGCTACAGAACAGCGCTGTCTCCGCCCACAACTCAGAGGCGAATTGCTAATGAGCTACTGGAGCTCTGCAGAAGAAAAGCCCCTCTCATCATTCCTTTTTTCTGCTAAACCAAAAACGTGCTTACTCCTCTTTCTACCGTGATGACGTAAGCGCGTTGTGTCAGCTTGAAAATAATCAGTGCGAAACAGTGACGATTTGACCTTATAAACGAGTACTCGGGCAGAGAAAATTCCTCGATCAATTTTTTCTTATCGAGGAATCCTTTCAGCCCTAGGGAATACCCATCCCTAATTGTTTTGAGAATATTTTACATAAATGAACCTTTTCAGTGTTTTTTTGTTCATTTTCAGATCTCTGTAGGGTTCAACAAGTCAAATTTAAGATGTTTTTAAGACCGTAATGAACACAATTTAAGACCCATGTGAGTGCTTTGTATTTAAGACCCAAAAGACATGAAGGGAAATCAGAACATTTTATATCAATCTTTAATCATACGGCATATTCATCTGTAAGTTACATTTATACATTTTTAAGGCCTTTAAAAATCATATTCAAGACTTTCTATGAGATTTTAACCCTTTTATGCCTTTTGTATGACATTTGATACATACTTTTATATACTTTTATCAAATCAATATGATCAACAAATTAAAAAAAAAAAACACCTCTTGTAGTTTATCAGCTTCCAAAAACATTTAATGTATCTAACAAGATAAATAAATATATTTGTTAAATTTTAAGGACATTTTGATCTTTTTGGTTTTCAATGGTAAGAAAGAATTAGAAATAAACATTTCAGCTCCAAAAAAAAAAGAAATTTTCTGGCCATAAATTGTGGTGTCCGACATTAAAGGGTTAAGAGAATTTTAGACATTTTAAGGCCTTATATTTAAATTATTGGATTTTAGACGTTTTAGCCGAGTATCCCTGTAGATACTCTGTTTTTACATGTTTTATAAAATCAATGAAGTCCCTGCTGCAGATACACAAATCTAGTTTCAGTGTCACTAGACTTCAAGTCTTTAGGAGAACACTGACATTTCATCCACCACCTCTTTCCATGTGAATAAAAATGAAGCAAATAAACCGTCCCTGATTTAAGAGCACGATGTAAACTAGAACAATTAAAGACCAACAGAGAGGGAGTTCCTCCGCCCCTCCCCCTTCAACTCATGAGACATCAGCTGGTCCATGACATGTGGCAGCTTTAAAACAAACACATACAGGGGGGGTCACTCAGGCACAACACCTTAGAAACACACAGGAGCATGGTTCATGTACAGTGAGCACGCTCTCACCATCTCAAAAACATCTCTGTTCCTCTTCTTCTTCTGTAACATGTCTCATGAGGATTTGACTTTATTTCATTTTACAATTACGAGAGAGAGAGAGAGGCGCTTTGTCCACATCTATAAAGGTGAACACAAATGCACAGTGTTTCAGTATTTCAGTATGAACTCAATGACTACTTCCTCTGATGAGAAAACAGAGACTGATCTACCTCTCTTTTCTTCATTTCCTGCTGCGTACAGTAACAAAGCTGATATCTAGAAACTGATTTGTCAGGGCGCTCAAATCACAATCACTATTATTTTGATTAATACAGAGATCAATATTTTTACGTCACTCATTGATTCAACATCTCTTTGACCTTCAACAATCTTAAAACTTACACATTTTGAACACTTTAAAAATAAAAACTCACTTCTAACTTCAACAGATCGGACAGTTTTTTGACTAATCCCAGTCACACACTGCATCACGCAGAACCACTGGGGCATTGAGTCTTGTTCCCTCTGCTTCACTAACACACACATTTACTCCTCTCCCTGGCAGAGCTACACAGCCCTCTTATCTCAACTTGTGACAGCAAAATAGTATTTCTGTGTCCAAACATTCTGAAGACACAGAAGTCTACGCTTCACACATCTACAATTTCTGTCTACTCCTAACTTTGTTGTGCATTGATCTGAGCTCACCAAGTCCACCAAGACCCCAACTTGTCCAGCCCTGACTCGGGATAGGAATCGAAAACTGGTCGTTTACATTTTATCTCAACAATTCCTTCAACGATCCTTTCTTCTGGGTGCCTTGAAAAACGATCTTGCAAGAGCCGGTCTACGCGAATGAAAACAGAGACTTTGAGGAAAAAAATGTGGCGGACGTTACAAAACGTAAGCATTCATCGAAAATATTGAAGTGTGTGAGTTTGGGTGGCAGAATCTATGTTAGCGGGTCTTTCTGTTAACACTGGTTTCACATGCAGTCGCCCTGCAGATAACGATATTGTCCATTAACAGTAGAGAAGCGCGATCATCGTTCTGCACTTTCAAACATCAGTGCAACAACATCCACCCAAACCTTACGTCACTTTTACCTTCTGACGGACGAAGAACTTGCCTCAGGGCCTCTTAGTAAACACTTTTCTCACGGTATTTTGGAGAATTGTTTGAGCTTGAAACAAGTTTTTAGTGTCAACATTGGTATTTTGGGTTTGCAAGTCTTCAAATTCTGTTTTAACGACTTTTAACAGCGTCTTTATTTTCTTGTATTAGGCTTACACATCTACTATTCCCTTTATTACAAGTTGCTTTGTATTATTTCTAAGTTGTAAGCCCCATTTGCTCTTACTGGCTCGACTTGAACCCATGACTTTTACCCCTGATTGTATCCTGTGTTGAACTGACTTCATATCTTTTTACTTAAACCATGATCTGTGCTGAGCCAAACCAAGTACTACTGATACTAAAAACCCTGCTAACTATGTGGTTGGTGTTGTTTGAGTCACTGATTAGACAAGTCAAGAGTCTCCACTTCTGCTTGTTTTGGTTTACAGGGACAACTTTGCGGCGACCAGCCAATCACAGGACCACAAGGTCGAGAAGAATTCCACTGTGTAAAAAAAATACAGAACAACTAGTTCAGGCTGTAGATGATAGTATGTTGACAGACCTGTTGTGAGGCTGCAGAGCAAACACAGACAGAGACATACATTCGCGATGATGCTGGTTGTGCGTCTCAGAAGAAAACTAAAGTTGGTTTATCGCAGGAAAGGGAGCAGCAGCGGATGGATTATGTAATTCTGTATGTTGGATTGGCTTAAGAAATCCAGTCGCACCTGACAGGTTACAGAGAGAGAAATTCTTGAGCGCGCTCGGCCAAAAAAACCAGAATGATTTATGAGTTTTGTCAAACCAGCAACACGCAGAGTGGAAATTGCACGAGGTTTACTTGCTATCTCTCTGTTGGGACATGCAGCGCAAGTAGATCTTTAAAACTGAAACGTAGGAAAATACAAATAAAAGCTACGAAAAGTGACAAAGGCGTTGATAAGAGGAGAAAGACAGGGATTCGTGGCATGTTAGAAGAGCGTGTGTGTGTGAATGCACGTGCCTATCTGTCCTGGCTGGGCCACCCCACCCTGTTTAATGTCACTCTGACGTCAAAGCCATGTGTGCCGGCCCTTAATGCAGACAGGATGGAGCAAGTATTTATTTTACTTTGGTTCTCCCCTCGGAGAGAACTGGGCCCTCCATAAACATGGACTTCAGAGCAGTTTCGCTCAGTCATATCCGAGCTACAGCCAGCGCTGAGATCATAGCCCAGGATCTCAGAACAGGTCTACGCATGTGCAGTGGGGATCAGATTCCAAAGCTGGAACATGTTGAGAAAGGCTGATGTCAAATCATGAGACACACTGATCGACTACAGGGATGCACATTCCTTTCCTTAAACGATAGATGGATCGACGGGTTATCCCGGCTGTAAATCACGGTACCAACAGCTGACTTACTTTACCTTGCATAAACCCTCTCTCTCTCTCTCTCTCTTTCTTTTCCCATGTTTTCTGTCCTGCTGTTGTCAGCCATCCAACAAAAGCAAAACTGCAGCAAAGACCAACAGAGAAAAACTGCTAGACAGCTTTGCCACAGATGAATGGATGACTGAACATCACATATCAGCTGGTTTGACACAACAGGAAGTAACAGAGATCTTTTTTTCTCCTTGTTCATACAATCCACCAGGAATCAGGCACATAACAGAGTATTTGAGTTGCATTTACTGCTATTTCTCTATCCAACTTGCAGCACTGGTTTAAGTTGTCATAAACACATGAAAAGTAATGCATACACCCTGTGTGAGATGTGACGCATTTGCACACTCAAGTCTGACTAGTTCTGATGTGTTTTAAAGTATAGAAAAGTGAGAGAACGAAACCAGGAAGTTTGTAGTCCTCTGTCCATCTGCAGTAAGCTATGAATGAATTAATAAATGCATTAGGGCTCTCCTGTCTTTGCTCTCTCTTCTTGGTATGTCCATTCCCAACTCTATCCCAAATATATGCTCCTCTCCCGGCCCTTTGTTTTCTGTCTTTTCCCTGTTCTTTTAAATGTAAGAAGAAGTCAGTGAGTTGATAAGGAGGAACAATCTCAAAATGACTTTTAACAAGTTTGGGAACAAACGCTGGTACATCAGAAGATGAAACAAGGTGTTTGAGGCATTTCAGCAACATCTCAACAAGGTTCCAGCCTGTGAAATTTGCTTATTGTCACTTTTTTTAGATGAACTATTGGTCTGACAAAAACAAGGTATTTCAGAAGGTCATCATGAGTACTGAGGTGAACTTTCGCGTTGTCCCGATCCAACTTTTTACTTCCAATACAATACCAATATTGTAGCATTCGGTATTGGCTGATACTGATATTGATCCGATATAAGCAAAAACTTGTGCATGGCAAGTTTTGCACTCAGCTGCAACGTCTTTTTGGACTTAAAAGTCCACATTTTAAGTGTGGGTTGATATAATCCAATATTGGTTTTTGTTTTTTAGCTAAAATCTGACCGATACATGATATAAATAACAGATCAGGATATCCCTAGTAGCTTAAGATGAACTTATGTCTAATCAAAACAATTAGCTTTTTCAGTTGTCAATCTTAAAATATTGATTGACATGAACCAAATAGATATATTTAACTAACAGAGCACTCAAATAAATGTCTGCACTAGGACTGTAAGGATATCACAATTATCACAGTGAAAAAATATCTCATTAACAATATTATTGCGATATTTGTGGAAAGTTGAAATTTAAAACAACACAGTAAGTAAACTTAGAAAAGGGCAAGAGAAGGATGGAACAATAAAAGTTCGTAAAAGTCCTTAATATTTACAAATCAACACAGATAACGTAGATGTCATTATCAGTTTCATCCCCAGCTGTGTATCTAAATCTCTTTTAGAGTAGACATTACCTCTTAAATCGTTTTTTTTTTTTTTTTTTTTTTGGCATGCTTTTGTTTCGTTATTTTTTTCCTACATTTTAAAACGATGCTTTTATTTTGAAGAGTAAACTGCTCTATGTCAGAGGGTTACAAAACTGAATGGAAACAGAAATTAGAAAAAGTATAAAAGTTCAAATTAAATAAAAACACAAAGAGACGCAAGCTCTTGTGACAACTTATGGTATTACCTTTAACAAATTTTTAGCACAACATCAATATTTAATCAATTAATAGGGACAGTTACCATCAATTGTTGGTCTATAATGTAAAAAATTTAACAAAAAGATAAAAAAGGACACTGAGAGGTGAATGTGATTCCCAACTTTCTTATACGTTGGTGTGAACATAGAGCTGTGCGGCGCTGCTGTCCTCAAACCCATCTTCATTTTGCATCGCCATATGGGCAAAGCCGCTCACCCATCTGATGAACACATGTCACATGCTGACACTCCAAATAACAGCCACAAGGCCAGAAAATCCAGCTCGTCTGTGACAGTGACAGATTCACTCTGGCAGCAACAAGACACCGTTTACAACTTCGCACAATATGTCCATCAGGATTCAGCTACAAACTTAAACTGAGGGAATTTAAATGAGGTGGAGGCTTCCTCTCTTGAACCGCGTCCAACAACATGTTAAAATTTCTTATACTTAGACCAGTGACTTCTAAAGAAGACTGCGGATAGTTTATAGTCTAAACATATCAAGGTAAAAAGATAAATCAACCCGATATGGATATCAAAATACTCTGACCATAATATTAACATTTTGCATACCATAGTCAGACCACATGACCCTTTTTGACTTGTGCTGATGACAGAACAGATGAAAAGTAGGAATCTGAAAAACACTGTGAGGTAATTAAACAACTTTATTGTCCAATGAGATTTTTTCTTGGAGGGTCTGGCTCTCACCCTAAAGATACTGCATCACAAATAAGGCTAAAGAGGCACACTTCAAAATACAACATCAAATTTGTATTTTTAAATGCCTAAATGCTAAATTTACAGATGTTGAGACTGGGTGCAACTTCTGCAAAAACAATACAGAAACATTTTGAAACACCTCTTCTTTGAAAGTTTCTGGAGAGACATTGAATTTTATTTTAATGTTTATTCTCTTAAACTCAAAAATGTTGTTTCTTACTTTCCTTATAATAATAAGGAAAATATTGCCCTTGAAAATGTCATGAACTTTTTTAATTATACACCAAACAGAAATTCTCAGTCACTTTTAAAGTTGAAGTTTTTGATTAGAATTCAAGTCCTGGATTAAATTATTTCTTTTGATTAATGACAAAAACTTGATTAAATTCATTGAATGTTATGATACCAATTTTCCCTGAGACTGCTAGGTAAATGATTCAATGATTTACACATCTATGTATGTATTTTATTGTTGTCTAAATGTAATTGTTGTCCTGTATTCTGTATTTACGGTATGTTTATCTTACTATTTAATCCATACTCAACTGATTTGTATGTGCTACTGTTCTAACTAATGAAGAGAAGTAAAAAATGATTTTTTCCAACCTGTAAAACACTGATAAGACTGTTTGACAGGACACGTTTCTACGGTAATCATACCCAGGATATTTAGTACCCGCCTTTGCACAGAAGATCTTACCCCCACCCTAAAGACTCTTAAGTGGAGGTTTAGCACCAACAGCTGCAGCTCTAAAAACATGGCTTAAACGGTAAAACATGGAGAGAGGGTCATGCATAGTTAAGGCCGTCGGTAATATGAGCATGCACATGGGCACAATGGAGCGCGGCCATGATAATGAATGGGTTGTTGCTTTCTCAGTGGCTCTACCATACAGTGTGTGATTGGCTGGAGTAGCCCCTGATAAGAAAAACATTAGCTGCCAGTATCTGTGTTGCCTATTGAAAGCAAAGGCCTGGTGTTTGCACAAGGTAATCCATCTGTATACTCACACTGAAAGACACACATCAGCTGAGAGAGAGCGAGCGAGAGGGGGAGAGAGAAACGTTAATATCAGCAGCGCTGCTCTCTTCTAATCCTCACCTCTCTCACACGTTCCTTCTTCCCTCTCTTATTTCAGCCTTTGCCACCCTCCCCCATATGAACAGCTTTCTTCTCCTGTTATGACTTTGTTAATTATTTATTGCTGGACTCCTCTCTTTGCCTCGCTCTGTATGAAACACGCAGGGAGAGGGTGTGGGTCACATGTGAAACTGTTGACAGCATTAAAACACCAGAGCTAATTTCAGGACGAGACAATCGCTGAGCAGGGAGGCAAGAGGGGGGACGTTAGGTACCACACAAAGGGTCATGTAGTTTTACACATGAGCCGAAAACACACACACTCACGCACTCACATTCTTGCCCATTCCAGCAGCATGCTGAGGCGTTTCGCAAGACCTTTCCTGCTCTGCCCCGTCTCCTCAAGATATTCCATTAAAGCTCGCCAAGACGTGCTTGAAAACTGACCCTTGTTTTCACAGCATCTTGAGGGATAAGGAGGAGGGAGGGAGGGGCGATGAGAGGGAACACGCTGGGACTGAATTTGAGATGCTTGCAGAGAGTTGGAGGGTGTAAAAGGACAAAAGTATTGTCGTCATTGTGTTATCGATATAACAGCAAAAGAATGCAACCGATAATTCTGAGTAGGGCTGGGCGATATGGGAAAAAGTTTATCACGATATATTTTTTTCATATCAGTCAATATCGATACATATCATGACTTAAAAATAATCACTTGTCAATCTTAAATGTTCCATTACTCTTAACAATGCTTATTGGTAGCACGTCTTTTGCAGTACAATAAGCTCCTGCATCTGTGAGGTCTTTGTGTCTCTTTGACGTCATAAGGCGTTGCGCTAGAGAAAGCGGACTGAATGTTTCGGCTGCACAGGCGCCACGGGCTCCTTGCTCCACTCGGGGTTTGTAACCTTTCGCGTTGCGCGTGCTCTGCCGTGTGGCACTGCTTCAGTTGGTGAAAAAGATTTGAGGTATTCCCCGACTTTGCGAGAACATGGACTTGACATAATTTGCAGTGAACATTACTCTGCTCGATGTCTGACCTCCAAAAACCAAAATACCCCCACACTACCAATGTTTCGTGTCAGTTTTTTCGAAAGTGTTGTCATCTGTTGAGCCTTCATCTGCATAATTACCTCCGCCAAGGAGGTTATGTTGTCGGTAGCGTTGGTTTGTTTGTTTGTTTGTCTTTTAGCAACTTTACGGAGAAAGTAACAGGCGGATTGACCTGAAATTTTCACCAGAGGTGCGTCTCAGCCCCAGGAGGATCCCATCAAATTCTGGTGATGATCCCGACAAAATTCTGGATACTGTGATCCAGAACACACAAAAATAAAGGTGTCGTTGGAATTTTCAATGCTGAAAGATGACCGATGGGCGCCACAGTGGTGTAGATAGGCGGCACAGTGGTGTAGTGGTTAATACTGTCGCCTTACAACCTGAAGGTCCTGGGTTCGAATCCCGGTCAGGGCATTTCTTGTTTAAGGGGGGACATGAGCTGCTTGGCGGAGGTCTGCGCTTTCTGAGTGTTTTCTTTTTTCTCACCGACAGGGCTGTCGGCTTCACGTATTGAGGGTGCTATGGTTGCATGTAGCTGCAGCCCGCTACTACGCAGTTCTTTGCTACTTGGTTCTAATTCAGCACGTGATTGGTGTGGACCCTGAGCAACACCCCTTTTCATTGGCTATCAGTATAGTCTACCAAAACATGGCAGAATGTCGACTACTGAAAAGCATATTGACCTTTTTTTACATCAATATCAAGGGGAATAAAATTTCAATCATTATTGGTTTATCACCCAGCCCTAAATCTGAGTACAAGAAATCACCTTTTAGATTACTGCAGATAACACAACATATTTAAAGGCGGGACAGGCATGAAATCAAACTAAGACAAGTCGACCAAACTCTGACTTCAACAATGTTTGCTCTTCAACTTTGAACGAATTTGAAGAATTTCCCAAAACAAAAAAAAACAAAAAAAATTCCCTTTTGAACCACAAAAAATACTAGCAAATACACTTGACTATAACCATTGTTAAAATCAAAGAGACAGCTGGTTTCTCACTGGAAAAGGGATAAGTTGAAACAACATCCCATGATGTTCACAGTGTGGTTTTAAAATGCCTTCTCATGCTTACTCAGCTTGCCCAGAAATTGTGCTAATGACCGTCCTAGTAGCCACCGGCTGAGTGTCGCTAGTAGTGCCATGCAGCAGACACACGCAACACACTGCGTAGCCTTCTCTGCACATCCCATTTGTGGGTGTAATAACTGTAAAATGAGTCCCACTTCAAGGCAGAGTCACAAAGCGCTGTGTTTTATGAGCCCCAGCTGGAGGAAACACCCCAGAGTGATGACAACAAGTGTTAGCCCAGCTATGACCACAAAACTAATAAAGCCGTGCCGACTTACGTCATACGAAAAGCCTCACATGTGCTCTGCGCTGGCCTACAATTTAAAGGCTGGTGAACGGAGGACAAGGAGCAGAAAAAGGCTACAGCAGAGGTGTATCCGCTTACATCTGCAATGATCTTTGCCAACTTAATTTGTTTGGTAGAAATTAGTTACATAAGAGGGATTAAGTTTCTCTAGTCAGAGAAAAGCGAGCACCGGACAGTCCACATTCCTTCCTTTTTATGAAGACAGTAGAAATGATCAAAGACATGCAGCCGACTGAAAACGTCTGGTGAAATCTGATCCCAGGTGAGACACGGTAAAAGCCTCCATGTCTGTCCACTGAAATATTAGAGAAACTCATGTGGGGAACTAATGCTCTTCTCTCTGCTGGTTAGTAATAAATGCTAATCACAATCAGCTGCATGACATATTTCAGTTCCTCTCTGACCTTTAGATATCTTCACTGTACTTCTCTACAAAAGCCCAACTCAGCAAGTCAGACCAAATGATGATTAACCAGACTTACAACAATGTATAGTTGTTTTGTCTGTTTTTTTCTAACTTAACGAATTCATTTAGAGTTCATCCTAGGACTGGGCGATTATATGATCGTGATAAATTTCAGTTCGATCACAGTGAGCTGTGAGCATATTATCTTGATCAAACATGGTGAAAATGTGTGTCACAACAGCCAATCAGAGTCGAGCTTTTTCTGCTCTCTTCTGTAAGTTGCCAGAGAAGTAAACAGAATGAGCGAACGCGAAGCTGAGGGCAGCAAAAAAGATGTCTGCCATGACTTTGAGTTATCCTCCAAAGATGCCATTGTTGAGAAGAAAAGTTATTCAACATCGGCTGTGTGGCGGTGGTTCAGGTATCTCCAAAGTGACGTCAAGCAATTAAGCCGATGTGCAAGGTATGTTGGCGCGCTCCAAAACCAGTAACACAACAGATCTGTTTAATCATTTGAAGAAGTACTTCCTGAGTGATTATATGGAAAGCATGAAAATGCGAGCGGAGTCTGCACAAGTAGCATTAGCAGTTTAGCCACAACTAGCGGTGCAGCCAACAGACCAAAGCAGCAATCAATGGTATCATCTACATTTACATCATCTAACGTTTACTTTTTAAGGCATCTTCATTATCCCTGAGGGGGCCATTTGTTTATTTTGGGTCTTAAATACCTGCAAAAACACTCAGGACTGTAAAATAGTTCACTGTATGTTCAGTATTTATCCACATTTGTTGTACTGTTGAGTTAAAATGGTTTTTAGATTTTTCTAAGTTTATTTCATTTAATTTTCTTTGTTATTTACTTTGTATGGTAATAAAATGTTGAACTAATCTATAGTTTCTTTAGTTTTTAGTCCAGATGCTTAAAAACTAGCAGTTTAAAAAATACAAAAAAAAATCATGATAATAATCGAGATCGGACGATGTGACAAAATATATTTTGATCGTTTTTTTTGCCAAATCACCAAGTCCAATTTCATCCTCCACATACTTTCTGTACTTATTCCCAAAATTAACTTACTTTTAAGGCACACTGTATACACAGATTTCACATGAGCTCTTTTGCTCACCTCTGGTGTTCTTGCAGCCCTTGAGGATAAGAAGCTGTTAAATATGATCCTTCACTATTCAAGTTCGAACCACTCCTATCAATACTAATCAAAGTGCACACGATAATCAATACCTTCTACTTTCTTCATGTGTTTACGACAATAATCCTATGTGGCCCTGACTACTTCTGCAGAAACATGGCAGTATAAGACGGCGGCCTCTACAAAACAAGAGGACTTCTATTCAAGCGATTATACGCTAAGTTAAATGTAATGAAATAAGACTCAATTTCCACCAAGTCTGGTCTGCTAGATCCAACTAAAATCTGCACACTGCGGCTGCAAAATTACAGGCAGAATTTAATAAACGAAGAGAGAGCACAAACAGTCATCAAGTTTTTGAAAACTTTGGGCTGAATCCAAGTGCATAATAACCTAAAACTTTCACCAGGCTAAATGCACACCAAACAACCGTCTTGTTGTCTCGACTGAAAAGTGTTTCTGATTTAATTTCCAACTGCAGCAACTTTTTAGATATTCCCATACTCTCATACAGCAGTGTAGAAGTCACTCCATCATTATCTGGATAAGTCAGTTTCATTAATTCATCTGTAAAGTAATTATAAATTTTTACTTTTAGAAATTTTAGTGGTGCCAAAAAAGAAAGGTAACAAAAACTTAAATTGAACAGCCACATAAAATAAGTCCTATTGCGTGAAGATGCTGCTCATGAAAGGTGAAATTTAACTCTGAACTCAGTTACTGCAATGTTGAAGTATTGACATGATCTTAGTGGGGACTTAACTCAGCAAAGGTAAGAAAATAAATCTCATCTATGTTTCCCAGAGGTAACTTATCCCTCACTCCTTTCCTTGTCAAAATATGAGCGAACTTAAAGCTAGAAGAATAATCTCTTTTCCTATTTCTAGACCTGACATCAAAGTAAACTTATTCAACAGGGTCCTAAAATTATGTTATTAAAAAGCTCTGGAAAACACTTGCAATGGAGACATGATAATCTACAGCTTAAAAGTAAACAAAATTTCTCTCAACTGACTTCACTCCACCATCTGCTCTGTCAAAATAGGGTGCTGTGCCAGTTCGGGTGCTGCAGCGTGTCTAAACAGGGTAAACTTTGGGACAAACAGTCTTAACAGTTTTACTGAATGATCCCAAGTGCTTTAAACAGTATTTGGTGCTAAATATCAATAAAATGAGGGGTACAGTAAATATATTTTTCTTCTTCTATTATTATTGTTAGAATTAATATTATTATGTTATGTGATATACAAAATTCAGAACTTTAACAACGATCACATACTGTAAAGTAGCTTGTCTCCTGTGCTGTTATTTCCTGTTGTTTAGTTTTAGCATTTCTTTCACTGTCACACAAAAGCTGCAGCAAAGATTGCGTCGACGTGAACAGATAATAACCTCTCTGAGAAAGTAGCAGCATGGGTGAATGGTGAATGGCTCCCACACTTTCAACCCTTAAAAGGGATTCTCTGGCGTGAAATTAAGTTAGGTCAAACACACCGTAACACTGAGTTAGACCAAACACAACTCACCCACTCTCCTCCAGCAGCCGCTTGTTTGTGAGGGAGCCCTGACGCGACGATAACTGAGTGCAGCGGAGTTTCCGAGCTCAAGGAAGAACATTTATGATCATTACTTCATGGAAATGCAACCGGACTGAGATGCTAAGACAGAAGAACTACAGTGTCTGCAGTGCAAAATGATTAATATGATAATTGTTACTTCAGGAAATGATCCGCTGACACAAACAAGCGGCTGCTGGAGGAGAGTGGGTGAGTTGTGTTTAGTCTCTTTGCTAAAGAAATTAGGCAAAGCTAAAATTATGTTTGGTGGCTAGTACTATGGCTAGGACCCTACACTCACTGGCCACTTTATTAGGTACACCATGCTAGTAACGGGTTGGACCCCCTTTTGCCTTCAGAACTGCCTCAATTCTTCGTGGCATAGATTCAACAAGGTGCTGGAAGCATTCCTCAGAGAGCTTGGTCCATATTGACATGATGGCATCACACAGTTGCCGCAGATTTGTCGGCTGCACATCCATGATGCGAATCTCCCGTTCCACCACATCCCAAAGATGCTCTATTGGATTGAGATCTGGTGACTGTGGAGGCCATTTGAGTACAGTGAACTCATTGTCATGTTCAAGAAACCAGTCTGAGATGATTCCAGCTTAATGACATGGCGCATTATCCTGCTGAAAGTAGCCATCAGAAGTTGGGTACATTGTGGTCATAAAGGGATGGACATGGTCAGCAACAATACTCAGGTAGGCTGTGGCGTTGCAACGATACTCAATTGGTACCAAGGGGCCCAAAGAGTGCCAAGAAAATATTCCCCACACCATGACACCACCATCACCAGCCTGAACCGTTGATACAAGGCAGGATGGATCCATGCTTTCATGTTGTTGACGCCAAATTCTGACCCTACCATCCGAATGTCGCAGCAGAAATCGAGACTCATCAGACCAGGCAACGTTTTTCCAATCTTCTATTGTCCAATTTCGATGAGCTTGTGCAAATTGTAGCCTCAGTTTCCTGTTCTTAGCTGAAAGGAGTGGCACCCGGTGTGGTCTTCTGCTGCTGTAGCCCATCTGCCTCAAAGTTCGACGTACTGTGCGTTCAGAGATGCTCTTCTGCCTACCTTGGTTGTAACGGATGGTTATTTGAGTCACTGTTGCCTTTCTATCAGCTCGAACCAGTCTGGCCATTCCCCTCTGACCTCTGGCATCAACAAGGCATTTCCGCCCACAGAACTGCCGCTCACTGGATATTTTTTCTTTTTCGGACCATTCTCTGTAAACCCTAGAGATGGTTGTGCGTGAAAATCCCAGTAGATCAGCAGTTTCTGAAATACTCAGACCAGCCCTTCTGGCACCAACAACCATGCCACGTTCAAAGTCACTCAAATCACCTTTCTTCCCCATACTGATGCTCGGTTTGAACTGCAGGAGATTGTCTTGACCATGTCTACATGCCTAAATGCACTAAGTTGCCGCCATGTGATTGGCTGATTAGAAATTAAGTGTTAACGAGCAGTTGGACGGGTGTACCTAATAAAGTGGCCGGTGAGTGTATATGTACTGCTGATGAAGTCAGGTGCTGTTCTGAGCATTATTTGAGGCTATAGAGTGGCATTTTGGTTGAGGTTTGCGCGTGGGAACGTAGACCGCTGTGTATTGCTATTGTGCGGTCATTACTAAAGTTGGTATAACTAGAGAAGCAAGCAGTCGGCAACATTCATCTCTCGAGGGGGTGTCTAACTCGGTGTTACGGTGTGTTTGACCATAACTTAATTTTACGCCGGAGTATCCCTTTAGGGTCTTTTTTTTATGCCCCTACTGTTTAATGCTGCATTTTGTCCTTCAGATACTGGTTTCACTCTGCTCAGCTGTCTGCATGTAATGTAAACAGCTCCATGGTACAGCATGATACAGCCGATTGACACTGCAACTTGATGGTTATCTGAGAATCCCTCTTTCAAACCTGTTTGAAAATATTCTGAACTTCCTCCGTTTGTTGAAGATTGTCGATTCATGCAACTATCACCTTTTGCAGATTAAAGGAAGTATCTAAAAACTCTACTCATGTAAAGTAGTGCGTGTGACAATTTTCACAGCTACAGTGGTGAGGAGCGTCATCTCTGCAGCACACAAAAACCACTTCCCGTGACATGTCATTTCAACTCCTGCAGACTGGGCACACCCTGTCATAATACTTCTCACTTTGACCACCCAGTTTCGCACCAACAGGTATTAAAGGCCGGCTGAAAAGTCCACGGTTATGAGCATCTTCTGACCATACTTGGATGTTTCTGAGGCTCTGACAGACTTGTGAGATCTTGTCACTGATGTGGAGGTGACAGGGTGGAGAATTATTCAAAAAAACATGTTTATGCACCACACAAAATTAACATTACGACTGAATTTCTTGCATTAAATAGGCGAGATGAATTCCTGGAGTTTCAGTATCACCTGAGTCTCCTCAGGTTTTGGTGCAGTTTGGCAAGAAGGTGATTGAGAAAGGCCGGGGGATGGGCGCCAATATCTTAAAGCAATGATACCAATCACCATTGCACTCTTTGACATGATAACCATTGTCAATTTTCTGTGGCTGCAGTGTAACAAATGCAGATTTAATGTTTATTCTGTCTTACATTGTGCAATTAAACACAACTACAAGAATAACCCGTGGTAACGTGACCACACAAGTTATAGAAGAACATGCTACAGGTGTGTTTGACAACATCATTATTTCAGGTCACGGAGTAGTTTGGACTTAGCTTGACTGGGAGCTTAAAAGAATGAGTTTTCCCTTTTAATCTAAAGACACAAAAGCATCAAAATGAGCAAGAGAACAAGATGAGAAGATTCTGTCATTGCTCAAGGTGTTTTTTTCACCCAAAGGCCACAGGGGGTCTGAAATCCTAGAGAGTCAGGGGATTGTAATAGTCAATAGTCACATAATTGTAAAAGTAGAAGTTTATGATTATTTGTGTCAATTGAAGACACAAAAATGTGTTTTAAAGCATTCAAAGATCACCCACCCTTCGTTTGTCCCACACTGGTTCGGTCCACTGTGCGTGTGGGACAGTGAGCACAAGGTGAAGTCCACCCATCATTACATGTCTTTCAAAAGTTAAACTCAAAGAGGGGATGACATTTTTCTATACTTCTGACACAAAATTAAAGAGAACAAACACACAGTCGAATCCTCTGAGTTGTCATGTATGGTATTATAATGTTGCGTTTGATTTATCAGGTCTAAAACTGACTTCACAGCTCTGAAACCAACTGAGAAATCCTCTCGCTCTATCTGGCCACTGGCTTCCCAGTTATAATATGATCTGGATCCAATTCCTCAAAAACATAAGTATCCTGTAAAGATTGATATCAGATATCAGTGCGATATCAGCAAAAAAAGAAAATCTGATTATATCAGCCTGTATCTAAAATTTCCGACATCAGCACTCCGATACAAGCAGTCCATTCCAGACTCCGCTCCAGCACCTCTATCTAGCAGCGACAGGATCGAACATGTAGACCCCACATGATCACCACAACAGTGTGTACTAAGGTACTAACAAAGTAGCAAGGAGTAGGAGTGATGTTGGCCTTGTGGCAGTATTTTTCGTTGAAGTCCGAAAAAGACATTGCGGCTGAGTGAAAAACTTGTCTTGCACAATTTTGTGCCAATATCGGCTCAATATTGGTATCGGTCAGTATTTAAGGCTACAATTTCGGTATCTTATCGGAAGCCAAAAGTTGTATCGGGACATCCCGTTTTTTTTGCTAGCTGATGGTTGTAAACAGAGGCTGCCATCGTTGTTTTGGTCTGTCAACTAGTGATGTGTTGGTTGCGAACGAACCTGTTCAAAGAGCCGGCTCTTTAACATGAACAATAGGAGCCGGCTCCTATCTGTGAGACGTTTGTTTTTCTCTCTTTTTTCTCCCCTACAGACCATAGAAATAAACTACAAGGCAAAATGACGGGATATCTATCTGCCTATTGTAGCAGAGTGGTTCTACATGCAAGTCAGTGCATTCAAAAAGTTACAAGGGTCTGAAAATGCAATGACAATAATTTGCTACAGCAATTTACTGATATTAGAAAATGTCAATTTTACTAGTGAATTCTTCAGTACAAGGGATGTATTGAATTATTTAAGAGATGTGTGTGCACATACGTACACATCATAAGCCAAACGACGCTAAATTTGGCTGACTTAGAAAATGTATTCATGGTAAAATGAAGCGTTGTTTGGGAGCTGAGCCAAATGACCAGACTCGCTAAAAAGAGCCGTAATTCCCATCACTACTGTCAACTAATCAGAGGCTGTATCTACAATCTGCTGACCCTTAGGGTGGATGGAGGCAAACTTGTTTTCCTTTTCTTGAGACTGGGGTAACAGTCCTCCTCACAGTATAGAACTACAACAGATAGAGCCATTGTGAATGGAGTCATCTCTCACTGGGATCTAGTAACAGTGGATCTGTACTCTTTCGTCAAGCAGACAAAGGCCTTGAGTGAAAGTGCAGCTGACTTTGCACAAACAAAACGACTGACTGTATATAAATATTAATGGTTCTGACCCAATGAGTCTGCGAAAACATGGGTATCGTTTTGATCTATCATCTACCAAAAGAAGGAAAAACCATTTCCACACTCTGAGTAGTGTTTACGACTGTTCTTAGTATTTATTAATATGGAAAACACCACAAATACCTCTGATGAGCTCCTCAATAAGGACCATTAATAAAGTTATTTCAGTCATTTAACTCGTGACTCAAATATTCGGTTATTTAATGTAACTGAAATAGCGGAAATCAATATTCCCTCTATTCATATTTAATACCGTTTTATTGCAGTTTTTTGCCTTACAGTACTTGTTTGTTGCCCCTGATCTGATCTAGTAAAATTCATACTAAATCATTGATTTTAATCCGTGGAAAATACTCACAGATTAAAGGTTTATCAACGGTATTTAAAGACCCATCTTGAAAATGTAATCCACTTTCCTTAAATGCTGTGACTGTGTTTTTACTTTCTGAAAATTATAATTTTACTGGCAGTAGGAGACAGGTAACATATATACTGACTTTGTGGTTTTGTTTTGTGGGGTTATTTGAGTGGTTGTGTATTTAAAGTTAAAAAATAATAATGCCTTTCCCTCTGCATGGTGCACGCATCCCTACTACTCACTGCAAGCATCGTGAGGCCCCTCAGGAGAGAAGGCCGGGGACACTTACAGGTCCAGAACCTGTGGATCTGGTTGGTGAAATGCAAACTCCTAGAGCAACATTATGACAATGCCAAGCACCATTTTCTCGCAAGGTAAATACAAGGTATGTGTCCTCAAGTGGAATTGAGGATTGGATTCCCTGTTGTTGTAAATAATCCCTATTCACATTACTATTGCCGTTTAGTCTCGGACTGAAACATAGTCTGAATGCAAACCACACGCAGAGGAGCCCCCTCCATACGCGCGGAGAACCGCGACCCCAGAGCCATGTAGGCCCACGCACTTGAATCGTCTATACTGTAGAGGGGGGGAATAATCACCCCGCACATCACCGGAGGCTGCGGGTCCAATCCGTTTGAAAGAGAAAAAAGTTGAGCTCTTTGCAGAAACGCCTGTGTAACCCTCCTTCGGCAGCTGATACAGCGCTTAACGCCCACCCTGCGCCCACTCACTGGCTTCAGAGTCGCCTCTCTACTCCACCAGATGGAAACTCGCCTCTCTCCACCTCCAGGTGAACCGCTGCGGGATCACTAGCCCACAGAAGCGTGCTCGCCCGGGGCAATTAAGCCTGGACCGCTCCGGTACTTGCACGACGGGCCTTCTTCGACTCCCCCTTTTGCACCCCAAAACATCCACTTAGATAAGGTTTGTCGTCCAAATGGCACTGCAGTGGGATATTCCTACATAATAAAAAAAATCACCCCCTACCAATCCACATTCCTGATTGGAAACTACAATGACAGGTAAGAAGAGGCTGGAGGCTACTGACACACTGAGAGCCTCACTGCGCAACTAGGCCTATATTCTACCCAACACTCAATGGCAAGTAATTGGAAGATCGTGAGAAATCCGGGCCATCTCAACCTGTTAGTATGTATCAAACCACTGGTGCTTGTTAGGGGGAAACAAATGCTCGACAGCCGACATGCAACGCTGCCGTCAAAGCGCGATACTGCAAACACACTGCGTTGTTCTCCAACAAGCCTGCGGGGCCTTATGATAACATACCCAGTAAATAGGAGTGCTGCAAGTGTACAAGCAGATAGCAACTGATTGAAACAGGAGATGTTCGGCATTCGCCTTGAAATACAGCCCTGCACAGACATGAGAGCCAGTGAAAGCAGAAATCCCAAGGAGGACAGTCAAGAACCCAGGCTCGTCCATGGCCATGTCGTTGAGGTGGGGAGGGGGACTGGAGAAGAGGAGGAGGAGGAGGTGGAGGAGGAAGAGGAGGGGGGCGCATATACATTTTTTTTTTTTTAGCGATTTGTCTTTTTGCTTACCTTCTCTTGCCTTGAGGAGAACCGTGTTGGCCACGATATTTTCAATCTCCATTGTCAGAATGTGAATCCCAAGCAGTCGCGATACATTTCACTCAGCGGAAAAAAGACGGGTTTTCGGATCGAACGTGCCGACGACGGTGAGGCTGCTGCACGCTCACAGGGCGAACGCGGCACTGGCGCATAGTAGGTGCTTAATAGTGGTCGTCGTTCTTCTTCTCCATTACAAGGCGCTTTATCGAACCATATCAACGGAGCCCTACGAATCCGACGGGGGGCTAGTTAGCATTCACAGCCTGCCTCTCCTCACTCTCTCTCAGCCTGCTCTCCTTCCTGCTTCGGCTACCTCTTCCTCCTCCTCTTCCTCCTCCTCCTCGCCCCTCCTCTGCACAACTACCCAAGGAGAGTAGGAGGGATCAATTTACAACCAGTGCAACCACACACGCACACACACACACACACTTTCACGCACATACACACACAAGTGGATTTCATGCAATCACGTGCAATTTTATTGGCATACTCCCATGAATCCATATAAATTCATGTCATTTATTGTGTGTCAGGTTAGGAGAAAATGACACCTTTAACCCTTGAACACTATCACTATCTCCAGGTGATTTTTACCCGGAATAATATACCCAAGAAAGAGTACTTGTCATTAAAATATATCAAAATAGGAAAATACATGACAAGTTAAAGTAGTTTTCTTTTATTTTGAACTGTGAAATGTCCAAAAGGAGGGGTAATGTTGTTGTAATGTTGCTGCTCTCTCTCTCTCTCGCTCTCTCTCTCTCTCTCCCTTCCTTTCCCTTACCCAGACCAAGCCTCAATGAGGCCCTAAGCAAATTTTGATTTTGGGGCCCTCAATTTCTGCCAGTAGTATTGACTGTTGATTGTTCACACACCTACTACAGTGTAAGTTAATGTGCTTGACATGTCTTTACACATTTAAGGGGGTGGCCAAGATAACAACATAAATTATACAGATGAATGACTGATGAATGATTCATGGTTCAGGGTGACACATATGGTTTTTAATCTCAAAATGTAACACATTCAGGATGCTCAGTGCATGTGCAGGAGTCACATAACGGTAGCAGAGCTTTGACATACGAGCAGTAAGAATCATAGGCCTACATCAGCAGCAGCACTAAAATGTTTTTACTTTATTTTATTTTATTTTCACATATAATATATGTATGATCAATAATATATGTATGAGCATACAGAAAGCATCACTGATACATGCAAAAATAAAAAAATATATACATACTTTTTGATTGCTCTTGGGGCCCCCCTACTGGCTGTGGGGCCCTAAGCAGGCGCTTAGTTCACTTATGCCTTGGGCCAGCTCTGTTCTAACCCATTCTCTCTCTCTCTCTCTCTCTCTCTTTCTCTCTCTCTGGCATGAGTCTGGTCCTACCTAAGGTTTCTGCCTGTTAAAAGGAAGTTTTTTCTCGCCACTGTCACTCATGTTAGATGAGATGGGCCAAATCTCATCTTAGGTTGGGTCTTGATAATTCATCAAACAATGAGCGTGGTCTAGACCTGCTCTTTTTCTTTGGAAAGCGTCTTTGGATGATGACTGTTGTGAATTGGCGCTATATAAATGAGATTTGATTGATTGACTGAAAAAAAGTGCCATGAGGGAAAATGCAACAAAACAAAAAAAATAAATTAGGCATTCATGAACAAAAATTCTTAAAATGATAATAATAATGATAATAATATAGAAACTGTAAACCCAGTTTCTTTTCCACCCATTCCTGGGGCATGTGAGTCTTCTCTGCTGAAGACTCAGGGTCCTCAGCACAATAACAGCCACAGGAGAGAAAACCAAAATATGGCAGATTTTGAGTGAGTAAAAATGATCAGCTGACTAAATATTTCTTATCACCATATGAATTCCCTTGAAAATCACTACTTTGTGATAGTTATTCATAACCACTGCACTAAATAAAGATAGCATGCAAATTCCAGGACCACTCTTACTGACCTTATGCAGCTATCAAATCCACCCGGATGAAAATCACCCTGTGAACACGTGTCTGTAGGAAAAAGCAGGTTTTGGATCAGGGAAACAAGTATGCCTTCAAAGATATCGAAGGCAATGCTGAAGCTACTCAGGGACCTACGATACTCAGACAAACGCAACATAATGAAAACACGTAAACATGTTTGGTCGGGTGAGAATCACCCAGTGATAGTGTCGTAGGGTTAATGGTATAATAGTCTCTTGGGTAGACCCCTCCCACACACACAAAAAAAAAGAAAAAAACGGGGACAGAAGCAGACTGGTGTTTTTTTAACAATTAAAAAATAAAGAAATAAACTTAAAACAAAAAAATTATCTGTTATGATTAAATTAGCCTATCTTTTGTAACAGCTGCTGGCTTTCAATAGAGCCACACAGAGCCCGTTTTGTGTGAACAGTAAAGAAATGGTTTAGAGCTGTTACATTTTTCCTGTGATATAGCCTGGAGACAAGAGATAACACAGTGGCTTTCTCTTCCTGTGAGGAGAAAGCCACTGTGAAGCAGCATCCCTCTGTTCTTTGTTATCTGACCTTTATATCAACCTACCCCCTCATGGCTTTGAGGGGGGCAGTGTGTGCGCACAAAAAGAGAAGACAGATGATTGAGATCACGTGAAACTTGGAACAGTGTCTGAGGTTAAAATGTAACAAATTAATGTGATAACTAATGACAAAATTTGTTTAAAAATTTGTTCCTGCTCCTCCCTTTATTGACGATTATCTCCAGGAAAAACAGGGATATATCAGGATAGGAGGGAGCAGCATATCATACTGCAACACTTCAAATTATTAAATGTATTTTTCTTCCACAATGCTTTAAAATGCACGTTAGATAAAGAAGTAGGAGCCTATAAGACTTCATCACTCCAGTACCAGACCGCTGTCCACATTGTTTCAGCATCTTTGTTGTGACAGGGCAATTTTTCTGCAATGACTCAAAAAAAAAAAAAAGTGATTGCTGGTCTTACATCTGCTCTTTATACTTTGTATTCAATGCTGCCATCTAGTGGTGAATTATGCATGCATGCAACAAGCCTGTGCAGGGCCCTCTTTTTACAGTTTCAGGGTGGAGTTTTAACTAAGGATACTGTGATTTTTTCTCTGTTATTTAACAGACTGAAAAAAACAATGCTTCTTGATTAAAAAAAAAATAATCAATTTTGTATGCAACCACTAAAATAAGATAAGATAAGATAAGATGTCCTTTATAGGTCCCACTGGGGGAAATTCCAAATTTACAGCGGCATAGTACAAACATACAAAGAGAAATTAAAGGATAAAGAAACTCATAATTAAGTTAAGATAACAGTAAAACATATGTACATGATTCCTATTTATACGTGTACAGAATATACATAATAATATGATTTACCACCACTAGTCTACATGCCAATTGAAATGTCGGTGTGATTGAATTGGACTGTTAGACAGCTGTTGTACAAATGCAATGATTGATAGTGAAACCTAAAAGTGACATTTGATACTGTACAAGTATTGAGTAGCTCTGCAGCGTGTGTCATGCAGTAGGACGCCAAGCTGTACATGCTTATCGCTGAACTAGAGTGCTGTATGCATCCACTGTCAAAGACATCAACATAGTCTCAGAGATGTTACGGCATCCATGTTAACAGCTACAGCATGAATGCCTGTCAGTCAAGCCTGCCACTGTAACTTTCTAATTGCCGCAAAGTGCTTCACTCATGTGGTTTAAGATGGGATGGGAGTGGGTCTGATCTTACAAGATGGGATTCAGGCTGATCCCATCTTTAGACTGGTTGTTTGTCAGCAGAGTATGGTCTGAATCAGCCTTTTTGCTAAGCATCCTGGGATAGCACTTATTGTAAAGTGGTGCTGTAGACATAGAAACTGATTAATTGATTGAGAATGAATGGCCTATGTATGTGGCTAACAGGGCTTTAGGAGCCAGTCTTGAAGAGACACTTGAGGATTTGCAGTTTTTAGCCCTTTCACAAGCGCTTCATATCAGCACTAGAGGTATCTGTTTGCCAGCCGGCCCTTCATCTTCCAGCTGCACAAATTGTTGCTTTACCGTTTTGTGCAGGTGTCAATCAAAAGGGAAAGGTCACTATCAGACAGTCACATACCAGGAGTCCTGCTCTACATTTACTGCTGTATGTTCAGATATTTTTTGTCTATCAAAAACTGAAGCACAGCTCGTATGAAATGTAGAAACACTTTTGTCTTTTTTTTCTGTGTTTCGTGTTATTGAACATTTTATTGTTAGCCTCATCATCATAGATAGTCAGAGCAATGCAGAAAACATGTTTAGCACCCCTACATGCAGCCAAATATCTCTTAACCCCAGAACTCCCTTTAGAGACATGTTTGAAATGTGCTATTTATACAGCAACAACAAAAATTCTCATTCGCTTTCACTGGAACAGTTTTGGACAAGGATCCTCTGCAACCTCTACTCAACATTTTTAACCTCTGGAAGTGGAGGTTGTTTGTACAACTCAGCTCTAGGAGACTTTGTGGATGTTGGGTCATCATAAACATGACTTCAGGGGTCCACAGATCAGTGCTACAAATAGGAAACTGCTTCATGTAATTTTAGGTAGTCCGTTTAGCGTGGAAAGACATCTGGTTTGTATTTGTAGTCCAGCCAGTTTCATATCAGCAGGCTTTATGTATGCAGGAAAACCTTATTAATAAACATCAGGTTTGAAACATGACTGATATTTCCTGAAACTTGAACTAACAGGGTACAGAGACAAATCATTGCAGACAGTTTTAGACATGGGCGTAACCTCAGCAGCATCACCCGTTGGTTTCATAAGTTTGAGGCCTATTGACAGTTAACACCACCTTAAATTTGCTGACTTCATCTACCTCTAAGAAAACCTAACAAGAGGCAAAGAGGCAGAGCTGAAGCAGGTCTTAGTCTCCCAGCTAACACAGCTGATTGTGTGTAACTGTAATTTCACTCAAACTTATTAGTTATTTGCAAAATGTTGAACTTCGATCTCTGTTGAAGTCTTAATACCTAGTTTAAGTGTCACAATTTCCATTGGCTTCACACAGCAAACACTCCCTGAACATTTACATAATGTAAATGCTGTTCAATAGCGCGTTTGTCTATTTGTGTGTACGTGTGCTTTGTTGTTTTGATTCATCCGCAAATTTGGTCACATTTTGTATACCTTGGCACCTGTTTGCTCCCACATAAATGGTCACTTTCCTCGCTCGCTTCACCTTCAGACACCTTTCATTTTCATTGGGTTTAAAAAGGGTGATTAATGATCTGTACAAAACAGCAGGTAGAAATTAGAGAATCTGTGGAAAACATTGTTCTTCTTGTGTAAAGAATGAGCGATCACGCATGGCTGCTCATGTGATAAAGATACAACTCAAGCCTGACAACAGACACGCATGTAAGCAACTCAGTCTTTTTTTAACTTTTCTTGTGCGTCATCTAGAAATTCTCTCTCTGAGGCCTGTTTTGGGGCAAACCCATTATCTGCTCTTTGGGGTTCTCATCCTTGCCGAGGTGAGATGTTTGTTTGGGTTAAAACTAATTCCTGCCTGATTTGGCTGTATGCTCTGCCTCCCCCATGAGGTGAGAGAAGAGACAGAAAAATAGGAGATAATCAGTCCTCTCATGAGATGAGATGAGATGAGATTAACTCAGATGTTTCAAAGATGGGAAATTTGTCTTGGGCTGTTTATCTGTGCTACAACCATGGAAAAAACAGGCAACATACAACATAATACAATAAACTCAAAATGAGGATGACTCTGATGGTGTGTAATACCAACATGGTGCCACACGGAGCGTACAAACCATCTCTCACTCACATATTTGTCAAACTTTTCTTCTTGTTTCTTTTTTCCCGATGAATCCTTGAAGAAGAGCTCAAGCTTGAAAAGCCGATTACATAAAACACCCCAAACCTGTACATCTGTAACTTCTGAGCAAGTCTTGTGATACAGATTTACCCCTTCATAGCCCACTGTTACACACTTTGCACTCTAAAACTGTACACAGTGCTTTGATATAAGAGGGAGGAGTATGGCGTGCAGCAGACCGATTCAACCCCCCTTTAATTTTTTCCATTGCACATAAGAAGCCGCTTATATCAGTCTGGCTTGTCTATATGATTGATTCTACTGAGGAAATAGATATCCGCTGTTCATCGACATAAATTTTACTCAGGCTGCTCACCCAAACAAGGCAAACCATTTATACATTTATTTTCTAGTTAGATGAAACCATGCCAGGAAAGATGATGTGGGTCAATATAAAACAATGGGATCAACCTGGAATGGAAATAAGACAATATTTTTAATTCAAAATATTAACTTAACCAGCTGCAGCAAGCAACTATCCAATACATTTAGGTTTATACATTATTTAGCCCATGAAAATCACAAATCCTGCACACAAAACAAACTATTTTGAAGCATCTAGGCCACATGAAGCCAGTCAGCTTTTTCATTTTCCTGTCGAAGAAGAAACCAGAGGCAAGTTACATCTAAATTGCCACTGTAAACATCAATTCATCAACTACTTATGAAGTGGCTGCGGTGACCGCTATGGTGAAATAGTCTCTCTTCATACTGATGCTCTCATTTGCTTTAGTCACACTGTATCATGAGGACTAATTTCACTCTATTTCTTAACCAGATGAAAACTCCTCACATGAACTTATGCATAAGGTCAGTTCAAACCCGTTATAGGCCTGTTTTGTTGGATAATTGTACTAGATTTTTACTTGAAAATTATGCTGACAATTTTTGTCTAACATCATTCAAAATGGTATTAGACAAATGAAACGGATTAATCTTCAAAGCACACTGTGTCTGGAAAACGTAGGGGAAATACACACTCAGTCAATAACACAACACTGAGAGCCACTACAAGGATTCTAGACAGATACCTTAATGAACATAGGATGCCTATTTTCACAACACGACAAAAACACTTTGCCATTAGACGTTGTCTTAATTTGACCCCCTGTTTCAAAATTGGCTATATTTTAGATAAAGTGTTGCTGCAGATGAAAAGTTGTCTGATCCATCAATAAGTCTCAGACTTTGTTTGTGAAATTTCCACAATGTGGCCTCAGTAGACTTTCATCCATCCTTCACCTTCCTCCTGTGTTAGCTTTTACTACTCACTACTCATGTTAAGGGTCGGTTTCGACCCGTGTCTCAAATCAGCTGTTAATTACACTAAAAACATTTCTCTATCATCCAGTTTGGTTACCTTGTTAGGCTTCATTATCCATAAAAATATTGCTTAATATATTTTTTGTCGGCCTTTCTTTGTCAGTATACTCCTCACACAGACATCTATTCTGAATTGATCTCACATGTCTGGACAGGTCAATCGTTGTTTTTTGAGCAGGGAATTACAGGCAAAATGAGAATTTCCTAAATCTCACATGATTGGAAGAGGATCTGACTGTCAGTTCTGGTGCCTGACAGTGCACAGATGATTTCAGGTTTTGCTCTGATCATTAGATAGTGAGCTTACTGGGTCAACAGAGACCCTAACAAGACAAGTGCCATATTTATTATAAGAGCATTTTGTAGTTTAGTCAATTTAATTTAAAAATTTTTTATTTTGTTGAAATTGAGGTTCCTGACAAAGTCAAAAAGCCTTGATGCAAAAAAAAGCTAATTTATGTGGTTCTTTTCAGCATTTAAAGACAAAAACGGGTCGGTGCAGACCCTAACACAGGAGGAGGGTTAATGTGCATCCTGATCCTATGGGGTTAGTCTGGGTTAAAAGTAAGGGTTACTTTATGATCATGACTCTTTCATTTGAAATGTTGGTGTAGCAACAGTGATCTGTGTCTTTATCTCAGTCCTGCATAAACATTTAGAGTCTGCAGCTGAAAGTTTCTTTATGTGACATTTTATTTACTATCAGTCTTATTTTATTAACTAAGACTGCTCAGTTCCTCGGTATTGATGTGTTTCCTGACTCTGCGTGAGTTTTCACGTGACCCCTCAGAGAAAGCCAGTGCGCGCTGGAGGAGGCAGCAGCGGTGTCCACTGAAAGCAAAAGGAAACGGTGCAGACTTGTCAAACTCAACGCTTGTTATTCTCCTTTGGAAACAGACCTGAAGCTTTTTTGATTTTCGAGGATGTTTTCACTCGGGGAGAAAATGGAGTTTCTCATTGGGAATCCTTATTCAACGCCTGTGGGTCAGAGAATCGGTGAGTTTGCTTCCTAAACTAACGTTATTTGTCAGGTATTTTCCTCCGTTAGACCCTAAGTGTCTTAACTGAAAAATCAGCTGTTGGACATTTCAACAACTTTAACCAAACTGTCTGCAGTGTAACACATATAAATAACGCTTTTAATGTTGTTTTTCAACTTCCTGGAGGTCAATAATAAACTCCAATTTTCCTAAACCTAAAGAAGTTTGTAAAGCCAATGACGCTGGAGAGGCGGGTCTCAGCCGCTTCCTCCTGCCGTGCGATTGGTTACTGCAAGTTAAGGGACAACTGTTTCGACCAATTGGAGAGTCGCGGACTCTCACTTCCTCAATCACTGTTGAAGGCTGTTTTTCGAGCCTCAGTTTCACACCTACGTTATAATATAACAGGGCCTCCTCGACCACTGTGTGTTTTGTGAGAAAACAACGAAGCTGCGGTGATATCTCATGGGAGAGCCGGGTTTTTGGAACAAGTTTAGCTTCATTAACTCTTTCTAAAAGGCTGGAGGCTAACTGCTAATGTTTAGAAAGATGTTCAAGCACTCATCCCTGGTGTGGTCAATGTCACACACCCATCTCAAGCCTTCCTTCCTCTTATCTCATCCACTGACTCCCTCACACATCCATGTCAGAGAGGCTTGGGCTACTTCTGAGAACAGAAGCAGCTGACAGTCACATGAAGAGGAGGGAGCTGAGGAAGGGGAGAGGGGAGGAAGGGAGGGAGGGATGGAGGGAGGGAGTGGACCTGAGGAGGGGTAGAGAATCAAAAGGGATTGGGAAAAGCAGGGATAAGAGATTTGAGGAGTGTGGGGTTTGTGGTGGAAAGGAATGAAGGAGATTTACAGACTTAGGAGAAGCCGGTGAAGGAGTGAGTGCAAAGAAAGCTGGCTTTGATTGCTAAACAGTTTTGAGGTAAATACATATCTGAACTGAACCCTATTTTCAGCTGGCGTATTACCATGAACAATGAACTCCTATTGGAGGATACTACTTTACTTGGGAGGGTTTATTATTTAATTTCGTCTGCACTTCTGTTGATGGATTAAAACGTGTTAAATAATTTTTCCATGAGGTGATGGCAGGTATTTCTTCAGCCAATCAGAATCAGTCTTACTGTGATCGCATTGACACAGTTCTAGAAATCTGTGTGTCATAAGCATAGACTGTATGTAGAATGGCCGTCGTCTGCCTTGTGAAGCCACTTCGAGAACAGCAACCTCTGGTGACGGGTTGCAATATAGGTCATTAATCCTGCATCCTCCAGCAATTCCTATGGGGCTGTGGACAAACTTTAGAAATTTATTACACAGAATATAATTTTTTCTCCCTGCTTGCAATGTTTGACATGTAGTGATTGTCAAACAGGTTTGTGCTCAAGTCCTCTTTTTTTCTGTACAGCTCCATTTTTAAAAGTTATTATAGGGTTCATGTTTTTTATTATTGACACCTGATACAGCCTATGGGCATTTAGGATTGCGTAGCTCACCTGGGGAATATGCTGTTTGAGCCAAGCGTCATCACAGCGACTCTCCCGTCCAATGCGTACAATGCTACTGCGGAATGTTGGTTTCAGGAAATGGAGAAAAAACGCGGAGAGATTTTTGGCTTCAAATCCGAGTACCGGCGAAAGGCGGAACCAAGTTGTCCATAGTTCACACAGTCTATGGTCATAAGCTTACATTTTGCCTGAAGCCTTTGATTGATTGACTGTAACTGCAACGACTATTATTTGGCGCCATACAAAAGGGTAAGTGACTGAAAATTGATCGGCCAAACACTCCCCCCTCAGCTAAGCCCAGCAATTAAACATCTTTACGCTCATCGTTTTGGCTTCCTGCCGTCTTATCCTCACACATTAGCATCACTTTTTTCAAAGTGTTGCTGTCAGCTCCTGCCACCTGCTTTTATCCTTCAGTGCAAAAACTCTGAGATCCCATCTGATCAGCACACAACAGAATAAAGATGGTGGAGACCAAATAAGAGCTCTGAGTAGAGAAAATGTTTGACTCTCCTTCAGTTTACAGCTTCAATTTAATGTTTAATGATGATGTTCAAAGAGTTAGATGAAGGTGTTATGAAAGGATTGTCTGCATATTTTCTCGCAAATAACATAATACTGTCTGTGAGTGTTCTTCTTCTTCTTGCGAAATGTACCTTTTCCCTATCAGTACGGCTGTTTTGTCCTCTGTTGACAGAGCGGGCGACCAGCGGCCTTCTGCAGTCAGACGACTGGGGACTTAACATGGAGATTTGTGATATCATCAACGAGACGGATGAAGGGTAGAGTTGTCACATAATGCTGTTCTTTCAAATTGTTTCAAAGTCGCAGACAAGTTTTCACAGTTGAATGAAATCATGAGGGATTCATAAAGTTGGTCCACCCTTCTGTGATCTCAGTTGTTTGTTTGTTCGGTAGGTGGTCTGAAGTGACATGGTTTCATCAAGAACTACACAGTGTCTCTATACCGATTGATCCACTTACATTTAAGGGCAATATCAGCTGTTTTTGTGTTTGTTTTGTGATGCAATGGGGAATGTCAATGTACCTTGAATTTAGATAGTTTGGGGTACATTGACATATATAGTGAAAGTGTATTTACCCTTTTTTTTTTGTTACCGGAACAGTCTCTCCATAAACTTTTTACAAAGTCAGGAATTATTGACAACCCCAAAGAAAACCTTGTAATCCTCCTCTTTAAAAATTGATTATTCATGTTTGATTTAAAGATGAAAAATCAAGTGAACTGGTCGACTGATGCAAATTTGTTTACTTCCCCCACAGGCCAAGAGATGCAGTTAAAGCTATTAAGAAGAGAATCGTAGGAAACAAGAACTTCAGAGAGATTATGTTGGCGCTGACTGTGAGTAATAGTCTGCGGTTCATTGTATATAAAGGTTCTATTCATACTTTATTTAGTGGAGGATTGCAGGGTCAGAGAGTAATATGAATGACCTTTGTCCTGACTGGCCTGTGGCCTACAGGACATGCTTGCATCAAGTTGTTTACACAAGTTGTAAAATCTCATCTGAAGTCTTTTGGTACAGTACACAGTCTGGATTACTGAAACATTATTTTATTTCTAAGGATTTTTTAAACAGAGATTGAATGACTTTGTACTTCAGGTGCTTGAGACCTGTGTGAAGAACTGCGGTCACCGTTTCCAAGTTCTGGTGGCTTCACAGGAGTTTGTTGAAGGAGTTCTGGTGCGCTCCATCCTGCCCAAATATAACCCCCCGACTGCCCTTCACGACCGGGTGCTTAGCCTTATTCAGGTAAACTTCAGAAACTAAACTCTTGTTTGTAATAGTTACACAACAACAACCTTAAAAGTATTGATGAATCAATGGATGACGATTTGAATCTTTTTTTAGGAGTAGATCAGAAGTTACAGGGTGTGTTTACATCTCATGTTTTTTTTTACTCACTGCTGGATTCATAATAGTTACAGTAATACTCGTATCTCTCTGTCTCTGTGGTCTTATTTTTGAAATGCTCACATTTGTAAATATTCTCCACTGTCTAAGCCGGTTATGTGTTGTCACAGACACAGGAATAATCAGATGAGAATTAGGAATGGTGTTTTTCTTGTTTTCTTTTCTCATGTGATATTTGTTGCTGTATCCTCTCACACTGATTTTGGAATAAACCTCATCTTGGTCAAATGTTCTCGCCCCTCACTCAGTCCTGGGCTGATGCATTTCGTAGCTCCCCGTCCTTGGCAGGGGTGGTGTACGTGTATGATGACTTGAGGAGGCGGGGCCTGGAGTTTCCCATGACGGATCTAGACGCTCTGTCTCCCATTCACACCCCTAATAGGGTAAGAATGTTGACGAAGTAAAAGTAATCAATCAATCAAACCAACTAATACCAACCTTTCTTTAAGAATTTACAGTCTTTGACTTTACCTTGCAGAGTATCCCCGAAAATGGGACCCCTGACACAGCCCCTGATTCTACCCCCACACAGCCAGAACCACAAGAACCTCCCAGTGTCCCTCCACAAAATACTCCTCCTACAGTCCAGCTCAGTGAGGGACCAGTAAACCTATCCGCTGAACAGGTATGATTACCTTTATGTTTGCAGATATGAAAGTCCTCTACTGTGGACGTTATCTAGATGAATGGAAAGAAGAGTATTTGTTTTTTTGTTGTTGTTGTTTTTAGTTTGTGTTGATTGAAATGAACTCTGTCTGAAACTCAGGAACAGAAGTTACGAAGTGACATTGCTCTGATAAAGGGGAACCTCACTGTGATGTCAGAGATGCTGAATGAGCTGACACCTGGACAGACCCAACATGATGATACAGAGCTACTACAGGTGTGTGTGTGTGAGTGTGTTAATGTGTGTGTTAATGTGTTTTGAAACACATTAACAAAAGACAAAACTCAATAGTGGATATTAGATTAAAGAATAAATAATACTATAACCTTTTGTATATTGAATTATCATTATAATATCATAAATTATACATATCGCAGACCAATTTGCTCATTGGGCTTGCTCCTTTTTATCTCTCTGACCTTTTAAAACCCCATGTTTCATCTCGGACTCTCAGATCCTCTGACCAGTGCCTTCTGACTGTCCCTAGGTCAAGATTAAAGTTCAGGGGTGACAGGGCTTTTTCCCTTGCTGCGCCTAAGCTCTGGAATGCTCTTCCTCTTCATGTCCCCCTCACTGCCTGTTTTTAAATCAAAGATGAAAACGCACTTTTACTCCCTGGCTTTTAACACCCGAGAACTTTTAATCATGTTTTTACTGAATCATCTATGTCCCCCTGTTTTTAATGTGTTCCTGTGTCTTTGTTTTATTGTTCGTGTTAATTGTCTGTTTTTATTGTTTTTAATTTTTACTGTGCAGCACTTTGGTCAGCGTTTTGTCCTTTTTAAATGTGCTTTATAAATAAACCTGGATTGGATTGGATTGAGAAAAAAGAACAAAAACAAAATTGAAAATTGAAATTAAATGGATTTGTGACATGTTGCAACTGTCCCTGCGCAGTGTTGTAACTGTCGCAGGGGTGGGGTTGGTTGCAACAGTTGACTTTTTTTTAAATTAATGAATATTGTGAAAAATCTGTCTGATGTAATCATATCTAAATGGTATGGGGAATTAGAGGACAGATGCAAATTTACTTTATAAAAAAATGGTTGGCCTAGTCCAAATCATCTCTGAGTAATTAAGAGAAAGAAAAAAGTGTTGCAACTGTCCCCAGTCTCCCCTATATCTTCAAACAAGGTCTACATATGATCTACAGAGGTGCCACAAAATATCAGCTTCAAGCTACATTTTCTGTGGCGATTGGTTGTTGAAGCATCTGTACATACATGTGCTATAAACTGAATTTTAATTCCTATGCATGAAAATGTTTTAAAGGTTCTTGTAGTAATTTCTAAGCTGTTTATTTTGGTTTTAGATTATGGAAAGTTGTTCTCTAATCTACGACTATCCGATCTGTCCTGTCTTTGTCCGAGCAGCAGCTGTACTCTGTGTGTAAGAACATGCAGACTCGAGTGGTGGAGCTCATCCCTCAGCTGTTGGATGAGCGATTTATCGAAGAGCTGCTTGTGATCAATGATGACCTCAACAATGCTTTTATCCGTTATGAGAGGTGCGCTGCTGTTTTTTTAATCTACAAATGCTGTTCTGAGATTTGCAGCTAATAACTTGCTGCTCATTTCAAACTCATTAAAGTGTAAATGCATTTCAGATTTGACAGACTGAACAAGGCGCAAATGACGAATAATCAACAAGTAAGCACAAACTCGGTCTCCTCTTTCATTTGTAATCATACATTTTAATATGACATGTAACAGGAAACCGAAAAATATTCATGTCTGCTCTTCCCACACCGTGTGACTCCATTTGTGTTGTGCGTTCATGTTAACAGAGCTCTACCACAAGCCAGAACCTCATTGACCTCAGTCCTGAGCCAGCGTCACTAAACCAACCTGCCGTCATCACAGAAACCAGCCAACCAGCAGTCAACACATGGGCCACTCAACGACAATCACCCAACCACAGTGCGTATTCCTTTTTTTGTAATTTTTCCATCAAATCTGTTTGTATGAATTTCTTAAAATAAAGTCATAGTTTTCAGTTTTCTGGTTGAAAACAGGATTTTATAGCTGCACATGACAGAAAACTACAGAACTGTGTTTGAAAGTTGAAGATTGTGGTAAAGTGGGGGAATTAAATGGTTATTTTTGATGATTAGAGTTTTTATGATACGTGTGTGGGTCCAAAAGTTTGCCGTTTTTACTACTCACAAATCACACTTGGAGATAAAAAGAGAAAGTGCTGTTTTCAAGAGTGACTGACTGTGATTTATTATGAAATAGACATTCCTATAGATATGTAGATACACAAATAAAAGTTTCCTTTTAGTGGTGGTTTAAGAAGTGAACCCCTTTTTCTCTTGCAGAAGAGGAGGAAGAATTCGACATGTTTGCCCAGACGAGAGGCAGCTCCCTGGCTGAGCAGAGGAAAAGGTAAATGGTGCTACCTGTTAACACAAAGACAAAGGTACCGAGTCAGATACAGGGAGTCTTTTTTCCACACTTTACTTTCCCACTAGAAGCCCATTCGTTTTTAAACGATATTTGCTAATGTAACAACGGGAGATGAATAAATTAAGCTGTTTGAAAGAGAAACAGAAGAGATGTATGTGGGAGAGTTGGAGAGTCGGTGAGTCAGGGAATCAGAGAGTCAGAAGAGTAAGGAAAGTCAGGGGAATCAGAGAGTAAGGAGAGTCAGTAAGTAAGGAGAGTTAGAAGAGTCAGAAAGTAAGGAGATCAGCTTTTTGGGTCTGTTAGCTTTGAAAGAGACAATAACGTAGCCAAAATAAAATAGTGAGTGATTCTGACTGTGCATTTGTGGTGATAAGTGCAACCACTTCCCATCACAAACAGCAGCTGAATGGTGGTTCCTCTTTAAAGTATGTGTTCAGCTCTTCTTTTTCTTTTTTATTAATCCTTTTACATCATGACACAACCTTTGGGCCACACAGTTAGTTTAATTGTGTCTGAGCTGCTGAAGGAAAGACTGTGGTGATATCAAAAACTGTAAAGCCATTACTGTGGCTGTTGGGTTAGTTTGGGCACCAGTCAGCTGATCAGCGTGCTGCAGGAAGAAGACATTGTGTCTGAGGATGGAAAAAGTGCATTTTCAAGTACAGTGTGCACTTACACTAGGATACTGCTTTTTTTTAAAGTCTCTTAGAATTAACTAAATTGTGTTGAGGACTGACGTTACCTGTAGCTCTTGATATCAATGTTTAAATTCTGGTTTTGTCTGGTTTCTTAACACAGAGGCTGAGCTGGCGGGCAAGTTTCTTATACTAACCTTCTTTAAAGATGTGTCAGTATCTCTTGTGACAGTGATGCAACAATTCAGTTTAACTTCAGAGAATGAAGTTACTGTGCCATTAGACCAGACAGTATTTGGTGTAAAATACATTTTCAGTTTACTGTGTCTTACATTTTCATCTTTTACTGTCCACAGTGTCAGGTATGAAGACCCTGGTGCTGTGGAGGGTCTTGCTGGAGCTCTGGATACGAGGTTGCACGTCACAGGAGGGGTTCGTCCAACACTATCAAATTAAACTCGGATTTTAACAAAAAAAAAAAAGTACTTTATAAATGATCAAGTATTTTCTCTCTCTTTCTCAATAACTCTGTTTCAGATGCCACCAGCAAAGAACTCTCTGAAGGGTGACATCGATAAGTGGTTATCTTCTGATATGGTAAAAGAAATTCTGTCTTTAAAACATGCTTTTATTTTTAAGGAAAAAAGAATTGGATGTTTCAGAGAGAGTGTCTGTTTTTTTTAATGTGTGTGTTTTATTGGGTTTGGGTCTGCAGGCAGAACAGTCTTCAGTAAGTGAGGGTGTGTCCAGTGAAGGTGAGTACCTTAATCTGCTGTTTTTATCGCTTTTATAAGTTTAATAATATTGATTCACTTATTCTGTGTTAACATGCATAAATGGTAAACTTTCCTTTTTTTTTTTTTTTTTTTGTTTGTTTTTTAGAGTTTGATAAATTTCTGGAAGATCGTGCAAAAGCATCAGACCACAGCAGCCAGGCGATTCGCAGCGTTTCGCCGTCTTCGTCCAGACCGCCACCGTCGCAGTCGTCCTTCCAGCAGGAGAGATCACATGACCAACTTTTTTCACTTTGATTGTTGTGGACATAAAAGTTCAACATGCACACGCAATTCCATTCAGACATGGCTGGTATCATTCACATACTGTACCTCTGAAAGCACACACACACACATACACACACAGCCGCTTACTGAAGCTGACATAAAACTGCTGCCCGATCATCTCGCTGCATTTTGTCTTTTTGAAATCTGCTGTTTATCTCTATGTAAGAATAAGAAATTTAATGTGACTATATTTATAAAAATGTCTTACTATAATGTTGATGTAAACCAAAACTTTATTAGAACAAGTGTTGACTGTTTATAATAGTATTACAAATAAATGTCATGTCAACCCATCATTTACCTTTTGACCAAAGCAGCTGATTTTGTGTAGATGAGAATAAATGGGGCATTGTCCTACAAAAAAATGTTGTCTCAGTCGTCTTCTTAAATCCTGCCGTTTTAATACCCAAGCTTCCAGGAAACGGATACACAAACAGGCTTGTTTTCTTGTTTTTCTTAGTGCAGAAGACCGGTTATTTCTGAGAATCGTCTGTGATTACTGTGAAAGCTCCACATCAAGGTCAATTCAAACTGTTTTTTTCCATTTCATAGTTGCCATCCAAAAAAAAAGAAAAAGCACGACTGCATCTATGTTGATTAAATGTGTCTTTTTTGTTGTTTTTGGATTAAGCCCCCCTAAAAAAAATTCCAAGTATCTTTTATTTTATTTTTTTATTTGGTGTTTTTAGGACATTCAGCACATGAATTGGTCCAAAACTCCAAAAGGTTAGCCAAAACATCAAAACCTTGAATGAGAAGGGGGAGTTCAGATCCGCTATGGTGTATGTCAATAATTTGTCACTGTCTGTGAGATAAGACCCTCATTCCTTGAAGTGAGTGATTAAAAGCTCAAGGATGTCTGGTGCTTGGCACACTGAGTCCCTGGATCACCCAGAGGAGAACTCAAAACAGGTGAAGAGGGAAGCAAGAGAGACAATTTCTTATTCTCCAGTCCCATCAACCAAACCTCGGACCATGCCAAGACTGCTCAACTACGGTGTCTGTCTCTGCTGGATTTATGTCTCCCTTTTACATGGTTCTGCAGAATGTTTGTCTTCGAATTTAACCCAGAATCAGCTCCCAAATGTGACTCTGTTTTCAGAGGAGGACAAGGGCAGGGATTCATCATTTCTTCAACTGAGAGCCAGTATACCATCCTACTTTCATCCTATCCGCCCTTACACCTTGCTGACAAGCACTGAAGACAGCCGATACATGCCTAAACCGAGGCATCGCCGCCCTGCTCACCTCCTGCGTCTTCTGGGTCCCTCTTTTGATCAGTTTTGGATGTCAATAGAGGAGCCATCTGATGCCTCTGGGGGTCATGAAGGTAAATCTTTGATACATGGTGACTCACTGCCTGACAAATTGTCCAGCAAAAGCACTGCCGGAGAGAAGTTTAACCTGAGTGCTTCTCCAGAGCTAAGAGAGGCAGCAGCAAACCATCGCCAGAGGCTGGAAAAAGAGGCTGCAGATCTGAACCTCAGCTCTCTGCCCTCACATGTTGCCAGACATGTCAGAAACTGGTTAGCGCAATCAGCTGCCTGTGAATTAAGCTACCAGTGGGTGGATCTGGGTCCTGCTTTCTGGCCACGTTGGCTGCGGCAGACAGATTGCAGAAGATCAGATGGAGTAAGTTGCTCTTTTCCCAGCGGGATGGAGTGTGTGCGAGCTGACACAACTCACATACGGATTCTGGTCTGGAACTGCTTGGAGATAAGAGGGAGAGGTGATGGGTCCAAAACAATCAAAAATGAACTTTCTGATGGCGGCACTGAAGTGGTGACCAGTGAAGTCACTAAAAGATGTTCATGGAGGCAGGTGCCCTATCCTGTGGTCACAGCTTGTAAATGCTCATGCAGATGAATGTGATGTTGTGGGCTGTGTATCTACTTTGCACTACCATGAAGTGTGTGTTATTAGACCATAATTGTGTTGTCTTATTGCCTCAGCCTTGCTAGTTCTATTTGCTCAGATATTGCATGTATTGAAGTGGTGACCAGTGAAGTCACTAAAAGATGTTCATGGAGGCAGGTGCCCTATCCTGTGGTCACAGCTTGTAAATGCTCATGCAGATGAATGTGATGTTGTGGGCTGTGTATCTACTTTGCACTACCATGAAGTGTGTGTTATTAGACCATAATTGTGTTGTCTTATTGCCTCAGCCTTGCTAGTTCTATTTGCTCAGATATTGCATGTATTTTAATGTGAATGGCTGGAATTCAATTAAAGAATATAAAACATTTTTTACAGACAAAGCGTTTCTATGATTTTTTTCTGTAACAATATTATAGACAAAATGCTCTTTTTAAAAGACAACTGGGGAATGTAGGCTACAGCACAACTATAAACTACTGTCTGATAACACAGTCTGTATTTGGATTGGTTACTTAAGGCCTTGATTTTACAAGTGTAAATAAAGCCAGACTTATGCTGTCATAGGGATTCTGAATTTGAACAAATAGAAACTAATATATACGTTGTGGCATGCTATTTTTTTAGTAGGGGAGAGTGGGGTAAGATGAAACATTTTTCATATTTCAGATCACTACATCAAGGCAATCATAGTTTTGTCTCTAACTAGTGTATCTGCATATATTTCAAGATGTTGTTCAAACCAACATAATGACTGTAAACATAACTCACCTTCTCTCTCCCTAAATAACATTCACTTCTTCACATTCATGTGTATTTTTATCTATCATACGCTATTCAACTGGTACATTAATTCTTTTTATCACTATTGCATATAACTGCTAAAAAGCTGTTTTGTAAAAAGCCATTTTAACATGAGAATGTCTTTAAGTGATTCAGAACATTCACAGCTGTATTCTTGAAAAGAAAAAGTTTTAACAATCTGAACTGAAACTCTGATCCTCTCATCAGACTCATTTACTTTATTAGTCCTCTAAGCTAAAATGCTGGACTTTTATTCTAGGTTTTTGACCTCATGTTGTGGCTCATAGATACCACCGTTAATGTATAAAACAAGTTTAAAATGATCTTTTTTGGTCTGAACACAATTCTAATAAAACTTATGACAGAGTAAATTCACTTTCGAGAGTGAAAAATGTTTTTTGGAAATAAATGTCTAACCCCTTCACTCATGTGCTTCTAACCTTCACAGACTCCATGAATTGATGCCATCTCCTAAATATTTGGTCACATGATCAATTTCTTCTACCATTTCCAAGCAACAGGGGGTGGCTCAACTTACCCTTTGGCTCAACTTACCCCACTCTCCCCTATTTCCTCTCGTTTCAATATCGTTATATACAGTAGCCTATGTTAACGTAGAACAGTATAAAATACTTTCCGTTTTGAACCGTCTTTTATGAGCAATAATTGTTCATACTGTATATTCAGCCCTCATTTGTTTGTTTTCCTCACTTTACTTAATCTTTCTTTATCCGAGGGTCCTTGAAGGCAGCACCGTTGATAAGCCCCGCCTCCTCCGTCGTGTCTGCGCAGCCCGGACGTTGAATTGTATACAGACAAGATGGCAGCTTCATTGGAAGACGAGTTTGAAGATGCGCCTGATGTGGAGCCTTTAGAACCGACACTGAAGAATATCATTGAACAGAAATCTTTGAAATGGATATTTGTTGGCGGGAAGGGTGGTGTTGGTAAAACGACGTGTAGGTAAGTTGAAGAGTAAATTGTCCACTGGCTTCCTGATCATGACTCAAGAGACGCTGCTAGCTAAACGAAGCTAGCTGGCTCGCTAGTTAGCTGTTCATGACAGCGAGCTGACAACCGTGTTTGTGTTTTCGATATGTGTTGATTTATAACCAATAAAAAAGATAACGCCCGGAACAATCCTAAACACTGACACACCTATACATTCAAAAGTGTCATGTTTATTCAAGTCAAGAGTCATCAGTTTTGGTGCCTGAACGCAACTAACATGTCTGCAAACTCTACATGGTTCCTGCAACACATGGTTACAAAACGGTTCCGGTCTTAAGCGGGTGAAGCCTGGATTTAAGATCTGAAAAGAGACTGTGCTTAATGCGACAAAAGTGCCAGAAGAAGGACATGTGCTCAAATGCAAAACGGCACTTGTTAAGCCACCGTGAGCGATTACTCAGTCCTGGTTATTCCCATTAATGAATTAAAATTAATAAGGCATATCATCCCGTCACTAAAGCCCGATATTATGTGAAATACTTATTTCGCTTAAATTTGTCACTTAGGTTAAACTAGTTGTCCATTTGACAGGTAGAGTTCAGACACATAAACGCCCCCAGCTGCAGCCTCTGTCTGCCGTGGGCCACTTTACAAATGCTTTTATTATTGTCCTCAATGTTTTATAGGAACACACCTGATGGCTCTGATGTTTCTTTTTTTTTTTTACCTTGTTTGTCATGATGTCTTATTTTATCTCGCCAGATGTATTTTTAAGTCATCTGATGAGCAGGTTGTGTCAGTATACCAGCAGGCGGCGTTATACTTATGCTGCGTTCGAGTTACCTCGGAAGTCCGATTTCGGAGCTGGGAATGACATTACACCCAAGTTGACAGCATTTCAGTTAACAAGTCGGAAAATCAAGATGGACGCCTACAGTTCGCCATTGTTATCTGTTGTTAGTTGTCATTAGCTATACCAGTTGTGAACAACGCGTAACACAGTATTTTACTCTTACAAACACCATTACACCATGTTCACAGTTAGACGTTGGGCCGTACAGCATTTACCACGTATTTAAATTCACAAAAACAAAACAGAAGTGCTGAAAAATAATACATTGGGCTCTATTTTCGTTCGCGCCGGTGAGGCGGCGGAGGGCGGCGAGCCCCGCGCAGTTGTATTTTCGTCTGGCGGAGCCCGGCGTAAGGCGAGTTTGGTATTTTCGTGGACTGAGTCGCACGGAGGCGAGCCGAGATCCGCCAAGCTGGGCGTGGTGGCGTGGCAGGGGGAGGTGTTGACAGAATCAGCTGGCGCAGTGACATTTTCGTGCTCGCCACTGGCGTGTAACGTGCGCTGAAAGCTCGCCGATTCAAACCTGGTCAGCTTTCAGCGCAAGGCGGAACGCAGCTGGTCTAGTGGTATTTTGGTAGACCGGCGGCGTATCGACATACGTCACCGATGCCTCACCGGCAGGTTTCCACAGTGTCAGGCACATTTCAGTGCAATAAATAATCATCAACAACTATTAATCTGAGTCAGCACATACATTTAGATCTATAGATATATTCTGATCTATATCTGATCTGATGAGCGCGTTTGGCACGCGTTTGGCACGCGTTTGGGCACACAAGCTGACCATATCAATACAGCTGAAACTGCATCAAATTAAATTAAATATCTAGTAAATAAACACACATGATGAAGTTAACAAGATATGTAATGTGTCTCCCTCCTTTTCTTTCTTCCTCTTATTTCTCGCACAGCTAGACCTGGACACGTCTCCGTGTCCTCTGTCCGTCTTCCTGCTGCTGCTGCGGCTGAACAGATGATTTGTTTCAGTGCTCAGATGCGTTATCTACTTTAAGTCGACATACGGATATTATAATATTCAGTTTTGTGGGCCAAATTTATTTTATATGCCAACATCTATGAAAGAAAGAGCCAGGCCACGGAGCGCGATGCGTCATTTACGCACAGATGGTTCCGATTTTAATGCCATTTTTGGAGTTTATGTTGTGATCTGTGCGCTAAACCCACCTTTGTCACGTGAGGTTTGAATATATGCAACTTTATGTGAGTGTCTTTTTTGTGGAAAAGGGTGTTTGTCTTACCAGTGGGTCCAACATTACGCACACCAAATCCATCTGTGCTCAGATGAGAGAGTGTGGAGGACACTTGTTGAGCAGCTGCCCTCTGTCGCCATCGTGTGGCATAACTGTCTTCAGACATCTCTTGATCTCTTTGACTACTTCATGAAAATAGTAATACGCCTCGCCGGTGGCGGATTTAAAGGCAAGGAGAGGAGCTTATGTGATTGGTGAAAACAGGTCTCGGCTGTGTTAAACACACTATACGCCCTCTCTCCTCCCCGTCTACGACTTATGCTGCCGGGAGGAGCTGAGTTAGGGAGGGGGGATACTTACGCCGGGCTGCGCGGCTCACCAAAATACCAAAATGTGCTTGGGAACGCCTTGTCAGCGCGGCGGATCTGACTGACGCTGCGCTTGCGGCACGTCTCCGACGAGGCACCAAAATAGAGCTCTATATGAGAGTTTTCACTCTTACTCTTTACTGTTGATGCACTGCGCTGCCATCTTGGATTATGACATTGTTGTCAAGTCGGGGTTGGTTAGGACTGTCCCACTTTCCGAGTCAGAAATCCGCCTTCAGGGGGGCGTTCCAGATGAATTTCCAACTCGGAGCTCGGAAATCCCGACTTCTGAGAACAACTGGAATGCAGCCTAAGTTGCCAAGTTGGAAAAAAGCAAAATCCAAGGCCTGAAACAAGATGGCTACATCTACGAAAGTTATTTTAGTGCTTGCCTTGTCCAAATATAAGGCAAGCACTAAAATAACTTTCGTAGATGTAGCCATCATGTTTCAGGCCCCTGATTTTGCTTTTTTCCGACTTTGTAACTGAAACGCTGGGAACTTGGGTGTGACGTCATTTTCAGCTCTGACATCTGACTTCCGAGGTAACTTGAACGCAGCATTATTACTTCGGAAAATCATTCATCACTCCGCTGTTGGTCAACAAGAATTGCAAGAATATAAACATGAATGAAACGTACATATTTTTGGGTACAAGAAAATTGTAGTTGGCTAAACTATGTCTAAATGACACTTTGGATCTCGATTCATCTTTGGCACATTTACACATAAAAAAGGCTGCTGATAAATAAGAAGTGTAAACAAGACCTTGAACTCTCTTTCCTGTTTGCAGCTGCAGTTTGGCTGTCCAGCTTGCTGCTGTGAGGGAGAGTGTCCTGATCATCTCCACTGATCCTGCTCATAACATCTCTGATGCTTTTGACCAGAAGTTCTCAAAGGTGCCTACCAAGGTCAAAGGCTATGATAACCTCTTTGCAATGGTAAGACACACCATATTTCTACATCATGTAAAATCATGCTAAGAAAACCACAACAGGCAGGCACTAAGGTTCAGATGTGACTGTCACACTCTGTAGTTACAGACACAGATTACTCATGTACAACCAAATTTGTAGAAATAACAGTGAGGTAAAGCTGCACGATGGAGCAATGGTCAGTGCTGATGCCTCACTGGGTCGAGGTTGTATGACCTCCTAATGCATGGGTGGGTTTTATCTCGGTACACTCTTTTACTCAGGTTCTGGCCTTAATGGCGTAGTTTACACAAAACATACACAGATTACAGAAGCATTTACTATCAGTTCTAAATTAACCAACAAAACACAGACAAAGCAGGTACAACACATACATGAACCAAAGTAGTACAATCAAATGAAATTATAAAAAAGAAAACATGCCCCAGATCAAGTCTGTTATGACCCAGCGCTTCAGATTTTCAGTGTTTTGAAGTCCAGACCAAAAGGTTGTGAAGTGTCCAAGACGGACTCCCGTATTTTTTTCCCCGTTTTCTTTTCTGATAAATTGCAGAGCGAGTGTATGAAAATCACAAATGTACGGGTATTTTAACCTTTTACATAGACCACCCAAAATAACAACAATAAAATACATTCAAATTAGAGATGTGCCTATCCATTTTTTTCCGATCCAATCCGATACCAATACCTGGGCTGAGCGTATCGGCCGATATCCAATACCGATCCAATACTACTGTTGAATGAATGAACTGTATACCTTGCCCTGTTTTTTACTTATGAACAAATGACAAAGTGCACATTAGCACACAGCAAAAAAAGGTAAGACTTCCATGTAAACAGATATAGTCAATTTGTCAATATCAGAGCCAATATCTGATCCAAATATCAGATCAGTGCATCCCTAATTCAGATGTCAGGCCATGTAGACATGTGAACATAGACAAGGCTCCATTGTTCCTCTCTTCAGAAGTTAAATAAGCAGGTCCAAACCCCTTTCCTGTTACAACTTCAGATCTGAATCCTCACACAACGGGGGGAAATTTGTGTTCCTCCGCAATCTGAAGAAGAAAGATGATTTCAGAGATTTTATTGTATTTAGAACAATCAAGTTATTTTCCATTTTTTTACCTTTTATAGGACTCATAAAGGGGCAGACTCTTAGGTTTGAAAAGATGTGATTTTAAATGAATTGGTCGCTCTATATTGCCCCTACTCCTTATTACTCTGCATGTGGTCGTCTATCTGTATATAAACTTGTTATAGGCTGAGGGCCTGTCTACTGTGAACCCCACCTTTCACCCAAAGACAGCTAAAACAGGCAAAGATAAGCAGTACAGATGATTACAGATGATTACAGCTAATTAAAACTGTCATGATATGTCAAAATATCAAATCTTTGTTTACAATTTCTGGCAGTGCAAATATTGACCAAAGCTAGTTTGATTGGGAGACAAAAAAAGGGAAACAAATCGTCTTATTCAGGCTGTTAAAATGTATTGAATGGGATCACTATCACATTAGTGTCATGAGTCTTCAGGGACTAAATTGTGTAACCAGCTGAGTCGCTCCAGGTTCTGTAATCAGTCGTGGTAAATGAGGTCTTTGTTTGTAATCGACCGATTATCTGTGTTTGTGGGAGTGCAGGAGATTGACCCGAGTTTGGGTGTGGCAGAGCTGCCCGATGAGTTCTTCGAGGAGGACAACATGCTGAGCATGGGGAAAAAGATGATGCAGGAGGCCATGAGCGCCTTCCCTGGCATCGACGAGGCCATGAGCTACGCAGAGGTCATGAGGTAAGACACATAAGTATTGCTGACACAGAGTTCAATGACCTTTCACTGTCCTATTACTGGTTACTGGAGTTTAACTAATTCGCCATCTGTACCTCAGGTTAGTGAAAGGAATGAACTTCTCTGTGGTGGTCTTTGACACCGCCCCTACTGGTCACACACTGCGACTGCTCAACTTCCCCACCATTGTGGAGCGCGGTCTTGGTCGCCTCATGCAGATAAAGAATCAGATCAGCCCGTTCATTTCCCAGGTGAGGAGAGTCATGTAGCTGTCATCATTCATCGGGTTCATGTTGGTTTAGGGGTCTCAAAATTTACAAAGCAGATGTTTCATATTTAAAAAAAGACAATAACTGTGTTTATGTTTTTGTCCATGTGTGTAGATGTGTAACATGCTGGGTCTGGGTGATATGAATGCTGATCAGCTGGCCTCAAAGCTGGAGGAAACCCTGCCGGTCATCCGCTCAGTCAGCGAGCAGTTTAAAGATCCTGTAAGTTTGTCCATTTACAGTTTATTACACAGTTATTTAATGATACTTCATGATCATTTTAGTGTTGGAATCAGCACGTCTGTATTTAGTTTTATATCAACTCTGCACAATAGAGGCTAACTGAGTTTGCATCTATATCTTCATTTACACTGGTATCCGGTACACACCAACACCTGCTCCAGGCTGGTTTGTTTGAGTCGTGCTGACTGTTTCTGGGTGATGTCTTGTCAAATGGTTGCAGGGATTCGTTGTATTACTACTGTATTTTACCTTCCCGTTGCATATTTACCATATTACTCGTTTTTTGTCCAACTTGTTAAATCCAAAATACATCCAAACATCAGCTTTTAAACTTGTCAGCTGTGCCTTGAGAGGTGGACTCGCTTCCACCATGTTTGCTTGACTGTTGGCAGTAACATCTCACGAGATCTTGTTCTGTGGAAAGTGGCGGAACGCAGTGCTAAACGCTGATCATGCGAGACTAGCAGAGTTGACCCTTCATGCTGCTTCTCCTCACGTCCAATGAAGAAAAAACTACTCAAGTTAAAAGATCGATCATTGGATTTTATGAATCGATTATGAACCATTTAAAGGGAAATTGATAGAATCGATTTTTTTAACCCCAGCCCTAGAATTATGGTCACACTTGACTCTTCTAGACAAACTTCCTCTCTGTTTTTGCTTTACCATACCTGGAAACAATCTGGGTTGCATCCTCTCGTTTTATTCATGGAAACACGATCTTCACACTGAATGACAAAGAAACCTTCTCTAAAATCTACTCGTTTCTCAGGCTGATGTTTTATTGCACCATCAGGTGTTGTAGGTTCTCTAACTTCTCTCTGGCCTCACACCCATCAGGAACAGACTACCTTCATCTGTGTGTGTATTGCCGAGTTCCTCTCCTTATATGAGACGGAGCGCCTGATCCAGGAGCTGGCTAAGTGCCGCATCGATACACACAACATCATCGTGAACCAGCTCGTTTTTCCCGACTCAGAGAGGCCGTGTAAAATGTGTGAAGCCCGCCACAAAATCCAGTCCAAGTATTTAGACCAGGTACAATCAGTGTTTTTGTGTTTTCTCTCTCCAGCTCCTCCTCGCATGTTCTTGTGATTAAATGTCTTATCTTTTCACACAGATGGAGGATCTTTACGAAGATTTCCACATAGTCAAGTTACCGCTGCTGCCGCATGAAGTGCGAGGAGCTGACAAAGTCAACACGTTCTCTAAACAGCTACTGGAACCCTACAAACCCCCCAATAAATGATCTCCCTACACGCAGGACCAAACCCCTTCTTACAGAACACATCAATAATATCAATATTCACCTCCCAAGAGCTCTTCCAGCCAACCTCAAACCCAGTAATATCCTCAAGTTTATCCACTCCGCCCTAAGCTTGCCATCCAGAGCAGAGCACTGCTACAGCGAGACATGTTGTCATGACAGGGGAGCAGATGAAATCACACACACATTCATAACCTGTACTGTTAGAGGTGAGACACTTGAAAGTAGTGCTGCCTTACTGTTTACCTTTATGTCCTTCATCATATCCTCTGTGTGTCAGTTGTATAATCCCTAATCGAAGCATTTAACTTTTCTCTCTACAAAAACAAAAAAAAAATCCCCCCCTCTCTGTGGAAACTCGTGTCGCTCATGAATTCTTCATCCAGTGTGGTTTGGTGGCTGTCGTTTCAGTCGTTGATTTTCAAATAAATTTCAAACTATAAACTGACTCTAATTTTAAAGTTTCAGTATCATCTCTTACATCAGGAATAGGGCTGGGCGATAAACCGAAAATTTACCGATGCCGAAATTTACAACAATAACCAACATCATTTTGCCCATTTCCGTGTAGTCGGTATCAAAAACATAAATAAAAGTTGTTTTTGGATGTGTGTAGGTAGGCTTTGGTCTCGTCCCTTTTTAAGACACTGTCCTACATCAGAGACGTGACTCCACCCCATCCAGTCTTTAACAAAGAGGGAAGAACAGCTGAGGAGATGGAGGACGGTTCAAAAGTTGTAGCGGCTGAAGTAGACGAAGTTAATGTTGGAGGGAATGAGCAGCTTGTGGAGTAGTTCTCGTCTATTTATCGTTATTGAGGTGAGCTGCTCAAAATATTGTGATATTGATTTGAGGCCATATCGCCCAGCCCCAATCAGGAATTCACATTAGTATTAAAGTACAGAGTCAGGGATGTTTAATTTGACAGGTAATTCAAGAAAGAAGCTGAAATACTTTTAAATTATTTTTGTTTTCAAACTCTTAATTGTAATTAATAAAGAAAGCGGAGCTGAATGAAGTCTGTTTCTCAAGCGTGTTTTTGATCATTAGACCTAAACTCAAAGTTTCCTGCGCTCAGTGAGATTATTTGAGATGCTAATGTCCACATGTGGACTGATTTGACAGTCATTTTAGAGGTAGAGTTGGGCCTAAAACCACCCCGTAACCCTCTAATCTATCAGACATATTTCTATCCTGGTTATGACCAACTTTATGGGAACCCTGTTTAGGACATGAGTAGCCTTACGTTGTGCATTGTTGATAAAATATATATTGTATGTTTCTTGATAACATGAATGAAAAGTGGAGGATAAAGTCAGAGCATCTTTTCCCCTGTGATAGAAAAGTGGCTTGTTGTCGGCTCACCTGATGCATCGTTGTGCTTCTGTAAAAAGATGAAGATGACAGGTTTATACTCAAGAAAAAAAAGTCTATCTCTCCCCAACCTTGTCGATGAATGCTCATGAGTAAATAGAGGAATCTGTTTTCTAATGATTTTCTTTTATGATTAAACAGAGTTGCTTCAGATGAGAGCCTCTTTGTGTTCATTTATCTCCTTAAACGGGCGTGGAGAAGCAAGAAACCACTCATCCAGATTTCCTGTGTGGATCCATCACACTTAAATAAATGCTACTCCTTTACTTATTCCCCAATGGCTTTTGAGTAGGGCTGGGACGATATGCTTTTCTCCCGTTTCGATTCTTCTACGATTTTTTTGGATGCCGATTCGATTTAGATTGCGATTCTACGATGTTGTCCATTTTCTCGATTTTTAGTCTATATTTGTAACACCAATGAAACAGTTGAATGATTACGATTGTCTACTGACTATTTCAGGAACCATATTTCCCCAAAAACTAAATATCAAATGTGAGTCGGTTGTTAAGATTTATTCTTACATTTGAGGCTTACATTCTTACTCCCGGGCGGAAGCAAAAAGAGTTTAATGTGCTTACCAGATAAGCACATTAAACTATAATCCATAAACGTAAGGTAACAACCAAGACCTAATGGTGCTGTGACAGCAACACGATTGAGTTTGAGACAGTGAAAATACATATGGTATGTTGTATCTGAACAGGTTAGCTTACGAGCTAAAGTTACTTAGCACAGATGAAAGTTAAAACAAAGACGTTTAGCAAACTGTTAAAGCACACAAACTATCCTTCAGGTCGTTATCTTTGTAATATTTGTGTCTTTTATCAAAAAGCACTCTGTTCTCAGACACGTAAACAATCAGCCGGTCGGCCATGTTGGATATACCGGTGAATCTGATGTCGCAACAACACGAAATCTGATTGGTCAGAAGTGGACACACAATATGCGAAACTTTAGAAAAATCGTCAGTGATCCAAAAAAGTAAATGCCGCAATATCACAGGATGGGAAAACGTCGCTGATGTGAACGCTTGTATTGACAGGATACGGGTTCGAAAAAAAATACTGACGTCCGAAATAATCGCACGATAAATCCACTGAATGTTTACTTGACCACAGAATGTCAACGTGTATATTGCACATTGTACATATATATTTATTGTAGTATTTAGTGTAATTTTGTTTACTTATTACCTTTTTTTTCTATCTGTCTTTATTTGCACTGGGGGTCCGAGAGGACTGTGATTTCATATATGCTGTATGCTGTCGTATAGCATATTTGACAATAAAGCTGACTTTGACTTTGATAAAAACGGTCCTGGTGTGAAAGGACCTTTTAAATGTGTGACAGTAGCACTTTGTAAATGGTTAATTTTGGTTTTTAAACCACCTATACAGGTTACTTAGATGGTTATTGTAAAGTTAGGGATAGGTTTTTAAAATAGTAAAATTTACCATTTATAAATGGTTTATTTACCATTTATAAGTTATGGTTATTGTAAAGTGTTACCAAATTGCAACACTTGTGTGTGAATCAATTTTTTCTCCCACCCCTACTTTTAAGGTCTCTCCAGCATCAAGTGCACAGCTAGTGTTGCCATTAAAATCAACATTTTTTTGCCCTGTTGTCCTTAAAAATGTCCAAATCGTGTTGGGACAAATAAAACATGATGATAAGAGAAACCAATCAGCCTCCGTTCAGGTTTTTGTAGTTATTTAAGCCGCAACAACTGTCCTGTAATTACAAACTTGTTACCGGGAATTGGTTGTTGTTTTCATATCACTTAACACGAAAGTTTGCCACGCTCCACTTGCTCCTGTTTCATAATGCTCTACTGTACTATACGGTCCTTTGCGCTCCTTGTGCCCCGGCGCTGCGGCCTGTCGCTTGTGGTCCATCACCGAGCCGCGCTCTCCCGGTCGGGGGCCGCGCTAACGAGCTCCTCCTCCCCCGTTTTGGGGATTTACCCTGGGGCGCACTGACCACTGGACGCACCGAGGAGGCTCCGAGGATTACTGCCATGCAACCAACCGAGCCTCGAGTTAACCGAGCTGACACCGGGGGATATTTCAGAGTTATGAGCTCTTTGAGGAAACACTATTGGTAAGTCCAGACATCAGCAAAGAGAGCTCTGAACTGATACTCAGTAAAAATATGAATTTACTTCTCCTCTGGTGCCAATTACGCACTGATTTTCGCTGAGCAATTGGTAGTTTCACCAAGAAAGAACTCAAAAGGTAAGAAGAACATCCTAAAATAGATTTTTTATTAACATTTGTATTGTTTTTACACATACTTCAATTGAATATGTCTCAAACTGAATCCAAAGTGAGTTTTTATTCATGTTTTAACGTGTTACATGATAAAGGTTTTCTGCTATTTTTTAATATTTTCATTTTCTTTTTACTTTTTGCAGCTTTTATATTGAGGACTTATCACTCGTCTGCCACCAATGACTGTCACATACACAGCCAGGGTTGCAAATGCCCGTTTTTGTGGCTTCTCCAAACTGCTCCTGGCTTGGAAAGGCAGCATCTATAAAGTGCTGTATAAAGAGTTCCTGGCTTTCTTTGCCATGTACACAGCCATCAGCATCACTTACAGGTAAAACAGGAATCTAATCTTGAGGAAATGCTCACTGATAAAACACTGTTAACATAAACTTTGTTTAACTTTAACTTTTTTTTAGATGCTTTCTGTATGAAGACCAGAAGAGAAACTTTGAAAAACTGGCGATTTATTGTAACCACTATGCGAGTCTCATCCCCATGTCCTTCGTTCTGGGTAAGCACTCTAATTTGTACCACACTATGTTCATATAATGTCAAGTTTTTAGTTATGTAATTTCATCTTTGACATGAACTTTAGTTGAACCCTCTGCTCTTGACTTCTCGAGCGAATAAATAAGGTTTATTTGCTGTTTTTATAAATTAGATGCTTACATACAGGTCTAATTTTTAATTTCAGACATTAAAAGAAGTTCCTTTAACGAACAATTAAAAGGTGTATTTGTTTACATATGGACTACCATGAATCTTCTTCTTGTTATCCCTAAAATAAGTTTTTGTCATTTCACTTTTCTTTCTCCATCGTATTTATTAATTGGTTTATTTTTCAACAAGCAATCGAGAATAAGAGCTGCTGTATGAATGAAGTGTAGGATGAGTGTTATGTAAGTGTAATGTCTGTAAGTACATGTCTGAGTTCAAAATGAGAACGGAAAAGAAGGTGAAGACCCCAGGAGGCGTAGTTACTGCATATTTTGTTGTAACTAACGGTGGATCCAAAACAAAACGATTGATTTTCTGACCTTGATAAACATTGATTCTACTCTTGACAAAGCTCATGCTTATTCAATGTTTAAGAAATTAAAACAAACTTTAATTCACTCATTTTGACTTGACTCTGTTGTATTTTGATTACACTTATCGGCTCAGATTTTTCTGGGGGTTTATCACTCAGATACTAACAAACTTGACACCCAGATTTCTCTGGGTTAACCGCCCTCTCTCTTCTGCTCTCCTGTGTGCAGGTTTTTATGTGAACCTGGTGGTGAACAGGTGGTGGAGCCAGTACACCAGCATCCCGCTCCCTGACAGCCTCATGTGCATCCTGTCTGGGGGCCTCCAAGGGAGCGACGAGCGAGGGCGCCTGCTGAGACGAACCATGATACGTTACGCCAGTCTGTCGGCTCTGCTCATCCTCCGCTCCGTCAGTACAGCTGTATTCAAACGTTTCCCCACCGTGGACCACGTGGTGGAGGCTGGTGAGTGTAGACGCATGGATAGGAAGGTTAGGGTCCAGTCTGTGCTTTAATTTCAACTCAGCTCAACTTAACTCAGCTCATCTTAACTCAACTCAACTCAACTCAACTCAACTCAACTTAACCCAACTTAACTCAACTTAACTCATTTAACTTAACTTAATTTAACTTATCTCAACTCAACTTAACTCAGCTCAACTTAACTCAACTTAACCCAACTTAACTCAACTTAACTTAACTTAAATTAACTTAACTCAACTTAACTCAACTCAACTTAACTCAACTTAACCCAACTTAGCTCAACTTAACTCAGCTTAACTCAGCTCAACGTAGCTCAACTTAACTCAACTTAAGCCAACTTAACTCAACTTAACTTAACTTTACTCAACTTAACTCAGCTCAACTTAACTCAACTTAACCCAACTTTACTCAACTTAACTTAACTTAACTTAACTTAGCTTAACTCAACTCAACTCAGCTTTACTTATAGAGCACTTTAAATACAACCAAAGCTGACATAAAGTGCTGTACATAATAACATAAAAACATAAAACAACAATGAATAGTTGTTTTCAAATATGATAAAAAGGCAATAAAACAAATGCCGTCTCATACTGGGTCGAAAACCAAGGAATAAAAGTGGGTTTTTAGACAGGTTTTAATGCATTCACATTTATTGCACGTGTATCTAATATTTCGTGCTATCTTTTCTTCACACCACTATCCACTTAGGAAGTTACAGAACATGTTACGATAAGGTGATCCGTCACTCTTACATGATATTAGTTTGTGTTGTGTCCTCTCTTGTAAATCACAAGGACAGGCACATCCTGAAAGTCACACAAGATAAAAATAAAAGCTTATCATAGTACTGTTACAAAAACATGAGATTTCAGGCGGCCAAAGGATGAATCATCTGGATTATTGATATGAAGGTGCTGTCTTTCCAAGAGTAACACTGAGCTGTGAAAATGAGTGAACATGATGTATGACGTGTTGATTTGTTGTTTGTGAAGGATTCATGTCAAGAGAGGAAAGGAAGAAGTTTGAGAGTCTCCACTCTCCTTATAACAAATACTGGATCCCCTGTGTTTGGTTCACCAACCTGGTGGCTGTGGCGCGCTCCGAGGGCAGGATTAAAGATGATCACACGCTGAAGCTACTGCTGGAGGTGCACCATTTCAAAGCCTCATCTATTAGTACATTTACAGCTGTAATCTTTTGCCTGAAGTTAGGTTGGAGACTTTGAGATAGAAGAGAGGAGAAGTGGCGTAAAGTGATCTCAGCAAGTCTGATCTTTGTACCAACAGGAGCTGAATGCGTTCAGAGGGAAATGCAGTATGCTGTTTCATTATGACATGATCAGTGTTCCCCTGGTCTACACTCAGGTACGTATGTAAGAATGACACTGCTGTTTATGAAAACCTCTAAATGAACAAACAAACATCACACTCATCTCTTCCATAGGTGGTGACTTTAGCGGTCTACAGTTTTTTCCTGGTGTGTCTAATTGGTCGCCAGTTTCTGGACCCCACCCAGGGCTATCCGGGTCATGACTTGGACTTGTACATTCCCATCTTTACACTGCTACAGTTCTTCTTTTATGCCGGATGGCTAAAGGTCAGGAGAAAGGGCAAACACTTTGAGATTCTTATATTGAATTTTGTGAATTATTTTCAGTGATTTTGCAATGTGCCTTCAATTTTCTTTGGCCTCCTGAAGGTCGCAGAGCAGCTGATCAACCCGTTTGGAGAAGATGATGATGATTTTGAGACAAACTGGCTGATAGACAGAAATTTCCAGGTATGTTAGTCACAGTGATTAAAGAGATATTCAGGTGTAAATTAGAGTTATGGTCAAACACACCGTAACACAGAGTTAGACACCCCCTCGAGAGATGAATGTTGCCGACTGCTCGCTTCTCTAGTTATACCAACTTCAGCAAAGACCGCACGATAGCAATACACAGCGGTCTATATCTCCAAGTACAAACCTCAATCAAAAAGCCACTCATAGCCCCGACGCGTCAATCACCGAGTGCAGCGGAGTTTCGCAGCTCAAGGAAGAACATTTATGATTATTACTTCACGAAAATGCAATCAGACTGAGACACTAAGGCAGAAAAAATACCGCGTCTGCAGTGAAATGATTATTATGATGATTCTTACTTCATGGGAATGAGCCGCTGCACTCTGTGATTGACTGGTCAGGGCTCCCCTCACAAAAACAAGCGGCTGCTGGAGGAGAGTGGGTGAGTTGTTTTTGGTGTCTTTGCTAAAGAAATCAGGCAAAGCTAAAAAGATGTTTGATGGCTAGTACTATGGCTGAGACCCTATATGTACTGTTGATGAAGTTAGGTGCTGTTCTGAGAATTATTTGTGGTTATAGAGTGGCGTTTTGGTTGAGGTTTGTGCTTGGAGATGTAGACCGCTGTATATTGTTATCGTGCGGTCGTTACTAAAGTTGGTATAACTAGAGAAGCAAACAGTCAGCAACATTCATCTCTCGAGGGGGTCTCTAACTCTGTTACGGTGTTTGACCATAACTTAATTTTACATTGGAATATCCCTTTAATATCAAAAGACAGACCTCATTCAAAAGTTGCCATATACCAAATTTATCAATAATTTCTTTGAGTCATTATAAAACTACATCAGAACTTGTCCTGTGATTTTAAATAGTGATGCTTGTATCTTCGTAGGTGTCCATGATGGCGGTGGATGAGATGTATGGAGATCTTCCCATGATGGAGAGAGATCGCTACTGGAATGACTCAAACCCTAGACCCCCCTACACTGCTGCTACTCTCTTTGTTCTTCGCAAACCCTCATTCCAGGGGTCTACTTTTGACATGGCGTGAGTCTCAGGGGGTTTCTCTCTTGTTCTGAGTCTAGTCTTGTGACTGTGATACTATCAGTGTGACTCCTCTTGCTCTGTGGGAAAATGTCGGCGATAGAAGTGAAATTATGTTGACTCAAAATTGTGGTTGTGCCTTTTATGTCCTGAATCAACATTTTTACAGAGACAGGTGAACTGAATGACATCTCTTCACAGGATCCCGAAGGAGGAGATGCACTTTCAGCCTCTGGAGGACATCGCTGAGAACCTGGAGGAGTCCAATAGCCGTCACCCAAACATGGCGCTTTTCAACCGCATACTCAATGCAGCTCCCTCCCCTACTGGCCTCATGGGAGGGGCCCTTCGGCGCACCTCAGCGCAGCTCCAGAGGCTACGCCACTCCCCCAGCATTGACCAATGCACCAGTGATGATGATGATGACGACAATGAGAGCGCTAAAATAGGTAAAGGTGGGTCTCTACCCTCAGGGCTGGGGCAGGACACTCAGAGCACGGTTTGTAGTTTCAGGGAGGAGAAGAACGCCAAAACACCTCTGTTGGAGATCCAGTTTGGGTGGGAGCAAGAGAACCAAAGAGGTCACCCTGCCACCGCCGAGAAGAGGGAGGTGAGCGGTGTGGAGGAGAGGATTGATGAGGAGTGGCAGATGGAGGAGGACAGAGAAAAAACAGAGGATACAGAGGAGTGTACCCAAGCTGTGTCCCCTCTTCTTCCTGTAACCCCCCGCCACCCCTCTGCCTTCGTGTTTCACCCGTCTGTTCGTTCCAGTCTGGAGCACTGCAGCTCACAGCCTGCTATCAACCATAACAAGGCCATTCCCACCATTCCCAAACCTCCCTTTGGCGGGAGCAAAATGTCCTTCCTCACGGTACCGTCATATGAGGAACCTCAGCGTTTTCGCAGCGTGAGCATGGGATCAGAACTCACCGGGTCTTAGGACTGTGACACCAGAACACTGAAGAAAACGTCTCTGAACATTTGACAAATCCAGACTTGATGAAGTGCATGTTTTCATGCATGTTATTAGTCATAGATGTTAGCACTGTGCAGTCAGTCCTTAATGATGGTAGTGAAAAGGTATCCTGCGTTACATTTCTGACTTGTGGAGGCAGCACTTTAAAGAATACCATGTTTTTAAAAAATGTGGTTTGTGCTTTTTGATTGTATGAGGAGAAAAAATAGAAATCACAAGTCATGCAAAGTGAAAGTTAAGGTCTTCTGTGGTATTTAGTTAAGCTTAGTTCACAGACTGGAGGGAAATGTTCCTTCTTTAAAACAGGTAAGATGACTGTTATTCTTTTACAACGTGGGGTCTTTTACTCACTAAAAACTACACATGGACATGTCCAGGATCTGATTCTGGAGCTTTACAGTGGAACAAGTGTGTCAGTAGTTAATATAGCTGCTCTTTGAACCAAAGGTTCGTGATAAATGTTGTAAATTTACAGACAGGAAACCAACAAAATGACAGGGTGAGATGTTAAGAGGCTAAGCTCCACTAAACCCAAACTGCCAATACATAATAAATTAGTGTAAATGTGTTTTTATCAGGTGTGCACATACAAATTTCTTGCTTTCAGTTATTTACACATTGTATTTTTAGATATACATATACTAGCACCTTAGTGACAACCAAAGTTTTGAAAGTATGCTAAAATTATGCTTATTTTTTCCTTTGCAGTCTTTATTTCCTTTGACTGGAAAGATACCCCCCCTAAGAGACCAATTTTTCATGTTGTAGGTTGTGTAGTTTTTAAAATAAATAGGTAAACAAACAATTTAAAGAGACAAAGTATTATTTTTGCATTAAATCTATAATAAATAGTTGTAGTTTTTCCTTACAGCTGGTGGAAATGGTTTCATTGCTGCAGTAACAAATCTTTAAATTGTATAAAATGAGTAAGGCAGAAGAAAACCAGGTGAGTGTGGATAAACTACACACATAAAAACATCATGAGTGACTCTTGTTTCAAGCGTTTATTAAGTACCACTCTGGTACCAGCATTGACCAGCAGGGGGAGATAGTGACAAACCAACAGAGCACAAGCAGTGACTGAGAACTAAAGTAAATATAAAAAACAGAACAGACTCTTTCTTCCACAGCCGTACTTTACATCCCGCCTGTGTGTGGGCCGCCCTGCAGGTGGAGGCTCCTACCTGGGCTGCAGCCGCAGGGAGAGCGCCCTCCGTGCAAGTGTGGACTGTCTCTGCATGGACAGGAAAGACTGGGCCTGGCATGGAGCTCTGGAGCACTCACACAGGTGGTGCTGCTGCAGAGCTGAGGACTACAGGAGAAAAGGACTCAGTGTTTTGCACAAGAAGTGGACGAATATCTGACTTTTCTAAACAACACCTTCTCTGGAATATCGTCTGTGGATCTGTCTTTACTGTTTCTTATTTTACATGTGCACATCACTGTAAGATACTCTCGTATCAACATGAAGATACAATAAAATATATCATTATATATCATTATGATTATACCACTCCAAAAAAAGAGTATTCGATTGAAACCAATGACAATCCCAGGACATGTCTCTGAGTTTGATCTCTCCTCATGTTCTCACCATACTTTGCCAGGCTGTCAGAATCAGCTTCTCCTCTTCTTCCTGTCTGGATCTTGCGTTATCTTGCTGTGAGTCCTGCAGCAGTTACATAATGGAGGGTCATTTTAGACTTTTGCTGAATCCTTGAAACACAACCAAACGACATACACAGCAAAACATAGAGCCGCCCCAGAGTTTAACGTAGTCCGGACACACAATCAGTCACCTCTGAGGCAGCTGTCCTCGTGGTGTTAAATGATCCCGTCTTCTTGTTGCTTGTCATTATCTTGCAGACAAATTCGACCCACACACGAGCAAAGACTTGTACGCCACAGTCCCCTGACCTGCCCCGTCTGTCAGCGGCTCAGTGCTGCTCGTAGCTGCATTTCACAGTGGAGGCCTGGGTTTTTGTTGTGCGTTAGACAGAACAATATAGTGAGGTACTGCGGGCTTATGTGCTCTGGCTGATAGCCACATGTGTGCTGACTTGAGCACATTCACTGTTGGGCGGTGTGGGAACTGGTGCATAAGCAACAAAACACGGCACCTTTAACTTGACAGTAGATATGTCAACTATTAAGGCGTAGAGTTTGCCATCACAGAATCATAAAGATGGAAAAAGGAATTAATGTTGCTGATTTTTCCATGCAGAGGAGGACTCTGCATCTTTGCTTGTTCGACTGAATCAGTTTCAGTATGTTTGAGTTACTGTATTTCCCCAAATTATCAGTTGACCAACATCAAAGAACTTTACCATCGGCACGTACTCTGCAAAATCATGAAACAGAGAAAACGTCTGGTCACTGATGGGTACTTCTCTGCTGCTGCTTTCTGTTTCCTGTCTCCAAGAGTTACTTTACACAAAGGTCAACCCCTTCCAGTCTTTGAGCCGGCTTTGTGGTTGTGGTTTATGTTTCTGTCATTAAGAGTGAAAACACGAGTGTGGAGGAGGATTTCAAAGAAGCATGTTTGTTTGCGTTTTTCTTTGGAAGTTGGAGCTGTTAGGTCAGCAGGAAGGCTTTCTGCAAGTCTCTAAAATAAAAAGTATCTACCCTGTACTTCCTCGCTAATAATCTAAGCGTGTTTGCCAAAGTTTGAGTCTATTTCGGCCCAGCTGTGCTTCCTCTTTGTGGAAAATTTCAACAGAAACAGTGAAACAAAAATGTGGAGGGAGGGAAAAAAAAACTTTCCAAGACAAGTTTCTTGGAATCTGCCTCATCTGAAACTCTGTAAATGTCGACTCTGTTATGATCGAGATATAGATCACGAGGCCATTGCAGACACATGCAGCGCCACATATTCCTGTTAGCTACCAGGGCCTGAACGTCTGTTGTGAAACCATCCTCCTACTGTTGTAGTTTCTGAGCTCATGAAGATTTCTGCTTCATCCTAACCTCAAAGGGAGAGCTTTTTAAAGAGGCGCCTCATTTTATCGCACGAAATAAATCCTAACATGTTGGGTCATTCTCCAATTTGTTTTAGCTTTGGTACTTTTTAGCCCCAACACCACATAAAAAAAAGAAAACTTCCTTTTTCACTAGAGAGTCTCATCTCTTATGTCTCTTATAAATTGCATATTTGTCATCTGTATTGAAGGACTCAAGGACGGCACTATCTTGTATTTATAGCTGTTCGATAAACAGCAGACATGGGTTGAATCAGCTCAGAGTGATTCACCGCTTTTATTATTCTTAAATGAAACTATTTTAGTTTCATCTTATCTCCAGTATGTAAAAGATGTACATCAAATGATTATGTTGTGCATGCTTTTGAGTCATACCGTCATCTGTAATAGTGGCATTAAGAAAAAAACAATCTGTTCAAGGCAACGAGAGAGAAGAGCTGTGTTGTTGTGGAGTTTAAAATAGGAAGGAGCAGAAATTTACACGGCTCAAAACAGCCGTTAAAATCAAACAGAAAAATAAGAGTCTGAAAATATATAAATTCAAAATAAAAACAAGTTATCAATGTGATCACAACAACATGCACAAATAAGATAAAGTATTTCTTTATTAGGCCCACAAATTTACAGCAGGACATAATACAGGAAGAGAAATTAAAGGATGAATAAATTTAGTTAAAAAAGATTTTTACTAAGAGTGTTATTCACAGCTGTTCTGTACATGTTGATATATTACCATGTATATATAGAATGGACGCCTTCTGCCTCCTCACTTGGTGAAGCCACCGTGAGAACAGCACCCTCTGGTGATGGGCTGCAGTATAGGTCATAAATCCCTCCTCCTCCAGCAATCCCTATGGAGCTGTGGACAAACTTTGGAAATTTATTACACAGAATACAAATTTTTTCCCCCCTGGTTGTGGTGTTCACATGTAGTTACTGTAAGACTGGTTTGTGCTCAAGTCCTCTTTTTTCTGTGCAGCTCCGTTTTTAAAAGTTATTAAGGGGGTTCATGTTTTCTATGATTGACACTTGATACAGCCGATAGGTGTACAAAGACTGTGTAGCTCGGCCGGGGGATATGCAGTTTGAACCGAGTGCCATCACAGCGACTCTCCCGCCGAATGCGTACAATACTACTGTACAAGTGGTGGAATGCGTACAACGCTACTGTGCAATGTTGGCTTCACTGGTGGAAGGCGGAGCCAAGTTGTCCATAGTTTATACAGTCTATGTAGATTACATTTAAAAGATTGTAGATATTTATATGTTTGACTATAATAGTGTGATTACTCTCTCTGTTTATCGTACCAGCTCGAATCTTGTTTGAATTTGTTAGGTTATTTCGTGTGTGTGTGTGTGTGTGTGTGTGTGTGTGCGTGTGTGTGTGTGTGTGTGTGAGAGTGTATGTGTGTCAGGCACTCCCTGTATTACACACCCTACTTTGCATAAAAGTACTCTGGGTGCATAAGGACCTGTCTGTCTGGTTCACAAGTTCTCTGTGTGTGTGTGTGTGTGTGTGTGTGCGTTTGTGTGTGTGTGTGTGTGTATCTGTCTGTCTATCAGCTGTCTCACACACAGTTTCTCTTTGTCTGTCTGTTGTACTGACTCTGTCTGAACCACTTGATCTCTGCTGTCTGACCTGAATTGAAATAACTGTGAGTTACTGATGTGTCTGACTCTGACTGATGTTATCGTGATAGATGTGGGTGAAAAGAGCTCTCCGGTTGGCTGAGAATATGTGCATGTAAACCATGATCATCAGTGTCTATATCTCTGTTTCCGACATGCGTCTACGGTATGTCTCCTTTTTCGTAAGAATTTTGGAAAACCTCTCGAGATGGACGACAGATGGTCACCATGCTCAAAAAATTCCTTTCCCTGAACAGCTGGTGAAATTCGCTCACTGACCAACACATGATATATTTTCGTTTCACCACAATGGAGAATAAAACATTCTTTACAGTCTGCTGGATGTCATGTAACTTC